GACAACTTTGTGCAGCTGACCCCGACCGAGGGCGTCCTGCTCCGGCGCCAGGAACCGTTCCTGCGACGCAGCCTGCCGCCATCGATCCCGGACGAGCCCATCACCAACGTCGAGACCCGGTCGGGGCTGGAGATGAAGATTGCCCAGGACACCTACAAGATCTTCTTTGTCGACAACACCGAGGACTACTTCCACCGCCGCAGCCCGCAGCTCCAGACGGCCAAGGGCCGCGAGGAGTTTGCCTCCCATTCCCGACGCAACCGTATCCGGCGCTTCAAGGCGTGGCGGGAGTGGCTCGAGGGCGAGTCGGGCTGGAAGCGCGGCGACGCCAATCTGACCGAAGCCATCGAGGAGAACGTCCGGCACTTTGACAACTGGATGGTCCACGGAAGCACCGGCGGCAGCCACGGCACGGAGAAGATTGTGGTCGAGACGGTCCAGAGCGAGGAGCAGGCGTATCGGCGATTCCGGCTGGTCAAGGCCGAGGAAGCGAGTGCCGAGGTTGGCGACGAGGCGATGGAAGACGCAGCATAGAGAAGTGGCTCGCGCAGGAGCCGGAGCCAGCAGCGAATCCGCTCGCTGTGGGTCTTATCTCGTTGTTGGTTCTCATGCGATGAGTCCTTTCATTGGCATTCTGAGGCTTGTTCTGGCCACATCGACTATCCTCGGTGTCAATCTTGGTTGTCCGGGAGATCCACAGCGCCGCAATGGCCCATTGTCGCTCTCGCAAGACCGCAGTCGAGTTCCATGTCATGACCCCAGCGATCGGCTGGATCTTGAATACACTCGCTGCCGACCCCATCGTCGTCCAGGACGAGCATTCGACCGGCGTCGGGAGGTGTATCATCAATCACAGCCCTGCACCTGTGTGAGCACCCTGCTGGCCCTTCGGGTATGGCACGAAGTACATCCATCACTGGATTGTTGGCCACTCCGAACTCAAGAGGGCTTTACTTGCCCATCAACCAAGTATGGTGACGGAGAATCCAGACCCAGTCCAGCAACACGGTGACATCGCTCGCCTCGAATCCAGGCGTCCCGGATCATTTTATCGATGCTGTTACATCACAGGAGCAGCTTGCGCGCTGTCAGGAATGTGCAGCAACGGAGATTGCTCATCTCATTGAATGTATTTGTGTTGTGATCCTTCTTTGTATAGACAGAGTCGTTGGAGCCCTCTCTTTGCCCAGGATCTTTGGGAACAGAGGAGGGGGTGGGGACGTATGAGAAAGGTGGCAAATTGTGGGCTGGGGCAGAGCGACAGAGGAAAGGAATGGAGAGCGGTGGATCTCTCCGCCTCCACTCTCCGCTTAGAAAACCATGGCAAACAGACTGGCCACAGTGGCAACCGAGGCAACGAAAGTGCCGGCAATCTGGATGGCACCGCTCTTGGCAGAGGTGCTCGGGCTGGGAGCAGGAGCAACACCACCGGTCCAGAGAGTGATCGAGGGAGCGGGGTGAGCGCTGTCAGCACCAGCAGGGAAGGTGCCGTTGGCATCAGGAATGGCGGCCCAGGCAAGAGGAACGTTGATGCCAGTGGAGTTGGTGGTGATCTGAGTAGCGGGGAAGTAAAGCTTGGAGCCCTCGGTGACGTTGGGGAGCTTCATGTTGATACCGAAGTCGGCGTAGTAGTCGTTCGAGAGAACGCCACCGTACCAGGTGATGGTGTCGACGGTAGTGTTGATGGTGGTGCCGTCGGAGACAATGGGAGGGTTCAGGGGGCGCATAGCCAGGTCGATCTTCCAGCCAGCGATGAGCTGGGGCTTGACCGAGGTGACGCCATCGGGGATCTTGACGGTGATGTTGATGGTGTTGGAGCCGGGGAAGGAGTGGGCTGGATGTCACAGACAGAAAGGAAGGGATGCAACGAATGGGTCAGCGGACAGTTCATCCATCAGCCAGAGCCCACGACGGTGTGGCCTCGAAAGTAACCACTCCACAACCAGCCCAGTCGGGACAAGAGTCTGCGACGGAGCCAGTTGCTTGGACAGCGACACCCAAGTGGTGCCCAGCAACACAGCAGGTGATACTTACGAACACGGATGTCGGTGACAAAGTAGCCGGCGTTGGGAGCAACGTTGGGGTTGCAGGTGACGTGGGCCTGGACACCAGAGACGGCGAGGGCGGCGGCAGCGACCAGGGAGGCAAAGTTGACGGAGACCATTTGGGAAGTCACAAGGAGGGAATAGAGGCAGACAGGAGAGGATGAAGATGCAAGTGTCGCGACGGGGTTGCGAGGATTGTGCTGGAGAGAGCGGCCAAGGGATGAGGGCGATATGCGGGTGCGAGTTTTTTGCGACGCAGGGGGGGGTATAAATACCTCGCTGGTCCAGGAGAGGACGAGGATGAGAAAAAAAAAGCGGGTGGTCATGGGGCAAGCCCAAATGCCATCTGTGCGATGATGGAGGGTGGGCCGATGGTCAGCCGCTGCTTGAGACGGAGCAGTGTCCATGCTACAGATTCTGTTTCTCGAAACAGGATGTTCGCAGAGATGTGTGAGGTCTTTGTTGATCCCGAGGCGAGGAAGTTTGTCCAACACGCAGGCAGCGGCTCATCCGCATGCTCTGCCGCAAACGCATCAGCCCACCTCACTGGATATACTTGTTGGTACAGCGGCCTGATGTACATGGCCTGTTGCGGTCGGGGATGGCCCACCATCGCGGTCGTCCCTGCACTATCCCTCCCTCGACTCGGGCGGATCATCCCGGGGCCTGCTTCGAGCTGCGGATTCCATCGCCCATCCCGATGCGCTGTCCGTTCCTCTCCCTTTCTTTCTGTCGTCGAACAGATGTCCTCTTGCCCGTCCATCCCGGCGACGCCACCGCACCCATCTCGCCTCCCACCGCCTCCGCGTCGCACAGCGAGTCCATGCGCAGCACCTAGATCCCCCACCCACGCGCTGTGTGTCTTTGTGCTGACCAATGGGCGTGCGAGTCCGGCTTGGTTCCCTTGACGCCGCGACTGGCGCAATCGTCCTTTGTTTTCGGTGGCTCATCGCTTTCTTGTCGTCGTCGTCAATCCCTCACCATGACGCACTGTGGCACGGCTTCTGGAAACAGAAATGGAAAGCGAGAAACAACAACAGCAACAACAACAACAACAAAAAACTATTGAAGTGGGAAGGGGGGGGTGCAAAGGAGGAGATGGATGATGCCTGCGACCGAGCTGGAGCGAACATGATGCTGGATCTGTGCTGAACCGAAACTAGTGCGCACAGCCCGAATGTCTCCAAAAATCGATGCTCGGCCCTGGGTCGTGTGCAGCGAGTCGATTGGCAAGAGCGATTCCACCATCTGAGTCCATGGGGCAAGCCGGGCTTAGTCAAGCAAGAACACAGCAAAGAGATTCATCGCCCATGGGCCGGAGCAATCAGCGGGATGAGTGTGGTCATTTCCCTGATTCGTGGCAATCGGGGGTTCGCAATGACACATTCCACTTTCCAGGTGGTGGTGGTGGTGGTGCTGTCCGTCCCCATTCGCAGCCGACGGATCGCTCCGGTTCCTGCTCTTTCCAGGATGATGGATGAGAATGTATGTATTCAGAATCCATTGAGGTGTTCTGTTTCAAGAACGCTGCAAAAAAAGGGGGAAAAAAAGCGATGGTCATTAACCAAAGAAGGAAGAGGAGGAGGGGACGAGAGCACAAGTGGGAGAAGGACGGGTTGGTGCTTCGTTGGCAAGCAAGGAAGCAAGCAAGTAAGCAAGCAGGCCGGCGGCGCAGAGGGATCAGATCAAGGGCAATACGAAATGGGAGTCGGCTGCGACCTCCGCGTGAGGCGCCAAGACGACCGTCTCCTGAGCAAAAAGAGGGAAGGGGTGGGCAGGGTGTGCGAAGAGAGCCGACGGGCTCTTGAGGATACATAACCTCCATTAGTGAAAAGGGGGGGGGACTTCAAACTATCTATACTACCTAAGAAGAAGAAAAAAACTGACCGCTGAAAGGAGTCGGGTGCGAGTGCGAGTGCGACGGAGAGATGGATGGCGAGAGCACCCACATGGATGGAGCAGGACCAAGAAACCGCCGCTCAAAGACCCTCCCCGCTCCCTCCTCCAAAGACGAGAGCCGTTGGATGGGTAGGATGGGAAGGGTGATGGCGATGTCACCAGAGACAACGACGAGCTGTGTATAGCTCTGCCCAGATCCCTGGCGGAGTGAGTTCGCTGCACCGGGCAAAGGACCGTCGCCAATGCTGAGGCACGCGCAGACAGACAGCCAGACAGACAGCCAGCCAGACGTCCTGAGTGTCCGAGACATCAGGGTCAAACCAAAAGAGAGGGAGAGAATATAATGGAGGCAAAAGCGAATCGGGGAGAAGGGAGGGAGGGAAGGAAGGAAGGAGACGTAAAATCACAGACTCGATAACATAAATATGAAACAAAAGAATGAGTGATAATAAATGTTAAAACGCCGAGGGGAAGGAAAGCGAAGGGGAAGGAGGGGAGGCGCACTGAGAAAGGGACGATCACTGACCAACTCTGTCACGGATCGAGAGGGGGGGGGAGACAGAGAAGAGAAGGCAGGGCAAGAAAGAATCGGATGTGGGAGAAGTCAAATGCAGAAGGACCAGATAAACACCAGTCTGCCGGATCGCTGTTTCAGTTTTTTCATTTTGAACATTTTTTTCTTCTTTTTCAATAAATATTCGTCGCAGGCGCCGCTTTGTTCGTGTGATCGAAAAGGAAGCTTGAGACGCCATCGACTTGCCAACCAGTCATCGAGGGATCGGGTCAGGTCCCTCAAACTCATGGTCGGTTCGTTGGGATTGTGGAATGGATTGGCTGCTGGGAGTTGCTGGTGGTGGTGGTGTTGGTGGCGGGGAGGTTGTCGGATGTCGAAGGATGCAGAACGCTGTTTGGAGGGAGGGGGAGGGAGTATCTTGGGGCAAGGAGAGAATATGACAGAGGCCGAGCCCCCGGTTCACAATAGTTTCGGCGGAATCCGAATCGACATTCGTCGGTCTGCAGATGGAAGGCAATAGGAGGGGTGGGGGAGTTTCTGGCTCAAGGCGAGAGCGATGGCGATGGCGGCGCCAGCGCCATTCGGCATCCGTCTTGTGCCGCCGATTCTTTCTTGAGAGAGCGACACCGCGGTGTCGAAACGGCCGCGAGCTTGGCTGACATTTTGGCGGCCGACAGGGCTGATGCCGCCAGCGACGACTGCAGCGACAACTTGGAGGCGACTGATGTCTTGACGCCACCCTTCTCCGGAATGAGTTTTGGCGAGGCCGGTGCCGAGGCCGGAGTCAGCGTAAGGCTCGATATCAGAGGAAGAGGCTCCATCGGCTCACCGACCGGACCGGCGTCTCCGCCCGTCAGGACAGGAGAGGACACTGGAGACGACATGACCGAGACCGACAGCGAGGACGAGGACTCGCCCATTTCAGAGATAGTCTCGTCCGTATCGGCACTCGAAGCAGCGTCCGTGGTGGCAGTGGTGGTAGCGGTGGCAGTGCTGGCACTTTGCTTGGAGGCTTCGGCAGCCGTGCTGGAGTTGGGCGACGGGAACATCGAGGCATGCGAATGTTCGATGTGGTACTGCGAGCGGTCGGTGAGATCGAGGGTTAGACTGACAGCGAAGCTCCACAGTCGCACAGACAGGCCAAGCACCAACCAGCACAGCCACAGGAGCCATGTGAAGAATCATGTGCCTGCTGTGTGCCCCCGAGGTCCGGCCGCAGGCAGAGTCACCAGGGACGCGCGGACACTCACCTTGAGTCCGTTGAGGTTCTTGTATCGCTTTCCGCAGTCGGCGACGGGACTGGCAACGCGTACAAGTTAGCCTGTGATGCCGACCACAACGATCGGGATGTGGTGGGTGCGCCAGGCCCAGCGCCAGGCCCAGCGCCAGGCCCAGCGGTAGCTCGGAGGAAGCCCGGTTCGCCTCGCGTGCTGGTGTTTCTCCGCTCAGAATCGTCGGATCGGATCGGATCAGATCGGCTACGCTACTCACCAGACATACGGCCGGAAGCCGTCCAGATCCCGCTTCTTGCGATAGAAAAGGTCGTGGGGAATGCCCTCGCCGTTGGGGTGGGCGTGCGTCAGGTGGTACTTGAGTCCATTGCCGTTCTTGTACTGCTTCTTGCAGTTGGGGCAGATGTACTCGCGTACACCTGTTTCGGGGTTGATGGTCGAGAGCGCCGAGGGTCGCGGCTTCTTGACCTTTGGCTTGGCTGCGAGTGCGCCGGGCGGCTGCGAGGCTGTGCCCTTGGCATCCGCAGCCTGATCCAGCGAAGCTGTCGAAGCCGCTGCGGCCGGCGTGCTCGACACCGCGGTTTCGGAATCTGCGATTCCGCTTGTGGACTGGCTGGCAGCCGAAGATGCGGCCTTGGTCATCACGGAGGGTGGCTGGCTGGCAGCGTCCTCCTCATCGTCGGTCAGGACGCTGGCCGGTGGTGACGGGATCGAGGAATAAAGCTTCGAGTTTTGGGTCGCTGATGGCCTGGCTTGCCGATCACCATTGCCCATTGCCATCAGCTCAGCAGTCGGCTCGCTCATCGAACTGCGGCGCGACTCGAGCTCGAACTTTCTCGGGGACGTTGGTGGCGTGGGGAACTCGTTGGAGGCAAGGTGCTCCAGAGCCTTGGACCGCTTCACCGGCCCTGCCACATCGTCGGTATGCTTGCGCTTGGAGCTGCAGAGGGTGTCGGCATCGGACGGGGCTTCAGAGGCCGCCAGAGACGAGTCCGCGAGATCTTCGCTGTCGCTCTCCTCCTGGATGTGGATGATTTCGTGGCTGTAGATCATGGCCAGCGGGAGAGACACGGGTGGGGTCTCGATCTCTTCGCTCAGACGATGGCTCCGGAAGGCAATCAGACTCAAATCCTGCTGATCCCACAGCGACCTGGAAGGGGGGGGAAGAAGAGAGCGGATGCCGATCAATGCGTGCCACTGGGCAGGCATAGCCAAAGGAGAGAAGCCACGATTACAGCCGCGGGGCTGGCGAGGAGTCGCCGCTGAACTCTCGGGTCCTACCGATGATGATGGTGAGGGCGGCGCCGGTGGTGGAGGAGGCTGTTTTGGTGGTGGCGCATTTCTGCGGCATGGCGAGACTCGATCTCGTCGTCGCTGACGGCGGCATTGAGGGTTTCCATATCGGCTTCGGTATGGTAGTCTTCATAATGCAGCTGCAGGTCATGCAGCGTCTCGAGATGGAATCCGCAGCAGGTAAAGTTCCGACAAAACTCTCGTTCAATCTCCTGCGAGGCAAAGCAGTCGCCAGTTCCTCGGCGAACCATCGATCGCTGTGATCGATCGCCTGATCGGTGGGTGAGGTATCGCTCGAGCCTGGAAGTGGGACAGATGGGCGAGAGGGTCAGACGGGCAAGGCATGTGCTGGGATCAGCGATCAGCATGGAGACAGGTAGGAGTAGCGGTGCATGACTTTGGCAGCGCCCGGCCGGCGATCGTATGCTGATCAAGGAGGATCCCGGCTGGGCAGGTGTGGACGCGCACAGTAGATCGCGGCACTGCTGGTGCTGCTGGTGCTGGTGCTATTGTTGATGGAGCCTGCTTCTCGCTGACGATAGACAGCACTATCGAGAGCGAGCGAGCTGCGGGCCGCAGCGACCATGATCGCCATCGCTTGATTTGACTAGCACATTTCGGCTGCGGCGAGTATTGATCATGGTGACTGTTGGCTCGGTCCGATCATGTTGCAGCTGATCCGGAGATTGAATGCCCGCACTCCTCATCCGCTGCCATAAGGAAACAGCCCTCTTCTGAGCCACCACCAGGTAGAACAGGGGGGGGGGCTGATCGGATCAAGGAACTTACTCTTCCCGTAACGAAGGATCGGCGAGCTCAGCCGAGGTGGGTTCGTCGTCGAGGAGCATGGGATCCGCCCGGTCAAGGAGAGATCGCCACAGACTCCGGCTGATGTCTCGGCAGTCGGAGATGAGCGCGGCAGAGACCATGTTGTGCAGCGAGAGCATAACTTATGAAATGGTGGTGGGGGGATGTGCGCTTCGGCGTGGGGTAGTGGTGGATGAAGGTGATCAAAGTCGAGATGACCTGATTGGGAACGTCCGAGGGGATCTGGTCAGCGGAGGACGAGTTGCTAGGCAGACAGAAATGCGGCTGCTGGCTTGCGTCCGGCTTATCGAGCCAAAAAAGGCGCCGAAACGAGCAAGTGCGTATCGTCGGGGGGGGGGAGGCAAGAGGATTGCCACACAAAGCGGCCACTTGCAGCAAGCGGAAGCGGGAAAAGTCTCCTTTTGGTTGGGGAGGGGGACTGCGGAGCGGAAGGAGGGACTCGCCATCGCAGGCTCGAGCCAGGCACGCACAGGCACCCACGGCATCCAAGATGCAACTCGGCTCAGCAAGCCGGACAGCAATATCGGGAGCGAGCCTGCCCGCAAGCGAGTCGGACGGGGAGGGGGATGCCACACACGAAAGCCATCATCCGCGGCAGCCACGCGACCAGATCGAGGCGGGTCGCCATCTGTCCAAACAGCACAAGGCAGGGCAAGGCTGGAGGGGACAGATCCGCGGAACTCGACAAGCCGACAGCAGCAGCACAGACGAGCCAACCGTGCGAGCGAGTGCATACGCTAGGGAAACACATGCTCGCACACTCGGAGCAGACAAAGACTTACGATCGAGCGCTTGGATGGTGTGCGAGTTTCTGCGCTAAACTGAGGGTTGGCGAGACTGCGGCTTGGCGATGCAGCGCAGTGGTATCAACGAAAGCAAAGAACCCGCGAGGGAATAGAATGGAATGGAATCGATCGATGGGATAGAAACACGAGTATCGTGCAGTACAAAGTGGGCTCCACAATGTCGATGATATCGAGGACGGCTCCTGGGTCTCGATGACAGGAAACAAATGGGATCCACACAGAAGGGGCTGGGGGTCGTATAAAGGAGCACCGTACACGAGCAGATGCAATCAGGTGGTGAGGCTGAATGGGGGGGGGCAAATACAGACGGAGAGATAAACTCAACAAGACGAGGGTATTTCAGAGAAGAGTGAGACCAAGGCCAGGTAAGGAGGCAAAGGAACACTGGAGATAGCAACGGCAATCAGGACAGAGAGGGAGAAGCAAGGCGCAGCTCGATTGCGGCATACGATCTGAGGAACGGCAAGGACGGGAGGAGGCGGACGGAGGGAGGGAGAAGGCGGGAGAGGCAGGCTGAGCAGGGGAGGGGAGAGGCTGCTGCTGCTGCTCGAATTCCACTAGTCGGGCAAGACGACGGCGGATCTTGGGCGGGCAAGAGGATATCTCGGGTGGAGCAACGGGCGGCGCGACGGAGCCGAGGCCGAGATGCACGCCGGATCGGTCGGGATCGGTCGGGATCTACACACAGGAAGCTCGGGGAAAGTGTCCCTAATCCTGCAGGCGACGTGGAGGAGGAGGAGGAGGGATAGACCAGAGACAGGCGTGATGAGGCAGGGTTACTGAGTGCGATGGAATGGAGCAGGTGTGTATCCAGATCCGGTGTCGAATGCTCGCTTTATTGCGCATGCCGATGGACGCGGGTGGCGAGCAGGTGGCGAGCAGGAGCCCCCCAAAGGCGGACCCAAAGGCGGATCCAAAGGCGGATCCAAAGGCGAGCCTGGGCAGGGCAATGCAGAGCGATGCAGATGGCCGGATGTCGAAGGAGTGCCAACGGGCTGGAGGAAGGGCACAGGGTCGGAGCCAGCAGCAGCCCCGCCCGCCAGCCAGCCACGGGTCCAGGGCAGATCAGGGCAGCGCGGAATACCTTTGGAGGGGGTATGCCCGAGAGCCAAAGCAATGGCGATGGCGATAGATGGCGATAGATGGCGACGGCGACGGCGATGCACACTTGGGCAGCCGACGGAGGAGAGGGGCAGGAGGAGGGGAGTGCGTAAGAGGGGAGAGCGAGGGAGATCCACAGCAAAGCGGTGCACGCTCACAGATGGAGTGCGAATCCAGCCGAGAGAGCGGGGGGCGACAGCAATGCAGCCCGCTGAAAACAGATATATCGCGGATCCGACACAAAGCGATCGCCTTCTTGCACGGGCTGGATCGGATCCGACGGGGTTTCCGCAATCAGCAGCCAGGCGAGGGCGGGGCGAGGGTGGGGCGAGGGCGGCTGCTGCTGCTGTTGCTGTGTGCCCGCAAAGCTGCATCGCCATGCAATCGGCGCGCCGTGCCGGCCCTCGCCCGCTTCTCGCCTGCCTCTCGCCCGCCTCTCGCCGCGCCCGTCTCGCTGGTTGTTTGTGGTTGGTCGGCACCAAGCCACCAGCGTGAGTCTGTGTGCGTCTCCGAGCTGTTTGTGCGGGGCTCGCCGGGTGTGCCCGGGACTGCTCGGGACTGGGCGCGTTTGTGTCGCAGGCGACAAAGGGCTGTGTGCCCAGCGCCAGTGTACGCCTGCCCAATCAGCAGTCCGCGTGGCTTTGTTCTGGCCGTGGCTTGCTGCTGGACACAGCCGTCTGCGGCGGCAAGCCGGCGGCTGTGCGATTGGCTGGCCGCGGTCACACAGCGCTCCTGCGAGTGCGGCCTCCCTTCTCCGGCCCAGACTTTGCCAACAAGGCGTGCCTGCGATCTTTTTTTTTTTTTTCTTCACGCGTTGGGTGGCGGGCGGGCCGAGGAGGAGCCGAGGACGAGAACCAGATGGGTGGCCTCTCTCCTGTCTCTCTTGGCTGTGGCCTCGCTCTTGGCTGTGGCTCGCTCTCTGCAGTGTCCTGGCTCACTTGACCGCCTGGCTGCATCGATCGAGTGCCGATACCGCATCACGAAATGCATTCCCCCCCCCAAATGCATCGGCATCAGCAGACACAATCCTCCCAGATAACCCCCCCGCTCCAGCGCCACCGTGCCACCGTCCTGCTGTTCAGCGTTGCCCACTGTGAGTCACCGAGCCACAGGCACGGGTGCGCCTGCCCTGCCTGCGGACGCACATCCACCCCAGCGGGAGTCACCCCGCGCTGCCGCCGGCAAGGGGCGTGGCCCACTCAGATAAGCCGCATCACGTGTGGCCTGCGCGCAGCACGCCGTCGGTGGCAGTGCGAGCCAGAGTGCCGTGCGTCACGTGTGCTGTCGTCGACATCGATTTCGGGTGCGCAGATGGGTGAGCCGATGGACATGTGCAGATGGATATGTGCAGATGGATGTGCGCAGATGGATGCGTGCTGCGTAACAGATACAACACAACTCGGCTGCTGGGGGCTGGGCTTTGCGAAGCAATCTTCAGCAGACGACACCCCGGAATCAGGCCGCACTGCCAAGCGACACCCAGTCATTGATGGAGCCGCCGGGCCCTTGGGTGGGCAATCCCTGGTCTGCTGTCCCTGGTCTGCTGTCCCTGGTCTGCTGTCCCTGGTCTACAGTCCCTGGTCTTCTGCCTTGCAGTACCACAATTCGGCAGTGTCGTCGTTCTTGGTGAATTCATAGCCATATTGGTAGCACTCGCCAATGTAGTACTCTGCATATCGGTTTCCTTGCTCGGCCGATTTGCTGAACCACTCAACTGCCTTGGCATAGTCTTTGGTGGCCCCCTCTCCAATAAAGTAGCAGTATCCAACTCTCCATTGACCGTAGGAATTGCCTTGGTTGGCCGACTTGCTGAACCACTGGAATGCCTTTGACATGTCCTCTTCGGATCCTTCGTGGTCGTTGAAATAGCACTCGCCAATCCACAATTGGCTGTCGCTATGGCCGTCGTTGGCGAGCTCCTCGAAAATGCCCCGCGCCTTGTCCCGACCACGTATAGTTCCAAAGTAGCTGTACTGGCACAAGGCCACGAGATGCTTGCACAGCCAGTCATGTTCCGATCCCAGCTGACACATCGTCAAGAATTTTCGGGGCCCTGGTGAGTTGTAGCAGATCCAGGGCTCAGTGAATCCGCAGGCCAGGCATCGATCTTCTCCGAGCGGGAACTCGTCCGACTTGTTGTCTCGGATGATCTGGACTCCTTTCTGCTTATCCTGCACAGTTCCTCGGCCGAGGTAGTGCATCCAGCCGACCATATGGGTGGCGATGGGCTTGATGACTGCGTCGCCGGATTTGGTACTGACTTCCTGCCAGTGGCCAAGGGCATCAATGTCGCTCTGTTCGACACCGTGGCCGATGAATGCGAACCAGCCACGGAGGAACTCGATTCGGAGCCGGCCATCGCTGCTGCCCTGGGCTTCAGCCTTGGCGTACCACTCGATGGCTGTGTCGTAGCTTTGGTCGACACCTTCGCCGTTCTCACTGCATCGACCGAGGGCAATTTGCGCCCGAGGCACTCCGCGGCCCGCAATGCCACGATACATTTCGACAGCCTTGGTATGGTCTTGATTGACTCCGATTCCATCGAGAAAACACTCGGCCAGATGGAACTGGGCCATCGGGTGGTTGCTGTTTGTAGCCGATTCAAGAAGCTCAAAGATTTGCTGCTGTGCTGTTCTCTGCTTGAACCGACGCATTTCACTACAGTCGAGATCGTCTTGCAGGATCCGGGCCAGGAGATACGAAGCAGAGGCGTTGCCTCGGGCAGACTGATCCTCAAGCCACGATCGGCCAGCCGTGACTGGGTCCCTGCAGTGAAGCGAGAGCGCGATCTGGTCGCTGGGCGTGAGGCCGATTCGTGACGACCCGTCTGGAGAGTGGAGCCCTGCCTTCTGACACCAGCTGTGAAAGCGAGTGATCTTGGAGCTCAAGAGAGGCTGCGCTCGTTTGCATACTCGGAGCAGGTTTTGAATGGTGGCAAAGTCGAGTGCGCGCTGGAAGGCATCGTTGAAGCAGACGATGGCAAAGATGTCTGGACACAGGAGAAATGGCGGTGCTAAATCGAGAGACGGGGCGAGGGCACCGGTGCCGGCTACCATGGTGTGCGGTGAAGTGCAGTGGTGTGCGGTGATGTGCGGTGGTGTGCGCAAGGAGCCAGAGCAGGATATCGGGCGAACCGGTGCAGCGGACAGATGGAGAAGGAGGAGCGGAGCAAACCGAATGGCTGGGGCGGAAAACGTCACCCAACGAAACGCCACCATGCTGACGTCATCGGCAAATCGGCGGACATGAGACGAAATGAGCGCCATGGAAGCGACCAAAGGCTGGATCGCGTCCCGCTCTTGATGATCCGGGCTGCGTCGCTGTATATATATGTATATTGTTTCCCCAAAACCGAGATATTCACCACTCCTCAAGCGTGGAGTGAGCAGGAGAGCACCCGATCGGCCAGGTCCGCTGATCGTCAATGCGCTATAGAAACACGACAAAGAGAACGAAAAAGAACAGGACCACGGCGAACACCTTGAGCATCAGCCAACGGTTGCGACTCAGGTCCTGCCAGTACTTTAGGAGCTCTGTGTGCGCGCCTTCGACATAGCGCTCGGTATCGACAACGTTGTCGTCGATCCGCTGCACCATCTCGCGCTGCTCTGCGAGCACTCGTGCAAAGTGCTGAAAGACCTGGCCCAGCTCGGCAATTGTCGATTCGATCGACTCGATGGCCTGCGCTCGGGACTCGAGGATTTCCATGTTGGCGCCGGTCGAGCGCTGCACCAGCTGCTGGGTCTCGCCAAAGGAGCTGCCAAAGTCGACAATGTGCTCGCCACTGGCGCTTCCGGCGGATACGTCCGTCATCGGGGTCGAGCGCCGCTCGGGAAAGTACAGTGGCGAGTCTGATGGAGGCGGAGTTGCCGCCATCGTGGGGTTCGATGCTGGGCCAAAGGTGAACTGCTCTCGTCGGGACTTTTGGTCCTTCATGTTCTGGGTGCGGATCTCCAAGACCTCCTTGAAGGTATTTGATGTCGACACGAGCTTTGATTGGAGAGATGTGATGACGCGGTTGGAGTGCTCTTCGGTCTGTCAGATTATGGCGTGAGTGTTGCGCAGCGTTAGGGGGCGAGTGGAATACAAAATGGGGACCATGGTCAAGCGAGGCCCGAATCCAGTGCAGTCCAGTGCAGTCCAGTCCAGTCCAGTCCAGTCTAGTGCAGTCCAGTTCAGTCCAGCCGAACAAGCGCTACCGACGGTGCTGCTCCTGGAGCTCCTGCATTGATGCATGAAACGAATCCCAGATCCGGTGGTGATGGACGCCCGGGCGCCCCCTTTAGCATCGACTCCAGACCTCCACACATGGCACATCGTCACAGAGACCCGTCCATCCGCTTGGCACCGTCAGAGCAGCATGTGCACTCGGGGGGTCGCCAACCAATGCCCGCAGCCGGGCGTACCTGCTTATTGTTGGCATGGCCAGGGGTATGCGCGGACTGCTGCAGGAATGCCTGGAGCTGCAGGATCCGCTGGTTGATTTTGACGAGGTCCTGTTTGATGATGTAAACCAGCTCGTTGATCTCGACGGGGCGGTCGTCGAACAGCGACTTGCGCTTTGCGAGCTGGGTCAACTTGTGTAACTTGGCGACGGTGGTGTTGATGTCTTTGCCGATGGCGCTGGCATGGCGGGCAAAGTCGCTCTTGGTGTGGATGGTGGAGACGTGTGCGGCCAGAAGCCGGGCAGAGTCCGGCTGGTGCGAGAGATTCCGCGAGTTGAGCGAGTCGACGGCGGCATGGAACTCGAGCGTCCGGTCCTTGACGGTCATTGTGGCAGGGCTCTGGGCAGGTGCTGTGCAAGGGTTGCTGGCGGTGCTGCAGACGGCAATGTGCTTGTTCTCGGCGACGGACGACGGACGACGGACGACGAATGACGGATGGCGATGATGGCTGCTGGCGATGATGGCTGGCTCGGCGGCCAGAGGTTGCGAGATGAGGCGAGATTGCCAATGCAGCCAGGGCCGGGCAGCCACGAAACGCCGTGCGGCCAGCCACAAGCGGGCTGCCCACGGACCGGCCATATTAAACCCATCTATGCTGCGCCCCGCCAATCAGCGTGCGAATCGGCTCTGCGCCACGCCGACTTTTTTCTTCCTCTCGCTGCCGCCCTCGCTGCTCTCGCCGCGCACAGTGGCCGCTGTCCCAGAGCCGCGGGCGAGGCCGCCAGCGAGACGACCGTGCTCGCCGTCCGTCCCAGCAAAACCGCTTTTGTCGACTGTCCCGCCTGGAGCCGGTCCTTTCCTCTCTCTCTCGTTCCCTACCTTCTGCGGCAGACGTGACTTGATAGCCAGTCTTTCCAACCTTTGCAAAGGAAACAACTCATACACAATGCAAAACGACAAGAAGGAAATCGTCGATCTCTACATCCCCCGCAAGTGGTAAAGTAGCGCTGTGTCTGTGGCCGCGGATCGTCCCGTTGCTGCAGCTGCACACCCCTCCCGATCGGCTCTGGCAACTCGGAACGGCACACAAGCTCGGAGAGACACAGCGGAACCTCGAAGCGCGGAGACATTCGACCCTTGGGCATACCGTGCTTTGTCAAAATCAGGACGGACGGACGGACGGCCACGACCGAGGACGGCTCGATTGTGGGAGAGGCCATGACGACCTGCATCAGCACGCTGAACTGCATGGCACCGCTGCCTGGAGGGCAGGTCTGTCCAGCAACAAGGCACCTGATCTGGCTTCTGGATCGACAGCTGGATTCGAGGGGAACGCCCTTGCGCTGGGCCAAGTACCGAGTTGACGAATGAATGCCCAAGGACAGCGAGCGGGAAGACGCGGCCTTGGTGGGGCTTTTCTGGAAGTGCCAATCTCTCGATACAGCCTTGGCATGATACAACTCGACTATGTGTACCCCTCACCGCGGACCTGCTGCGTCTCGGTGGAGCCTCTTGAGACGGCGTCGATGTCGTCGATACAACTGCCAGAGCCGAGCCCCGGACGGGAGTGCAGCGCCTCTGCAGCGGGACGAGCGACTGGAACGAGAGTTGATGTGTGCTGCTGCTGCCCTCGTGCTGTTGGTCTGACAACCCCCTCCCATTCGTTTGCCTAGCTCCGCCACTGGCCGTCTCATCACCGCCAAGGATCACGCCTCTGTCCAGATCAACATTGCTGAGGTCGATGCCAACGGTGTTGCCACTGGCGAGGTCAAGACCTACGCTCTTTCCGGCTTCGTTCGCTCCCTTGGCGAGTCTGACGACTCTGTCAACCGCCTTGCCACCCAGGATGGTTACCTCAAGAAGTAAGTGCAGGCCCGCAGCCCACCAATTATGCGCCACGCGTTGCTGTAGTGTGTCACTGGAGAGCGCCATTGTTGTGCGATTGTCTGCGATGCACTGGTCAAGTCTCTGTTCTCGAGTGTTACGCTGATCCCACATCCCCTGTCGTTCATCTAGCGTCTGGACCTACTCCCAGTAAGCGGATCCCTCCGCTCTGCTGCTGAGTCATCGGTGTTTGCTCGCATCTCCCGATGCGTGAGCATTGGCGGTGTTGGTCAATAAAGTAGACTCTGTACGATTTCTTGGTCCAAACACACTGGTCTTTCTCCGAGTCATCTGGCCATCGGTGCTTGCGAGCCGCACGGTACTTGTCCCAGCCATCAGCCAGCCAGCAGGCGGCGTCGGTCCTTGAGCACCAGGGACATGTCTGCAGCCATGGCTCGGCCCCCTGCCCTGCAACCACCAACCACCAACCACCAACCACCAACCACCGAATGGAAAATGGAGGCTTGGGCTTTGGTCATCCGATTCATTGTCCGGCCAATCGACGCATCCACCGCCTGATTGGCGATGGCTCTCCTGGCGAGGTGCTTCTTCGCCGCCGTGGCCACCATTGTCCCCAGAGCCGTCGCCCCCACGGACCCTCGCAACAGCCGGCGATACCGACATCGACACCGGCTCTTGCGGTGCTGGGCAGAGGGCAAGGGGATTCGGTGGTCAGACCAGAGCAAAGCCCTACATCTGCAAGGCCAAGGACCAACAGCATTCCCGGAACCCACACCAGGGCTTTGCAGAGCGCCTCTGGTGTCTACGCTGACTCTTGATCCCACCTGGATCCAGATATAGATGCGCCCTATCACCAGATCCCGCCCGGCTGTCGCCGGGGTTGATTCTGAAGACATATTATTCGGAACACAGGTCAAGTGTGGCTACCAGACGGCCAGCTCGGGCCTGCCTTCGACTGCCGGCGGGGCCCGCCAGCGATGCCACAGCACAGCCGGCAGAATCCAGTCACAGAGGCACCTCGTCCACCATCCCGGTCCTGATCTTGACTCGGGCATCTGCCTTGGCCCAGGGCTGCTGCCGCGAGAATCGACCGCCTGTGCGTCTGCATACGAAGTATCAGCAAAGGGCTTCGTCGGAGTCATGCCATCCCAGCCCACCGAAAGCTCGCCGCCAAAGCACAACCCAACCCGAGCCAGGCTCAACGGCCGGCTCTTGGTCAACCCCGGCGCATCCGAGAGGGAGGGGCCCCACTGCTCCGGCGGCGAGATTCCTCCGCCCGTGCTGCCAGAGACGAAGCCAAAGAAGTATTCTTTGCAGAGCACAGGCCGCCGGTCCACCGTCTCGGCCCTGGTTCGGGCCGCCACAGAGAGCCCGTTTCTCACGCCAATGCAGGGCACCGATATCTTTGCTTCGAGCCCGCCTGCTGCCGCTTCCACCACCACAATCGCAGAGGGGCCCTCGACATCGTCAACCAACCCACGGCGCCGCTCCAGCGGGCCCAGCGGCAGCACCCAGCCGGGCGGCAATCGCAGTGCCTCGCCCAAGAGCAGTCCTCGCAATGCCGCTTTGCCCTCGGCGCACTCGCTCTCCAAGACCAGCCAGCCGGGGTCCTGCAACTTGCTGCTCCAGTCCAGCTCCATTTCTTTGGGCGTCTCGAGCCGTCCCCCGTCCTCGTCTTTCCTCGAGGCTTCGTGCTCCACCAGACTCATCCGGCTCAGCAAACGCCCAAGCAATACTCGCCAAGTGCTGCTCAAAAAATCAAAGTCTGTTCTGGGTCTCTCGCGCATCACCAACGGTGATCTGGCCGGGGGCTCCAAGCCGGGGTCCAAGCGGGATTCGGGCGTTTCCTTTGATGTCAAGAAACCGTGGGCCAGTCTCGCCAACGTCCGGTCCCTTTCTTCAGATCCCATCGGCGGCCACTCTCACGATACCATTCTGACGCCCCTGATGATCTTTTCCAAGCCCATTCCTCCCACGCCAATATCAAAGCGTGGTAAGTGATACCCGCCAGGGTCAGGGTGTATTCCCCGCGGTTGGTCGTCGTGGACCAACTAACCACATGCCGGACCAACCTCTATCTGCAGTCGCTCTGCAACTCCAGATTGAAGGCGATACCGATAATGTGGCATCCATCAAGGTTCGGAGACGACTGCTGCAGACAACTACAGCCACTGGGCTTGTTGGCTGCTTCTCTTGGAGCCGTTCTGTTTCGCAGAGCCGCTGATGCACTGGATCATCCCGGCTGACCGCTGTCTCTCCGTGCTGTACTCTTGTTGGCACCAGAATCAGCAACTCTTGCGGAAACGACTGCGCGACCACGGTAGGTCAACGTCTGTTGGTTTCGATCGACTCGATAGAAGCCCATTCAGCCCGAGAGGGCTTTCGAGCGACTGCCGAACTGGTGCAGCCGTGGCCACTGTGTCGTATTGTGCTGGCTGTCCTTGTCGGGAATATGTATGTCGTTCTCACCACGCTCGAATACCAGCCCGATCATGCTTCGTGACAACTAAACCCTGGTGATGTGGTTAAACGACGACCCTTTCCCGCCACACGACCTGCACGTTTTCTTGGACTGTCATCGCTCGCCCCCCCCCTCACGGATCGGCTCCAACTGCGTGCATCAGCCGCCAGGCTCGAGCGCGAACAGTCGGAGCAGGTCCATGAATCCCAGAAAACATATGAAAAGGCCATGCGCGAAGTTGTTCAGCACGAACGTCTCCAGAAGCGGGCGCAAATCGTATTCCTCAACCGGATTCTTTCCGTGATCGCTGCAAAGGGATTTGAGGCCTTCGTTGCATCCAAGCGCCGCGACAGGGAGCGGGCGAATGCTCTCGAGTCGATTCGGCCGTCATTCAGTTCCATTGGAGTCCAAGGAGGCGAGACACCAGCAGATCCACCAAGACCTCCGTGGCATGGAGAGCGTGCTGGCTCGAGCACCGGCCCGAGGCCCCGGAAGTCTGCCCCTGATGAGACCAGCATGCCAAAGCAGCCCGGGCTACACCCGACAGCGTCGGCAGGGCTCGGTGCAGCTCCCGCCCTGGATGTCTCCAAATCAACAGCTGACGATGCAGCTGACGACGCCCGGAACGTGCGGTATGGCGACTATGTCAGCATGCTCGTGGCCGGGATGGCGTCCGAGAAGTCGTCTTCGGCAGCACAGTCGAGAGATACCCTTGGCGTCTGAGTCCAGGCGAAAGCGGAAACGAGGAAGCTCTCTTTGTTCCCAACGGCTGGTGATAGAATTGCGGTCGTCATGTTGGCCGATTCTGCTCGCTCAGCCGTGTTGCCGGGACATCGGAATGTCTGGCTTTGAATGATCGCTCCTCCTTACTTTAATGCAGTCAATACCGCCAGTGCAGTCAATACCGCCAGTGCAGTCAATACCACCAGTGCAGTCGGTACCGCCAGTGCAGTCAACACTGTCGCTGCAACTGGGATAGCACATTGCGCTCTGCCGCTCGCACGCTGCGTCGCCCGGAGCCTTCTGGCGGTCTCGGTTGTTTGTCGACCATGCGCCGCTCGGCTTCCTGCTTCCTTTGGCGCCTTTTCCTCCATGATCATGCATCGGCGACGCGGGCGCCGGTGGGAACTGGCTTGCTTGTTGCTTCTGGTCCAAGCAGTTTCCCGCCACCCGCGGAAGCAGCGTGCGGAAGCAGCGTGCGGAGGCAGCATGCGGAGGCCACCGAGATATCCTCGGGCTCCACTGTTCGCAGCCGCCCTTCGCCCTGGTGGGAATAAATACCGAGACTCATCTCCAGTTTCCGACCTTTGCGCCCGTGCCCGTTCTGGCGAGGCCGCTTGCCTGCTGCATTTCACCATCGATGCATCTGACGACATCAGCCAGTGGCACCACTTCCTCCTTTCCTCGGTTTGCCACTGCCTCCAAGTGTCTCTGTCGCTCACATCAGCATCAATATTCTCTGTGACTGCTGTCTTTGCTCGCTCATCTTGTGCCATCGAGCTGCTTTCTGCCGCAGGGACGCCCTCGATGCCTCCCCGACCATCGCCGCTGCCTTTCCAAGACCAGCCCCAGCCCCAGCCCCGGCCGGACAGGGCTCAACTCACCGGCCCAGATGAGGCTCTTCCATCTGTCACCCAGAATCATCTCCCGAGTACCCAAGCACACGCAGCAACTTCCTCAAGTCCACACCTCCCAACCGCCACTCATCGACGAATCATCCGCCCTTGGGGCACACCCGCTGCCCGTACATTCCATCTGTCCCCGACGATCCATTCCCAAGGCCTTCCCACAAGCTCTGTCACCCGAGGGGGGCTCTCGCTATCAATCTCCTCAGAAACTAGTGCGCCTTCACATTCTGCACACCACAAATCCTCGGGACACCCAAGCCCCGTCGCCACCCATCAGGTCCCCATGATCCCCCAGCACGACTCGGCCGCATATTCGCCCGGCGTCATTCCCACGTTCCTGGTGCCGCTCATCATCGCCGTGGTCGCTCTTATGGCCTGCATATGTTTCCACTATCTCCGACGCATCCACCGGGGCGATGTTGATGTTGGCCGCTACAAGCCCTCGGCTCCACCCGCCGTTGTTCACATCAGCCCGCCGCAATTAGACGAGTACCACCAATCCGTCGCCGGTCTGCAGCGACAGGGACCTGTTCCGAAATCGCCCGTCTCTCGACCAGAGCCTGTCGCAAACATCGAGACAACTCGAGCCGTAAACCCGTGCCTGAAGCTGAGCCGGGCTGGGACAGAACCTGTCCGCGGTTCCTCCGAGAACCAGGTCAAGTTCATGCTGCCTCCAACATCGACACTCACCCGCCGCCCGCCAGCTATCCCACTCCCGCCTCGACCATCCTCGCCTTGTTCTGTGAGCACATCACCTCCTTGCTCACCGGTGCTCACTTCGGCGGCACGAGTATCAGCCGAACCCATCTCCAAACGCCTGACCTATCCTCTCAGCACTCCCGAGTACAAGACTTCCGCACTGCACAGCTCGTCGCTACTGGGATCAAAGGAAGCTGCAGATATCGTCCGATTCTACGAGGATATTCCGTCTCTTTCTTCCAGGCACCCAAGCCAGCGCTACACTCGCCACTCTTCAATGATGTCAACTCTGTCTGCAGATGACACTGAGCCTGGCCATCAAAGTTGGGGGACCTCCAAGTTCCGCTCCCAGCCTCCGTTTCCGTCTCTCACTCTTCCGTCGCTTGGACGAGCCAGAATCTCGCGTCCGCTCACGCATTATCATTCGCTGCCTCATCTTCCGTCAGTCTTGTATGACTCGGAAACTGGGCTCCTAAACGAGCTCGAGCGCATCATTACGACTTTCAGCCAGAGCACAGAAGCGAGAACGCTGCGCTCATTTGGCACCCTGGACTCGGAGGAAATGAGGCGGCACTCAGGCGCGGCCGACTCATGCTGCTCCTCACACCTCGAGGTCCGCACCCAAAAGTCGTCAAGGTTCCTCTCGGAGCTCTATGAAGATCTGCGCAATACTCTCAGTGCAGACGAACAGCGCGAAACTCTTGTCCAGACAAACCCGGATTGGAGACAAGTCTCGGTCCGAGCTGATTCAGTTGATATGCAGTCGATCAAATCGAACGCCGGTCACCTCACCGAGGGTAGCGATGGCTAAGGGTCCGCGAAATCCCCGCGGTAGGCTCTATTCGCTGGCCAAGCTCACTCTACAGCCTCATAAGGATATGCAGTTCTCTGCCGACTGCTCGCCGTTCATCCGCGAGACACATGGACCATCCTATTTTTGGAACAATCGCCGTTATATTCAAGTGAATTTCATCTGTGTTTCCTCGTTCCTGCAGTTGTAGCATGCCATTGTCGTTGAGTGTCCGTGAGCAATTGCCATGGACTGTCGGAAGGGCTAGATCAGAACGGTCTCGGACACGCCCGTATGTGTATTCAGAAAGCGACTTGTTGCTTGAAACAGAGAGTGCTTCTTCATTTTGTGAACGGGCTCTATCTCGGCCCTGCGAGGATGCGGGCCAGGCAAAGCTGCGTGCTTACACCTGTAGCTCTGCCGATCGCTGCGGTGTCAAGGTTTGAGACACTAGCGTTTGTGAAGCAATCGTCGGAGCGGCGAGTGCCTGTGATGCAAGCGACTGAGACGCAATTGTCTGTGATGTCCGCGGCTTGGGTGCGAGTCCCTGTGATGCCAGAGTCTGTGACGTCTCCGCAGATGGAATATACATCTTCTTCATGTAACGCTCCATGCTCGGCAGCTGAGAAAAGTGCTTCTTTGCGGCCATGTGCTTTCCAGACACCTTTCGGACAAACTCCTCGCTGTAGAGGTCCTCGGGATTGTTTTGAGTCTCGTGGTTGCTTGCCTCTGTCTTGGTGAGTAGGATGCAGTTCCAGGGCGACAGCTCGATCCGTGGGTTCCACCGTGTGATACACAGGTCGTCCATGTTCTTGGACCCGCTGACAGCACTCTGCTTGTTCCAGATGGTGTCGACCAAGTACCGGAGATCTGATTCTTGCAGCAGCGACATGGCGTTGTAGTGGGCATCCTCAGGCATTCCGGTGATCCGGCGCTTCTCGAGCTCCCGTGTCTTGGCGTATTTGAGCATCTCGGTATAGGTCGAATCGTCGTTGCGAGTGGTGGCGATGTTGGAGTTGAGGGTGCATGCCTTGCATTTGCCCAGGTGCTTCATGGTTGTCGAGAGGTAGAATGCAGTCGAGGGCAGGTACCGAGTACATCCTCGACAATAGTACACCGACTGGTCTCGCTTCCATGCCTGGTTCGATTCCGGATACTAGATATCGGGCAAATGGCGGATGAGCGGATCCGCGGAGAAGTGGATATGGATCGGGTACGACTGATCGAGATGGATGTGTCGCGCCCAACCGGACCGGCCGTGGCCTACCTGTTGATGTGCCAGCGCCTCCGGGTTGAACTCGGGGGTCTGGATGAACTGTAAAAACAGATTCCCGATTCGTTTCCGCAGCCCTACAGAGCATTCTCGGTCAGCCATGCTCTGTGTATTAGAGTGTTCAGCTGGTGTCGATGGTGGCTTACCTTCGAGACTGCGGGCATCTCTACCGCGGCTGACCAAGTCACCCTCTCGGTCGATCAGATCCACGATTTCCCTGGTGAGATTACAGTCAAATTCCTGCAGAGCATGGGGGCATTTGTATCAGTATGCACATGATGTCTTCCACTGAAGTCACTTGATGTGAGCAACTTTTGGTGTCGGATACTGGAGTAGGCAACTCCCTCATTGTTTCGTTGTTCCATTGTGATTTCGAGAGGCCATAGCATTGCCGAAAGGCCATCACACTGCAGTTTATTGTCGCTTTGCTCCCTGTCATGCGCTTTCTCTTACCTTGACGGTGTACTTGACATGGAGCAAGATCTGCAGGCGCTCGTCCACCGACAGCAGCGGAATGTTCAGCGCATGAAACAGATCACGCAGCTCTCGGGCACGCAGTGTGTTTGGCGTGTCAACGAGACAGACGGTGTTTTTGGCCGCGGGCCAGCGCTTTGGGCTTGCCATCTGGCGTGATCAGGCCGAGCAGTCGTTTAGTCGGACTGGACGCTGCTCGTCATCGAACCGCTGTGGCTATGATCTTGCTTGGACTGCACAAACCTGGTCGAGCAGACGAATAACCGCGCGCTCGCGGTTTTCTTCGGAGGCTGCAATCTTGAGGCGATCGATTTTCTGGATGAGCGCTGCTTCTTGATCCAGGAGCTCGGCCAGGGCAGCGAGCCGAGCGGGATCTGAATACCCAGACCGGTTGATTTTGCTTGATTCCTGTATCCGCCAGTCTTGCGATCCGAGCGGTCACATTGCGGATCAGCCAACAGCCCATGGCGTCCCAGCGCGCATATGCATTGGCACACTGTCCTCGATATCGATCAAGCTCAGCGCCGAGTACAGGACCCAGAGCCCAGAACCCAGTGTCCACCTTCTCGAGCTTTCGAAGCTTACTTTCGAGTCCATTGTATAAAACCTCGAAATCCTTGTTGGATTTCGGGTGGATGCGAGACTCCATTTCCTTCTGGCGCTTCCGTTCTATCAACAGCCTGCGCCGTTCTTCCCTCTATGTCGACATAGCGAAGATGAGCGAGAACTCTCAGTGGCCTAGATATGCCGTCTTGGACAACGTACCGGAGCCACTAGAGCACATGTGCTTGCGCAAGGTGCATGTCGCCGCACTTACCGCCGCCATGGCTTCCATCCGCTCATGATGTTCCTTTCTGAGACGCTTGATTAGCCGCATGGCATAGCAGCGCCGCACAAAGCACTGAATTCTGATCACGTTCTTTACAATCATCTTGTGGTGCTCCTCGGCCGTGACGTATCTCCTCGGCCGACAAAAGTAGTCGCTTTCGCTCGATATAAACACTCCGGGTCGTTCCTGGATGGAGATAGTGTGAAATAGCCCGGCTTTAGAACAGACTGGGGTCACTGTCATTGCCCATCCAACCGGTCTGCGCTGCTGTGGCTCATCAACTCATCACACGACACCGTCGGATGTAGCAAATCATGAAAACGGTTTGCACCCAACCATTTGAGTAAACGAGTCAACTCGGCACTGGGAAAACCGGTGGTGGATAAACTTGGTCTGTGTGTCGCGGTGGAACTTGAGGATATTGAGCTGTCGGTGGTGGCAAGGATCCAAAGGGGCCAGAGTCAGATTTGACTTGTCACAGCAGCTATTTCTCTGTTGTCTCACTCCACCTGCCGTTTCTCTGCACCGCTGTTCCCGAGCCCAGGGCACATTGTGGCCCGCCCTGCTTCTGGACGCTCGGTACCGACCGCTGCCCGTTTCTCCTGCGGCGTGGTGGTCTGGGTGGTTCCGTGAAAGTATTCTGTTCCGGTTGCCGTATTGCGATATCCACCCATGTATTTCTTTCGATACCACAGATTCAGGTTGGACTTGATATCGTTGGGTCCCAGCGCCACGGATCCTGAGGGGCATCAGGCAGAGGAGTGAGAACAGTCACACAGCCAGAGCGACGCTCATGCGTTTCAGTCCGAAGATTTACAGCTGCCGATGCGAGCGATTCTCGACGTACCGACATCCGGGTGATCGCCCGGCGGGTCGTTTGGCTTCGTCGCTTCATTCGCTTGACTCTGTGCATCTGGACCTTGTGCCGGATGGAGGTCGACTGGGACAGTATAAGTTGCTCCGTCGCCTGCAGAGGCATCGGTCACCACAGAGCTTTCAGCGATGGGCTGCTCTGTTTGACTCGCGCCGCTTGCATCGAGCATCTCGGCGTTGGCGCCGGGACGAGGGGTGGTTGGTGGTGCAGGTGCAAAGTCGGCCATCAAGGTCGGGCTTTCAGTGGGCCGGGGTGCAATCGTGTCGAGTGGGTCTGAGCCAGCGTTCTCCAGCACCTCAGCTTCCTCCCCTTCCTCTTCCACGACGCTGATTTGGTTGATGATAATTCCATCCCCGGCCGACTGCGACTCATATGTCTCCATTGGGCCATTGTTATCACTGGCGGTAGTGGGCTCCTCGCGATCCATCGTTGTTGCCGGATTTTCGCCTGAAGGATCAGCCTCGCGTTCGTCCGGAATAGCCTCTGACTCGACGGGAGGCTCATCGAGTGATTCTGTCGGGGCTGTGTCTGGGTCTCCATCCATTGTGACTGACCGCTCAAGAGACTAGCGCGTGAGAAAGACGTATGTCGGTGGTCGATGGCGACAATGTGTCGCTGAAGATATGTAGTTGTGTCGACTCTGCCGCAACGACTGCGATTGATGAGGGGAAGGGGCCAAGGGATACAGAAGCGCCGTTTTTGTAGAGCACGAGGATGCCTCACTGTTGGCCGATTCTCCCGATCCAGCACGCTGCATATGTGCTACTTTTGTTGCTGATCGGACTGTGCTGGGTTGATTGGGCATGCTTTGCGATTCCCACCGGATGATTGTCGAGTCTGGAGGGGGGAAATCGAGGTCTGTTCTGCTCCTGAACATGGCTTGCTGATGCTGGAGGTCGGTCTTTGATAACTACATGCGCATACAGGAACTCTGCGCTCGATTTGCATACTCGTACATTCGACACAGACTGCAGTGTATTTGGGAGACTGAGATCAGGAGGCTCGGTCAGGCGACTGGGAAATGGCGCCAAGTGCTCTGCTTGAGTGTCGCGGCAGCGAGCACCCATAGGTGCAGCCCAGAGCAGCATCCAAGACTGCGTCGGATACCAGCAAACACCCCTCTCCGCGAGATAAGCGGCACCGCCAATGGCCATGTTCAACATCCAGTCGAAGCTGGTAGGGCAGTCGACTGTGCTTGCCGACAGCATTCCTGCTCCGATCGACCGACACGACTCATGACCTTGCTTATCATCACCACTGTGCAGCAAAGACTCAAGGGCGGCCACCAAACGCTTATGGACCGGCTTTTCGTTATCAAATCCGCCGATCTGGTCGAGGTCGAGCGTCCTCGGATCGGATACAGAAGAACCCTTACCTGCTTTGATCTCGTCCTGCTCGGCGTCGGCGGCATCATCGGTGCCGGCATCTTCATCATCACCGGCAGGGCCGCGCACGATCTCGCGGGCCCGAGCATCGTGATTTCGTTTCTAATCTCGGGTGAGTGTTCGTGTGGGCAAGCTGCTGCGTTCGGGCGCTGGTGGTCCGTTGATGCATGGTTGGCACCGCCGCATCGGTCGGTGGACGTGTTCCCACGGTTCTGGTACCTGACTGCAGAGACCCGCCCCGGCTCTTGTGCCGAAACTGATCGTCCATTGCATTTCACCGATGCATGTGCCTCGGTGCCGCGCGATGCTCTGTCGCTGCACCACAGGGTTCGTCTGTGCCCTGGCCGCAATCTGCTACGCCGAGCTCGCATCCATGATCCCGCTCTCGGGCTCGGCATACACTTACACATACAGCACTATGGGCGAGATCGTCGCCTGGATCATCGGATGGGACCTGATCCTCGAGTACCTCGTTGGCGCTGCAGCTGTAGCCTCGGCCTGGTCCAACTACTTTGTCTCGTTTGTGCATGATGCCAGCGGGCGATCCGACATCTTTGATCCCCGCCTCGTCAATGCCCCGGTGCAGTGGATCAACAACCCCGTTCCTGGATTCTATCCGGTCGTTGTGGTTCTTCCGGACGGCTCGCAGGCGAATGCCATTGTGAATCTCCCTGCTGCCTTAATCTCGCTGTTGATCATGTCGGTGGTGGCCGCGGGAATCCGTCAGTCCTCAACGACGCTGAACATCATCGTTGTGCTCAAGTTTGTGTGCATTCTCATCTTCATCGGCACCGGCCTGTCGTATATCCAGCCGGCGAACTACACCCCGTTCATTCCACCATACGACCCCACTACCGAAGCATACGGCATGGCGGGTATGTTCAAGGCCAGTCTTCAAGTGTTTTACGCATATCTCGGCTTCGACGTCGTCTCGGCGACGGCACAAGAGGCTCGATTTCCCAAGCGCGATGTGGTGAGTCGATCGAGGAATGCATCCGGAGACGAGGCTTGCATAGAGTGCTCTATTGTCGATCTTGGAGCAGTCGGCTCTGGATTCGCTGTCTCATCTCGTCCATCGCTCCAGCCCATCGGCATCATAGGCTCGCTCTCGATCTGCACCCTTCTGTACATATCGGTGTCGGTTGTCTTGACCGGCATCCTCCCGTACCAGCAGATCCCCACGGATGCCCCCGTAGCCAACGCCATGCGCATCGTCGGTGCACCGGCCCTGGTCCCCGTCATCATCGAGTTTGGTGCTGTCGTTGGACTCGCCTCGGTGATGCTTGTCGCCATGATCGGCCAGCCTCGCATTTTCCAAACGATGGCCCAGGACGGCCTGCTGCCGGAGTTTCTCGCCAAGATCCACCCGCGCACTCGGACACCGCTGCCTGCCGTTATCTTGAGCGGGATGCTCTGTGCTGTCCTTGGCTCGGTATTCCCGGTGGGCTTACTGGCCGATCTGACCTCGGTCGGCACCCTGCTTGCATTTATACTGGTGTCGCTCTCGGTATGGATTCTGCGCTGGCGCCAGCCCGAGCGAGAGCGGCGATTCCAGATCCCTGGAGGATTCTGGATTGGAGGCAACCTGGTTCCCTTGCTCAGCGCAACGACATCGGCTGCCCTGATCTGGATGGGCGGAAACATTGCAATCACTCTCAGGGTGATCATATGGCTGCTTATTGGCTTGCTCGGGGTTTACTTCCCCTATGGCATTTGGAACTCGAGAAATCGGTATCCTCTGGTGCCGGAGAAAGTGAACGAAAACTCGCAGTCCAATAGCAATTCCTCCGACAGCCATGAGCCGCTTGTTATTGATGAGCATGAGGCAGAGCCCGCAAATTGAAGCGGAGTGCTCTCCTCCGAAGCCAGATGCTGCTACTTTCGGAGTCCCGGATGCACACTCGAAAATACACACATGGTGCATCCATTCCATCCGCGATCATGGCTTTCTGTGGCATTATCGCAGAGGGTCCGTGACATGGGCCGTGGAAACGGCGGCAGTGACGATGAACCGAGCCGTTGCCACTGACCAGCATTGCCCGAATATCTGCGCCATGTGGGAACCAACTCGTATGCACTTGCGAGTCCCAAGAGCCGCGATCGGACTGTACCGTCGATTCATTCATTCATCATCACAAAGCGGCTCCAGAACCCAATGCGTGTTCAGCTATTCAAACTGCAGAGTTGACGGAAAGCTTGGAATGTCCACGATCGAGCTTCGGTCTCTCTTCGACCGACGAGCCCCGCTCAGTTTCTCCTTGGCGCCAATCCGGCGAAACTGCCGAGTCCCGCTCAGCATCGACGGTGGAGGCGGTGGTGGTGCTTCGGGTCTCAGGGGATGCGGATTGACGGACCGACCAACGACCATCCTGCCCGCCGACCAGGCAGGAAAGCTTGTCGCTGTCGCAAGACTGTGCTGCACCTTGGTGCTGCTGGCAATACGAAGAACGCTCGGAGCCACAAAGAGGTCGAGGTGCGATGATTTGGTGTACGGATCGGTGGTCGGGATCGACTCAATGTCGGTGCGAGCTTGGCTCGCCTCCCTGGCCTTGAGCAAGTTGCCGTTTGGAGCCAGTCGACTCGGCACCGACAACATGGGCTTGGAGCATGACAGGTCATCGAGACTCAGCGAAGCATCCCGGAGTGCTGCTGGCTCGGCTGGAGAGTCGTCCCGTGTTGATTCGCTGAGACAGTCTCGCAGGCTCAGCGAAACCATGTCCGAAAGTGCAATTTCGGGCTCGGAGGGATCCGGCGCTTGGTGTGCGGCAAGTATCAGCTCCTCGAGGCTGAGGCCACTCTCGTACGTACACAGCGACGAATAGTTGCCGTCATAATGGTTATAATGGGGATTGTGCCCATCTCGGCCATCGCAGTCATCGTGATCGTCGCTCCTCATCGAGATATCCTGGGGCACGGAGTCGGCTGCCTTTGTCTGATACTTGTTCTGACTGATGCGCTTGGCGGGTTCGGTGCTTTCCCTGAGCATCGATTGGCTGGCTCGCAACTTGGACTGGGCTCGTGTTTTCTTCAGTACGCCCCTCAAATACTGGCTGCTCGAGAGGGGAGTTGAGCTGAGCGAGGTCGCCGATGATGCCGAAAGGCTCGAGATCGACGAGTTGAGCAATGTTGAAGACGAAGACGTGCTCAAGCTCGAGAACGAAGACTGCTGGCTGAGGCTTGCTTTGGAGCCAATGCCAACCGCCTTGGGACCGCGGACCGGCAGCGGCGGTGAGAACTTTGTCATCTTCACAGGGCTTTCGACGGGGACACGCGAGGAAGTGGTTTGCTTCTTGGTGCGGAGAGCACGTTGCATCATGCCAGCCATGTCGACCTCCAGAAGTTGGTCTTTGACAGATGGATACGAGAGCGGCGGCAGCGGCAGCTTGCGAAGGATCATCAAGTTTGTGGCTGGATCGAGCTGCGAGCTCGTGATCCATTGGTGGAGCAGGCGGTCGTAGTAGTGCAGCGAGTGCAGGTATTGGTGATACTTCTGTGATTCTGACGACGGAAACAGGCGCTCGAAGCTGCCGCTGCGATAAAACTGAGAGGCATTTTCCGTCACCCCATGCAGATAAAATACACCCCCCCCCAAAGCTCCATAGAAGCTCCCCCGTACTGCTTCTTCGCAGCGACCGACACACATCCGAACATGAGTGCAAACCCAGGCCTAGGTCTCTCTACTTGGCTTCTTACCTCGTTCTCAGTCTCTCGCAAGATCCGAAAGTCGTCCTCGGTAAGGGTCGCCAGGCAGTTGGCCTTGTCCATTGCTGTATGGTACTTGTGCTTCAAGCGCTCCTGTGTCGTCAAGTTTGGCTTACGCCACTGCGAGGCCCTGCTTTGGCCAAATCATCAACGGCGCCCAAGAAGCCCGATCGAATCAGCCATTGCCATCGCATTAATCTCTGGCTGTGAATTTACCCACCTTTTGTTACCATTCTGGGAATCTCGGCACATTTCCAGGTCCTTGAGCCGGAATCCAACGAGGTTGAACAGATCTTGGACGAGTCTGGATTTGATATCTTCGTCCAGGGGACACGAGGCCTTGAGAGATGGCGAGATGTTGACTTCCATCAACCACGGCCTCAAGTTCATGTCGAGAAGAACATCGAACCCCAGGAGCTCGTACGCACTGGTTCTGAAGTCGTTTGGCGATGTTGTTGAGCATGCATCGAGATGACAGGACAGCATCACATCCGAGCATGTCATTCAATGGGTTACCGCCATATGCCACCAATGCTAGCATCATCCATTGGCTTGGCGAGTCGATGCAATCACGATTGTGCCACGGCTAGGAGCGACCTTTTGGATGGCTAGATCGCGAGCACATGCAGTTCCCCTCGTTTGTGCAGATACCACCGTGCTTACCGGTTGGGTACATAGAGCCGGACACCGCTTGCGTTTGCCGAATATGCACTGATAACCGTCTTCACAACTAGATCTTTGATGGAGGCAAAAACAAGGCTGTAGTTGATCCCGATCTTTGTAAAGTATTCTTTGAGCAGCTCCAGGCTCCTGGTATGACAGCGGTCAGAGAACCAGGCGATTAGGGTGGCTGTGACTTGCCTCGCATTGAAACCATCTGGGTATGAAGCAGCAGACAGGCAGACAGGCAGACAGGCAGACAGGCAGACAGGCAGACAGGCAGACAGGCAGACAGGCAGACAGGCAGACAGGCAGACAGGCAGACAAGGCGACATTTACCACTTGTTTGTGGCAGTGCTGAACTTTGGATCGCCCGCTAGCGGATGGGGCTGCGCTTCCGCGGTAGTTCCCTTCTGAGACTTATTTTTCTTGTTGACGCTGTAGTTGGTCAAGTGTATGAATTTGTTTTTGACAACCTTGCTGCTGGTGCTATACTGGTATCTGCGCATTGGAAATGTGATCGGGTAGAGAGTAAGCCGTCAACAGTCGCTCTAGATCGCAGCAAGCGGCGACTGGATCCCGATATACTCACGGCTCGCTTGCAAAGCGGACAATGCCCTCGCGGTAGATGTATAGCCGAAGCGGCTCGAAGCTGGTGATCAGGACATAGATGCGCAAGTCAAACTTTTTCTTGTCGATCAAGAATGGCTCGCGTATATACCTGCATCGGAGAATGGGTCAATTCGCTTCGTTTCAAACGGCCGTTCGGGCCCGGGAAACTCGAAGGCAATAGGACTGCAGAAGCGGTACCGCAGTCACCATGGGAAGGCCTCTGTCTCTGCGAAACCTATGACTTTGGCTTACCTCGACACCACCAACTCCTTCTTCTTTGGAACGTCGGACCACTTGTTGACCAAACGGATTCCGTTTCCTCGTGCAGATGCTGGGGGCTTGATGATCCACACGGGGTGGTGGTCAAACACACGTTTTAGCTTGCGCCGCTGCTGGGGTAAGATGAATGTCTCTGGCAGAAAATCAAAATCCTGGGTCGCGAGTCAAGGATTGGAACATGGTTGTTATGCAGAGCTCTGCCTTTCGTTTCCGTGCCAGTTGTATTTTGCGGGCCAGGTGTCGGGCAGGACTCCCACAGGTGGTGAAGTGACAGGCAAGTCTGGCATCATCAGCACCCCCACCATGACATACCAAGGCGCCGTATCGCTGTTTCAGCCGGGTGAGGTTGGCGTAAAGCTTGTCCTTGCGACCGATCTCAAAAGTCATCGGAAAGTGGTTCACCTGCGGCGCAACATCCGTTCAGCCCAACCCAGCAATTTTCTTTGCACTTGCGACTGAGCCAAGCTTATAGCTGCCAGAGCTAGATCAGCAACAGACATCACACAGCGAACTTACCTTTTGCCAAGGCTGGACCAAATGAAACTTGTCCGCAGAAATGTGTTTGCCCCAGTAGCCAACCCAGGTTTTGCCTCCTCGAACAAGCTTGAAGCCAGTATGCCGCAGAATGTCTGTGCAGGAGTAGCAAGGTGTTCGTCAGGCCACATTGCACTGTCACTTGATATGTCGGCACCGACCCCTGTAGCTGCATATAAAAGCAGCGAGCCGACTGATCCATTTGGTGCTTTTCAACATCATCCCAAGAGATTGTCTCGCTCCACAGAGCCTCGGTTAACGCTCTCAGTCATCACCAACGGCTACAGGGGCATGTGCAAACTCCTCCCATACTTCGAACCACCCGCGGCGTGTACTTGGATATCTTCCACTTCATGATTTCCTTGATGCTGCCCGGCAGGGGAGAGACTGCGGAGTATAGTCGCCGCCAGTGAGTTCAAACGCTTGATAGAGTCGATCAGGTACTTCTCTGATATGGCCGTGTGCGGCTCGTACATACCCGTCTCGTCGGCTTTGGGAAAGTACAGTACATTCTCTCCATCGGCAAAGAGACTGAGGGAGATGGCGGGTCGGACTATTTCGTTGTCGGGCTGATACGACGGTCCAACGGGTTCGGCGGGAGGCTGCTTCAAAGGCTTCTTCTGAGCTGTTCCGCCCTCCCGGATGGTCGGTCGGTCGTGGTGTACTTGCCGGACCTCTTCGTCACTATAGCTCTCTTCGTCGTCATCAAAGTCGCTGCAGGACTCTTCCTCTTCATCCAGATTACCTCCATCCTCCGAACCGTCGTCCGAGTCGCAGGGCGATGCAGCTCCGTTGTCAGACTCAGAGCTGCACTCGGAGCCATCGCCATTTTCATTGTGAGGGACTTGAGACTCGTCGATCCATCGCAGAGTACCAGCTGGGTTTTCACTGTCTTCCGGAGAACTCACGCTCGACATCAGTAGGACTGACTCTGCTCGGCCTCCACCAGGCTGGGTGGAAATCCTGGCGGTCAGCCCCGGAGTCCCTACTGGATAGGCAGGCTTGAAGAAAACCTCGGGCTCCTCTGGCTTCTTGGGGCGCTTGACTGTCGTGGGTTTGCACTTGACATCCTGTCTGGGCCTCGCAACGGCCTCGGCGGAGGATTTCTGATTCGCAACGGTTGTACCCGAGCCAGACTTGGATTTTGGACCGCCTGCCAAGGGCGCTACAGGTCTTTTCATACTATATCCGCCCAACCTGGGATATGGCTTGCGTTGGTGCTGGCTGGAACTGAGGACACCATAGAGGCGTCGATCCCACGGCCCCTGGGCGGAAGCTGCTGCTGCTCATCGATGAGCACGGCCGCCGCTAGTTAGTGACGTCGGCTGTGAATCACTCGACTATTGAATCCCCCATAGGAGCACCACGGCTGCTTCATAGCACAATGCACGCATCCGAGCAGTGTGGGTCAGTGGCAACGGCTCGGTTCATCGTCACTGCCGCCGTTTCCACGGCCCATGTCACGGACCCGCTGCGAGAATGCCACAGAAAGCCATGATCGCGGATGGAATGGATGCACCATGTGTGTATTTTCGAGTGTGCATCCGGGACTCCGAAAGTGGCAGCATCTGGCTTCAGAGGAGAGCACTCCGCTTCAATTTGCGGGTTCTCAGGCCGGAGCCAATACAGCCATCGATGGCGGGTCGCTGCGCTTTTGGCTCCCGATTCTTCCTCCCAGCCGCTCGCTTGGCTTCTCTCCTTCTCCAGCCCAAGAGTCCCCAAGACCTCACCGTTGCCCAGGGCCACCTTCCGGCAGGCTTTCCGATAGCCGCCACTCTTCAGCAGCCGCATTCGCCGTCTCTGAGCCAATCGCGCAGCCAGCTTGAATGACTTCCGATCTAGAAGGATTTGAGGCGTGGATCCTGCCGCACATCTCGAGGGTCATCAACCTCACATGTCGGCCATGCCATTCCGGCGACGATGGCGCCGATCATGTCGACAAAGGTGCCGGAATCTTTGCACCAAAATCCAGTCTGTCGTCACTCCCTCTGGGCCCCAACAACCGTCTCGTGAACGTGCCCAGCCAGCTGTTGTTGAATGCCTCCAAGGTCCATAAGATTGCCAACTTTGACTCGCCGCTTGCCGCGGCGTTTCTGCAGTGTCTCGAGTCGATCCGGCTCGCACCCGAGGCTGGGCTTGACGAACGCAAGACGTTGATGGTATTTCTGCTGTGGATCAAGTTCAAGGTGGCCAAGCACGCCGCGGGACTTGTTCCGCCCGATCCCTCGAATCCGTCCTTCTGGGTGCCGTACGTTCGCATCCTCCCCGAGCGACTCTACACCCCGGTGATGTTTGAGCATTCGTCTCGCGAGATGCAGTTGCTCACCGGAACTGGCCTGGACGGCGCTGTGGCTGCGAAACTTGCCAAGCTCCACCGGGAGTTCCAGGTGCTCCAGCCGCATCTGCGAGTGCTCTTTGGCAAGTCTGCGGCGACCGATAGCGATCAAGACGACAGCGATGACGATCTGACCTTTGACGCCTACTGCTGGGCCGACGGCATCTTCTGGTCGCGAGTGATCTCGTTCCGATCGTTCGATGCTATGGCTGGGACAGCCACCGCTCCACCAGGCACCGACGACTGCCACCTTGTCCCCTTCATCGACCTCTGCAACCACTCGTTTGAGCCCAAGTTGCGTTGGAACATCGAAAAAGATCGGTCGATCTCGCTTGTCACCTATGATGCCGCTGCGGACGAGGCCGGGTCGTCGGCGGTGATTCCGATCTACTCGGAGGAAGAGCTGCACATCAGCTACGGACAAAAACCCAACTCGGAGCTTCTCTTTATCCACGGCTTCGCAATCGACGGCAATCCTCACGACAGCGTGGCTTTCCCTGCACCCATCCTGGAGGCAACCAGCGAGGAGCCGGGCGACGACGACCCAAGTACTGAAGCTGCCAAACACAAGCAGGCCCTCATCGCGTTCAAGCGCCAGGCGCTGCGAGCTCTGGGACTACAGAGCAACGTAACTGTTTGTACCGCCTTTCCCAAGCAGAACAACGGCGAACTTCATGGGGTGCTGAACGACGAGTCGCTCATGACGCTCTGGATCTGCCTGATGACCGAAGACGACGGACTGCGCCTCGAGCCCATCCGGGGCAGCGATGCCGTTACCATCGCGATCGGCGCACATCAAGTTGCGGACAAGCACCAGCTCTTGACTGCCATCCACGCACTGCCTCACTTTGATGTGATCCAGCTGCGGGTGTGGACGGTGCTCCTGGAGATGATCTCGTTCCGGCTCTACGAACTGCACCGATCCGATGAGGAGCTCGGCGGCTGGAACGAGCCTGCCTCGGGCAGCGAGGCCATGGTGGGCATCCTCCGGCATGGGCATCGGCAGCTGCTCATGGAGGCGATGGATCTGCTGACGGCGCTGCAGGAAGAGTACTGCGAGCGCCCCGTGGTGGTCGAGTATCTGCAGACGTTGCAGGCCGAAGAGCCTGACGAGCCTGATGAACTTGAACTTGGACTCGACGAACCCGAGGCGCCTGCTGCGCTCTGAGCCGCGCGGCGTGGGAAAGCGGGGCGGGATCGGGTGTGCGACTCTGAGGGCCCTTGTTGCACTGTTTGTGAGGCCTGTGGCTCCTGTGGCACCCGGACGCGACCGAAATAGAGCTGCACAAAAACAACGGCGAGTGTGCCGCAGAGCCCGCGTCGGCGCGCTGCTGGCCCGCCCACAGCCTCAGTGCGGTGTGTGTGCGTGCCCACAGAAACAGCGGCGGGTGCAGCTTCTGTCGCTGTTCCGAGATCGCCGTCCCCCACATCCCATCCCATCCCATCTTTCCTCGTCCTTGGTCTTGGTCTTGGTCTTGGTCTTCATCTGCGTCATCGGTGTCGCTGCTCTCCTTTGGCCATCTGCTGCTTCCCAGGCCGCCGGCTGCATCTGTCCGTGAACGCAGAGCCTCTCTCCCGCACACACCCGACCGGCCCGACTCATGTCGCCCAAAATGGACTCCAAGAACGTGGTCAGGGTCAACATCTTCTGGGCATACGAGCACCCAGGCGGGGGCGGTCCCTCCTCCTCCAACCAGCCGCCCATAGAATACGATCTCAACCTCGAGCTCAATGTCCAGACCATCATTAAGGAGGTTCACGGGCGGTTCAAAAGCAACGTTAGCCTCGATATGCTCTGCATGAGGGTCCTCGACACGGAGCATCTCGTTGGCGAAAAGGTAACCCCCCTGCGGTCGCTATTCCATCACCCACCACCCATCTCCGTTACGTCTCGACCGCCCTGCTTGAGCCCCCTCCCCAACGCCATTGCCACGCCGTCGGGCAGCTATATCTTGATCTTTCCAGTGCCTATCGTGGTGCCCCCCCCCCACCAGTTGCCCAATTGCAGCAGCGTCCCGCTCGCCGATTGGCAACATCCATGATCCGTTCGAACTCTGAACCGCTGTCTCGTCCGCTGTGTCATCCCAGGACATGAGAAGCCTCATCCAGAACGGTACCAATCTCAAGATCGTTGCTGCTCCGAAGGTCATGGCTGCCAACATGATCAAGCAACTCGACTCGGACGATGAGTTTGCTGTCAAGCGAACCCTGTTCCAGCTTCAGAAGCTACTCAAGGTATTTATGAGTCATCCAAAACCCGCCGTGAGCTCGCGCGAGCTCTCAGCAAAGCACCACGGGCATTCTGTAGATCAGCCTGAGTGATCCACAAAGTGTCGTCGGTGATAGAGATCCTTTCGTTCGTCGTATCTGGTCGATCCCGCACCATCATCGAGTCACCATGGGATCGTGGCCCAAGACTCTGAGCCGCGAGGCACTTGTGCCCAATTGTCTGCTTGTAGCGGCCCGGCATTCGTGATCTCTTACCGCCATCGTGTCTCGGTCGGTGCATAGGAGTCGACTTTCATGGACGAATTCATCTCGCGAGACGGCCTCGAGCGGCTCCAGGAGTGGATCATCGCCAGCCAAGGCAACGCTCTTGCGTATGCCCTGACCTCTCTCCTGAGTCTGATGGAGCACAACCACGGCTGGGATAACTTTGATCTCAAATTCATCAGCACGGTAGGCCATCGTGAAGCTCTACCAAATACCTCAGATCCGATACAGTCTGCGTCTTGAGCTGACCCGCCTGCCATTACCGCGATACCCACCCCAGCTCGTCTCGATCATCGTGAAGCAAAACATGGTCAACATCTGTCGGCCAGCCACAGCCATCATCATCAAGCTCGTCATCTCCGATTCAACATCCAATACCAGCCGCGTCCACTCATATGGATTCGACATTGTGCACGAGGCTATTCTGCTGCAGTCCGCCTTTCTTCCAACGCTTATTCAGCGGCTCAAGGGCACCGAGTACCTGCTGCAGCTGAATTCTATGAATCTGATCAATGCGCTGTTACGGCATGCCACTCCGCCATTCAAAACCGAGTTCTACAACACACTGGACTCGCTGGGCATCCGCAAGGTCGTCATCCACTTGATGCAGCTGTCGCCGACCGAGGAGTTCCGCAAATTGCTGCTGGAGTTCCAGAAGCTCATCGTGATGGAGGCCAACCGCCGCAAGAAGCTCACCGTCATGTCCAAGACAACAGACCATCTTCTTGAACAGCTCTGGTCTGCCTCGGGGCTTGTCGAGCGACCGGGATACAAGTGGACCCAGCTTGGCTTCGAGGTACGACGCGCCGTCCATTGATCTGGCCGATCGATCTGCCCCGCGTGTTCTGTGGATTTCCCTGCGTAACTCGTACCTGAGCAGCGAGTCGGCATCGAAGCCCCGTGCACCATCGATGCACTTGGGCTGATTTGCGCCTTTGTTTCTCCAAACAGACCGAGTTTCCCAAGAGGGAGCTTGCCCAGGTCGGTCTTCTTGGCGTCGAGCTTATCCACATTTACGCTGTCAAAAATCACTCCGAGTACCGCACGGTAAACACACTGACGAATCTGCACGCCGGCCGCTATCGATCTTGATGGCGATTGAATCCTCGCCGGCAAATCGTTGGCACTTCGGGCTTGATACCAGCTTGTTTTTCTTGGAGTACGTCCACTCATTGATTTCTTTGCAAATTGTCTAGTATCTACCCTATTCGCACTCGGCTCCATCGTGTCCTTTTGCACGCATGGCGATCGAAGTCGCTGACATCATCGGAGGCATCTGCGATCTCGGCACGGGCTGTAAGTCTGCACTGACAGCACACCCATTTGTATAGAGCCTATCGCTGCCAAGCCGTGTTGACTCTATATTGTTGGGGTGGACTGACAACAAAGCGGCCTGGATGATGTGCGGGCACTCTCAATGCTGCGCCTGTGATGTCATGGGCGATGCAGAGGAACGCTATCAGCGGCTTCTTGCCCAGCAGTATCTGACCACATGGACTCGCTTATTTCCACAGACACAACGGCGTCCAAGTGTCAGCCGCTGATGCTGATGTTTGAAGAAATGTTTGCAGTCCTGATCGACATATTCCATCAGTTTTGGGACTCGGCCATCGCCAACAGCTCCGGCTCCGAAGAGGCTGGCAGCGTTATGCTCCGTGTATCGAGCTTTGTGCGGGTGCACTTCCGCAAAGTCATCCAAAACATCGACTCGCCAGCGTCGAGCGATGTCTTCAAGCGCTTCGTCGACGAGATGCAGAGCGTGCAGTACTCTGAGGTCAAGGAGCGATATCTGATTGACGACGAGCAAGATCTGATGTCACGAGCCCCAGTCAGGTATGTTGCACGCTGCTTCGATTGTGTTTCTGCTCCACACTATGGACTGCAGTGCGAACCAACCTCTCACCAACCAATCGCCTGTGCTGCTTTGCTCGTTTCGGCTGAAGCATGCTGCGTGAGCGGCTCGACAAGGAATCTCAGCTGCTGGTCAAGCAGCAGCGCATCAACTGCATGATCCGGGGCGGCTGGTTCCACAACGTCAAGGACAAGGGCCTGATGTCCTCGGCCACGAATCCTTATCGATTCTATGTCCTGGCTCCCCATATGCGGGACCTGTATTACGGAGATTTCCCAAACAACGGCGTGCGGCCGGAATGGCACCAGCTGCCAGAAAAGGGTATGTGGATGACAGGGGGGGGGGACGATCGGATTCCGCTTGTATGCAAAATTAATCAGCTGGATGACTCCCGCCTCGCGGTGATGTGCTCCCTCCTCTCGCTGTCCGGGGCACCAGCGAATCGCTGTTCTAACGGGCTACCCAATCTGGTCCGCTGTTTCCTACCACAGTCAACCTGACGCAGTCGTGGACCCTTGCGACTGGGGCTTCGTCTCCGGCATTCAGCTCACGGAAGCTCTCGACCGTGGACCCCAAACGATGCTTCTCGTTGGTCTCGGCAGTGGACGACTCACAGCCACCGGTCGACTTTGTCTGCATGACTGACGTACAGATCGGAGAATGGACGGACGGCCTGAAGGTGATCATGAATCACCTGATTATGGAGTTCAAAGAAACAAACGAGTACATCAAGATCCTGACCGAAGTTGGCGTCAAGATTGCGCTGCTGGACATCACCGGCGAAGACATCAACATCCCTGCCTCGGGTGTGCCTGCGGTGCCAGAGTATCCGCAGAGTTGGGGCTTCTACTATGACGAGGGTCTGCCGGAGGAGGGTATCGACCCAGGCTCGAGCATCATCAGCGCTTCGGAACTCAGCCTTGGCCCAGGCATCATCAACCCTCCCACCAACGACCAGGAGGACGACTTTGACGAGGAGTGGTGGAACGAGCCTGATCTGTACGGCCGCGACGAGCTGCTCATCAACGACTATCACATTGGCCTTGGCGGCACCCTGCCACGGCGGTCCAAGTCGCCCGTGGCCTCGCACGCACGATCTAAATCGCCGGCAAGCGTGGGCTACGGTGCCGACTCTTTCCTGGGCCGCACTCTCAGCATCGAGCGGCGCAGCGGATCGTCAATCCTCAAAGGGCCGCTGATGGGGCGCTCGTCCTCGCCACGGCCTTCGGTCCATCGCAGAGAAGGCAGCTTTGGCGGCATGGTCGGGGCTACGAACCTCTTTTCGCTCGCGTCTCCTGGCGGATCCTTCCACTACGGACTGCACTCGGCGAGTTCGCCGAGCCTCAATATCCCAGATCGCGTCGACTCGGTGATTCCTGGCGATAGCCCCGCAAGACCATCGCCGCAGCCGAGCCCAGGTGTCATGAACCTGCTTTCGCAAACTGGATTCTACGGCTCCAACTAGACCCCGATTCCCGCGCCCCTCTTCTCGCGCGGAAGGAGGACGCCACTCATTCGTTGTCGGCCCTTGCGACCTATCTTTTCAAATCGTTATTTCCCTGGCTTTTGTTATGCTGTTCGTTTCGTCTTTCTCCTGCTCGCCTCCTGTCATGGGGTCATGTATGCCTTGGGTAGCTCACCCAGCATGCTTCTTCGCGCGCTTTGCCCATCTGGCTTGTCGCGCCATATGCCCGCCTGCTCCGCTGCCTCGACAGTCTCCATCGCTGCTGTCCACCAGGGCATCGGCCTCCACTTGTTTCCCATATTCCCTTGCTTCCTCCCTTGCTTCGTCCTTCGCGCAAGCCTCATCTGTGCTTCTTTGTGTTGTTGTTGTTGTTGTTGTTCTCCATTTTTGAAGAATGTGGCTCCCGCCACCACCCTCGAATCTCCTCAACTGCCGAAAGTTCAACCACAATGAGTTCACAATGGGCTCAAACAAACGGATATCTGTTGACGGTCCACCACTGTGTTTCTATTTTTCGTTTCTGGTTTGTGCAATATTGGAGGGAGGGGGCGCCGTGGATGTCTACGTCCCAACGTTGCTGTACATCATTGAGAGGAAGAGAAGCAGTACTCCAAGTCGACGATGGGGCTTCGCTGGGATCGCTGTGGGGTTGGATGGGGTGTTACGACTTGATGTACCGAACACTCAAGAGGTCGGAAAAGTCGAGTGTTTTCCCCTCCTTCTCCTGATACGAGCGTTGGCGGTGGACCGAGGACGGGGAGCGTCAGAGAACCCTGCCTGATATCGACTTTGGACTCAATCACGACGCTCGCTCGCCTGCCGCCACCTTGAATTCACTGCCAGCATGCTGGGGAGGAGCCCATGTCGGCTCTTCCAGAGCGTTATTCGAGATTGGAGTTGGCGCCGTCGCGAGCAAGCAACTCACATGTTTGTAGTCCATGATCAGCTCCTTGAAGGCCGTGAAGTCGCCGATCGACGCCAGCACATCAAAGACATCGCCGCTCATCTCCTCGGCCTGCTTTGACCTGCGCGCGAATGCAAAGAGGATGAAAAGGGGCGACCAAAGATGGGCGACCAAAGATGGGCGACGCCATCTCATCCTGCGGAAGCCCAGCGGTCCGGTGGTCATCAAAGCAGCTTCTTACCGAAGCATTTCCAGAAACTCGGGCATCGAGAACCACGAGAGTCGCTTCTTGATGTAGACGCTGATGAAGCTCTCGATCACGTCTGTCTTTTGGGCGATTCCGGCAGTGACGGGCCCATAGTCGTTAGTTGCTGCTGCGTAGCATCAGGCTGATGCAATCACACCACCACCTCCCCACCTCCCTGGTCGCTTTCTCTCCATCACTTCCTGGGATCATAGCCGGCGCCGGACGCGTTATCGACTGTCCACGATGCGTACTGGCTCCGTCCGCCGGCTCGGCACTCACATAGCTCTTGAATATGTCCATGTAAACCAGCTTGTTCTCTTCCTCGTCGGTAAACTCGCGATAATGACGATCAAAGAATCGGTTCTGTAGGTCGACAAAATCCGAGTCTGGCACAAATGTCCATCCCTCAGCGTCAGCGGGCAGGAATCGACACACCATCCGGCGGCGCTGGGATTATGGGGCCAGCAGCATCATCTCATCTTGATGGGATATGTGCTGCTCTGCAAGCTCCTTACCGAGCAGCAGGTTCTCGAGCTCGCCGATGACTTCGTCAAACTTGGAGTCGCCCAGTGATGTTTTGCTGATCGCCACAGGAACGAAGGCCGGACGATAGACGTGTAAGTGCAGCCCCGGCATGGCATACTCCCTGGCCAGAATACAGCTCTGATGACATCCCTCCCATTTGCACCTCTCCAATCGATGGTCTCACGCGACTGTAGCTGCCCTACACCACAACGCACGTTCCCCTGCCTCGTGTACCTTTCGGCAATCGTTTCGTCGTCGAGTGCAGGTGTGCTGCCGAGTCGTCCTCCAAACAAGCGGTCTGTGACGCCGTGAAGCTCTGTTAATGCAGCGCCGTCTCCAGGTCCGAATCCACTCGAACGCATGAGGCCCAAGAACGCGCTGCTTTGACAGACTCGTGTGCAGCGGAGCCAGGGCCGCTCTGCAGATCGTCCCCCTTTTGCAGGCGATGAGAGCGATGAGAGAGGGAGAAAGAAAGAGGGAGAAAGAAAGGGAGAAAGGGAGAGGAAGAGAGAAGCACTCACTCGCTGCCGTGGCCATCGACATGGTTGAATACGGTGGTGTGATGCTGGGATCGCGTGGAAAGAAGACGGCAGAGTGCGTGCTGAGCGAGATCAGGATCGATACGCCGACATCGAAATCGAATGGTGGCAGCAAGCCGGGCACCCGCGGGGAACCTGGTGGTTCACGTGCGCTTATGAGGATCGGGGGAGGGAAGCCCGCCGTTGGGGGTTCTCGCCAATGGGGGGGGGAAGAGTCCTGGAGTGGTGTGGGAACAGCAAGCCAGGGCACCCGGGAGAATCTCTGTGCCCTTGCTGCTGGAGTACGCATCGCCGTGCCATAAGATATCTGCAAGCAGTAGCAATCAATGAGGCATGCGATAGTGAGAGTAATCGAGTTTGACGGATGAAATCACATGGCCTGCTTGCACAAAGCCAGGTCCGGCGGGTTTGCGACTATGTTCCCTTCTCGAGCAGCCCAACAGATATGGTGGCTAGTCTGCGGATCTCTTGATCTCTTGATCTCTTGATCTCTTGATCACTTGATCACTTGATCACTTGATCTCTTGATCTTGATTCGAGCAAACAGGCATCTTGCCAGCTCCAGAGATTGAGCTGAATAGTGCAGGTCGCGCCGGAGAATATCCGCATGATTGAGGTGCATGGCATCGACGAGGGCTCCAGAGGAGGTTGGGAGTCCACAGCCCGGAGTCATTTGGAGGCCCGCCTGCTTCCTCTGGGGACCATCTATCGGCATCCACACACTCTTCATAACTACTGTCCGCTCGTCGCCAGGGGGGGACCTCGTCGCGGCCGAGCTCCACCTCCATGACGGCCGCCGATTTTCCACAGTCAAAGCAACGAGGTCTTGTTCCGGTCATCCTGACCTCCGAACAGATGGGCGAGTCAGCGGACACGAAAATGGACGACGACCCGAGGCCTCAGCCATCGGGGAAGGTGGCCATGCCCTGCGTCGTCCTGAACCACAATCTGTTTTTTTCCTCGGACCACTTTGATCCCAAGTTCTTCAACGCCTGGTCGAAGCGGTCGGGCTGGCAGCAGCCGTTTCATAGTGAGTGAGCCTCTCTGCGCGTGCGGGTGCGCAAGCTGCTATGGGTACAATCGAATGCATACGGCACCTTCTCCGTCGCGACTGCATCCCCAATAGCTTGGCGATCGCGCGGACGGGTGTCTCGGCGATCATGTTGCGGAAGGGTGGCGACTGAATTGGAGGCAGGGTGTGCGGCGCTTTCGGGGTGCGGATCGCCGTTCTCCCAGCCACTAATATCTCGAATGCGGTCTCGCGTATCGTCTCCGCTGCGCTGGTGGATATTCTCACACCCCAAAGTCTATCTTCTCTGCCAGTGGGGAACATGGCTTGTGGTTGTTTTGGGCTTCTTCCTGTTCAATGCCCGCTTCCTGAGTGACGAATTCCGGGTCGCGGCGTTTGTGGTCATGGGTCTGCTGTCATTTGCCCAGGCCGTATTTTCTTTCTGGACAATGAGCATCAACACGGAAGACCCAAACGTGCGACTGGCCAACGTGCAACGCAATATCGACTTTATCAAGTACGCCGGAGTGCCTGTGATCGATCCGGCCACAGGCTTCTGTAACATTTGCAACGTCGTGGTGGCGCCAACGACCAAGCATTGCAAGGTACTGGTGATTGCGGTTTGCCGTAGGCTGGTGGATGCCGGGATGCTCGGACTCGGAGGTCGCAGCGGCAGCAAGAGGAGGAGGAGGAAAAGATGGGCTCTTTGCGTGGGCCAAGAGGAACTCACGATGACACAATCGACAATCGCTTCTGCAGCCCTGCAACAAGTGCGTCGCTCAATTTGATCACCATTGCCCGTACCTCTCGACCTGCATCGGTGGGCTGAACTACAGACAGTTCTTCACGACCTCGCTGCTCACCTCGATCACAACGACACTCTACGGGGCCATTGCATGCTATGTCATCAGCCAATACTATACTCGCCACGAGGACTTCCAAAGCCAGTGTAAGCAGCAACAGTCCCGAAGCTATCGTGAGAGCCCGTCTCATTCCTCGTGTTGCTGAACAAGCGCAGCTAATCTGGGTGATATCCATCATTCCTAGTGGCTTCGATGTTTGGCCAGGGGCCCAATGTTGGCATCGCTGTGGTGTCGGTTGTGTTTTTGTATTCGATGATCTGTATCGTGATTGCGGGGGCAATGTGGTATCTGACCATCTTCCACATTCGACTCAGTAAGTCTCCTCGCCATTGCCCATTGCATTCGATCCACTGTTTCCCTTGCGAGTGGTCGCTGCGACCGTCTGATTTCTGTGGCGCATGGGTTCTGAAACGGCTCTGTCTCTCCACAAACCACAGTGGCCTTTGGAATATCAACGCTGGAGTACCTTGAGAATCGGGGTGCTGGCGAGCGCAATCCCTGGAGAAAGACCGCACCAAAGTCCGAGCATCGGATAATCAATGGCAGCGGCGGTCAAGAAGCAAACCGCAGCCAGTCAGATCACATCATGGATGTCATGCCAAATCAGATATGAGGGCATCGAGCCTCGTCCGCTAGCTGATCATACACTCTATATTGGCTGCTTTCCTCGGCTCCAGAGCGACGCCATCGAGCAGCTTGGTGCACCATATCCATACGTGAGGAAGAGGGAGGGCGTTGCGCATCTGAGTCGCATTCACAAATGAGCAGCACCATTGTGTGATAGAGATTTCGCAATTCATGGATCGCGAATGTATAGAATGTATAGAATGACCGACCATCACCCGTGATGGCCGTGGAAGTCGGACAGAGGTTATTGCCGGTGCCTGTCTAGCATCGAAGGAGGCCCCGCCGTCCTCGGCAGTGGCGTTGTAGATCAATAGACCTTCCCCACTTTCCGTCACTCCAGCTCCCGCAGATGCGCTTGGCCCACCGTGGCCAGGATCCGCATCAACTCGGATCGATAGAGCTTTTCGTTTTCTCGGAGCTGGCTGTATCGCAAAATGAGCTCTTCCTCGAGGCTATCGCGCTCCCTCTCGAGCTGCTCGCATCGGTGCTTCAATTCAACATAGTCCCCAAGTGAGGGGCCATGGCTGCTCGAGCAGGGCGACAGGGCGAGCGAGTTGTCCCAACCCCCGGATTGCCTCTTTTCCCCAGACAACCGAGGAGCGCAGTGCGGGCCCGGGACAGCATTGTGGTGGAGATGGTCGGCGATGGGCTGGGTGCACTGCAGCCGCTCGATGCGAGCGTTGAGCGCCATATTGTCGATGTAGGTGTTCTCGAGCTCGCTCTTGAGGCCCTCGACTAGCTCTGAGTATTTTTGTGCGTCGTTCAAGGCGCTTTGGTACTTGAAGCGAAGGTCGTCTCGCTCAGCCCGGATGCGGTCCAGCTGATACGAGGACGAGGGATCGATGGGCTCATGAGACAGGATCCAAGACTTTTCTCTGGGCGGCAATGCAGCAGAAAGCTCCGAGAGTGCATGGCCGCCTTCGGCATAGATGCTAAAGTCCCTGTCCATGATCGACGCAGCCTGGGTCTGGAATGGGCGAGGTGGAGGGCACAAAGTGAATATGCAGCAGAAAGCCAGAAGCTCGGTTTCCTCCGAGAACAGCAATGACAATCGAGACGGGTTCTCGGTCGCCGGAACTGGCAAGAACGGCAGCGGCGACCTAACGACGATGGGTCTCAAGCTGCTGCGACAGCCCAGGCGGCTCCGATCCTACTTCGGAATGACGCTCGCCAAAGAGTGTCTCGCACAAGACCTGCTTGAGCACCCGGATCTCGTCTCGCTGCTTCTGGATCATGGCTTCGGAGTCCGTTAGCAGGGACTGTAGCTGCTGGCTTTTGATCCGGAGATCATCGTGGTCCCGGACAGATATCAAAGTGGGGGCTCTGGTCGAAGACTGCAGCGGAAGGGTTACCGGCCCGGGATGTCGAAGGGGCTTTGCCGTCGATTTTGGTAGTGAACGTGGCGGAGACGAGGAATGCACCGCTTCTGCAGGAGCACGGCGGCCTCCGGGTTGGTTCAGCCTCGGGAGGGGCCGGGGTTCTCGTGAGGGTGACTGTCGATTGAACATAAATCATGAAGGTGAGCACCCGAAGGATCGGGCCAGAGACGATCGCGTGGGGGTGGACAGAGGGAGGCCGGAGACCAGCGAAAGAGGATGGATGCTTGGCCGATGCGGCTTTTGGGTCGTCCGACGGCTCTGCAGACGGAGGAGAGATCGGAGCAGACCGAGGCGACCCAAGAAGCGCGCGGCTGCTGGAATCCAAGCTCAAAGCCAGAGTCGAGGCCGGGGCAAAGCCAGAGTCGAGGTCACAGTCCAATGCGGCCCCGGCCCCGAGCGGTCCTTGGATCCAGGCCATCCGAGGGAGGACGGTCTTGGTGGTGCTGGGGGGACGGCTCTGGGGTGCCGTGCGGCGACAGCGACCTGGCCCGAGGGCAGCAGCTGGATACCCCCTCGGCGATGGCCGCTGGTTTCAGCGGCCCAGCAGTCCTTGTCGCCAATGTCAAACGCGAATCGCTCTTTCCTTTTGGCGACCATTCGAGCCGTTTTGGGGCACGCTCGGTGTCACGCGGCGTGCTGTGATGTTTCTGCCCCTTGGCAAGAGCCAGCTGCAGTGTCTGGATACCCTCGGCTGCTGTGCCTCCCTTGGGTATATAATCCCCCTCCCCCAGCACCACCACTCCCAGCACCACCACTCCCAGCACCACCATCCGCCCGCCCTTGGGGCTATCGGCAACATGGACACTCTTGCGTTCGGCATTCTCCAACACGCCGCACCGATGCCGCTTCGCGCATCCATTACTTCGATCCAAAAGATCTTCAACGATGTCAAGGCCGCTGGTCAGAACGAAGCCACGTGGTCCGAGTTGGCCCAAGAATCCTACTTACTCTTGGAGATGCTCGCTGGATGCGAGGACAACGGCCCCGTGTTTGTTAGGCAGGTGAGGCGTCTCGACGACTTTCACTCCAAGATTGAGCGCTTCTTTCGACAGAAGATCCAGTCGCGCTCTTGGCTCGAAATGGTCCTCAGTGGATTCGACACCCGCCAACGGATCCAAGGCTTTGCTCGGGAGCTCAGAGGTCTCCGAGAGAGCATTATGCTGGCTCTCACCATCGGCATCGCCAACCAAGCTCGCCGAAACGGCCAAGCCGTCGCTCAAGCCGTCGCCCGCGACGAGATTCAAGACGCCACCAGGCTTGGCCAGTTCCGTGAGCAATTCCAGAAAGACCCAAATGCCGCCCTTGCCGGTGCTGGCATCCAGCTCCGGGACATGCAAGAATGGCAGATCCGGCGACTGACCGATGCCATCCAGACGGCCACCAGAGGCACCCAACAGGGCGTCATCGATGCCATCAATCCCGTTCTCCAGCTGCTCCAACGCCAGTCGCCGGCGTCGAGGTCCATGGAGCCTCAATCTTGGCGCATTTCGCCGCTGTCTATCATGGACAAGTCTACCTTCCCGATTAGCGAAGATGGGTATATTCAAACGTACTCGGCCAAGTACCACGGCTCCCCTGTTGCCGTCAAGCAGCTCTTTGGCACCTACCCCGAGAGCGACGTCAAGTACTTTCGCCGTGAACTCCTCGTCTGGAAGAATCTCAACCACCCCAACATCCTCACTCTCATTGGCGCTTGCGACACTGACGAGAGGCTCTTCATGGTCTCGCCTCTGATGACAAACGGCACTCTCCAGGCGTATATCACCAATCCTGATAACAAGTACACCACAAGGGATAAAATCCGCTGGATCTATCAAGTGGCCTGCGGCATGAGCTATCTCCATGCCAACGGCGTTGTCCACGGCAACCTCACCACGGCCAATGTCTCGCTCGACAATGGATTTGATGCTGTCATAACCGACTTTGGCATGTCCCGGACCAGAAACGTCTCCATGAGCTTCCACCACAATCTGCACAACGCGCACCGAGAACGCGCCTTCCACATGGCCCCCGAGCTCTTTGGTGTCGGGACTGATGGTCCTGCCAGCACCAACGAACAAAGCGATGTCTATGCGTTCGCGATCCTCTGCTACGAAGTTATGAACAAGGGACACAGCTGGGTCGATGATAAGGGCCAGCCCATGAGGTCGAGGAGCCAACAGACGGCTCTTCTTCGTGGCGAACGTCCCCCGAGGATCCCTGGCTTGAATGAAGATCTGTGGTTGCTCATCCAAGACTGTTGGAATGGCGATCGCCATGACCGACCCTACTTTGAGGAGATTGTTCTTCGCCTTGAATACTTCACCACTCTCCCGACGGACGATGAGCCACACCCGTAAGTGCATCGACCTTCTGAGAGCGCTGCTCTGTCCGATCACCCTGCTCGATGAGGACTGCTCAAACCTGCTCAAGAAGCACTGTTCACACCCTGCTCTGTAGTATGCGCAGTCGCTTATCAAGTTGCAGTGATACGGCAACGGACTGACTCTCTATTCTCCCGACGACTACTGCTTCTCTCTCATCACTCTGTACCTGCATGCTTTCACCCAATCCCCCCCCCACGACTGAACCCCGCGCCACCACCTGTCACATTGTGCTTCAAGCACGCCACTCAGTGTGGCATCAACGCCACAGACGAGCACTCTGACGGAACGCGAGCTCAGGCTCATTCAAGATATTGTCCAAATACCCGCAGCTTTGATTCCAAGACTCCAGCGGGGTGACATCGAGGCCTGTGCTGATGTCGCGCAGCTGGTTATTGACGCCGAGCCCGATACCGACGATGACGTGTGGAAGCCCGTGTTCAAGCTTTGTAGCGTCACTGGGGCCCGTCCGTGCATCCGTGCCTCGTTCCAGCTCGCCTGGCTCTACTTCCTTGGCCTCGGTGTGAGTCAAAACTACAGGAGCTCCTTTTTCCACTGGACCGAGGTCAGCGAGTCAGCGAGCGACGGACTGAAAGCCATAGCCACCCAGATGCTTGGCTGGTCGCATTACCTCGGACGAGGCACTGACTTTGACCAGAACAAGGCTCTCGAGTACATGGAGAAGAGCAACTGTCCTCAGTTTTCCTTCAAGGATGCCGGTTGCTTCGGAGGGCTGACGAGAGTCAGCTCTGTCGAAACCGCCCTCTTCCACCGCCTCTGTTCTCTCGGTGCAAGGTCAGATTGGCTTTGCGGGCACCTGGCGGCTGTCTGTCTCTTCAGCGGCTTTGGTGTTGCTCGTCAGCAGGGCTCGGCCCTGACAACCATCGAAAGGCTTGCTAACGAGCAATCTCGAGATCTCTGCCAACTCTGGCTCGGACTCTGGCTCACGAACACCACCAACCCTCGGCCGGATCCTGCAGCAAGTCTGGACTACGTACGAATGGCCGCTGATAATGGCAACCCCTGGGCTCAAAACATCCTTGGGGAGCATTACGAGCAGGGCAAAGGTGTACGGAAGGACTGTGATGAGGCCATCAGCTGGTATCGCCAGGCGGCAAACCAGGGCAATGCCGATGCCCGGCTGAACATGGGGCGATGCTATCGAAGTGGCATAGGTGTCCAGCCTGACTCCGATATGGCCAAATACTGGTTTAATATGGCTGCAGAGCACGGCAGTACCGGGTCAGAACTCGAAGACGAAGATATCAGGGCGCAGTATCTTCGTTAGTGGTCCATCGTCGGTCTTGTCTCGTCTCTGACGTCTCCCCGTTCTGGCTTGCTGAACCGCACGCTTCTCCATGACTGTCCTGCTTATATTTCTGATGCTTAACCTGCGTTGAGCACCAGCTGCCCCCAATAAATCCATCCATGAACGAGCGAATGCAACAGCGGCACCGGGATGTGGGTGGAACAAGAGTATCTTGGCCGGGATATCTATGGCCCCACACGAATATGGTCCCGCTGCTCGATATCTATGAACGACAATGGACCTGACGCAGAGCTATGTATCGATCGTCACAGCTATGCAGCCGGGATCATGGTCGTGGTGTGCAGCTCCATCGCCGAGCGCAGCGCAGAAGAGTGATACAGCTGCCTGATTGGCAGTGACGATACCACTCGGCTCTGCATCCTGCTATGGGACAACTGTGGCCCATGGACTTTGACCACATTCGCTGCCGGACCGACGGGACACTTCCCTCTCGGCGATTTGCCTTGTGGCTTGCCTCGGCGACCATCATTCCGACGACCATCAACCCGGCGACCACCATCTCGGCCACCACCATTTCCCAACCACATGCATCCATCAGGCAATTGCCTTCTCTGAGCAATGCTGCGTGTCTTTGGGTCTCTCTTGGTCCTGTGGCTGCTCTCCATCTTGGCCGACATGGTCGATGCCGTGCATCATGGATCCGTCGCGGTCAAGGTCGGCCTCAATTACGACTTTAGCGATCCGGCAATAATCACCGAGGGTCCATATCTCCTGCCAACAATCCAGATGGCTTTCAACGAAATCAACAACAGCTCGACGATCCTGCCGAGTGCGTTCATGCGCCATTGACGCCGGTGCATGCAGACCCTTTCGCGTCGCTCGTTCTCATGCAAACCTCCGTCCGTGATCGACGCCATGCTCACCCAGGACCCAATATGACCTTCATTGTGCTCGACGAGCAGATGTCACGCTAGTGCCTGTCGTCAGAAACAGTCATTACTTGACTAATGACGGAATGTAATGGTTCGAAGCGCGATTTCTGGGCCTCACATGCACTTGCTGCACTTACTGCACTTGCTACTATTGCTGCGCCGAACTCGCCGCTCACAAGTGCGGCTCCTTGCCGGCGTTCGTTCCAGAGTCGGTCTCCTCGATATGATACAAAACGACGGCATCAATGCTGTGATCGGAGACACAACCAGCGAGGTGGGGTGCGTCCGCCCGCGACGCTCTGTGCAAATCTCGTTGGATCATCGACTCACACCTCCGCCATATCTTCAGCAAAATGAATATGAAGCAACCATCTCCGGTTTCTATCGTGTGAGTCTCGCGCTTCAGAGACCCGGCGACTGATCTGCCTGTTGCTTACTGACCTCGCTGCCCATCAACAGATCCTCCACATCGGTCTGTTCACCTCCGCAACCATACTCACCAACAGGACAGCATACCCGGTACGGTTCCAGCCGCACGCAGCCTGACTGCTTGATGGCCCGATGTCCCGATGTCCCGATGGCTCGGTGGTTGCCTCACAGGAGTGATCCCACAGGGGCCGTCTAACGCAATAGCCGTCTCACCGAGTTGTGCTTGCAGACCTATCTCTCTCTTGTTGAGCCCAGCATATACTATCTCCAAGCACTATTCGCCTTTGCCAGAGCCATGGGATGGCGATCGGTATGCACCGTGTTGTTGAACAGAGCTGAGGTGCCGTGAGTGATCCGAGTGATCCAACTGTCTGAGTGATCCAACTGTCTGAGTGATCCGACTGGTCCAGCGATCCAACTGGTCCGAGTGGTCTCGCCTCGGGGGCGAATCTCTCGTGTCGGCCGACTGATCTGCTCATCCGGCAACTCACAATCAGGTGGCTCTAATGTACAGTCGTGAGCCATTTGGAACCACGGGTAAGCATGCCAGTGAGCCAGCCGCTGCAAATGTCGTCTCGATCTGTGGGTCGTATCGAGTTCCGAGCAGAGTGGATTGCCAGAGCCGAATCATGTTCACGAGCACGGACGATTGGGACACGCCATATTCACCCATGCGTCATGTCCTGCAGCAAGGGACGATGCCAAGTCCGTCGCCAACGCAATGGGATTCAATATCGTTCTCGAGCAGGTGGGAACTGCACCCGAGCCGGTGGAGTGACGGACAGGGGGGGGGCACTGGTCTGGCCTGGATCTCTGGGCCGGGATCTGGGCTCTGTCAAACAACCCCGAGTGCCCAGTCCCAGAGTACCCACAGTCCACTGCCTGACTGCCTGGCTGCCTGACTGCCTGACTGCCTGGCTGCCTGACTGCCTGACTGCCTGGCTGCCTGACTGCCTGACTGTCTGGCTGCCTGACTGCCTCATGACTCGCAATCGCCACCAGGGATTCTACGGACCCACTCAAGGGAACCGCTCCGACCTGGCCATTCCTCTCGAGAATCTCCAAAAGTCAAGGGCAAAGATCATCATCGTCTGTGCTTCGGTTCCATACACATCCGATCTCTACTACATGGCATATGAGCGCGGCTTGGTGGGCCCAACATATGTCTGGATGGTCAGTGGCGCCGTCGGCCCGATGTCGGTGTCGCTGAGTGGGGTCGTCCAGGATGCCTTCCCAGGTGCTCACACCGAACCATTCAGGGCATCAACATCCCGTACTACGAGTATCTGGACCTATCCTGGTTCAGCGGTGATCCGATACAAGCGGCACAGGGCTACATGTATCGTACGTACGTTCTGCAAGCATCCGTGTTCGCGGATGGCTCGGCACTGTTGCCTTATGATGTCGTGCTGATGGAACGCACCATTTACTGATCTCAGCCTTCCATGGCCGCTATAACCATAGCTTATCCGAACATCACGAACGGAGTCGGGTACAACGAGTTCAGCAACAAATGGAACAGCATGTCGCTCCAGAACGCAACCATGTATCCGCTGTTGTCGGGCAGCTCATGGGAATGGTTTGCTAGGTGGATATCTCGCCAGCCGTGCGCATATCGCAGAGCCGATGATCTGATCCCGCTCCCACTCTGTCGTTGAGTGAATCGGTGCAATTGCCATCTTTCTCATGCGAACAACAACCTCCCACCCGTCTCAAGAACGATTTACGACGCTGCTTACATCATGGCACTGGCATGGGTAATACTCTGACGGCACAGTCGTGGACAATCGTGCACCGTTGTGCACAGTCATGGAACGGTGGACACTCAGCAGCGAATCTGCGACTGCTCACCTCCCTGTCGACGGTTGTCTCACAGACCAACCTCACTCGGATCTACCCGGACACCCCGTTCCTGCAGCTGCTGGCGACCAACTCGACGTATCCCTTGCGCGCCGTTGAGAATCTGATCTACGACGGCGCATCGGGATACTCAATCTTCAATGCCAATGGAATCGTGGAGGTCGGTGGTCGAGATCGTTGTTGGACTTGGTCCGATGCTTCCTCTGGCAGAGGCAGTGCTCTGTCCGCCCAGCCGGGTCGGTAATGATGATGATTAGCGGGCTTGAGTGTTTATTGCTATAACAGCTCCGCCATCACCATCTGTAGAGACCGTATGCGATCATTTCTCTTGTGTGCCAAAACGACACGATGAATTATGATTACGTGGCATACTACGAAAACGACGAGATCATCACAGACTGTCACATGTGTCAATACTACAACTTTGATGGCTCAACCAAGGTGAGTCATCCAAGACGGCCACCCCTGAGACTGGTGTCTGGGCCGTGGTTGCTGATGGGCCGCATCGCTCTTGGCAGGCCACTGCTAACATCCCGGTCCATGCTCTGCGGCGGTGCATCGACGACACACCTGCTGTTCACAACTCGCTCGGATGTCCAGGTTCCCTCCGACTCGCTCTTTGAAGGTGAGGGCCGACGCCGTCGCTCGCCGATGCACCACGTCCACAGACTAACTCCTCAGACTAACTCCGCGGACCACTCCACGGATCACTCCATGGACCACCTCACGGACCCGCTTCAGTGTGTCCGCCTGGATGGCAGTCGTATTCCAGTGAAGTGGTGTCGCAGCTCTGTGTCCCATGTCCTGAGGGTATGCCTGGACTGCCTCGCACTCGGAAGATAAAGCTCTCGACGAAACGCAGACAGCACCCGCATCGCTGCGGATGGTCGACACATAGACTCTGCAGATAGTCGACACATTGACCCTGCTGGTGCTCACAGATCGAATCCATTGCCACAGGAACATACAATCTGAACTCCAATTCGACCTGCAAGCCCTGTCCTGTTGGCGCGGTGTGCCAGAGTGGCAGCATCATGATCGCCAAGGGCTATTGGTACAACGCGAATGCCTCGGCAATCGATTCCGCATTCTATCTGTGCGATGCAACCGCAAACTGTGAGCTCGTTGGTGCCCCACGGCCGCTGCTGGCATGCTGCTGGTGCGATCTCGATGGTGCAGATACTCACCATTCTGCCTTGAACAGGCTGTCCAAACGCATGCCCGATCGGTGGTGGAAACCAGTGCATCCACGAACACAGCGGAGTGTATGTATCGGCAGGGACTCGATCGAGATGGCGCTGGGAACACGAGGGAGGTTGGGTCGGTGGTATGGTCGCTGATGTGATGGATTGGATCGGTGATACGGTCGCTGCTTTGAGGGTCGATGACAGAGTGGAAGTGAACAGCAGCACATCCACGCACAGCAGCACATCCGTGCAGATGCAACCAACGGCGATGGCGACAACGACGGCTGACAGCTCGGGACTCTTCAGGCTCTGTTCGCAGTGTCCCAGCGGCCAGTACGAATGGGGCGGCCAATGCACCCACTGCGACAGCCTCGGCAGCAACATTGCTGTCGGAGTCGCGGCATTTGTTGCTATTTTCGTTGTCGTCTGCATTCTGTGTGTGATTCCAACATCCAAGGAGGGATTTCTGGTCGACCTGGTAAGCATTCGTGTTGCGAGTATGCGGCGAGTATGCGGCGAGTATGCGGCGAGTATGCTGCGAGTATGCTGCGAGTATGCGGCAAGAGCGGCAAGAACATCGCCGTGGACCCTGCGGCGACTGGCTGTCTGGCAAGGATGGACATGCTCCATGAACTCACGCTGTCTCTGCATCCATCTCAGATATTTGTGTACCAGGTTGCCTACCTCCTGGACTTTGACCACACAACGGCCCTGTCTCGAGCCCTGGCGTTTCTGACCCTGAGCTTGAACATCCAAAGTGGCGGAAATGGATGCATCCTCCCACTCGACCAGTTTGCCAAAATGATCTCGGCCTATGTGATGGTGATGGCGATGGTCGTCTGCCTGGGACTGTGGCATGTTCTGATCCAAGTGCTCAGGAGTCCGAATCGAGGCCCGCTGGCCAGGAGGGCCTGGAAGACGATAGTTCGGTGGTTTCCGTACCTCGACACCAGCTTCAAACACTCGCTGACTCGATCGGTCATCGTCTTGGCGCTGTTCAGCTTCAGTCCGGTGTACAGCACAGGTGAGATGCCAGCACAGTCGCCGGGGGGGGGAGCGTGGTCGAGTGAGCAATGTCGACGAGGGAGTGGCTTCGACGGGTGAATCGAATGGGTCAGTGCTTTGAATGGGTCAGCACTTTGAATGTGTCGGTGCTTGCATGAGGCGATGAACTGACCAGTGCTCTCCAGCCGTGACGATCCTGTCCTGTCGGGCCATCGAGGGGTTTCCATCGGTCGTTTGGGACTATCCGTCGGTCCAGGTGCGTTGCCGCTGCTTGCCGCTGCTTGCCGCTGCTTGCCGTTGCTTGCTGCTGGAGTGGAGGCAGTGCGTTTGAATCGGGTCACTCTGGAGTCGGACTGATCTGGGATCCATTCGACTCGACCCACCATGCCAACACCACTCCCACCACCGCTCTCACCACCATCGCCACTGTCACCATCGGCGGATCGGATGCCAGTGTTGGACCGATTCCCACACAACCGTGGCGGTGTTGTCCGGCATCATCCTGGTCGCCCAAGTGATCGTACTTCCCAGTGTCATCTTCCGTCGGGGATTTTATCAGCGAGACAAAGAAAGGACTGCAAACAAGGCATCGACGCTCATTGTCTGTCGCAAACACAGCGAATCGAATGTGCCCTCAGTCGAATCGGAAGTAACGGATCCATTCTATGATCTGTACAGCTGCTACGTTCGACGGTATCGTTGGTGGATGTCGGTGGACCTGATAGAGCGCTCCATGATCGTCGGACTGCCGCTGCTGCTTCGTTCGACAGGAGGTGGGTATCGGCCACAATGACGCTTGTACATGGCTCGGCGGGATGTCACACGGTCCTCGAAGATCATCCAAGACCGGCCATGGTAGTGACGCCGTATTCCCACCATCTCAGCCTACACGCCCAGATACGCAACACTTCTCATTCTGTGGATGTTTTTGCTTGTGCGGTATGCAGTATGCAGTATGCGGACGTGGCTGGGAACCGTCGCTGACACCAACAGGCATTGGCGAGACGACATGTTGGTGATGTGGTGGGGCTCGCCGACCATTGGCAGGTCGTCTGTCGCTGACATTATGCCCGACCACAGTACGTTTGTGATGCCATACAAGCTGGCGGCTGACAACGCCGTCAGAATCGTCGGATACATGGCTTTGATAGTCGTGTTTTCTCTCGAGCTTCGTCAAAAGTACCTCCTGGACCAGTATGGAATCGAATCGACTGACTCGCTGGTCGAAGAGACAATCGCAACGATCATACCCTGTGTCCTGCTGGTGCCCGTCAAGATATTCTCAAAGATACCTCCAGAGAAGAAGAGGAAGATCGGCAACACGATTCGCTCGATTCGTTTGTCTCGTGCCAAGACCATCGAAGACAGGGTGTGATGCTGGAGTGCAGCAGGCTCACGCCGAACAGGCCCGCCGATGTGTGCTCTTCACATCAACCATGGTCTTCAGCGCAGTGATCTGCAGGCTGCAGTGGGCAGGCCGTGTGATTGTTCCCTGTCCCGACTGCCGCTTTGCAGAGCAGCCTTGATATATACTATGCATTCGACCCTCTGGATAGCTCTGTACAAGGTGTGGCTCTCGACGATAGGGTGATCGAGACAAACGAGTCGCTCGGCCTCCATGTGGGCCTTGGGTGCGCTATGTGTGCTCTGGGCCGTCCAGTGTCTTGACACAACGGACATCGTCTTGTTCGAACACAATACACCAAAGTTGAGATGGTGTCATACTCGGCCAGCAACGGCCAAGCGGGTCAAGTTATCTTCCTGCGTGTCTGTCCCAGGGAGACTGTCCAAGACCCCAATGTCTCCACAACAGTCCAAGCGCTGGTCGACATCATTCAACCAAATCGAATGTGAATCCTGATGGAGGCCGCAAACAATGGACTGCTGCACCTTCCAAATTCCGACTCGCCGTCGTCCTGATTCGCACCATCCTTGAGCTCTGCCGCTGGTCCATTCCAGCCCATCAACCCGTTCAAGAGCATCCTTCACCCGCTCAGCGATATTCCCCATTTCATCCAACTGCACCGATGGTCTCTCAGGATTGTGGTGCCTGCAACAAGGTGGTCTACCAGACCGAAAAAGTCGAGGCTGCTGGCCACTGGTATCATAAGGTATGTCCTGCGGTGCATTGGGCATGGACCAGCATCTCCGCGGTCATTCGGCGTTTGCTCCGTCGAGGTTCGCACGGTCACATTCTCCGAACCGCTTTGGAGTTCCTGCGCGCTAACTCTCCAGGGTGTCATGTCTCGCACAGGGCTGCTTCAAGTGCGCGGACGCAGAATGCGGTATTTCTCTGAACCTCAAGAACTTCAAGGCAGCCAACGGCGCCGTTTGGTGTGAGAAGCACCTCCCCAAGCCCAAAGCCACCACAGTCAGCGACTCGGTCTCGGTGATGCATGCCTTGCGTGAGTCCGCCGCTCTGCTTCCGGGAGCATCGTGCCGCCATGGGATGTGCTTGGCAGGCCATATCGCAGGCCCTGGCTCGACTGCGTGGGTCAGTGTCCCTGCTCACCGTCACTCCCCATCCATCCTCTACAGATGCCCCGAAGAAGACCACGGAAGGGCTGCACAAGACCCAAGTCGGAACCGGCGAGGCGCCGTCCTTTGGCTTGGACACGATATCGACCCAGCATGCACTCGGTAAGGATGCGATTCGTCTGCTGGCTGGAAAGCGGCGGCTCCGACCCGCCGATGGCACCATCTGCTGACTTGAGTATCCTCGCCGCTCCGTAGCCGCCCCCAAGAAGCCAATCGAAAACATTGGCAATATCCAGAAGGGCGCCGGCCAAGACGACCCGTCGCAAGCCCCGGCAACCAAAGTCTGAGCCTCCGCCCCGGCTTGATTCCCTGGGACTATCGGCATCGACACCGGCGCTCTGGTGCATCAGAGCCACGGTCTGCATTCGGAGTGCGTGTCGGACCTGCTTGTGTGGATGGAGTCGCAGCGAACATTACATCTCATCGACCGACTTGGCTGTCGCCCGCCCGACGAGAAGGGAAAGGGAAAAGCGGGCGGATCAGCCGATCACGGCTTGGACAGCACTTCGCTGGGTTTGGCGACCACGCGGCCGTTGCGGGTCTGGAGAAGAGCAGCCATGGGCTGGCTGGGCCAGCTTGGTTGGGCTGCTGAGCCGATACAGAGCAGTCTTGCTCGTCAACGGCGGTGGTGGTGCTGTTTTTCCTCGCAACCGAACGCATTCCTCGCATCCATCGCATCCATCGCAGCCATCGCATCCATCGCAACCCACCGCATTCCATCGGCCGCGTGCGTTTCGGCAGTGCCGCTCCTGGTCCAGTCGAGGGCAGACACTTTTGCCGACGCTTGTTCCTTGTGCGGTCCCTGGCCTTGATGGCGGTGTTGGTTGGTTGGTGAAGGGCCTCTGTGGCCAGAGCAGCCACCGAGCCTTGCTCCTCTGTCCCACCGCCTGCTCTCTTGACACGGAACAGGGATATGCAGCCAAACAAGCATTCGTCGGTGTCGCAGTCGCGGATGTCTTTGTGGTGGGCAGCTGAGCTCCAGCCAACCGTCGACCGCTTTCTTTTGCCAAAGGCCAAGGGGGGTGCGATGGTCTGCGAGTTGGGTCGCCGGCGCTCGCTGTTGCCGGTCTGCTCTCCAGCCGAACGCTCGACGATCTGGCTCTGGCCGCCATCCTCCTCATCTTCCTGCCAAGAACCAGACCGATGCGCTTGGGCTCGTTCTTCTGCCGTCTCTGGTGGCTGCTGGCGGTCTGCTCTACAGGTGAGTCGTCCTGGTGGATCAGGGCTGGTGCAGGACGACGGCGGTCTCCTCCCAGCCTGGAGCCGCGGCTGTTGCGATGCATGTCGGGCAGGAGGCTGGATGTGCAGCATTCGATGTGCGGCGAGGCTGGCCATCGGCTCCGTCGATTCTCGGCAACACCTGGTTTCTGACAATCTGCCATTGCCGCCCTGCCAGTATCCCACGCCCAGAGCACCGTCTCGACCGGCAGCTCGCAAGTCGCCATCTATGCCGACACCAACAGCGACGGCTCGCTCAAGCTCCGTCTGCATGTCCCCAACAACCTGGCCTACTTTGCCGTCGGAACGGGATCGTCCATGAAGGGTTCCGACATTGTGGTGGGTTTCGCTCTTGGCCCACAGCGGGCTGTGCTGGGATGCCGGCGCTTGGACATGTCATACCCCTTGGCCAGGACCCTGGCTTGCATACCACCGATACCACCCGCCCGCCTCCCCTTGGCTCGACGCAGCCTCCTCACGTTTGCCATTCGTATTCCTTCCCTCCCCTCGCCGCAGGTTGTCTGGCAAAACTCGGACGGCTCTGTCGTGGCCTCGTTCCGCCATGCCACCGGCCACTCGCTCCCACAGCCGGGCGACCAGAGCAGCATCGCCGTGCTCCAAAATGATCAGCCCAACCAGGTTGCCGTGCCGGCCAACACCTTTGTCATCACCGTCCAGGTGCCGTCCTCCTGGGGCTCGCTCGGCTCGTTCATCTGGGCTTATGTCTCGGGCTCGTCGCCCAACACCAACGACCCCACCGCCAGCTTTTCCCAGCACTCGAGCCGAACGAGAGGAACGCTCTCGGGCGGCCTGTTTGTTCCCCAGAACTCGTTCGCCCAGGCCAACGGTCCTCCGCCTGCACCTTCGGCACCTCCTGCGTCCACCAACTCTGGTGCTGCATCTGCCTCCGGCTCATCCGTGACGGCCTCGGTCTCGCCCTCAGCTGGCTCTGCATCCCCCACTCGCTCGAGTTCCATCCAGCCCAACCCAGCTCCGACAGCCACTCCGACCGCTGGATCGGGCCAAGACAACTCGGATGACAGCCAAGCTGATCCTCCAGACTTTACGGTCGTACACGGCTATCTGATGGGCTTTGCTTGGATGATTGCCTGTCCGGCCGGCATTCTGGTTGCCCAGTTCTGCAAAAAGTCACTCGACAAGTGGTGGTTCCGCCTCCACCAGCTGTTCATGGTATGTCCTGTCTCTGCTTCTGCTTCGGTCCATTTTGCTGGTGGCAACTTGGATGGACGACGAATCGACCCCGATCAAAGTGCTAACCCCCCTTGGCTGCTTGTTTCGCGTCTTGCCGCTGCCTCATCACAGTTCGTTGGCTGTGGAGCACTCTGCCTGACGGCATTCATCCTGATATTCTATCAGAAGCAAGTTGCCGGCGACTACCACTTTGCATACAACGACACGGGTCTGCATGGGGTATGTGTTTCCCGAGGCCTGTGGCTATGCGACTCGTCTGGACCTTCCCAGCAGGGTGCTTTGCGCCGGTTATCAGCGATAGTCTGCACTGCCTTTGTCGCTCGATGCTCTGACCTGCAGCCCAGCGCATCGGTCGCATCGCCTGATTTCAGTCCTCTTGCATTCGGCTTGATGCTGTCGGGCTAACGAATCCCCACTATCTCTGTCGTCTATCCCAGCTTCTCGGGCTCATCATCACCATCGCCATGCTTGGCCAGATCATCCTGGGCATCGTCATCGATCGGATGTACGACAAGCACCGCACATCGGTCCCTGTTCGCGACAAGGCCCACTGGCATCTGGGCCGTCTGACGACGCTGCTGTCGATCATCAACATTGTGCTCGGCTGCATTCTGTACGGCGTGGATCCAACGATCTGGCTGGTCATTGGGCTCATCCTGGCAGCATGGCTGGTGGTCTTTGTATTGCTTGCATACAGCCGGCATCTCAGCAAGTCCAAGGGACACGATTTTGAGCACCTGCCCGGATCCGAGTCGGTCAAGCTGTTGCGCCTGCCAACCACCGGCGATGCCTCATTGAAACGCAACCCGACCGGCGACACTGCCTCTCTGCGACGCTACCCGACCAACTCGCTTGGACGCCCTGCCAACTCAGACGCATTCAAGGGGCTCCAGGCCTCCCGAAGCAGTAGCATGAGCCGCGGCGGCATGCCGGCCCGCCCCGACACGATCGAGCGGCTCCCGAGCAACAAGGCCTTTGATGCCAACAGTCACCATTCCTCTGCCTGGTCCGAGAGAGCGCCCGAAGACCAGCCTTGGCAGACGCAGCGAACTCCTGGGTCTATGAACCGAGCCGATACGCTGTCCAAGGCCTCGACGATCGACACCCCCCGCAGCCGGAACCTGGACACACCCAACACCTCGCTTTCCAGACGGCGTCTGGATACACCCGAGGGCTTTGGGGCGACTCCACCGATGCCCCGACTGAACGACCCCTCTGGCAGCGCGCCCCGGGGACGGCCGACTGGCGGCTCCTCCAACTGGAACGGCACCATAGGCTCGTCGTCGACTGGCAGCAGCGGTAGCGAGGGCCGAAGATTCGTTGCGAATTACAGCGACAGAAGTGCGTCGCTGAACCGACGCGGCCGCAACGACAACTCACCTGGGCCCCAGAGACTCGACGAAACAGGCTCAGGCTCAGGCTCCGGCTCCGGCTCGATGCGGCGCAATTGACTGGAACGACGATAGCACAACAGCGGGAGAACTGGGGCACCTTGCAGCGCAGGGGCCAAATTTCTGCCTTTCTTTCTGACTACCCTCATCATCCTATGGCAATCACTTTGTAGTGTTTCTATTTTCTGGATTCTATTTTCTGGTTTCTATTTTCTGGTTGCTGCTTTCTTTCCCTCAAACGGGTGGAACTCTTACAAATCTATACGATGCGATCGAGCGCGATTCACTCGAATACAATTGAAATGATTCAAACCATCGGCTGGTGATTGATGCGACCTTCGAGTCAGCAAACCTGCGGAAACGCAGCGAGACAATGCCGACGAGATCTCAAATGCACAGTGCATGGTCTGCGCCTGGCAGGCCACACGCGACCCTCATGCTGGGTCGGTGGCTGTCGCTTTCGACGAGGGGCACCAAGGCACCGAGGTGCGCTGAGCAGGTCCGGTGGTCTCGGTGGCGCCGTCACGCTGGCAATAGCAGAAGCGAGCGCCTTTCTCGATTTGCGGGACTGAGGGAGAGGACAAATGGGTTGGAAGGGCATGTGGACCGAACGACATATTGCCCGGCGAGCACGGAAAGCACATGGACGGACAAGCATGGAACGAAGGGGACCTCCCAGGAAGCAGACGCTGGGCACGGGTGGCTGCTGAGCGAGTCGGGTGGAGCATTTGTGGCCGAAAAAGTGTTGCGGTGGCGGGCATATGGATGGCGATGACGACGACGGGACGTGATATTCGGTGGGCAGGAAGGCAGAAAGGCGAGGGGTGGGCACCAGACGGGAACACAGGAGATGCATTGGTCCCCTCAGACAAGAGCACAGGGCGACAGGATGGCCACCAGACCAGCACAGGAAGGCGAGGGGGGGGGATTTGGACGTCATGGGAACGGCCCAGAGCAAGGTGGACCAAGGGATGCAGCAGGAGGCGTCGAGGACAGGGAGGCTCGCGCAGGACGACCCGGTGATGCTCAACCTCCCGGGCAGCCCGATGTGCTCGTCTCGTGCTTGTGAGCGGTGCCACCACAGATGCTCAGACACGGTGGGCGAAGGGTGGTCAGCTCGGCAACATTGCCAGGCCGACAGCATGGTCAGGATGGCAACATTGCCAGATCGACAGGAGGGCCGGATCGATAGGAGGGCCGAGATGGCGAGACGGATGCAATCCACCGACAGGCTCGAGACAAGCGATGGCAGCCGTAGATTGTGGATGGATGGGTGGATGGAGCAGCCTGACTTTGCGGTGCGATTCAGGCTGGGACCCATTGTGTGGCTCCTTCCTTCTTGGGGCCTTTGGAGTCTTTGAAGGCTTGAAGTCCATGCGCATGTCTTCTTTCCTCGGTTCGTTCCACGCTTGGTGTTGGCGCACCCTGGGCCGAGGCCGTGCACCGTCGGCCGAATCCGTGTCGTGTCGCGGGCGCCGGCTCGGGGCCTCCGCTTGCGGGCGCACCCCTCCATGCACCCGCTTTTCATGCCTCCCTCCGTCTCTCTGTCTTGGTCTCCTCCTCCGTCACCATGACGGTCTGGCCAACTGCTCCGTCTGCAGCTGCCGTCTGCAACTGCTGTCTCGCACCCGGCCCTGGTCTGTCTCCCCCGTCCGCTCCCCGTCCGCTCCCCGTCCGCTCCCCGTCCGCCCGCCCCACGCCGTGCCAGCCAGGCCCGATCCAAACCAGCAAACCGGCGCCGTCCAATCAGCGCGCGTATTACTAATTTATCCCGCCATCCCGCCACCCGGGACCCCGTGCCTACCGCGCTGGGCACGCGGTTCGTTGGTGCGCAGCATCGCTGGCTATTTACCGACGTCACACAGCCCGGCCGCAGCGCCGCAGCGGATCCGCCGTCCCTTGTCAGCGTGACAAGGGGGTGGGCACACGAACGGACAGGCGCTGTGTCCGGCCGCCTTGCTGACGCGCACGCAGCCTGGCGCCTTTGATCGGCAAATCTGTCGGCGGTTGAGTGGACAGGCGCTGTCTTTGCCCTTTGCCTGTTGCGGTGCTGCCGTGCTGGGGTCTGGTGCGGTTGCTCTTGTGGTGGGGGGACGGCGAGGATGCGCAATCGTCGCCTGTCTGAGATCGATACAGGTCTCAATCATGGAGCCGCCGCGCATCCTGGTCTTGCACCTTCCACACATTGCCATTGCCCATTGCCATTGCCATTGCCATTGCCATTGCCATTGCCATTGCACACATTGCACATTGCACGCTGCACGCCGTTGTGCATGTGCCCGCGCCGTGGGACCCTCCGCGCCGTGGTACCATCGCCACCCTTCATTTTCTCTCTGTTGTCCGCCACTGTTCCTGTTCTGCCTCCCTTATTGTTCTCCACTCCGCTGTCCCTGTGCGCTCCGTTCTATTTGCGTCAGCGGCGCGGGCACCGGCCTGCCGCCGTGGCCTGATGCGTCAGTCCGTGTTGCATCACCGCGCGGCTCCAGGCTATATATTCCGCGGCTTCTCCCGCCTCGTCGCCCTTCCTCAGCATCGTTGCATCAGCGACCCCCCTGTCCTGCTGAAGATCCACCTCGGCCCCATCCCAAGCATTTCGCCGCCGATTCTCGCCCAGCATGCTGCCCAGAGCCTTCCTGGCATGCCTTGCCGCCCTCTGTCTCCTGGTCCCCTCGGCGTGGGCCCAAATCTCCCTCAGCGCTGCCTCCTCCAGCGTCCTGGTCTACGCTGATGCCGCCGCCAACGGCGCCGTGCAGCTGCGCTTCCAGATCCCAAAGACCCTCTCGTACTTTGCCCTCGGCACCGGCTCCAAGATGTCTGGCTCCGACATTGTCGTCGTCTGGCAAAACACCGACGGCTCCGTCACTGTCTCGCACCGCCAAGCCTCTGGCCACAGCTTGCCCTCGCCCGTCAACCAGCAGGCCATCTCAATCGTGGCCAACCAGGCCAGCAAGGTCGCCGTCCCCAGCAATGTCTACGTCGCGACCGTGATCGTCCCCAGCTCCTGGGCCTCGTCCTCCTCCTTCATCTGGGCGTACGTCACTGGCTCGCTGCCCACCTCGAACGACCCCAACGCCGCCACCTTTGTTCAGCACGCCCGGAATACCCGCGGAATCATCCAGGGTTCGCTGCTGACCTCGGCCAACTCCTTCAAGAGTGGCTCGCCCTCGACCCCTCCTCCTCCCAAGTCTTCCAACGGCGCCCCCAGCCCCCCCGGCAGTAACAATGGCAACAACGGCAACAATGGTAGCAGCGGCAACACCGACACCGACGACATTACTGGCGGTGACAGTCTTCCCGACTTCACTGTGGCCCACGGCTATCTCATGACCTTTGCCTGGCTGGTGTCCACCCCGATCGGCATCTTTATCGCCCAGTTCTTCAAGGAGCGCTGGCACAACTGGTGGTTCCGCCTGCACCAGTTCTTCATGGTAGGTGTCACCCGTCCGTGCACACTGTCCCGCGTGTTGGATCGGTGCTAACCGTGCTGTCCCCTGTCTCGCTCTGTGTAGTTCATTGGCTGCGGTGTCCTTGCCCTGGTTGGCTTCTGGCTCATCTTTTACCAAAAGCAAGTTGCCGGCGACTACCACTTTTCGTACGCCGACACGGGTCTGCATGGCGTAAGTAGAGATGCTGAGACTGTCGATTGGCCACCGGGGGATCAGTAATCCTGGGCTGATGCGGGGCCGACGTGAGATTGTCGACACTGGGTCGATACCTGGATCGCTCCTGACTCTGTCCACACGAGCATCCCAGCACTTGACGATGCCTCGATTCACGGCCCGCTGTCGCAACCATTGCCACCCAACACAACCTCTAACCCGCCTTTCTTTCTTGCTTTCCTAGATCCTTGGCCTGATCTTGACTGTCCTCATGCTCATCCAGATCGTCCTCGGTGTCGTCATCGACCGTCTCTACAACAAGGATCGCACCTCCGTTCCTTTCCATGACAAGTTGCACTGGTACATTGGCCGACTCGTGACCCTTCTCGCCATCGTCAACATCATCCTGGGATGCATTCTCTACGTTGCCCCCACCTGGATCTACGTTGTCATTGGCGTGTGGCTGGCCCTGGTTGTTGCCGTCTTTGTCCTGCTCAAGGTCCAGCAGACCCGCACCCGACGAGCCAAGCCCGGAGATGCCGAACAGCACTCCCTGTCTCGCCCCAAGCAGAACAAGCCTCTGCAAGGCCGCTACTAAGCCAGCGTCCGTCGATCCTTGCTTTCGTCTGGCCGGGGCGTCTTCTTCGGCCTGATATATTCCCTACCTTCCCTCATTATCTTTGCTCCAAGAGCCAGTATCCCTGGCTCGGAAATGGATTCTGCGGCGACGCCGAAACGTGCTCGCTCCGCCCTCGGGTTGATCCCTCTTTTTTTTTTTACTTCGTATGGTGTGAACAGCCGACAGCGATAACCCCCTGTACCGTCGATGAACTTGCGTGTCGCCTGGCTTGCCAACCCACAAGACCGACGATGCTGTTTTGGGTTCTTCCTGTTTGCTGTTTGCAACATCGGTGTGTGTGAATGTACCTTCCTCCCTCCTGTTTGGCTTCCGGCGTCCCTCCCAGTTGCTGGGTGACTCTTCGAGCGATGCACACGGCCTGGTGGAATACAGAGAATATCCGTTCCTCACCATCCGTCGCCGCCACCAGCCCCGTCCCGGTGTCTTCTCCGCGAATGCGTTTGTGCGTGGTTTCTGTTCCGGTTGTGCTCATTGCAAGCCGGTTCCGAGGAATGGCCGCCCTGGGCCGCCCTGCATATCGTCCCCGCCTCGTCTTGCCCGACCGACCGGGTTTTGTAGCTTGATCTGGCAGTGCGCTGCTCGGCTCTGCCCTGCCCTGCCCTTCCTGCGACCGCCTCCGTCGGAATCTCACAGCACCGTGCAGGTCTGCTCGCCGCCCAAGATGTCCTCGAGCACCAAGAACCAAACCCAGCGCCCCACAAAAATGACCCCGACACAGGGGTTTGTCTTTGGCGGCATCTCGTGCATGACCGCAGCCTTGGGTGCGTTAGCGGATTGCAAGCGGGCCAGGGCAGGAGAGCCTGAACCGAGTCGCTGAACCCGATCGCTGCGTCTGCCACCATACGCTTTCATCTTGCTCTTCCCTCTCGCCTTCTGGCGGTCAAGTCACCAACCCCGTCGACGTCATCAAGACTCGGCTGCAGCTGCAAGGGCAGCTCGCCGCTGCCCACGATGCCCCAAAGTACAATGGCTTTCTCCGGGGCATGCTGACGATCGTGACCGAAGAGGGACCCCGAGGTCTCTACAAGGGCATCTCGGCATCGCTCCTTCGCGAGGGCACGTACTCGACGTTGCGCATGGGGCTGTATCAGCCCATCAAGGACGCCCTCAAGACCCCAGGAGAGACGCATGAGCTGCTGTGGAAGAAGGTCGTCGCGGCCGCATCTTCGGGTATGTCGGCGGCAGCGTCGGATCGCTGCATCGGATCGCTGCAAGCTCCAGCGATGGGCCATACCACTGACCTTTGGCTCCTCTGATCGATCCCGCATCAATCCCTCGGATGAACACCCCTCTGGTCAATCCCTGATTCATCACTCTCGACGACGCATTCATCCTGCAGGCGCCATCGGCTCGGCAATCACCAACCCCGTCGACCTGATCAAGAGTGAGTCCGCCACCACATCCGCCCCATTTCGACTGCCTCATTCTCTCGAGCGATGCAACGGAGAGCACATCATAGCAGCCGAGATTCGTCCGTTGCAGGCCCGCGACGCCTTGTATTGCCTGTCTCTCTGTCTGTGCCCACTGTAGATGGCGAGCTATATCCGGCCAAGGATTATATGGGCTGTTTTGTTGTCTGCGATGGACAACTCTCTCTCTCTCATTCGGCATATTGGACTAATGCCCCACGTACTCATCTCATCAAGTCCGGATGCAGGCCCGCGGCGATCAGCAGGTTCCCTACAAGAACATCATCGATGCATTCCGAACCATCGCCCGTAACGAAGGACTCGGAGGGCTGTACAAGGGCGTGGGCCCGAATGTCCAGCGCGCAGCGGTGCTGACGGCATCCCAACTACCCAGGTAGTGGTGCGGTGCAGGGGACTCGATTCGGGATCCACGCTGCCCCTTCCTGTTCGTCTGGCTCACAGCACAGCAACCTTGCCACGGACAGCTACGACCACTCCAAGAAAGTCCTCATCGGCTCTGGACTGGTGCAGGAGGGCATCGTTGCCCACGTCATCTGCTCGATGTTTGCTGGTGAGTGACCGCTGATCACGCCGCCCCGAGGGGTCGGCAAAATCCATCCACCCGCCCATTTATCCATTAATGGTACTACCCGTGGGAACGAGAATATTGAAGGATGGAGGCGGACGGTACCAGGAACAGAGGTGACAGAAGGGGTGGGTGGGAGGATCTGGAACGGCAAAGTGCGGTTGAAATTGCTGACCAGGACCGCATTCGTTTTGCTCACAGGATTGGTTGCAGCGACATTCACATCGCCCTTTGTACGTGCGCCGCTGAGTCTCTTACGACTCACACATTGCTGCCTCCATTGCCAACTCGGCATCGATCCCGCTGTTACTTCCACTACTGCCTCCAATGCTGCCACTGCTTGCGATCGCAATCCATCATCTCTGCTTCCATCCTTTGCACGCCGCTGCCCTTCCTTTCTGTCCCTCCCCCCCATCCCATCCCGGCCACCCTGATTCATATGAAACCCTTTCCTCCAACTGTCAACAGGACCTCGTCAAATCCCGCTACATGAACCAGCGCAAAGCCTCGGGCCCCTCCGGCACACCGGGTGCTATCTTGTACAAGTCGCCCTTGGACTGCTTCGTCAAGACGGTCCAAAACGAAGGCGTGCGCGGCCTCTTCAAGGGCTGGCTGCCGAACTGGATGCGAATCGGCCCTCACACCATCGTGACCTTCATGGTGATGGAGCAGCTCCGAAGGCTGGTGGGCGTCGAGCCGATTTGAGAGATGTGCATGGTTGGGACGGCTCGCTCGATTGTTCTGTGTAGTTTTCTTTTATGGGAGAGGGAGGAAGGGAGGGGGTGAAGTTTGGCTATATTTTTGAAGATGGCTTTGATTTCTCCACTGTGGCTCCCCTTCGCCTCCTCAGCAAGTCTATATACACCCAAGATGGACCGCTCTCGACCACCAAAAGTACTTCTCCCATCCCCACTGTTGTCCGTCCACTCTGGGTCAATTGCTCTCTGGACCCACAAATACACTCGTCTTTATCCTATGTGCTCAAGAGTACGACGTTGTTCACACCGCGGAAAGCAGGGCAAGGGAGACACATCGAGTTGGCACATCGCCGAGGAGGAGGGGAGGGGAGGGACTCTCAATGCATCACAAACCATCAGAGTAGGACGAGCCCATCAGGGACGGGTGTTGTGCATTATTGTGCATTGTTCAGGCGAGACGATAGAAGTGACTCACACCCCGTGTGTAATGGGGATCTCAGGCAAAAGGATCCCCCTCATCAAGTATGTGATTTGGTTTCTGCATTGCTTTTTATATATTCGGGAGCGTGTGGCCCACTTCCCCATTCCACAAAGGAGGGCGGAGGAGGAGGAGGGCTCAGAGCGAGGAAGGGACAGGGGAAGCCCAACCAGGGGGTCACAACGTGTTGTGCGTTCAGGAGAGGGAGGAGAGGGATCTGGAAAAAGCTTGCCGGAGCCGACAGCGTAAATCGGATCCATCGGCCGGTTGGATAGGCAGAGACAGGACGGGCGACTCACATGGGAAAGAGACGCCGGTCTGGTCAGCCGAAAGCGAGAGAGTGAAGGGTGGGAGGAGGAGGGGCACGAGGGAAACGAATGGCAAGCACAGAAGCAGGACCCAACGATACAAAAGATCGAAATCACCAGCCGTCGCCGGTCGGTCGCATGTGCAGTCTTCACTTCGCGATGGCGCAAAAGAAAAAAGAAGAAGAAAAAAAAAGACCATCAAGAAGAGGAGACAATCTGCTGCCCAAAGTAGCGAGCGGCAGAGTCGAGTGGCGAGTGGCGAGTGGCAAGTGGGAGAGGGTGAGGGAGTGGGAGAGGAAGGAAGCAGGCAAGGAAAGAGTGCTTCCAAGGAGCAAGCGCAATCGAGCATAGTGAGCAAAAGAGGAGCGGGGAAGCGGAAATAACATAACGAGCGCAGGGAGAGGGGGTATGCATTCAAACGAGAGGAAGGGAAGGAGAAGCTAATATCATTCACAGGAACATCAAGTCGGATCGAAAGGAAAGCAAAGACAAGATACAAGGGGACAATAAGAAACGACAAGCAGATAACAAAAGACAGGGCCGAAGGGATCAACAGCAAAGACAAGAAGCGAGAGAGTGGGAGAGGAGCGTTCACAAAGGAATAGGTGTGTACAAGGCATAATATACATATAGAACATTGAAGGAGGAGACGCGTGAGGGAGAGAGAGGGAGGGAGGGAGAGAGCAAATCCAAGGGAGGACTTGGACGGCTTGCTCATCGGGGCCGATCGCATTCGGGCTCAGGGCGAATGGATCGTGGCCGGAGGAAGACATAATACAGTATACATACAACATGTCCATCCATCCCTCGGGGGAAAGAGCGGTTGGAATCGGGTGCCGGGGAGCTGCATGAGAAGCAAGGCCCGAGACACCGCAGCAACGACAGTTCGAAAATACCACATTCATTCGGCTTTGCCCTTGCAGCGCTTGCCCTTGACATGGCGCTGGAGAGCGTCTGTGCGAGTGACTGAGTCGATTCGCGGGGGGAGCGGGGAGAGCGCGTGAAAGAGAAAGTGTGAAAAATGAGAACCGCAGAGGCAGCGGGGCGACAATATTGCAGCCGGGAGGAAATGCCTCCTCGACGGATCACCGCATGGGGTGGCGCGGCACGCATGGACCACCACTTACATGTTGTTCCGCAAATGGTGCAGGCATGCAGAATCTGGTTCTTGTCGTGGATCATCTGGTGTCGCTTCAGGTCGTGCTTGCGCACAAACCCGCGGCTACATTCCGAGCACCGGAAGGCCGACTTGGCCTCCTTGCGGCGACTGCCGTTTCGGCCAAGGGTCTTGCTCAAGGTAGCAGCAGTCGATGGGCCAACGATGGTCGGTCGGTGGCCGTCGTCTCCAAAGGACGACCGGGGCCGTTTGCGGCGACCATCATGGTCCGAAGCCGAGGCGGCCTTTCGCGACTCGGGCTTGCCAGCAACGCTGTGGCTGTCGTCATCGCCGCGGTCATCGCCGTTGCCTTCGTCGTTGTCGTCGTGGGCAGCTTTGGACTGGGCCTCGTCCTCGCTGGGGCAGTAGTCCAGGTCGGTGGTCAGGGTCGAGGTGCTGCTGGCGGGCGAAGGAGAGCGCGGCAGGCTGTGGGTGTCGAAGAAGGGACTGCCCTCGCGAGACGGGCTCTGGTCCTCGAAAGAGAACTCGTACGAGCTGTCAAAGGACATTCGCCGCTCGCTCGGAGAGCTCTTGCCGAGCAGTTGCGAGGCTTTGGACCGGGTGATGCGGACAGGTTGGACATCAACCCACTCGGCACGGAGATCCATCTGTGCCTCGGCCGACAGCTGCGGGGAGCCCATCAGGCTCGCCAGCATAAACAGGGGTTTGGAGGTGTTGATGGGGCTGGCGGCGCGGATGCGATTCCGGAGCGAGTAGCTGCTCTTCCGGCGCTGGGGCGGCGGCGGAGACGAAGCCGGGGTGATGGGGGCGTCGATCCGCTTGACGATGCGCGAGCGCTTGCGCTTGACGCCCTGGTCGCAGGAGCGGGCCAGGGAAATGCGGGGCTCAGGCAGCGAAATGAGCGGACAGCCGAGCAGCTGCTCGGTCGAGATAAACTGCGGGTCCTCGAGCGGGGGCGAGCGATGGGCCATGGAAGGTGTGTCGGCCGAGAGCTGGTGGGTGTCGATCAGCGAGTTGCCGGTGATGTTTTGGCGTTGGACAGACGGCTGGTAGGCAAGAACATGGTCAGCGTCGTCGCTGTCGTCGTCCTCATAAGGCGAGAACGATGTCAGTTGCGTTTGGCCGAGCCAGTTGCTGCTCGGGGTGGAGTCCCTGTGGGAAACACAAGCCTCAGCGGGCAGGTCGGTCGAGAAAATATCGGACATTGCGGACGAGAGGTCGGGGAGGTGCGAGGGCATGGAGACAGCAGCAACAGCAGCAGGAGCCGAGCGGTCGATCAAGCCCATGGTGTTGGTGTGGGGGGTATCATCGAATCGAAGGTCGTCGGGTCTGTAAGGCGGCAGCTCGGCAAAGGGGACCTCGGTGAAGATGTTGACCATGCCTGAAACAGAGGGAAAGTCCGAGGAGTAGCCGAACGGGCCGGAGAGATCTTCGGCAGCCTGGATGTTGAAGCAGTCCAGCCAGGTCGAGTCGATCTTGCCTTCGCGGTCGCTAAGGACGTCGACAGAAGGGCGGTCTTCAATGGAGGGAGAAGAGACGCAGGAGGAGACGCAGGAAGACGCAGCGCTAGGGACGGTCGAGAGAATCGTCCAGTCGGCAGCCGAGAGATAGGCCGGAGCCAGGGGGGTGTGGGAGGGCACGAGGTAGTTGGGGAGGCCAAAGTCAGGGTGGCCTGGATCGGACGGGTCCAGGAAGAGCTTCGGGACGATGGTGAAGGACTGCGAGACCGGGGTGGCAACGAGGGGATGGGCCATCGCCAGGGAGGAGCCGAGGGAGGAGCCGAGGGAGGAGCCGAGGAAGGGCGGCAGGAGCTGCTCGTGGATGATGGGGGTCGGCATGGGGGACACGTAGCAGGAGCCGTTGATGGCGACGGGGGACAGATCGGCCGGGAAGGCATCGCTGTGGACAAAGGAATGGCCGATCAGATCGAGTGCGTAGTCGGGAGGATATGAGGGCTGCAGGCGCTCGTTCTTGTCGAGGTGCGGTACTGGGCCGGCGAGGAAGTGGCTTGTCATTTGCAGAGCGGGAGGGATTCTGGATGGCGAGAATGGTTGTGACGACGATGTTGGGGATGGCGCGGGAACCAGGGCAGTGGACGGGACAGGAGACGGGGATGTGATCAAGCCGAGAGCAGAAGTGTCCAAGTGGAATAAATGGATCCGAGAAGGCGTGTCCAAACGCCATCACAGGCATGCATAAGTATGCACATGTCCAAGCAGCACAGGCGTGCATATGCCCAAGTAGCGTAGACATGTCCGAGCCATCATAGTGGCAACGTCAAACCAGTTCGGTCCCAGGATCGGATCGTCACGGGCGGCCACCATTGCGACAAGGAAGTTTGTCGCAGATGAAGGAGGTGAGAGGGGGACCGGAGAGGCATGTGAGGGAGGGAGATATGTACCAGCAAGGGCCGCGAGCAAGGGCCAAGGAGAATGAGCGGTGGCGGGGGTTAGCATGCACGTCTGTTTCTGTCCGACAGACAGGGTTCAGTAGCAGCAGACGAGGCAAGTCGGTTGAAGCCAAGCCAGAGGCAGAGAGAGAAGATGGGAAAAGGACAGGTGGTGGTGGGGCTGCTGGATATGCCAAGCCAATCTCTGTGGAAGCTGCTGGTGGCGGACATTCAGGGAGGCATCGAGAGGCAACGGCGAGCCGGTGGCGGCAAGGAAGCGTCACCTTGTGGATATCCAGACGGAGGCGTACTCTGGAGCCAGAGCAGGAGCTATCAAGGAGGAGGAGGGGGGGAGGTCCCGCCGTGGGTTCCTGGGCGATTTGCGAGGAGACAGATGGAGAAAAGAACGAGGGAAAGAGCCGCCGGCGCAGGAGGATATATAGCGCAGGTGGGTGAGAACGGGTGACGGCGAAAGGATGTCAGCGAGACGCGCGGGCGCACAGAGGAGCGGGCACATGCGACAGTGCCGCCACGCGCGCGGACAATAGCGTCAGACGCGGCTGGGCGACATGGACGGCAACATGGGCAAGCGCGGGCGGCCTTGTTGGAGAGAAGCGGGGGTGATATAATGCGGTTGATGTGTTGATGTGTTGATGATGTGTTGATGATGTGATGTGTAGTCGAGCCTGACTACTGCCGAGCCTGACTACTGTCGACGGCGACGGTTGGCATCGGCGACTGGCACCTGTGTCGAGGCTCAGGGTATCAATGCCAAGACCCAATATCGACAACACTCATGTATCAACACCACCAAGTATCAACACCACTAAGTGTCGACAGTGTCACATCCATCCATGCCGCCATCCTGGACACTGTTCCTCGGCTGTTCGCCCCCCCCCACGGCGTCACGCGCCCTCCGCAACGCCAGTGTGCATCGTCCTGGCATTCCACACCGCCCTGCGTGCCTCAGGCCCATCTTCCCTCCGGGTGCTCTCGGTCGCCACGCAGTCGGACGCAGGTGAATCCGGTCGATCCCGCCGGCCAGCCAGAGCTTCGCTGAATATGCGCTATCCCGAGCAGGCATCGGCCCTGGCATCGGCCCTGTCATCGGCCCTGGCATCGGCCCTGGCATCGGCCCTGGCATCAGCCCTGGTCCAGGCAGCCGCACCCGAACCGTCCTGCCAGGCCACGACGGCAAACAAACCGATACGCGGAGCCCGAGCCATGCTGCCAGGGCAGGCGCGTTCGGGGCCCGCTGGACCGACACGCACGGCTGCATGGGGGGGGCCGAGCGGGTGCGGTGTCGGTGTCCTTCTGTCGCTGTTTCTGCAGCCAGGTGTTTGTAGGTTGACTGCGATGCCAAACTCCGCCGTGACACTTCAATATCACACCATTTCAATATCACACATTCAATATCACACCATTTCAATATCACACATTCAATATCACACCATTTCAATATCACACATTCAATATCACACATTCATTATCCCGCCATGCAACTTGGCACGACAAGATCGCATTGCATCCCATCTCAACCCAAACGGCAAACGCAACCACCCCACCGCATTCCCGTCTGTCGCACCGCTGCACTTGCGCGGCAGTGCCTGGGCAGCGCCACGCCAACTCTATCGGCGCGGCCTTCTCGCCCGCACGTTGGGCCCACACCCGCCGTCCTCGCCTGCATTCCCATCGCATCGCCGGTTGCAGAGCCACACCAAAGCATCCAGGCCCGTCTCTTTGCCCAGCGCGCTGCCCAGGGCGACGCAATCCGCACCTGGTCTTGCCAACATTGGCCCCGTGCGCACAACCCAGAGCCTGATTGCATCTCCGACTCTCTCACCTCTCTTGGGGACGCTCCTGCGCGTCGTCGCGGCTCGGCAACTGCCTGGCTCTCTGGCCCGCAGCGAGTAGCAGCGAGTAGCAGCGTATATCGCTCCCGAGAACCGCCCTGACCATCGCTGCCGGTGTCCGGGGTATCCCGTCCTCTCTCGGTCGCATCCACGGCACGTCATCCTGCCGGAACGTGCAGCCCTGGTTGTTGGGCGACGGCGTCTGCATCCCGCCTGCCTGGGCTGTCTTTCTTCCCCCGCGGCTGTGCTCGTTTGGGCCTGCCAATGTTCCGTTGCTGTGGGACGCCGTGGTGCAGCCGTGGTGCAGCCTTGGTGGGCGGGGCTGAGCCTGCAAATTTGCTCTGTGCGAGTCCAGAGGCAGGACACGCCATGGAGCTCGGCCCAGGACGAGCAGGTGGGCATGAACCGCCGGTGTCGTTGTCTTTGGAGCACCCTGCTGGTATCCCGATTGCCATCCGATTGCCATCCGATTGCCGTCCTTGCTTCCCGCCTGCATCCCATTCGCCGTCCTCTCCCGCTTGCATTTCATTCGCACCCCGCCTGCTTCCCATTCAGCTCCACCACAGCCGCCCATCGCCTTGCTCTGCGCATGAGGCCAGTGAAGAGCTCGCGGTCCCCTCGGGCTGCTCTGCTTGGTTGGGCCGGAGATTGCCTGGCGGTATCGCTGCTGCTATCGACTGGCTGGTCTCGCTGGCATTGTCCGCCGAGTGTCTGTCCCATCGCCGACGGTCGCCGGCATGTCCTCGCCCATCACCACTCGCCATCGAGACTCAGTCCGACGAGCAGAACGCCAGCGCTTGGCCTCCACGAGCCCAGCAAAACCACCACCATTCGGACGCCCCTTCCTTATCGCATTGCTGGATGCGCGGATCCCTCGGCGGATGGACTGGAGATTGGGCGAGGCTGCGTCCAGCCAGATTGTCGGGCGCTGTCCTCACCATCGCCGTTGTCGTCATCGCCAGCGTCCCAAAGTGTAGCCTGTCGTTGATGGGGATCCTGCCGATCAGCTGCCCCTCACAGCTCGGCCACGGCCGACCACAACCGGTTGCCAGAGGGGGCTCGGTTTGCATTTTGCTTGTCCGTCCATCTGCCCAGTCGGCTGCCCAGTCCCCAGTCCCCCGATGAAGCCCATCACCCGCGAGGAGTTGTCCAGACACAACTCGGCGAGCGACTGCTGGGTAAGCCGCTCCCCGTTTCGTTGTGCCCCCCTCCCAGGAGCATCCGGCTTTGGCATCGTCGTTTCGGCTGCACAAGCATCCCAGCCCCAGGCTCGCATACTCACCCACCGGTCTTGTTGACCCAGGTCGCCATCCACGGCCATGTCTACAACCTCACCGGCTTCCTCAGCGAGCATCCCGGCGGTGCCAACGTACGTCTTCCGCTCGCAGCCATCTGGGATGCTCATTGATTCCACGGTGCTGGTCTGACTCGCTCTCTGTCCCCTTCCCCGGTCACGGCAGATTATCCTTCGCGAGGCCGGAAAGGATGGAACCCGGTCCTTCGAGGCTATCCATTCCAAGGATATCCTCAAGGCCCATCTCGGCGCCGAGGCACTCGTTGGGCTGCTGGAGCCAGGAGCACATCCGGGCGATGCCGAGCAGAGTGACGTGATGGCCACCCAGAAACTCGCTGTGCCGCCGCTCTCGTCCGTCTTGAATCTGTTTGACTTTGAGGTGCGCTTTCGCTGCCAGTCGAGGTCGATCGGCTCGTTGTCGCTGCTCAAATGCACCAATGCCAATGATGCGCCAATGATGTGCCAACGCAGATGCAGACGTTGACTCTGCACGCCGAAGCATCTGGTCGCTGCATCATCGTCCTTGAGCATCGCCCGTCCTCTGGTCCAGCGGCTTGAACTAACACCGCCAACCCTCCCAGGCTGTGGCCCGGCGAGTTCTCACTCCAAACGCATGGGCCTACTACTCCTCCGGCGCCGACGACGAGCTTACCCTGCGCGAGAACCACTCTGCCTTCCACCGCATCTGGTTCCGTCCGCGCGTGCTTCGAAACGTCCGGGATGTCCGTCTCGAAACCGTCTTCCTCGGCAGCCCGACCAAGCTGCCCATCTACATCACCGCCACGGCCCTCGGCAAGCTGGGCCATCCCCAAGGCGAAGTGGCCCTCACCCGTGCTGCCGGCACCCGCGGCATCGTCCAGATGATGCCGACGCTGGCCTCGTGCTCCCTCGATGAGATGATGGACGCTGCCGTCCCTGGCCAGTCGCAGTGGTTCCAGCTCTACGTCAACCCCAACCGCGAGCTGACCAGGAAGATTGTCCAGCACGCCGAGGCGCGTGGATGCAAGGGCCTCTTCATTACCGTCGACGCTCCGGCCTTGGGTCATCGTGAAAAGGACATGCGAACCAAGTTTGAGATCGATGCCCCCAAGGTCCAGGGCTCGGTCTCGGAACGGACCCAGGGGGCGGCCCGCGCCATCTCGGGATTCATCGATCCGACCCTCGACTGGGACGACATTCGCTGGTTCCGGTCCATCACCAAGATGCCCATCGCCCTCAAGGGCATCCAGACCGCCGAGGACGCCCTTCTTGCACATCAGCACGGCATCGACGCTATCGTCCTCAGCAACCACGGCGGCCGCCAGCTGGACACATCCCGCAGCGCCATCGAGATCCTGGTCGAGGTCATGTCGGCCCTTGAGCACGAGGGCATTGTCGGCAAGATGGAGGTCTACGTCGACGGCGGCTTCAAGCGCGGATCCGACATTGTCAAGGCCCTGGCCCTGGGTGCCACCGGCGTCGGCATTGGCCGGCCCTTCCTGTACGCCATGTCTGGCTACGGCCAAGAAGGAGTCGAGCGTGCTCTCGATCTGCTCAAGGACGAGATGGAGATGGTCATGCGCATGCTGGGCGCCCGCAGCCTCAAGGAGCTCACCCGCTCCATGGTCATCACAAAGGACCTGACGACGCATGCGGGCGTGTCCATCCGCGACAACCTGTCGGAACAGATCTACGAGCCACTTGCCTACACCAGCGTCGACCCCGCCAAGCTCCCCGCCAGCAAGCTGTAGCGCAACGACGGCTGCAGGACCAGAGCTGCTGCGTCGCGCCATTGCGACAGCTTCTGCATATACGGATGTGCCGATGGGCTGATGTGCTGATGTGCTGGTGTGTGCATACAGTCGGTCCAGAAAGTAACGGGACAGTCACTTTCTGGCTTCTGAAGCCCGCTGACTGACTGTAGACCCAGCGGGTAGGCCATGGCATTGCACTCCTGTCTTCGTTGGCAATCGAGTGGTTTTGGTTGGTTTCGGGAGCACAGTCTTGAATACACTCGGTCGATCTCCTGTGGCGATGATCGACTGGCATACCGAGATCATGTTCCTGGCTGCATTGATGTCTCGATGTGGGAGTGTGGTGCATTCACTCGACTCTCTGGACAACTCCATGGTTTCTCGATATCAAGATGGTCGACCTTCTCGAGTCGCTTGGCTTCCCGACAATGTGGGCACACCTGGGATGTGTTGAACTCGTTCACCGAGCACACATGGATCTTGGAGACGGATCGGTCTGGTGGGCGTCTCTGGTGGTGTATGAACTGCTCAAAGTACTTGGCAAACCTGAGTCTCCGTGGGCTGGATGCGTATCCCTTCCCCTGTTTCCAGGAAGCATTTCCAAAGGCAATCACCACCTCGGTCTCCCTTGGACATACTTGCTTGGCCATGAATGCGATGAGTGGGTGGGTGTATTCAGGTTCTAGAAAAACACAGTCATGGCTCAAAACGGGGCGTCCCATTTCATTTGGAATCGCGTAATATAGCCGCTGTCACGTGATATCCGCCCCGGCATAACCCCTGGCCAATCATATGCCCGCCTCTGTGCCAGATCTCAGCAACCTGATACTGCATCGGCTGCCTCTGCTGTCATTCCTGCCTCTGCTGTTGCAACCCACCAATGCAATGTCGTCCATTCAGGACTATCTCAACAAGCACTACCTCTCCGGCCCTCCTGGAGACGGATCCAAGAAGAAGAAGCGAAAGACAAAGGACGGTGCCCCCGCTTCGGCGCCATCGTCACTATCGGCTTCGAGCTCGACCCGGCCAGCACTCGGAACCCAGATCATCGACGACGACGACAGTCTCGGCTGGAATCGGGGCCCAGGCGACGCTGGATCAAGCCGCGATGGATTGAGAGCACCCGGTCGACCCTCTGAACCGGCCCGGCTTGGCCGAAGCCATCGCTATGACGACGAGGACGATCGTGACAACGATGATGGTGACGACGGCGACAACCGCAGAAACAATGCCGCCGACCGGGACGACGCAGACGACGAGGACGGAGAGTTTGCTCCGCAGATCGATGAAGATGCCGCCCGCCTGCTGGACCAGCAGCAGAAACAGGCCCGGTTCAAGAGCAGCGGCTGGGTTGTGGTTGGAGGAGCCAAGGACAACGAGCAGCTCGATAGCAACCAGGCTTCTCCCACAGGTCCAAGAGACGACTCGGGCCGCCCAGAGGAGCAGAGCTCACCGCCACGGCGACGAGCCCGAAGACGACGACGCACGCCCAGCCCGAGCCCTCCGCCACCCGGCAGTCAGGACGACACCAACAACACCAACGATGCCAACGATGCTCGCCGGGGACGCGGCGGCAGCCCGTCGCCCGATTCCAACACCATCCGCATGTCGGATGGGTCTCTTGCCGGCCTGCAAACCGGCAGGCAGATCCGAGCCGACTTTGAGCGGCGCCAGCAGGACCAGCAGCAGCGGTTCAACGAGCTCGACCCCTCGCTGACCGGCCGGGATGCCAAGACAGTCTACCGCGACCGCATGGGCAAGAAGGTCGACCAGGTCGCCGAGCGGGCCCGCCAGGCCGAGCTGCAGCGCAAGTGGGAGGAGCAGGAAAGCGCCCGCATGGTCTGGGGCAAGGGATATGCCCAGGTCAAGGAGGCCGAAGAATCCGCCCGCCGTCTCGAGGCTGAAAAGTCGGCAAAGTTCTCCTTCTATGCCGACGACCGCGAGCGCAACGAAAGCCTGAAACAGGTCGACCGCTGGGGCGATCCCATGGCCGGTCTCGTCAAGAAGAGGAGCAACAGCAGCAAGGCCGTGTACTCGGGCCCGCCCGGCCCGCCAAACCGCTTTGGAATCCTGCCGGGATATCGGTGGGACGGCGTCGATCGCTCCAACGGATTTGAGGCTCGGCTTTTCCAGCAACAGAATGCCCGGACAGCAATGGCCGAGGAGGCATACAAGTGGTCGACCGAGGTAGGCGCTGAATGCTCCGTGCCGGGAAAGTATCCGGGATATGTCGCCGCCGCGCGGGGCATGTGCCTCGAAGACTCGCATGCTGACGACTTTCTCTTGCATTTGTCGCAGGATATGTGATGGATAACGACAGCGGCTCCCAAACGAACGAACGAGAAACACCATCCATCGCAAGAGCCCGATCTTGATTGCTGGAACTCTGGGCAATCTCCTCTTGGGTATTCCCCGATGGCGCTCATCAATACACCAGGGACGAGTCTGGTCGCCAGGGACGTTGTGTGGACGTCCTTCAGCCCTCGCTCTAGTCGTAACGATCGATCAATCCAGGCCCGCCTCAGCTCACTGATCTGATGAACCAGCGAATGCCCCACTCCTCGCTGTACGGACACCATCATGTTGGTTTTGATATCTGGTTTTATTACTGGCCGATACATGCGACACTGTTTCGTCTTACCACGAGAGAGAGAGAGAGAGAGAGAGAGAGAGAGAGAGAGAAAAGTGCGGCCCTGAGCAAGTGGCGGAGTGCGTTCTTGGTTAGCATGGCATGAAATGGGAGAGAGCGGTCTCCAAGACAGCACCGACAGATGCCACCAGCAGCAGCCGCCCCATGCGATGCCCCCCGAGCTTCCTCGGGTTCTCAGAGAAAAATCTAGCGAAAAATTGGGTTTTCGTCACGGCATTCGGACAGCCAAAGGAAACAACGTGTCTCATCATGTTGGAAGCAGGGCATCGCGAGGGCTGCTGCGGCGGGCCAGGCTGTGGACGAACGACATCCACGGCGGACGTGGGCCCGATATTCACCTGGTGTTCCACTTGGTGCTCCACTTGGCGTTTCGGGCGGGGGGGAGATTGGGCGATCGCGCTCTGGACGAGAGAGGCAACGACGCGCTTTTGAGGTCCCTGGCTCGGCCTCCAAGCCACAAGGCACGTGACTATTCTGATCACGCAGCACCAGCCAATCACGAACCCGGTCATGTGAGCCGATACACGTGGATCGCGCGTGATTCACAATGGGGCACAGCCAATCCAGAGTCCGCTGCAGACCAAGGACCAAGGACCATGTGGGTGCTCTGGATCCACTTGGATGCCTGGATGTTCCGTTGTTATTGGAATGGCTGGGCTGTATCTCATTCAAACAAAAAACGCATTGGCTGTATTGACGGATGCTGCGTTGGCAGCGATGCTGTTTCTCTCCAGCACCGGCATGGAGGAGGAGCTTAGACTTCGTCGCTGGCCTCGGTAATGTCGGCAAAGAGAGGGGTGCTGAGGTAGCGCTCGGCAGTGTCCTGGTGCGAGTGAAAGCGGAGGCTGTATCAGTCGCTAATCGGCGCAGCAGAAGGGTGCTGTCCATTAAGCCGCCTTGCCGCATCCCCAGCGTCGTCCGCTGCCTTGTGGCGCTCTCACAGCCATCGACAGCATAACTACTTACGGGGAGCATGACCAGGATGTTGGAGCCCTTGGGGGCGATCTTGGCGACCTGGAGGGCAGCGTGGAAGGTGGCGCCCGACGAAATGCCGACGGCGATACCTTCCTGGCGGGCCAGGGCCTTGGAAGTGGCGATGGCATCGGCATCGTTGACGGGCAGAACCTCGTCATATGCGCTGCGGTCGAGAACCTGGTTGTCGCGGCGAAAGCCCGAGTCAGAGTCTGTCTTCTCCACTCGATACAGCATGTCTGTGCTGTCGTCGTCCGTACTCACCTCGGGAATAAAGTCCGGAGTCCAACCCTGGATCATGTGGGGAGTGAAGGGCTTTCCTGCAGATCCAGATCGAAAACATGGGCGGCGCTCGTGTAAGCACACTGAGTAGTAACCACCTCTCCACGAAGCATCGGCATCTCCAGTTCGACCGTCGACAGGACCAAGATGCCGCGCCAGGCCAATAGTCTTCCCCCCCCCCGCCGATCCAGCCCGCATCCACGGCATGCTCAGAACTGACATACGATATTTGAGCAGCAGACACAGCGACACATACCGGCGAGGAGAGAGGCACCAGCAGGCTCACAAGTGATGACCTTGACGTCGGGGCGGGCGAGACGGAGCATCGACGAGACACCAGTCATGGTGCCGCCAGTGCCCCAGCCGCTAACAAAGTAGTCGAGACGGTCGCCAGCAAAGTCAGAGAGGATCTCTGTAGATGAAAGAGAAGAGGAAACAGAGCCCGAGCCAGAACAGCGTCGGCATTAGCATCTGAATGCGGGGTCAAGCGGAGCCATGCGGATCTGTTGGCAGCGAGCCACAGCCATAATGCCAATCGTTGGAGAGCTCCTCGAGTGCGCCACTTGTGCTTACCGGAAGCGGTGGTTTGGCGGTGGAAGGCGGGGTTGGCAGGGTTGGCAAACTGGCGGGTAAGGAACCAGCCGTTCTTCTTGGCGAGCTCTGGTTGTGTGCAGAAGCGGCGTCGTGGCCATCCGAGATCAGCCCACCAAAGACACCGAGGCATTAGTAATCGCCACGGAGAGCAGCGGGCAAGAGCATAACAGGCATATGTCAGCGCTCTGTCCAAACCGATGGGCTTGGTCCGAGACAGAGAAGCGACGGCGGGGTGTGCGAGCTGGGGTCTGTTGGGCCGCCGGATCGTCGCTGTCGAGACTCCAGTGGGCCATCGGATCAGGTTGCTCCTCGACCAGCCTCAGCGAGCGAGTCATACCCACGGTTGGAGCCTGTGCGCTGTGGTATCCGGGCTGGAGGAGGCCCGCACTGCAGCCCACGGCACATAGCAGCAGCGATCGCAGCCTGCACCCGCCTCGCATCGGCCCCACTCGGCACATTCCCGTTCACTGCATCCCATAGCCGAGCCACACCCGCGACATGACCAGCGAGCGACTCCACGTCCCACGCTGTTCATGCTTGTGCCCGAGACTCACCCTCGGCCTTCTGGACCATGCCGGTACCGCGGAGCTCCTTGGGAGTCAGGACGACCTTGGCGCCGAGGAACTTCATCAGCTTTCTGCGCTCGACCGAGAAGGTCTCGACCATGGTGGCGACAAAGGGATAGCCCTTGGCAGCGCAGACCATGGCGAGGGCGATGCCGGTGTTGCCCGAGGTGGCTTCGACGACGGTCATGCCCGGCTTCAGCAGGCCCTTTCGTTCGGCGTCGTCGATGATACCGAGAGCCAGACGATCCTTGACGGAGGCCATGGGGTTGAAGGACTCGACCTTGACGAACACGTTGACGCCCTCGGGGGCGAGACGGTTGATGCGGACGATGGGGGTGCGTCCGATCGTGGCGAGAATGTCCTTGTAGATCATGGTGCGATGAGGGCTTGAGCCGGGAGACAGATCAGAGGAGAGTCGAGTGGAGAATGTGGGTGCCAGCGACCGAGATGAGGATGAAAAATGAAAAAACGGGCGTGGGGGGCGAGGGAGGGCAGGCCAGAGCCGTTCCCAGAGGCGACGACGACGACGCGCGAAGACGTCATCGGGCGCGAATCGTTGGGCAGCATCGAGGGGATGTGCAGCCGAGAGTGGCCATGCAGCAGCGGAGGTGTGGGGCTGTTTGGCGGATGTGGGGTCGGATATCGACCGGCGGACAGGACATCGGGCGGCGGCGGCCTGACGAGGTCGATATCGGATATCTCTGCTGATGGGATGACATCTCTGCAGATGGGACGACGGCTGGGCTCGCTTTCGGCATCGCCATGGGAGTGATTGGACTCGCCGTGGCTGTTTTGATTCGCCAGCAGCGCAAAATCGCCGATGGCGAGCCTGGGAACTTGATTCTCGGCAGACTCGCCGACCAACATCGCATCGCATCGCATCGCATCGCACCGCATCGCACCGCATCGCACCGCATCGCACCGCATCGCATCGCATTCGAGATTCGGCTCGGCGCAAATGTATCAGCAACCTCCTTCCGGTCATTATCGGCCGCCGCCAGACCCGCCCCCCGAGTACTACCCCCCACCTCTTCCGCAGCAGCCCGAGTCCTCATACTATGCCGGCCCGGCCTTCCCGCAGCAAGCCGTATATCAGGGCTATCCGCAATACTCTCCGCAATACGACCCGCAATACTCTTCGCAATACGACCCGCAGTATGCACCGCAGGTTACTGTCCTGACGGGCGGAAACGACAATCGTCCCCAGTACACGCTGCCGAGCCCGAAGCCACCCCAAATGGCAGTTGCTCCCGCATGGCAGGTTGGAGCTCGTTGCCAGTTTCGCTGACTTCATAGCGCCTCTGCCGCTGTGCTCTCTGCCGTCCCTTGCTTCTCCAGGCAATCCGTTCCTAACCCCGAAGCTGCATCCATCGCGCCTGTCGTTGGCTCCTACAGGATGTGTGGGCCACGGTCCTGTATCTCATCGGCCTGGCGGCCTTCATCTATGCATGTGTCGTGGGGTTTCCTCCGGCATTAGCACAGATCCAGCAAGGAATCTGGCCAGGCAGTACCCAAGGTGCTGCAGGCTCTGCTCCGAGCTGGATTCGGCTCCTGTATCCGCTCGCCGTGGTCATTGTCGCGGCCCTCGTCTTCGCCATGGCATTCTTCTACCTCATGCGCTCGTAAGTAGTCCAGCCTCTCCGAGACCTCCATCACTGACTGCATCGCATATGGCCTCGGCCCTCATCGACGCCTCTACCGTCTCCGCCGTCCCCAGATACCCTCGCCAGATGATCAAGGTCGCATACTGGGTCTCTGCTGCGTACTTGATTCTCTTTGGCATCTTTCTACTGGGCGTGCGATCCTGGATCTTTGGGGGACTCATGATCCTGCTCGGACTGCTCTATGCCCTCGCCTATCGCGCGATGCTCTTCAAGGTCCCATTTGCCACAGTCATGTCGGTAGCGCCATTTGTATTTTGCCTGCACATGCCAATATCCCGGTGTCTGCTCTTCCTCGCCAACTACTGTCACTGATGCTGAACTGCCATCCATGCTGGTCGCAAACAGGCTCCAGCTCACGACGAGCATCTCCAGGCAGTTCCCAGCGACGCAGTGGATCGGATTTCTGGCTACGCTCTTAACGCTGGCGTTCCAGATTGTGTGGTATATTGCTCTCCTGGGGCTATTCAACGTTTTCTACTCCAACTCGGCCCAGCCAGGAGCCACCGTTTGGGTGATCTTGGTGTTCATGGGCAAGTGTATCGCTGGCGCAGCTCAAACGAGCGCGGCATTTGGTTATAGTTCCGCTCATCACAATCGAGGAGGAAGATCTAACCAAGTCTTTCTTTGGCCTTGTGGACTGGATGCAGTCTTCTTTCTCTACTGGACACAAGAGGTCGTCAAAAACACCGTCCACGTCACCATCGCTGGCCTTTACGCTACCGTCTACTTTACGGGAACCAGCACTGGGGATGCCCTCGCCTTCCATGTTCCAGTCTCCAATCCGACCCTCAAATCGGCTCGGCGAGCGCTGACCACCAGCTTCGGCTCGATCTGCTTTGGCTCGCTGCTCATTGCCATTATCCAGACACTCCGCTTCTTGGCGAGGATGGCCCAAAATGAGTCTGCCCGAGAGGGCAACTGGCTTCTGTGTCTCTTGGCGTGCTGCTTGAACTGCATCCTGGCTTGCCTCGAGGATATGCTCAACTACTTCAATCACGTACGTCTGTGCATCTGCCCCGATTGATGTGCACCCGCACTGAGGAATCGAATGTCTGGTTCGATGGGTCTGATCAGCACTGCACTTGACCTGGCTGCTGTTTGATCCATCTGCTTGTATCGGTTGGCTCTCAGTATGCTTTCACCCAAGTGGCCATCTACGGAAAGGACTACTGCACTGCTGGAAAGGACACATGGAACTTGTTTCTGAACCGGGGTATCGAGGCGGTGAGTGACAGTGTCCAGCAGAGGCATGGGCGGAGCGGCACGCAACAACTCGGCTGACTCGAACTCGATCGATGCAATTGCCGCCCTTACGGACAGATCATCAACGACAACTTGATCGACAACGTCATTCTGATGGGAGGCATCAGCGCGGGATTCATAGGCGCCCTTGTCGGCTTTCTGGTGGTGTTCTTGGACAGCCTTGTGGCTTCCACGGTCGAGTCATATCTGCTCTACTGCATCATTGGCTTCGTCCTCTCGTTCTCGTGCTTCATGTCCATGCTGAGGGTCATCACCTCGGGCGTTTCCACAACGTTTGTGTGTCTCGCTGAGGATCCTGGCACGATGGAGCGACTGAAGCCCGAGCTGTTCCAGATCATGGCCGAAACCTGGCCGGCGGTCCAGTGGAGGGTGTAGATTGTGTCGACTACCGCTTCACAAGCGCCGTAAGCGCTTGAATGCGGAGGCAAGGCTCCGAGCGAGGTGCAAACTGGCTGAATATCACATGCGAGTAGCATCTGCCCCGAGGTTCAAATCAGCAGCCCAAAACAGCAGCCCAAATCAGCAGCCCAATAGCCCGCATCCTCAGCCAGGCTCGGCTCATCAGTCCATGATTCATGACATTGTACTCTACTGCACAACTTTCGGAATACAATGCCCGTTGCGATTGTGATTGAGGGGTCGTTGGCTCGAAGAGCTCCATTTCCAGAACAGTGTCGGTCGCCTTCTGTCGCTCTTGCTCGTCAAAGATAGCGGCAGTTTCGTTCCCAGCTACTTGCCGCCATCGTCGCCAACATGTCATCCCACGGGCTATCCAAGAACGAGGCATTCAAGTTCTTCAGCAACTTGAATTCCCAAGACAAGCCAGCGGCTGCTGGCGACCAGAAGCCGCTTCACAAGGACCCTCAGGCCCGCCCCCCAGCCGCCGCAAGCAATGCTGCTCGTCCTGGGCCCAAGGGAACTGCCGAATCGAGTGTCACCAGCAGCCGCCATCCCAAGACCCCAGACACTACCGAGCACCATCCCGAGGCCCTGGGCGACGCTCATTCTCGACCAGGTGGGTCCGGCGACGCTCGTTCTCGACCAGGTGGGTCCGCCGACCCTCCCCCAGGATGCATGTTCATTTTGGGCCACTCATAAAATAACCCTGAGTTTCACGCAGTAGCAGACATTCCGGTGGCGATCAGCACCCCCGTCCGATTCGACGCTGTCACGGCGCCCAGTGCACTTCCAGCTCAAGGCGAAAGCGCAATCCAGTTGACTTTCGGACCGTCGTCTGCCACACAATCCTCTGCCGTGAGCGTCCCTGCCAAAGAGGCACTCCCCGCACCCGCACCCGTACCTCCGCCATCCGAGATCTCGGTGGTTCCTCCCAGCGAGCGGATATGCCCTCGTTGCCTCGAGCATGCTGAGCCTCTGGATGGACTTGCCGCCCGCCTCGAGCAGGCAGCATTGGTGCTCAATCGATGCAGCAGCCCCAGCAACCAAGGCGATGTTTCATCGGCATCGTATTCGCAACTACTTCCACTTGTCGAGAGACTCGAGGCTGTATTTGCGACTCCATCCGACCGAGGCCTACAATCCAAGGACGCTGCAGCACTCGAGGAGCTGGTCGGTCGCCTTCAGAAAGCGTCGGCGAGCATTGAGGCACTCGAACGAGTTTGGGGAAGCAAGTTGGCTGCAAAGGAGGAGGAGCTTCAAGAAGCTCGCCGTGAGATCGAGAGACTCCGATCGGGTGGTGGACGCTGACGACTGGGGATACATTCTGCTGGCCGTGGAGCGGAGGGGTTTCGGAAGGCTGAGTGATATTTCGACACTCTTGGAGACACCGTATCGGCATGTGTGTATTCAAGATCCAGCCACACTCGATCAAAGGCCACAAGACAAGAACGTCTCGTTTCATTTCGTGAGCACCAGCAGTGAGTACTTGTAGTGAGCGATTGTAGTGGCCCTAGATTCAAGAAATGTGGTTGTTGGTCGACAGGAAGGCAACCAGAATGCGCATCGACCCTATTCGTAGGAGGCAAATACATCTGGTTGAGCGGTCGATGGACAAGAGCGTCTGTCGCGCAGATATCGATCCGCGTCGCCGATCGCATCGAACATCCGCTCGTAGTATCGGATCGCTGCCGCTGCCGCTTTGCGCGAGAATTGAGCCGGTCTCTCACAGCAGATAAGGCACAAACGGTGGCCACGTACGATGGACGTTGGATTTGAGACTGGGCTCGCTCTCCGATCTTCGTGTATCGCACATCCGATACCACTGGTCGAATGAATGCCGTGGCGTGAGTGGAGTGGTGGACGAATGTGCAACTTGCCATCAGGGAGGGACCGCAATATACTCACTTCCTCGGGGGGTATGGGCAGCTCGAGTTGTCGTAACCGCAGAGCAAAATACACACAGGCCATGGCCACCGCCTTCATTGGAATCCCCTGAGCGACAAACTGCGAGCAGCAACATGCATCCTGGGCCAGGTTCAAAGCAATGGCCCCGACGCTGGCCTGGGTGGCATCCAGTTCTGTGTTTCGGTTCAAGGACATTGTCAGGATCAGTTCAGTTGGATTCGCTGCATCATTGCCAGCCTCCGAGACAGCAGTCAAGCCCATCGCCTGTCGAGCTTGGTGCGCACCTTTGCCTTGGTTACGGTAGAGGTCGAAGGTGCTCAGGCAGATATCGGGGATATAGTCGTGCGGGAGTCGGATCGCAGTTTGAAAGTTCAGCACACGGAGCAGACAAAGCTCAGAGGAGATCAGCGACTCCCGTATGATGTGGTATTTCTGAGGAGCGAGATTCAAAGGTAGCGAAGCGACCGCCCGGCAAGCAAAACTGGTATCAGTCATCAACGTCTTCTGAGGTATGTGCTCTGTCGACAAAAGTGACCGCAGCCAATGATCCGGTCAACACAGTTCATCTTACTTCACCGATTTTCAGATAATTTCCTGGAACCTCGTCAACGAGCCTGTGCACAAGTGGGGGGCGAAAGGGACAAATGCGATGAGACTCAGATTTCAGGCAGTGATCCAGGCTTCGCATATCATCGGACGGTCATACACAGCCCGGAGTGCAACTTGCTCCAATAGACTGGGCCAGCTGCTGCCGTACCAATGTCCAACATTGATGATGTCCCTGGTCTTCCGGATTGCTTCGCACTGCTTGCAGGCGAGCTGGATGCATGTAATGACCATGGTCTGGTGGACGAGTGCGATTGCCGTGAGTTGCCCACGATTGCCGCTGGTTCACACAAAGCCCGCCATCCTTGGCAGAGAACCAGTATGGGTGATCTGGATGTTCATTCAGCGCTCGCTTACGTGCAAGTCGATCTTGAACTCGGCAAGACCAACGGCTGGATCCAACCGTCCGCCTGAGAGTCGGTCGGGCGAATGCCTGAGGGCTTCAAAGTGGCAGTAGTAGTGGTGAAAATAGAGTGCAGCAGTTGCAAGCACATGGTCTTTCAGGCGGAGAAGGTGGCAGCATTTCGCCATGAACTCCATCGCCGGGCTCATTTCGAGGACAGCAGAGGGCTGTAGCTGTGGCGACTTTGTGGCGACCGGGTGCAGCAGAGTCGTTGGCGGGTCGCTCGGGGCTGTATCGGTGGCCATTGCTGCTGGGCCTGCCGGCGGATGGCTGATGTTGGTTGGAAGGAGGGGAGCAGAGTCCGGTTTGACCGGGACGACAGCGGCCTGATCGGCGGCATGAGCGAGACACGGCGGCTGCGCACGCCGTCCTGCGCCACAGCCGAGGGCGGGCCGTCTCGCGAGGGCCTTCTCGGCGGTGCTCTCGCTTTGGTGTCGGTGCTGGGTCGCTGTGGGTATCGGCGGATCAGCATCCCATGTGCGACCTGTTGTACACCTGGCTCGGCCGGTGCCAGCCCTGCCGGATCGCCCTTTGGCAATAGGAGTTTCCTTGGGCACGGAAGCCTTGCCTGGAGTCTGACCTCGTCCCAGTGCTGCTGCCAAGGCCGCAAAGCATGTCCGAAGAATACAAGAAAAATGTGTGAGTACTGCCGACAGCCCGCTCCGCACGACTGCATCGAGCGGCTGACTCGGTCGGGGCAGACTGAGGTTGGGCTGGGTTGTGTGTGATGAGTAGCCGATGCGTATGGCCTCGTTCGCGCAGCCATTTGTCTGCCCTGCATTGGTTCGCGGGATATGCCGTGCTAATCAGTGCCGAACCCTACTCCCAACGACGCGACATGGGGACTCGCAGCGCCCTCTCCGGAGGAATGAGCATGCTCGTCAGCAGCATCACCGGACCCGGTGTGCTTCAAATCCCAACAGTGTTCCAAACGTCCGGGTTCTTTTTGTAAGAATCTTCCTCCAGTCCCGACGCGGCTTGGGCATCGCTGGCGAATCCGGTCATGAGAACCAAATGCTGGGGCATCCAGAGACGCGTTGATGTTGGTGTTCGGGATGGCATTGGTGTTGATGTTAATAGTGGTAGTGGTGGTGGTGGTGGCGATAGTGTTGCTAATAGTGGTAGTGGTGGTGGCAGAATAATTCGGGTGCCCACGAAGCGGCCGGACCGGATCCACTTCTGTATGCTTCTAAGAACGGAGGGCAGCGGCTGTACCTGTCCTTCATCGGCTACTTCATCGGCTGCTTCATCGGCTGCTTCATCGGCTGCTTCATCCGCTCATGCAGCAAACACCCATTTGCCCCTCTGTCTTCCAGCCCCACGTTTCTCTTCCTCGTCGTGACCGTGTTCACGGGCTGGAGCTGCCTCTTTCTTCTCGAAGCCATGTCGCTCTTTCCTGGGAACGCGTCGTTTGAGGTACAGAGCCTCGACCCAGTTCGCAAGCGTGGCAGCATTGTCCAGAATCAGACTTCTCACTAACGGCGAAACGCTTCAATCCAGAGAAACGTCGAGTTTACAGTGCTAGTGCATCACTTCTATGGCCGAAACTGGTACTACGTGATGCATCTTGTTCTCTACGGCTCGCTGCAATCCTTCAACGTTGCCTCGATTGTTCAAGCTGCTCAGGTATGCCGGCCTCCCATGCTCAAGGGCGGCCCTTGGATCCGCGCATAGTGTAATAACCCTCTGCCCTGCATTCCCCAGGCCTTTGACACCCTGATTCTAAATGTCGTCGGACAAACGTGCGGCTTCCAGCTTTCGGCGCCCTCGGGATTCGTCTGTGTCAACCAAGTCAGCAACTCCAATTCCCCCTTCGGATCTCAGTTGATGCTGCTGACGCTCGGTGGTGTGGTAAGCTGAGGGCCGATGGTCGTTTGGCCGCGGCGGAAATGGGCGAGCGGCCCCGACCCTTTGGTTCATATTCCAATTTCTTCCGCAATCGACATGTACCTGCTTCATGTGCCAGTTTACTTCACAGCCGCCGTGCACTTGCTTCGTGCGCTAAGTGACTCACAATCACCGGTCCCAGCTCCTCCTGGCTGTTCTCATCCCGCTGCTGTACCTGGACCTGAACGACAATATGATAGTGCAGTGGAGTGAGTCTCTTCGGCACATGCAGTTTCCATCGAGGCTCACTGACTTTGCATCGAGCCACATCTTGCAAGCTTGAAGGCGTTCATGCAAAGATGCTCGTGCTTGAGCCACAGCTACTAACCCGAATCGCACTTCCCTCTCACACACATCTTCAGTCTCGTGCCTCTACCTGATCATTTGTGTGTTGATATGGGTGATTATGTCGTTTTATTCGGGCCAGCCTTTCAGCTCCAGTTTCTCGTTCATGGCTCCTCCGGGAGGCGGCTATGCCAGCGCAATTGGTGCTGTCCTGTTCAATTTTACCCTGGCAAACACCATCCCGTCGTGGGTCAATGTCAAGGTAAGAGCGAAAGGTCGTTGATGTAACCAGCCACCGCTCAGCGCATGCATAGTCGGCCAGCGCACATGTTCGTGTGATCTGCTGCCTCGGCTGGAGGTCCTAGATTCTGATTCGCGTCTCACGAGCACAGCACAAGTCCGTCAGCGCAGCAACGTCTATCTGGCTGTCGCTTTGGTTTTCTACCATTCTATATATCATCACTGGATGGTTTGGTGAGTACCGGCAACGAGTTGAGCATGGGACGCAGCAAGAGGTTATTCAGATGCGGATGCACAGGGCGGCATTCCTACTTGAACTCACGAATGCATTCTGGTGAATCGCCTGGCCTACTACAGGCGCACTTGGATTCCAAATCAGCAACGGATCCAATCTGATGGCCGCTATCACCTCGACCCTGGTAACTGGCCGCTGGCCAGCGCTGGTCAATATCATCAACCTGACCTATCCGTTCTTGATCCTGGTGACATCGATCCCGGTCGCCTTCATCATCGCCAAGCTTAATCTCGTCACGTCTCATTTGTGCTCGCCAGGCATGTTCTTGGACGAAGGACATCAAGTCCTGACGCATGCGATGGTGGTGCACCGCCGTGATGCGCGACACCGTATCGATTCTACTGGATTAACCTCGTCTCCCTCATGCCGCTACTCTCCCCCCCCCATACTACTTCCAGGCGTGGCATATTTCTGGTCAACCATCTTCCCCTTCCTTGTGGCGATCCCGATGCAAACCGGCCCATGGGTCTCCATATTCGCCAATTGGACCAGTCTGACCTTCCAAGCCGTTTGCAACTTCATTGCCCCGCTCCTCATTTATCTGTATCTTCACAAGCGTAATCTTGGTAAGGACACAGCCCCCCGAGAGTTCGCATGGTGGCCGAACAGACACCAACATCCACCACTAGAAATCATGTGCCAGGCTTCGATGACATGGTGTTGGACAGCGCTGCGGTCTGGCGCTGTCCTATGGCACACATAAGCAATTCCCCTATACGCAATATGGTCTACCTGTTAGATTGATGCACACGATTGCTAATAAGGCCTGCTTGTGGTTTGAATCACTTGCCTGCTTCGGCTCTTGTGGCGCATGGACGGCCGATTTGCAGTGATGCAACAGTCCGTGCTTGACGAGCTGGACAACCTCGACGTCACTGCCAACATCAAAAAGCGCGGCTATGACGACGAGGATGACGACTTTGACTACATTTACCATCTGCCATATGCCGACCCGGCGCGGATCATTCGTCGAGACCCATTTGCAACACCCCATCCCGCAATCGGCGCCCCCGAAATCAACGTGCCCTCGGTCAAGTGCTCCAAAAGCTCGCTCCAGTCCAAGGACGGCCACACCATGACCAAGGCTACGCGACGAGCCCTGAACCTTAGTGGCAATGACGAGCATATCCAGGTTCACGGACGAAAAATGTCGCGCATGTCGAACGGCTCTGCCATGCATCTCGGCTCCACCATGATGGGCGGCTCCACGGTGGGCGGCTCCAGAATGATTGGATCGCGTATGACCATGGGCTCGCAGGCATCGACCAACTTTGGCTCGGCCATGTACATGGACAACCGCTACTCAAGTGGGCTTGGCAGCAGACTCTCCAACGGAGGCTCGAGCAAAATTTATCCCGTTGATATGGAGGACGAAAGCCAGATCTTGACCGAATCCGGCATGCAGATCTCAACCGATATTATGTACAACATGGAGCCGCCATTCAAGGCGCTGCCACCTTGGATTACGACGCGGGTGCCGCCTTTTATCGTAGCCCTGGTTCTGTTCGTCATCATGTCCGTTGGCTGCATAGGAATCCTGATCTACAACATCTACAGCCTCGCCACCGGCCAGAGCGGATCGTGAGCGGCGCTTTTGCCGCCATAGTCATATCCTCGCTTGGATTGTGCCTTGATTAATCAATTGAATAATGGACCTATTGCTGGACTGCTGTTATGGTGCTTTGAGATGCTATCGGGTGCTACCGTGACGCAGTTTAGGTGTTGCCGACCTGCTGCAAATTTATACCCGTGGCCGCCGATAAGAACGACTCGTAAACGAGATATCCGTTGGCTTCATGTCCAGGTCATGTCCAGGTCATGTCTGGGTGTTGTCAAGTATGATCTATTGTACGATGGTCGCAGCTCAGTTGGCGACTCGGACGACGACAGCTCAGCCCCGATTTGATGAATGCGATGCTTGAGCCAAGCAGAGATGGAGGGGTTGACGACGAAGAGACTGGTGGCGACGCCTTTCGTACAGGACAGGTGCGGACCTTCACTGCGATTTGACCTTGATGGTGGCGGGGAGCGGATCAGTTGCGGGGGGAGCAGGTCAGTGGCGGAGACAAGCGTGAAAAGTGCGAGTGTGTTGTGAAGCCAATCTTCGTGGCAATACAGCGAACGCTGCCACCGACGCTGGAGCGGTATAGCGAACCATTCCGCTCGAACAGCCCGAATATCGCAGCGCATCTGCAATGTCATCCTCACACCACACACATCGCGCTCCTCCGCACGGCATCACACCCACCTCATCTTGCTTCTTTGCGGACAGTCTTCGGGCCTGCTGCAGGATGAACTTGTAGAACCAAAAGACATGGACCGGAAGCACCGCCGCGCCAAGAACGTGATAGTAGTAGCCCTCGGGCAGATGCACCTTGACGTGCCAGATGAGATAGGTGTGATACAGAATTCGGGTGGCAAAGAACACCAAGCCAAAGAGCACATCGTTTCGAAAAGGTTTGTGTAGATGGCCGAGGGCAAGCAGCACGGTCGGAAGTTCCATGAAGGCTGGCAGCATGAGCAGCCCGGGGCCTTGGTGGTGGATGGTGCCGATGCAGATGCCAATGTAGGCAAAGTGGTGGATCCACCCGGTTACCATGTCGATTTTGGAGGGATAGTACACCGTGCCCAGGATCAGATCCGATACCAGATAGGCGGCAAAAAAGGAGCTGGGGATTGCCCGTCCGATCGACGTGCATGCCCGTCAGTGGTGGGAGGAAAGGCCAAATGAATGGAAAGTCAGTAGGCAAGGTAAAACCCACCCGAGTGGACTCAATGTCAACAGCAGCTTTGGTGTGGGCGACATACAGCCGTCGATAGAGCCAGCGACCCAGAAGCCTGTCTCGGGGAGGAAACCTACGTGACCCAAATGGCGAGCCTGTCGTTGACGAGCGGGTCGGAAAGAAGATCTTGCTCATATGCCAGCCTGCTGAAGAAGACGAACCGCGACGAGCCCAGGGTCATCACCGCGGCCGAAACGAAGGACAGAATCCATGCAACCTGGCCTTCGGTCTTGAGCTGTGCAGAAAAGATCCTGCGAACCACAAAGAACACGACCGGAAGGAAGATGCAGGACAGCAGAAAGGCCCCTGGATGCAGCCGGACCATTCGGACAAGCAACGGATGGAGGGAATGAGATAGGCGCAGAGAGCATCGCGAACGCATCGCTTGGCCATTGCAGAGAATCGAGCGGCGGTCTCGCCTACCGTAGCAGTCCGGGTTTGCGAGTTGAGCCATGGCCATGGCTGCAGGGCGGGTCTCGCGGGCAGGCGGAAGTCAGATGGAATTCCAAGGACAGCCAAGGGGCGGCGGAACTCAAAAGGGCCACCGGCCAAATCGGCACATCGGGGGAATCACGCGCCAGCCATTCAGCCGCAATTGTTCCGCAGGATCGCTTGGTCCGCGCTGGCGATTGCATCCCGACAGAGGACCGCCTGCGAATAACCACCTCGCGGACCTTGGTGCTGGACGACGATTGATTTGCGCGATACGGCGATCAACAGATGTGCAGAGTCGCCACATTGCGACTGTCTCCCGAGCACCAAGCAGTCACTCCACTCCAAGCAGTCACTCCAAACGGTCAGGCTGTACTCCTTACACATATGTCAGCGTGGAATGTGATGTGCTTGCGTCAAGCAAAGCCATAAGGAATATAACATATCACTTTGGCAGCCTCCGAGTGAACACCGCCGGTCGCTCTCCGGTCTCCACAATCGACCTGCACACTGGTCTCGGAGTGCCAGCGATGGATGGTACTCTTGGACACACTGAATATGGAGGCAACCTTGCGCAGGCTATGGATGAGAGTGTTGCACCGCATCACAGAATGGTCATGGCCAGCGCGCGATAACATTGGGTAACTGAATATTCGTTCGATGGTCAAAAGTACGGGTGTCCCGTTTTTTATTGGATACACGATAAAACACCAACTTGGAGCACTCGAATCTCGGCAGAGCAGAAGGGCGATAGCGAGGAGCCAAGCCCACTCGACTTTGCTTCGGGTGGCGATAAGCAGGCGACACATTACAACTTGGAGCTGTGCACTGTGGAATCGGCGTGCGTCTGGAGCTTGCAGCCAGGTGTACTTGGACTTGCGCTTGAGGTGTACTTGGACTTAGACACCCGAGGACTGTTCCAGAGCCAAGGACCGGGACCTGCGCCAATTCCGAATCTGCTGCATAGCAAAGCGATAGAACCAGTACAGGTGCATCGGGAGCACCAGAATCGCCAGCACGTAAAAGTAGTAGTTGCTCGGCATATGGACCTTGACGTGCCAGATGAGATAGCCGTGGTAGACGATCCGGGTTAGGAAAAACACCGATCCAAAGATCAGGTCGTTTCGCCAGGGGGCATGGATATGGCCGAGCGACAGAAAGATGGTCGGGAGCTCCATGAAGCATGCCAACATGAACAACCCGGTAGCGCCGAGCTGGATCGCTGTGATGCATATCGACAGGTAGAGCGCATGGTGCAGCCACCCGGTGATGGGATCGAGCTTCTCTCGGTAGTAAAACCAGCCAATGGCAATGTCAAGCAACAGATACGCGGCGAAAAAGGCTCTACAAGGGTTGGATTGCAAGAGTTGGTGCTGTGAGATGACAATCCCACACGTACAGATGTCGCATCCGCACCCGCTGGGTCATCGAGGCAGCCTTACGTTGAGCATACCCCGAAGGGCGGATTGAAGAACGGGTTCTCCAGAAGGTCATCTTGATAGACCATCCCGCTGAACACCACCGGCAGTGACGAGGCTGTCATCACCGTCGAGGAGAACAGTGTCAGGAGCCAAGCCAGCTGGCCGGGTGCCTTGATGTGCCGTGCAAACACTCGCTTGGTTACAAAGAAGAAGAGCGGCATGAGCAGGCTGGAGACCAGGAAGGATCCTGTGATGCGATTCGAGAGAGCAGAGATGAGATGGTGGAGCGCCGGCGAGCAAGACTGGTAGCCCAGGCGGCATTTGCAGCTGGCATGGCTATGACGAGACAGATGCGGTCCGGCATTCCCATTCCACGGCGGCAGAACAGCCAGAGCGGGTGTCTGTCCGCTGGAGCCTCACCATAGCTGTACGGGTCCAGCAGGGGCGGCTGCGGTTGCTCGGCCATGGCAGGTGCAGAGGCAGGGCGATTCCAGAGAGAAGCTGCTGCCCCATCGACAAAGCCGCCTCTGGATCTTTTCGAGACCAGCCCCGTTGGATTGCCAGACGGACAGGGCTGGTGCGACAGCGGGCACAGAACCATGTCCGACAAACCGGCGCGCACAGAACGTCGTCATGTCACGGCTGCAAGTCAATCGCACAGCGCGTGGACGATGCAATCGCAGTCGTTGGAGCAAGCGTCGTCCAATCACCCCGGCGGAATGCCGGACGTTGCTCTGCTCTGGTGCCAGCGACCTGAAATATCCCGAGAGCCCCTCCGTCGTTGGGGCTTTTTACTCCTGCAGACAACCATCAAGGTCGGCTGTGCTCGCTCGGCTATGCTCTAGACACCATCACTCAATCTCTCGCAAGAGCATCCACCGCCGATAAATATGGACCCGAGCCAGTCAAGTAAAAGCACGCATCTCGATCCCGCTCGTGAGCGCCGGGGCAGTACCGAATTCGCCCGCGACAGCCTGCGTCGCGATCGCATGCGGTCGGGCCTTCGGCATAGCCGCGGCTCTGGCTCGTTCAACAGCGATGACCACCTTGGAGCCGACTCTCTGAGCCTCGATAACCTGAGCGCTTCTCCGAGCCGGCGCTCCATTCATTCGAGCGGCAGGATGAGCATCGGAAGCGAAGATGGGCTCGAGACCGGGTCTCCAAGGAAAGCAGACGCAAACAACAGTAGCCCAGGTATCAGCATATCCTAGCAGCACGAGCGTACCGTCTCCACAGGACGGGATGATTCTGAAGGGGCATTGCAGTATTCACACGATGATAATCTTTGGGCAGATTTCACCGACGGGAGTCAGCTGCCTCAACGAGAATCAGAGCGAATGATTCAGTTTATTAAATCGCAGGAGCGACGACCCTCTCTTGAAATGATCAAGCCGACACCAAAGACTATCGAACATCTCGTCAAGAGCTCCACTCTCAAAGGGCCATCCGACATCACGCGCAAGGTCTCAATGTCTTCAAAGCCATTCGGTCCAAACACATCGGGGACCCTCGCCGGAGGAGTCGCCCCGAGTCATCCCTCGATCGAGGCCTTCCGCAGAATGACATCCAAATCGAATGCCGATTCGCGACGGGCGCCCCGTGGATCAATGGACATCCTCTCCAATCCAAAGCTGTCCTCTTATGCAAGAAAATCAAACACCAGCCAGAGATCCGACTCGGTCTCGGACTACATGTCAACCAGCACCGATATTCTCGCTCCGCAGAGAACCTGGACGCACAGGCAACCCGCCATCGGAACGGGCCCAATGGATGTCTTCAAGGAACGCGCTCCAACCTTTTCCATGGGCGGCCCTGGCTATGGAGACATGCTCAAGCAAAGATATGCAAGCCGAGAAGCCATGGGAGAGCCTTCATTTTCTTCCGACCAGTTCCCGTCCCTTCTTAGACGCCAGATCAGCGACGCTTCCTCGCACAAACACTCCCAATATCTCTATAGCAATCAGTCGACGCCATTCTCAATATTCAGCAAAGATATCAACACCGAGTACACAAGCGATGGCGAAGATGAGGAGGAGGAAGAGGAAATGGGCGACAGATGCGAGGAAGATCAAATCCAAGAAGAGGATGAGCAGGACAAAAATCCGGAACGCCTGCCACGAACAAGTTCCAAGAGCCCGAGCGAGAGCTCCAGCGAACAAGCATCGCGGCAAGCCACAATCCAAAAGTCGGCGACGGTGTCCTCCGACGGCACCGAGAATCTCCGAGTCGAAATGAAGGGGAGACAGCCAACCATTACAGGCTCCGGTATCAATCAGTCGGCATACATCCCATCCAAAATCGTGAGTGCCACGCAATCGTTGGCAAGCGACCTAAACGACATGGACATCTCGGCCAGCGACGTGACTGATGCAACAAAATCCATTTCAATCCATATCTCGTCATGGAAAGACATCTCCTTCAAGACCTTGTTCAAACTACGCACGATCGATCCAGACTGGAAGGCGTATCGAATCTGGCATGGCTTTACGACCTTTTTGCATTTCATCAACTTCCTGGTGGTCCCTTTTGAACTTGCGTGGACCTGTACCTGTGTCTCTCCGTCGTTCTACTTTGTCCAGTTCATTATGGACATTATCCTCCTTCTGAATGAGCTCATCAGCATGTGTGTGGCATTCAGAAACAAGTACGGCTTGATGGTTACCGACATCAAAGAGATCACCCGCCTCCATTTCGTCGAGAAACGCGGCTTTATGAAGATGATCGGATGCGTGCCCTGGGATATGATTGCAGCCTCGGTTGCATTTTCATCAGGAATTCAATGCGATGATGTCAGGTATCCTTGGGATTCATTTGGCTCGTATCTGCACCAGCAGCGGACCGAAGCACTCTGCCGTCTGTTCATCAGCTACCAACATGAGGTCTAACAATTGCCTTCTGCAACCGGCACTTTGCTACCATTTCGCTGGAATCTCGTTGGAATCCCATTGATGCTCCACTGTGGATCCATTGCCGTGGCTCCCGTGCTCGGACGCCGTGGATGACGTCAAACACATCTCGTGATTACTGCAAAGCCACGAATTCAACATCTTCCGAGTCCGTGCAGCACTACGATTCCTTCGTTTTATCCCCATGACCCAGCTTTTCCTGTGGGCCCTGGACACCCAGTTCCCAAATATGCCAGTGCCCATCTCCCGACTGTTGAAGAACATGCTGGCTGTTCTGTGCTTGACCCATCTGAGCGCGTGCTTTTTCTGGCTTCTCTGCATGCTCGAAGGACCCGACATCAACACCTGGATTGACATCTCCAATCTGATAGTAGACGACCAAGGGCAACTCGTTAGCGTGTTGACCCAGTACTTGACAAGCTTTGTCGATGCTGAGATGGCTATGTACGTTGGCCGTTGGGCAAGTCGAAATCCACCGATGCCGTGTGGCTCGAATTGCGACTGGTGACATGCAGCGCGAACTGTGGTCTGGGACGGCATCGGTGGAGAATTGTTGCCCAACTTCATTATGTGGAACACAGGCTACAAGTGGTTGTTTCCGCGATACTATTTTGGCACCTCGATCGCTTATAAGCCGTTGGGATGCTAGAGATGGTTGATACGGCGCTCTGGTTCTTTGTTTGGCACTGGTAGCTTCTTCTACTTCCGAGAGGTTTCCACAACCACAGAGGTCATCTATTGCATCTTCGAGCTCCTCGTTGGGAGCATCATGTACGGCTCCATCTTTGGGTAAGTTCGGGTGACAGAGCATTGAATCAAATCAGAGCATTACCACCGGCCGAGTGCTGTAACTGGTTTGAGAAGAGCAACATAGACGTGTCCGAATCGTACCACCTGGTGCAATGGATACCACTGTTATATTGCCGACGCTGTGGTAACCGATCCAAATGGCTTTCTCCTACCTCAGAAACATCGCGAGCTTGATCAGGGCCATGGACTCTCAAGCTGCTCTCCATGAAATCAGCACACATCGAACCATCAAGTATCAGATCATGATCGAGTTCATGCATTCCCACGAGTTCCCGGTCGAGTTGCAGGAAAAGATCATCAACTCGGAGAACTTTATCTGGAATAGAAACAAGGGATACGACGAAGCGGCGCTCTTTCTGCGGCTACCGAGCTACTTGCGCCAACAAATCTCGAATCATCTGTACCTCGATCTGGTCGCCAAGGTTCCGCTTTTCAAGGACACCGAGATTGGCTTCCAGAACATCTTGACCAGCGCCATCATGCCCGTGTCCATGCTCAAGGGATGGTATCTGTTTCGCGAAGTAGGCTTCCCTTCGAGGCATCCGCTGCCATCGGGATGCGGATGTGCGCACTCCTGCAATAGGCGAGGGCCGGATTGCTGCCATGAGTGTTGTTGATGTTGAATGTTGTTGACTTCTTTGGCCAATCGGCGACACTATCGCAAACCAACAGGGGGAGGAAGGATATGAAATGTTTTTCATCCGGAGCGGCAAGGTCGCAATCATGAAGAACGAAAGTGTCTTGGTTGAGCTCGGCCCCGGTTCATTCTTTGGTAGGGAGCGACATACACTAAGTTCGATAGGGATGTGCTCAAGCGGAGACGAAGGCCGCCAATGTGCGATCCGCTTTGTTGGAAATGGGAGAGGCTGTCGCTGGAGACGCACTGACATGAGCGCAAATGTTGTCATAAGGCGAGGTGGCATTGTTCGATGCCAACTGCAGGCGCACAGCCGATGCCCAAGCCGCAACCAATGTCGATCTGTGCGTCCTGTCCAAGGCTGATTTTGATGCCATCCTCGAGGAACATCAAAACAGCGCCAAGAAGATTAAGGCAGCGATACTGCTGCGAAAGCAGGAGTACCAGAAACGAGAACAAGAAAAGGAGCAGAAGGAGAAGGAACAGAAGGAAAAGGAGCAGAAGGAGAAGGAACAGAAGGAGAAAGAAAAGGAGTGAGGCCCAGCGAGCGACGGCTGGCATATCAGGTCGACTGAAGCTGCCTCGAGCCGGGATGCCTGGAGAAGGAAGTGCTCCCTCCGATGTGATTATTGCTGATCTATGGATAGTGCCTCACACTGCCCAACAGTGCACTCATTCTTTAACGGGGCGCCCTGTTTTGAGTCAAAGTTGTTGTTGATTTTTGGGCATGAATACATACCGCCCATCGCTGCCATCCTCCGGACTCCCGCATCCCGACATCCCGACATCGATGCCTCGCGGAATACGATCTTGACGCCAGCCGATCATCACGGATGGCGATCGCCCCTGTGTTTCCGCGGTGTCGCCTTGGGCGAGAATCAGCCTCAGGGCAGCAGGATGTTCAGCACCGGCAGCTCAGTGGGAATCCAACGGAGCATGGCAGCAGCAGGGGCACTCCTCGCCAGCACCGGCCGAGCCACCAGCGCCGTTGGTCCAGCAGACTCCAGGCCGCAAACCACTTGGTCGGCGCTGCACTTGTCTTCGTCGCCCTCTGTCGTCCATCAGCCTCGAGCACCCCGCTCATCGCCTTGTCCCCACCGCTGTCGCTCCCTGGAACCGAGCATACTGTCGGCATCGGATTTGATTGACCATGTCTGATAGTCCGGCGCACGACCATGGGCAAGGTACTGGTGCAAACAGGATCTTCCTCGGCGAAGGTCACTCGGACGAGCTGCGAGGCTGTGCAGCACCACAGCCGATGCTGGCGCCGATGCGGTGCCGATGCCGACGAGGTCCATCGATCGACACATGTCGGCCGGTCCAATCACTCTGGGCTTCTGCAGAAGCTTCCTCCCGCCTGACCCTCCTGCTATTGTCCAAGAGCACGCTGACCGACTGGGACTTGGCCAGCCCAGAGTCCTATTCCGCAGAATCCAGCTCGTCTACAACTTCGATGCAGACCCAGATCTCCCTGTGGTACTGCTTGTCGCTCACCCATTCATCTTTCACCCTCCCCTCTCACTCGTTGCCCGGTATCGTCCCAGGTTCCATTGCGCCGTCCTCTCTGTTTGCAGGCAAGCATTCAGCCCTGTCCCTCACCCTGAATGCGGCCATGTCTATCCCTCGTCCCGGATCGACTCGAGCGAGCGAAGAGAGTGGCACCGCAAGCGATCGCTCGTCATCCGATTTCAGCGATGTGGCAATCGATTGCACCTCCGGCTACTCGACAACTGGGGCATCTGCTGAGCCGCTGCGGCTCGGCCATCCATTTGCCACATCGCTATTCTCTATGAAGCACGAGCACCCGGCCCCGCTGATGGTCCAGCCCCTGGCCCTGGCCTCGTCGAGCTCCCTGCCGATCCCCATCAATCGAAATGCCTCCTTTGGGGGCGTCGATTTGTATGCTCCCCAGACCCCAGACAAATGCCTCGACACGAACGGGCTGCACACCATGCGGCTGGGGCGGTCGCTCAACGACAGCAACGGCGGTCCGGATGTAGCCGAGGGACTTGAGCACCGGCATCTTCCCTTCCCAAGCGACTCGGAACTGCCGCCGCTGTCCTCGGCACCCACGGCTCTCGCCGATCTTTCCCCATCGCCCAAGTCGAGCGGGCCTGCGCTCTTGCCATCGGCACCGACTGTGACATTGCCAAGCGACGACGACTCGGTATATATGCCCGTTGATATGGCGGTGACGTCCTCGAATCCGTTTTCGTATCCACACCCGGATCAATATGGATCCCAGCAAGCCGCCTCGCCGTACCAGGCCATGATTTCGCCTGTGTTGACACCATCGCGGAGCCGGGAGTCGCCGTCGCTATCGAATCTCGATCTTGGGGCGCTCTGGCAATGGATACTGTGTGTGTGTGTAGTCAACTTTGACCTGGAGCTGGGCCAAGGTAAGTTCTCCTGGGGATGTTGCGGTGGGGAGGCTGACGTCAACGTTTGAGCCTGGGCAACATTAATCGATCAGAACGGCCACAATCGAAGCCGATACGCCCCTGAGCATTGGAGACGGTTGGCTCGGGATCTGTCCTGGTCGAGATCTGTGGGGTGATCGAACCTTGCAAACCACAGGATTAATCCTCGTCTGTGTGCTTTGTCCTTTCTCATTGTACGCTTCCACCATCGTCCACCACGGGCCAGTGCTCGAATCTGTCTATCCACCCATCCAGTTTTCCGAACATGAAGACAAAAACATGTGAGATAGCAGATGAGCAAGAGGCCAGCTCATGAGCCGGTACAATCGGCGCTATTGCAGCAACCTGCTGTAGTGATCTGTTGCATTGTGATGCGGTGAGCACTGCATTTCCTCGGCTCACATTCAGCATCAACGCAGATCCTTCTCGGCGTTTCCAGACTCCAATTCTTCCTCGCACCTTGGAGATTCATTCTTCTGCTTTCGCATGAGGAGCAGCGCATCGATTGAGACGCTGTACAAGCTAAGGAAGGCCCCGCCGATATCGGGCATCCACAGCTATGCGACTCGGTCCTCCGCCGACAACGGCTATCTGATCGACACCGATGGATACACCTATGGGTATGTCCATTTCCGCCAGCAGAAAGATAAGGAAATCAGGCGTGGCTATTTCCAGGTAAGGTCTTGAGATCCCACTCAGCCTCACCAAGCTGCTGAGACATGGTTCTCCGACCTCATCCTCCGAATAAGGTCAGACGCAATCGTGGACCACGCTGTTCTCTTGAACGACCTGCTAACGCTAGCCCTGGTGTATCCAAAGAAATCCATCGTCATCCTGTCACCGCATCCGTGGCCCGGGCTGTTCCTAGAGATCCTGAGAGGTGTTGGCCCCCAGTATATGGATGCCCTTGTTGCAGAACGCACCGGACAGGGCTTCGTTGTTACGCACGACATCTCGGATGCTTTCTCTGGCTATAAGGCGGTCCACCCTATCATCGCCCGGCTTTGTGCAGATATCGCTGACTGGTGGGTGAGCCCACACTTGCAACCACGCGTCTTTGTCTTGTGGATGACATGGCTGCGATTTTTTCGTTCAGTGAAGCACACGGTGTCGGTCGAAAGCAGCCCAAGCGTCAAGCGTACTATGCTCTGGCATTGCCTGCGTCATGACCAAGCCGCCACCGACTCATCCTCAATATCATCTTATGTCTAGGCCCCCACCCCCATCGACGCTGCTTCTCCACACCAGCTATCACCCAACCATTCTGAATTTGGTCTACTCGAATCAGACCAAGTGCTTTTCCTTTCCACCCTCGCCGCGCTTTCCCCTCTATTTCGACATTCCCAAGATGCACATCGTCACGGCCAACCACCCAGCACCTTTGCAGCCGATCCAGGCGACTCTTGCGTCACCTGCTCGTCTTTACGAATTATTCTCGCGGTCGCTCGAGGTCCTGTGGATATGCTGGGAGCTGATGGTCCTTGGAGAGCCCATGCTCGTCATGGCTGACTCGCCTGTGGGCTCAAGCGAAGTAGTTGCGGCACTGGTCGAGTTGATCAAGCCGGTGAGTACGGCACAGAGACCGACAGCTTGCTGTAGGGGTTGAGCGGATCTGTACACGCCGGACCGCGCCATCATTCAACAGATAAGTGTGTGACGTACCGAACGAATTCCTCTCTGATGCTGTCCTTGATCTGTTCCGTCAATGATGTGTACACTTGCAGATTCCGTGTGGCGGCGACTATCGCCCGTACTTTACCATTCAAGACTCGGATTTCAAGGGCTACATCAATCGCTCTGGTGTAAGTCATCGTCCCGGGAACTCGGCGAAAGCAATATCATAACGATCATTAACACTGAAATTGCCTGTCCTTGTGGCCTGACGATTTATGGCTGCCTCTGATTTTTTGGGATCCTAGGTACCACCCTCGGCCACGGTTCTTGGCGTGACCAATGCCGTGTTTGCAAAGGCCTTGGAGCACTGGCCGCATATCATCCGTGTTGGAAAGCTCAGCAGTGGCTTTGGCGATGGCTCTGCGGCTCCCAATGAGCATGAGCCTGTTTCTATGAAGCCCAGCCCCAGTACAGGCCTTGCGCTTGGCAGGTAAGAACCGAGACTGGACTGAAATCCCAATCTTGGCGGCTTGGAGATGGCACAGTCTGGCTCATGGTCAACAACCACTTCCCTTCTCCGCACACCAGAGACGCCGTGTCCAAAAAGGGATCAACAATGTCGACGTCACCAGTAAAGTCGATTATGCAGTCGCTCAGCAAAACACGGATCACCAACACTCGGAATGACATGATAATCGGGCTGCGGATTGGCTTTAGCACCGAGACCAATGTCGAAGTAAGTGCTGTCTGATTGCGTGTCTGCAATACGCCTCCCAGAATCCTTAGACCGTCTCTAATTGATGGGCTCGGAACTTTGGGTCTTCAGGAGATCAGGACAAAGCATCGTCCGTTCTTTGGCCGCGACAACCAGCTGATCAAGAACATTGCCGAGTCGGCCATTCGAGGAAAGTCTGGTATGGATGCACCCACTTACACTTCGACTCCCACGACTGCCGGCGTACTTTGCAGTGGAATACTGCTGACCCGACAACATTCTCGCCTGACAGCCGAGGTCCTCAACAATATGCTGCGAAGGCATTTTGTGGAGTTGACAGATAGGTTCCTGCAGCCGCTGAATCGCCACTTTGAAAGCTTAATCGTCGGCAGCCCTATGCACATGTATGTTGAGTTGAGTTGCGCTGTTGTGGGCTTGCATCGATATGAGAGGACTGTACCCGCCGAAAGTAACCGGTTCTGTGCACCCATGCGTCAGGTCGCTCTCGAACCTGAGAGGTCGACCCGAAATCAAGCCCTTCCAGCAAGAAACCCTTCTCAAAACGATTGAGCAATCAGGTACATTATCGCGCATGGGCCGACTGACCAGCTCAGCTAATCAATCGCTTTTGTGAGCGAGCAACGGTGGGCACTGCTTTGGTTGCAGTTGTCAATCGATACTGGATGCCAGACTGGATGACCCGCCCTGCGAGGCAGCGTGTATGCGCCGACGCACAGATGCTCTCTAACCAGTGTCCTCGAATTCAACCAAAGCGCCGTCGCTGCCTATTCATTCTAGGCGCTCTCTCGTGGAGTTTTACAGGCAGTTCTTGAAGTCGCCCAACTTTGCTGCCTGGCTGCAGTCCAGAACATCGGAAATCTATCGTGAATGGAGACGATGCTACTTTGATATCCTCACGTCATCCGACATGGCCGGGTGGATGCGCGATCGACCAAAGGTAAACCGTCGGACCGAATGCGATCAACTAGTGGCACTTATTCGGAAAGAGCTGGTAAGGTTGTTCAGCATGTGCACCGGCCAGCATCCCAGCGCAACATCCGGACATTGGCTGATAGCGGAATGTCAGAGTAGGCGCAAGCGCGGCTTATCACATTGGTGTCGTAAGTAACCCATCTGCTCCTCCAGACGCGGTATCGGGGCTACTTCCATACCAGCTCCAACGACGCCACCTTTGCTCGACAATCGCTCTTGTACAGCTCTCTGTCCAAGCGATCGATTCCCAGCCCAGATATGCTGATGGATCTGCCCAAGCCAGCGCTAGACTTTCCACCGCTGCCTCCTGTTGCCGTACGTCATCACGACCGCCACGACCGATTTGACCCACGGCTCGAAGCTACTAGCAGACACCGTGGCGACGCCAGTGCTATCGGACACTCGAATAGGCGCCCTGGAGAAGAGCTGTCGATCGGTTATGGCGTACATGAAATGGGAGGGCTTGTTCCAACACCTCAGCAGTACAGTGCGTTAGGGAAGCAGCTTGAGCTCCTCCTCAGCATGTGCGAGGCCGAAGGCTTTGCTTGAGGTCAGCATTCACGCACCTCGGGGGCATCGCTGCCTGCATGCACATGTATCTGATACAGCTGTCAAAGCACACACATCGTCCGCTGTGCGGTCTCGGCTTGCCGACTGCTTCTTGTCCTCTGTCGTACTGCCGCCCCTGAAGAAACACGTCTCTGGACACATCTGGTCAATACCTACGGGCGAGGGCCGACTGTCACGCCGCCGCCATGTTCTGGGTGGGACTGGGACTGGACAGTGGATGTCTGCCAGAATTTAGAGCGAAGATCGGACGAAACTCGATTGTGGCACCCGCTCCATTTGTGAGTATTGTATATTGGGTATAGCCAATGCCTCTTGGCCGTGTCCGCATCGGAATGAAATGTTCGGTAGACTCGCCGTTTTTTGGCAGTCAGCATCGCAACAGAACCCACTTTGATGCGGCATCGGTATTTGAGTGTGCGCTTCTGCTGAGCTGATAGCGCAGTGCCCTCGTCTGATTCCCTCTAGGCGAGCTTTTGCCGATCTTTCCGCCTCTCATTCTTGTCGCCGTTGTCCAGCGGAGGCTGCGAGCGGCTCACGCTTGATGGGTGCGCTTCGTCATGTGGGTCTGGTCCATCAGCACCGTGCGTAAGCCCATCTCACCAAGTTTCCACTGCCATTCTTTTCATTTAGCAATGCCGGTGACTTCAATACATCCAACACACTCACCGTCTGTGAATCCGCGTGCCGATGAGAGGCCCCCCGAGAGCTTCAAGGAGGGCTCCTGCCGAGAAACTGGAATCAGATGCCCTGGCTACACAGCACGACGAGCATGCATATAGTGGCTCTTCACGATGCTGGCCGCCTTACCACAAGCGAGGCTAGACATAAGCTGGCCTCGAAACAATCTGCTTCGTGGATGATGGGCTGGAGCTGGATCAGGTCTGTGCGCTGTTCGACAATCTTGCTCAGAGGACCCAGGAGCTCAATCTCGCCGAGCGGATGCTTTATAAACACGCTGTGGTTTTCTGTTGATTGTGCAAGGCAGATTCAATGTCAGCGAGCCCTCACTCGCTGCAGCCAACCATGGCGGCTCTGCGTGCGGATGTCGTGCAATCCACATGGCGGGGCTTACGGTAGTGGCGCGGAAGCCGTCTTGCAAGCTCGCCGAGACTTCCAAGAAAAACCCGGGCTTTGGTATCTCCAACCGAAACTTCGTGGCTTTGAACTGGAAAGGACTCGATGTAGACAACCGCATGCGTGCTGAACAAAGCACTGCTTGATATCTCCACCAAGAGCTTTATATTGGCAGAGACGATGCTTGGCTTTGCCGGGTCGCGAGCGCTGCTCTTGGGATGCGAAAGCACCTCCGGCGTCTTTGTGCTGTGCTCTGGTCCGGGCTTTGTGATATGCCCGACCTCGGATCCTTGCGGAGGCGGTCCCTGGTCACGGCGCCCTGGATTGCTTCCAGATTGTCTCTGTTCGACATCAGCACTGCTGCGAAGGGGCCGCTCATACCTTGAGTAGTCTGGCATGATATAGGGCGGGCCCTGGCCCTGATCCATCTCCTCGCGGCCGCCCTGGCAATCGCTGCGGGCTTCCCTGCTCGTCACCTCGGCGTTTCGGTTTGATTGCCTTGGTGTAGAGCGCTCTCCATTTCTCGGCTGGTTGTTTGACGTGGCCCTGGCTTCGTCGCTATCGTGCTTGGATCCGATTCGTATGTCTGACTGGTTGTCTTTGACCCTGGGCGGATTGCGGACGGACTGTTCGCTGTGGCTGGGTGTGAGGTGATTCGATGGCTTTGGATCGCTGCCACGAGCATCCTTGGAATCGCTGTCGCGAGAATGCTTGGGTTCACCAGAGTAACTTTTTTCGGCAACAGTCGAGCTCTCATATCGTCCTCTGCCGCCGTCGCTGTGCGCTCCGTGGCGAGTGTTTTCTCGCTCCCAGTGGCCATGTAGATCGGCCGGCTGTCGCTGCTCGCCCGAAGAGGGGCTTGGTGCTGCTGGGGATTTGTTGTGATACTCCCTGGCACCATGGTCGCGAGGTTTATCCTGTTTGGCAGCGGGCCCGAATGGGCCGCTCGAACTCGGACTATCTCGAGAATGATCTCGATCATCCGGTCGGGCGGATGAGCCTTTGTATGCATCACCGTCTTCCCTCTGCCGACCATGCGTTTGCTCGTTGTGCTTCCGGGAGGGACCCGTCTCTGGCCATGACTGGCGAATGTCTCTGTCGCCATCGCGAGGGCCGTGGAGCCTCTCGCCAGGATCAGGGTTGCTGGCGGAGGTGGAGGTGGATTCTCTGGCACTGGGGTATTCTTGATGGTGCCTCGGGCCTTCGTCTCGGATGCGACGGGTGTGATATTCGGGCTCGGGGCTGGCGCATGTATTTGCGCTGGGTGGTCGCCTGTCGCCATGTGCTTCATCCCGACGAGCGGCGATGTACCGTGGCGAGACCTCTCCGTCACCGGCGGAACTGCGGTGCTCTCGCTCTGGCACAGCGAAATCAACCCTGCCAGGCGGGTATCTTGGCGAGCCGGATGGAGGGGCCCAGGATTCCGGGTGCTCGCTTCGAGGGCGGTACGGCTCTCGTGTTGGCTCGGCCGAGGGCATTCGGCTCTGTGTGCGGCTGTACTCGGACTCATTGTCGGTGGTGTATTCGCTCTGCGGATCGATCCAGTTCATCTTTCGAGGCACCTGCGGACTGCAGGCGAGACCTTCCCCGTCTGAAACGATAGAGCAGCAGTAGCGGTGAATAAACGGCAAGCGTGGGAGTCCAGCTCAGCAACCCACAGCAGAGGCGAGGTACTTGCCGCTGTAGATGCTCATGGCCGTGATTCCAGTACAAGTGGCACTTGCAGGCTCGAGGAGCTTGGCGGGCCCTGCAATGTTGGCGCCGCAGAAAGACAGATTTGGTGCTGAGACGGCGCTGGGCATCGCGGACCTGCCGGCCTGGAAGAGTCGTCGATTGTGCACCCGACGACATTCATCGCTCCAATCAAGCTCGAGAGCAGCTGTGCACAGATCGAGCTGAGATGGCGAAACAGGCCATCCACCTCCGAGCCCTAGTCTCCAATGGTGGCTTTTTGGAGCCCTGAGCCGCGGGCACTGACCGCATCCATGATCATCTCGGGGCATCGTCACTCGCCGATGCCATTCCCTGAAGCTGAGCTCGCCACGCTACACTTTATTCAGAAAAAAACGGGACACCACAGCCGTTTCCATGAACAGGTAGTATGTGCTGTGCTTGCGTCAAGCAAAGCCACAAGAAATAAAACAGATCACTTTGGCAGCCTCCGAGTGAAGACCACCGGTCGCTCTCCGATCTCCACAATCGACCTGCACACCGTGATCATGTTGCGCGCCGCATTGACGTCGCGATTCCACACTGTCCGGCAGCTGGGATTCTTGCAGCTCCTGACAAAGTGGGAATTCGCAACACTGGGCGCATCGAGTCCTTCCAACCGAACTGGCTCCAGGCACTTGGAGCACACTTGCGAGGTGTTGAACTCGTTCGTCGAGGCCACCTTGACGCTTCCATGAGGGTGATTGGGACGGCGTCGGTGGTGCTCGAATTGCTCAAAGTACTGAGCAAATCGCTGCCTCCGAGGGCTGGATGCATAGCCCTTGCCTTGACGCCATGACGCATTGCCAAAGGCGATCACCACATCGGTCCGTATCGGGGCGTGCTTCAGGACGGCCTTGCACATCCTGTCGACGGCCACTTGGCGCCTCTTGTGGCCCGTGAATCGATGGTGACGAGCCTTCTTGCCAAGGTGGAAGTCGAGCTGCACTCGCAGCTCCGGTCGCAGGACATGGGTGAGATGGACCTTGAAGGCCTCCGAGGACTGCACCTTGGGCGAGGGGGTGGACGACATCCAGGTCTCGATGCCGAGCTGCTTCTTCTTGGCGTTGTGTCAGTCGGTGTTGGACGTATGGCCACACATATGCTGGTAGTGGCCATTGGAGAATGAGACCACCTCGTCTCGGTGGCCCGGTGCTTGGATGACCGCCGTGAAGATGGAGCCGACTCCAGGATCGATGCCAATCCAAGTGGTCTTGTCGGGGTCTGGGCTGCCGATGTGCTCCTGGATGCGCTGCTCGGCAGTCGGAGGAGGCTCGGAAGTCTCGGTGTGATCGGTTCGAGGCAGAAACTTGACGAGACCGATGGTGCATCCAATGCCATCGGTGCTGATCTCGTAGTTGAACAGCTTGTGATTGATATCCCGGTCACGGAAGAGGGAACTACGCAGCTTGAAGCAACTGCGCCAGAGACGATCCTGGTTGTTGACACCGTCCTCACCTTCTTCCTTGAGCTTGTCCCTGGTGAGTCCAAGGCGCTTCTTTGGACCCAGGAGTTGCCAAAGAGTGACCGTGTCGATCTTGACATACTTGGCCCTTGCAGTGCATGGAGGAACTATCGTGCACACGGCCGGAGGAGTGTCGACGGCGAGCTGCTTGAGGGCCCACTTGAGTCTGGATGCCAGCTTGTTGATCTTGGACTTGGTGGTGCCGAGCTCAGACTTGGCCGTGGTGAGCCTCTTGTCGTCGGAGGGAATGCCTCGAGCAGTGAGCTCGTCCAGCTTGGCCTGGCGCTGCAGCTCGGTGACTCGGAGGGCGGGCATGTCACAGTCGATCCACTTGTGGACATCGTCGACCATCTTGTCTCGGGCGAGGATTCCCACATGGTGTGAGAGGCGGTGGAGGGCCCGGAAGCGGTCCTGGTCGCTGCTGTACCGAAACTCGTCCAGGATGTGGCCCAAGTCGGGATAGAGGAACTCGAGATCGGCCTTGGGTGGAGTCTGCCCTGGTTTCTCGAAGAGCTCGAGACAGGCCTCGATGGCTTCGTGCTTATGCTTGTTGGCTGGGAAGACGGCAGCACAGAAGCGGCGAAGGAGTCGCCAGTATGCCAGGTTGAGGTGGGTGGTGCAGTTGGTGGCATAGGCGTTGACAGCCAGTGTGAGAAGCTGACTGTGAGCACCATCAGGCAGACGAGGGGCCGGAGGCAGGTCTGCGTGTCGAGTGGTCTGGTAGTCGCGAAAGGAAGCGACCAGATGCTCGTTGTATTTCTTGGTATCCCTGGCCGTCGAGAGGGCATCGGCCTCGACAATCGTGAAGCATTGGCGAACGAAAGCAGGGGTGGACTTGGAGATGACGGGGACGGGAAGATCCTGCTCGATGCACCGGAGGATGTGCAGGTTGAGCAGCCTGGATGCCTCGAACTGGATCTGGGTCATGGCTGCGACAGTGGCCTGGATCTTGTCGCGGAGAGCGGGATTGAGACAACAGCCATCCATCGTCTGCTTGAAGCAGCTGTATTGAGGGGCGGATGACCTTCCATCCACGAGTGGGACGACAGAACTCTTGAGGGGCCGGTATTTTGGACATTTGCTGGTGTTGCAACGTTCGTGATCGGTGCCATCGCACTGGCGACATCGCTTGCCAGTACTCGAGGAAGTAGATGGACCAGGCTCGGTGGGATCGACATCCATTGGATCTGCAGAAGCAGTGGTGGTGAGCGACGGAGCAACAGACGACCAAGCATGCGTGGGATCAGAAGACGAACCAGAGACAGGCTCCGACTGTGACTTGGCTTTCTTGGGCCTGGGTGGCCGAGGCTGGCCATCACCGGTACCCTTGCGCTTCGGAGGCATGGGGGCAGAGGATGCTGGATGCCTGCCAGTGGTACTGGTCAGAGCAGAGACTTTTTTTATCGTACAATGGCGCGATGATCAGATCAAGGCGAGATGAGGGAAGAAAGCAGCAGGACGAAGGTGTGGCATTTATACCCGAGAGCAGGAGCCCGTCTGCGCGGGCTGGTTGGGGAAGTGACCCTGTTCAAAAATCGCCGAGAGGTTCAAGCCAGGGATTTGGGCGTGAAAATGGCGGCTTGATTGGAGGGAACTCAACCCCAGAAGCGCATCGCTCGCTCAATCAGCCGTGGGAAGACATCTGGAAGCACCCTCCGAACGGCAGACTCAAACAGGGTCACCATCCCGATCTTGAACCCCTCGGACGCATTCAGCGCTGCCACCTTCCTGTACTGGTGCTTCACAATCCCAAAGAAGTTCTCGATGGGATTGAAGTCGGGTGAAGCAGGTGGGGTGAAGATCACTGACCATCCTCGGCGCTCGATGCAGTCCAGGACAGGCATTGTCTTGTGCATGCTGACATTGTCCATCACAATCACAGAGTCGTCTGGGAAGCTCGCTCGCTCAAAGAACTCGACCATCGAGTGTGTCTTGAATGATGTGGGGATGTACATGCGATGCAGCACACCAGAGTGGTTGATGGCAAATGCAGCCGAGACAGACTTGTGTTTCATGTGATTGCGCTGGCGAAGCGGAGCACCCTTCGACGAGTATCCGTAGAGAGGGAAAATGGATTTCCTGATCCCTGTCTCGTCGACAAAAACGAGCCGTCGTGGGTCGATGGAGCGGGCCTGGTCCCTGAACTGTGCCACTCGCTCATCCAGTCGCTTGGACTTGTAGAGGTGTGTTGCCCTCTTGTGTGAGAGACCTGCTCGGTGGATGGCAGTGTGGCAGAGTGAGAGTGATACTTTCCTCTGGAGGATGGACTCGAGCTTGCACCGCAACACAGGACCAGTCTGGAACGGGTCCTGTTCAATCAGGGTGCGAATGACTGGACATGCCTGCTCGAAGAAAGTGGATCTGCGAGCTGGGACCCGGGATGGGTCATCCAGCTTGCATCCTCGGTGCCATCGATGGATGGTGCTCTTGGATACACTGAATATGGAGGCGACCTTACGCAGGCTATGGATGAGGGCGTAGCATCGCAATGCGGCGGTGCGAAAGTCGGATGTGTGGCGAATGGTCATGGCCAGCGCGCGATAACATTGGGTAACAAAATATTCGATGAATGGTCAAAAACCCGGGTGTCCCGTTTTTTATTGGATTGCCTGTAATATAGACCGAGGCCATGATGTATTCGGGGTTTCGTCCTGCCCAAGAACTTGCCGTCAAGGGTTCATGGCCAATACAATTTTGGAAAGCAGATCGACCGCTAACGATCAGCGCCGCTCGGCAAAAAGCGAGTCTCTGCCTCGGATGATGTGGGTTGCTCCAGAGGCGTCCTGGAGAGTCAGTTCGGCGAATCACTGGATAGCGTGCTGGAGACTGCGCCAGATCGCTCTGGAAATCGAGCTCTGGTTGTTCCGGGAACCGGCAAGCAGATAGCAAAAATCGCTCTGGCGAGTCAGGCTGAGTTGGCCATGGAGACTAGAGAGAGACACACCAAATCGGGTGAGAGGCCAAGGTCCCTGGAGAGGCAGATGGCATGATCGAGCGAGCCGGCAAAGGGCGACGAATTGCGATATTCACAGCATACATGCTGTGGATGGTACTTGATCGCACAGTATCGGGCAGAACAGGGCCCTGAACAACACCTACCCGACTCCGTTGATCTGCCTGGTCTTTTGTTCGCGCTCAAATTCGGCGGCAACCTCCTCGGCTGTAGCGATAATCTCCTCAGGGACGCCGGCCATGCTGGCGACATTCATGCCAAAGCTCTTGGGACACACGCCCTTTGTCAGTTTGTAGAGGAACGTCACCTCCCGTCTGTGGGCAAATGCGTCGGAGGTGAGCAAGTGAGGCCAATCATGCAGAAATAGGCGATTTGCTCGCTGTGGGGGGGGGGAGGGAAAGCGATCAACTGGCAAGTCCATACTTGTTGTCGTCCGAGTAAAAGTTCATAAACATGAGCCCGACAAGTGGATTACTCTTGAACTCTTCCGTGAGCATGCTTCAGTTGGAGGATGCAAAAAGAGTCCACGCTTTAGCAGACGAAACCATCCTGCGGCGTGCAAACGAAATCCCTTGCGAGCCATACCCATAGTGCGTGCTGAAGAGGCCCAGGCACCGCACGTGTGTCGTGAGGTAGTGGAGAACAGAGAAAGCAATGGCATAGCTGAAGGCGAGAGAGCAGCGTTAGCACTTGCAAGCCAGTGCCAGGAAAGAGAGTGCTTGGCATCAGCAACCCACCCATCAAACGTGCTTGTTCCGCGGCCCAGCTCGTCCAGAATGACCAAGGAGCGAGGTGTTGCTTCACGAAGAATCTTCGAGGTCTCAGACAGCTCCACCATAAATGTGGATTGGCCAGCCATGATGTTGTCGTTTGCGCCTGCGCATATCGGCATAGGATGGGTGGAATCAGCATCGCTGCAAAGCGCTCGAGTCGCACTTTGTCTCGGTTTCCGACATGCCATATCAGACTCTTACCGATGCGAGTAAAAATCCGGTCAAAAGGCGTGAGCTTGCACGAGGCCGCGGGGACATAGCAGCCAATCTGTGCCATGATGACGGCAATACAAGTCTGGCGCAGCAGAGTCGATTTTCCTCCCTGAGAAAGGCGGTCGCGATGGCAGCACGCCAGCATCAGCATAGCCGCCAACATCAGCATAGCCGCCAACATGCAATCCTGGCAGCGCCGATGGTTGCGACGACTCCCTACCATGTTTGGTCCGGTCAGAAGGATAATGTCGTGCTTGCCAGCTCCCCCTCCAAGCGTCGTGTCGTTGGGAATAAAGTCCGTTCCGGATCTGGCGCAGATAGGTGGTCGTTATATGGGTTCAGCGATCGCGCCAAGTGCGGTTTTGACCAACAATACCAATGCGGTATCCATCGGTACGACTTTGATGCAAAGCTGCGAGTCGGCATTACACACCCCCTCGTGATGCACGGGTGACGCATCTGCTCGAGTTCCAGAACACTTGGCGTGTCACCTGGGACAAACTCAGGGCGGCAAAGTGGCTCTGATGCAGGAATAAAGAGATGCGTAAGCCAGCCGCACGAGACAAGCACATGCGCTACGGTGGCTTGGCCGATTGTTCGTTACCTCCCATGGTCGCACGACACAGCGAGAGGCCGATCAGACCGTCGAGCTCCGATATGTTTTTGATCGTCTGTAGCCTGGTGCGTGGTCAAGATGTCGAATAGATGTGAATGCATTTGCCCTGGTCAGACGAGGTATCGCTCAGCTGGCACAAGAGAGGCACGGTCTTGTAACCTACCAGGCCGCATAGTGCTCGTCAAATCGGCTGTACATTCGCCCCTTGATATTGCGGAATGCTTCTTCGCGCATTTCGACCGCTTCGTCAAAGCGCTTCACCATATCGCGGATGGTGGGGTTGTAGTATCGATGAACAGCCTGCCAGCAGGAGAAGGTCAGTTGCCGCCATGTGGCTCCGCTCGATCGGACTTGATCTCCGAGACAGTTCGTGTCCGGCACTCACCTGAGTTCGAGACATGACTACCCAGTCGTTGGGGACCTTGACTTTGTTGGAGATTTCCATTTGATAAATCTCCTTTCCAAGGTCCTTGTACACGATCTTGGTCCTGGTTTACATGCATGCAATCCTGTGAGCACATGTGACGATGCAGTCGATGTACTCCTCCGATGAAGTGGTTTGCTCGACGGCGTCTCCACGGAATCAATGCTATTTACGCAACCCAGACGGTCTCCGGCATTCTTCTGGTTGGGTATCTGGCGATGTTGGGACAAGGACTGGGACTGACATCCAAAACGATGTCCGTGCACCACATCAGCGGAACTAGGTACCCACCTCAGGTTCGACTCCATCGAGCGCTTATAGTCGGCAAATCGAGTCTCAAGGTCTTTGACGCGCTTCTGTGCTGTATCGTATTCTTCGTCGCCGCCCGGGAATGGCAGCAGCTTATCTGCAACCAATCGGCAGAACGTTGTAGATTCAACAAGCAGCCAACCACCACGCGTGCTTCGAGGCAGCGCTTGTCTTTCTTTGTAACAGCTATCGGCTACCAAAGCTAAGGCATCGACCCATCCCGCAGACTGGATCGCATTTCGACTAGACTTACCTTCTTTCAGTGCCAGGGCGTGATCAAATGCGCTGCGGAAGTATGCAAGCGATTCGCGCAGCTCCTCCGGAAGACCGTGCTGGGCAATGTGGATTAGCCGTCGCGACGTTAGTTCGTCCAGGTGGACAGCAAAGTCATCGACGATGGACTTTGTCCGCGAGTGGGTGTTCAACCAGAGATAGACAGAGTGCGTTAAGAACATGCGAGTGACCGGTCCTGCTTCCAGGAACATACGGAGCGACTCGTGTATCGCAGTGTGTTTGTGGCCAGGACGGCAAGTCGATGCAGTTTCCAGTCATCAATCAGACAAGGTACCAAGCATGTGCTGCATCATGGTACATACGGCAATCTCCTCGAAAGCATTGAGGGCACGAACGAACTCCTTGACACGACAAGTGCCGGCATGGATGCGTGAAATGATGCGCTCAAGATCTGGAAACTTGCTCAGCTTCGCTTGCAAGATTTCTGACAACGGCCGAAAGAACAGGACGATTGAGATTGGCGCTGAAGTGTCGGCGTGGAAGTGCCAGCGAGGGGTGGTGGTGCTCTGGGTGCTGCCGAGAGACATCGAAGGGATACACGCAGTCATACAAGCACGCTGGATTCGGAATCGATCCATACCTCGGAGTCCACCCAAGTTGGTAAAATCGTCAACGGCATTGAGTCGATCGTTGATGTTGTCGACAGAGCGCAGGGGGTGGCACACCCATCTGGGGACACGACTGTGTGTCAACGGGGGTTGCAACTTCCGGTGCCGCAACCTTGGCAAAATAGTGCGACGAAGAGAGGGCTTACCTTTTGAAGAGGCGCTTTCCTGGATCGAGGGAGGTGGTGGAACAAAATCGAGCAAGCAGAACATAGCAAAGTGTTGGTCGGATCCACCGGGTCTGCAGATGGCGATCCAGACATCCAATCGTCTACGAATCGGGGGCCATTCACCATTGACCAGCGAGCCTCACAAATGCTCCTGAGGAACGAACGCCCCACTGATCATCGGGCGAGTGGAGTCGAAATGCCCCAAGCAACCTACCGAATGGGGTGACACACCGATTCAGCAACTGGAAGAGCGTTCCGTCCCCGGAACCGTCCAGAGAGTTTTCAAATATTTCCAGATTCAAAAGCGTCTGTCCATCCAAAATCAAGGTGCCGGATTGCCGAATGGGGTCATACACGTGAAAGTTCTTGACCGAGACAAGCTGCTTGTCCAATTTGAGCTGCAAACGGAGACGGATTAGGGCCTAACGCTTGGGTGGGTGCAGCACTCGTGTGGATGCCACCGAATCCGAGACGTGCTCTCCTCTATCGATCCAGCCGACAAGAAGCGTGGTTCCGACCACGCCGGCTGATACCGCCAAAACTTACAGAGCGCAGGTAGAACAATAGACCGCCAAGAGCAGATAGAGCCATGTTATGGTCCTGATACTCTCTCAGAGCCTCCGGCCATGATTCTAGTTGTTTCGTGGGACGAAAAACAAGGTCAGAGGCTTCGTTTGTATGGCTATCGCCGCAGAGGATCCAAACTAGGATCGATATAGACAGAGAGTCCGAGGATGGTTGGCACAACGTACCATTTGTGTTTGTTTCCATACTGTTGCCATCTTTGAAGTAGCCATCCGAGCTGAGCTCGTCGCGGGTGACTGCCGAGTCCCAGAACTCCGTGTCGGGAACTAAATAGTTGAGCTGTGGGCTGCTCAAGATATTCTTAACAAGACGCAGCGACCGCTGGGATAGATGGCCCTGATCGATTCCGTATGGCAGCCAAGGTCCACGAGTACATTACAAATGGTTAAATCGATGTCGTGGAGTCCGAGTAGTCGTCGGACGAGCCCATATTGATCGAGTTGCCACATGTGCTTCTTCCGCGCCACAGCAACGCATCGATCATAGACACGCCAGAAACAAGCGGGGCATGCCGATGCTACCTTTTCAAGGACCAGCTCCTTGGGCTTGATCTGCATCAGCAGCGTTTCGAATTTAGTCCTCTCGATATCGTCGGCAAACTCGCAGATGTTGAACTCGGCCGTGGCCGTGTCGACAAAAGCAATGCCAAAGGTCGGTGGGGAAGCCTCGGATTCAACAGACTCCTGCTCGTCAAAGTCGCGAAAGGGTCGTTAAAGGTGGTTTGGGGAGGCAATGAAGAGCGCACTGCGTAAATCGATTCGCGGTCCGAGCACGGCACTCATAGCCCACAGCCAAGTTTGCGAGGCTCTGCATACGCCACTCTGCATACGCCACTCTGCAAACGCCGCTCTGCAATTCAACTCGGAAGGCACGCTACCTTGATGCTCATGCAGTATGTGCTCATGTCCGCGGTCAAAAACTTGCCATCGACCAGCGTGCCACAGGTCAGAATGGAAGTCAGCTCGCGGCGGATAATCTTATCTTCCTTTGATGCGCGGGTTTGCTCCTTCTTTTCTCGAATCGACTTGCCGATGGCCGACTCCATCTGGTCGACTTTAGCGACCTTGTATCCCTTGGCGATAAACTGCGATGCCCAGTGCTCGAAGCTCGACTCGGGAACGCCAACCATCCGCATGTTCACGCGATCTGTTAGCTTCAAGTCAAAGTCTTGGTGCCCGATATCTGCATCCTTCTCGTATAGCTCTGCACAGAAAAACGGCGCTCATTCAGCTGCGGGCGCTCGATGATCCGGAATGAGCGAATCCCGGGGCCGCGGGCCCATTCGGCTGACGCCAGCGGCAAAGCTCGGTGCCCACCATAAAACTTTCCCTTCTTGAAGAATACGACCGTGTCCCAGTGCTCAGACTTGATTTCCCAAAACTGCTTCTCGAATGGAGTAAATTTGGCCTGAGCAGATGCAGGGATGAACAGCGTTCGTGCATCGTACTCTGGGTCGTCTGGGTGCCAACAAGGGTCCAAGAATCGTCAGCACTCCCAGAAAGCAACAAAACAGCATGTGTGAAGGCACATACAGCAGGCGCTGCGTGCCTGTCCCCGAGAAAACACAGAGGCACCCAGGTACTGTGTGCAGCCACACTATGCCTGTGCTACAGCAGAGACACAACCGACCCGATCGACGACCCATCTTGTCGCGAATATCAACGAGCCAAGAGAAACGCTCTTCGTTCTTCTTCTTAAACTCCTCTTGGCGCATCTGGCCAGGCAGCAAACAGACAATGCGTTGGTACAATCGGGTGCGACCGAAGCATTCAGCGCCGAGTGACATGGTGCAAACCTTGGATTTTTCGGCCGGTGTTGTCAGACGCGGGCTTTGGGGTCTGGAAGAAGCAGGCGAGAACTCATAGGACTGGAAAGCGCAAGTAGGTACCCAGAGGAAAGTTAGTTGGGAGCATGCACCATAACCATGCCGCAATTTCAAATCATGATCGAGGCCCTTGAGTGCAATGCTAAGAGTGGCCCTTGCAGATGAAAGGAAGCATGCCCCAGACAACTGAAAGAAACCTCAACAGACGGATTCCAGGACACTGAAGCTCATTTCCGGAAATGACGTCTGCACTGCAGCACCATTGCCGCTAGTGTGCGCTCTATTTATCCCACCTGGAACTTTGCGGCTGCGGGAGAAGGGCTCGATAACTTGGCAGACCCAGTAGAACGTGCCTGTTTCTTGCGCTTTGGAGTTTTCAAGCGATCGTCGTAGCCGCCGTCATCGTCGTCGTCGTCGAGCTGTGCAGATTGCTCTTCCGTCTCTTCAACGACAAAGTCCTCAAGCCCATCGCTCTCTAATGACAGTGGAGGTGGATGCATGCTTAGTCACAGTCTCGAAACAGCGCATCGTCTTCCTTCGAGCTGCAGCGACTGGAGGGGGGGGGCGCACCTGAGCTCTCTGCTGCATTTGGCTCAAAGTCGCCGTCGTCGCCGTCGTCGGCGTTGCGTCTCGGCTTGATCAGCCGACCCTTGGGCTTTTTGACGGGCGTCACCGGGGCAGCATCGCCATCTTCCTCGTCGGAGGACTCCGTGTTACGCAAACGCTTGGTGGCCGAGCGCTGTCAAGAGTGTTTGTGCTTGTAAGCGATGGGTCGGGGTCGGCTGCAGTATGCGCCTGCCGAACGTGGCTGCTGCCAACCCAGATCGAGTGCACCTGGGGGGAGGGCAACTTACCCGACGTGGGGAGAGGAGCACTTCCGTTTGGAATCCAGCCTCGACAGAAGGGCGGGCAGACTCGACCGCCATCTCCTGCTCGATCCTCATCATTTCTTCCTCGAGCCGCGGATCCAGCATATCGTCGTCATCGTCCATCATGATGATCGCGGGGGCTGCGGCACTGCTTTTGGTTGGCGTGACAGGCATACTATTGGAAAAGGCCTCGGCTTGGGGCTTTGGTTTGAACGAAGCGGATGCCGTGCTCGCCGCAAATGAGACGGCTGTTGAGACACTGGCACCGGCATGGGTGCTGGCCAATGCGCGAGCCTTTGCCGGAGCAGCCGCCGGAGCAGCCGTGGCCTTGGGAGGCGAAAAGTAGGACGTGATAGTGCGCTGGGCGGGGCCGGGTGATTTCGCCACAGACGCAGATGGTTTGGGACCATGTCCCTTCTGAACCAGTCTCTCCATGGCGGCCTGGCGATTCTCGGCGATGCGCTTCATCTGCTCGGGTGAGAGATTCTCGTTGGACCCAGCCATCGCTGCTGCTGACTTGAGAGAAAGGGTGATCTGGGGGACGCCAAGCAAGCTGTGACGCAGGTTGGCAGAAGCGGTCGATTGTCGCGAAGCGGCCGAGGAGCGGGAATATGGACCGATCGCTTGGCGAGGAGCTGACGAGGCGAGGCGAAGCAGCAGCTCTGTCGACCAAGATCAACCCGAACAAACAGCACACCGGCCTGCTTTGCGGACACACCGCGCAATGACGCCTTTTTTGGGCAACCTCGACACTGCCCTTTCCTGCGGCGCTGCAATGTCGTGTGGCGGTGGCGGCGGTGGCAGTTGGTCAGATGAACAGGTGGGTCAACGGATTGAAACCCGAATCAATCAAACAGGGTACACAGAGGATAGACGAATGGAGTGCACAGAGGATAGACGAATGACTCGAATGTCGGAGCGAATGAATGCAGTGTATCCAAACAAACATAGTCGTCGCTCAGTTCACAGGCGTGGGTGGTCTCGGCCATGGCAGATTGATTGGCACAGACAGCATATATATCCGGGCCAAGGATCTCGGCCGGTGGGCCAGGACAGTGTCCCAGCCAGCCCAAAGTTACCCGCCCAAGCTTTGGCGCGAGCCAACTTGTCAACTCCAATCACAGACATCGTCATATCCGATGATCCGCAGCGAGCGGCGACCGGGGGCAGACTTTCGGGGTCCACCCACCCCCCAATCCGCACCTGTGCATGGCCCCTATATGGCTGTCCCCGCATCACTTACCCCTCCTGAAACAAAGGGCAGCGTCAATCGACGAGCCCCGGCTCGTTCAACGGATACGGGGCAATTGCGAGCTGATCCGGCTATAAAAGTCATAGAGTCCACCGACCAGTTTGGCTGACCAGTTTGGCTGACCAGTCTGGCCGCCCTTCAAGGAGAACGCAGCAATTGGAAGACGAGGCCCTTGCTCTCAACGCAACTCATCCCTTGCCTTCAAGGCCGCCACTCGCTCGGGTCAACATCGCTCCACTTCGAACCCCACCTCCAATCTCATCATGGCCCCAGCCTCACTCTGGAGTCCAGCCCTTCCTCCTGCCTTGGGATCGTTTCTGTTTGTTGTGGTCGCATTCTACGCTGTCAGGTAGCCAGAGCATCTCGTCGAGGCGTTGCAAGGTGGCGGACCCTGCGCGCGGGCGTCGAGCATTTACCGAGGATGCGACTCTGTAGCCAACAAATTAGCTCCTCTTCGGTAGAGCTGTGCGATATCCAGCAAAGACATCTCGATTGCGATGATCGTACGAGCCGCCCACAACCGAGGCTGCCTCTGTCCTTCGAGCTTGATACCAATTCACGCGTTAACCCTCCACTATATTTGCATTCCGCTCGTGCTCCAGCACCGGGCTCTTGTTCCGATGGCGGAGGGATGTCCGGCTTCAGAGCCGCGATGTCAACTTCCTGATCCTGGGGTCTATATTTCTATGCGTGCGAGACATTGGTACGCGCACGTTCCAGCCGGATAACCATTGAATGAGAGCAAGCGATCAATGGCATTGCGTTCACACGCTTCTTCCGTCCACCAGTGGTCTTGCTCAATATTGCACTCTTGGAGTTTCCGTGCGGCTGGGCGATATGGATCGCCTTGATCGGCGAGGTGGGTTTCAAAAACAGCTGCCGTTTTTCATGGAGTTGGCTTTCCGCTTAACGATGCTCCTGCTCGCTGCATGGCCAGATCGGCGTGGATACCTCCATCATGGCACGCGCTGCCCGATTCCTCTTCAAGACACTGACGAGCGAGTTCAAAGAGAACTATCTTGACTGGCTCGTCGGTGGGCGACTCAGCCAATCTCCTCACGAGCTCACCACCGCTAAGCAGAAGCTGAAGATCCTGATCATCCGGTGCCGGATGCTCTTCTCGAACTTGGCCATGATCATCCACGTCGTTACCATCTTGATCGTGACCGTCATTGTACAGAGCATTTTAGCGTCATATTCGTGGATGCAGTCCACCCCCGATCAGTTCTGTCTCGGCGGAGTCAATCACCTAATGCTCTATCCGCGCATAGTCATCACCGTTCTCTATGTATTTATCATCTTTCCCCTTGTCGGGGGAGTCCTCATCGCATTTGAGTGCGACCATCCCCTGAAGACCGAGCTGTTCCTCATCATGGCTTGCATCACGCTCGGCGAAACGGTTGTCAACTTTCTCAGTTTCTGGCTTGTACCCAACTATCCCAGCGTGGCTGTTTACATTAGGCCGGGTCTGGGCGTAAGTATCCGCGATTTGAAGCAGCGCTCTGCTCCTCGCATCATAAGATCGACCCGCTCATACCGACCCGCTCATAACCTCTCTCCGGACCCAGCTGGTCCTAGCCGACATTATAATTCAGTTTATCATGGCAATCCAACCGTTGTGCATGGTGTATTTCCATTCGCCCACGCTGTCGACTACTTGTTCTTTGACTTTCGATGAGTGCATGGCGGATGACAAGCTCTTCCAAGTCATGGTGGAAATTTCACGCGAGGGTAAGGAATGAACGATGCTGCAGCCAAACCCTGTGGCATTCGGTATGGTGCTTCGCCGCTCGCCTCACTGTCTCGGAAGCCAATCTCGTTGACGCTGCAAGATCTCGTTACCATCAGTCTTCAGTATCGAAAACGTCAATTTTTACAGTACGCTGCGAGAACTCAAGCGAGATATCGAGAAAATGCGGCGAGGCAGCAACTATACCAGCGCCGAAGGCGACAGCCCGTCCCGCAGCAGCTCGAGCTCCGAGATATGTCTCGCCATTACCCCGCCTTCGAGTGAGATACGCGGTCAAATACCAAGAGTTTTGATCCCAAAGTACCTCGCCATTTACGAAAGCTTTATTCGGCCCGGCGCTCAGCAGGAGCTCAACTTGACGGCACAGACGCGGGAGCAGCTGCGAGCCATATTCGAGGCTCGCCCGATCCTGCCTTTCCGCGTCGACTGCTTCGATATTGCCGACGATGAAGTGCGCAGTATTCTATTCGAAAACATTTACCCGCTATTGCTACAACGAGTCCGGAAGCACTACCGTGGCATTTGAGCAGACACCGAATGAGGGTCGCCCTGGGCCGCTTGAACATATGTGACATATCTTTGAACAGAATGACGTCCGATAGTTTATTGAATACCATTCGCATTACAGTCGTATACACGAGCACGGCGCGGAGGTCTAAATTACAGCCGGATCGGCTTCGCTGGCTTCGCTGGCTTCGTTGGCTTTGAGGCCAGTGGCCAGCCGGCTTGTTCACTCAGCCTTGGCCAAGCCCTCGAGTCTGCAAAGGTCAGATAGGCACAGTCAGCATATGCCTCCACTGGATGGATACTAATTGCAGTGGACCAGATAATCAGCTTACCGCTCGACGAGAGGAGGGTGGCTATAGTGCCAGGCAGAGTACATCTTATCGGGGTTCATGTTGCCAAGGTTCTTGATCTGCAGCTTGACGAGAGCCGACTTCAGGGTGTCTGCATATCCGAGCTGCTTGCCATAGGCGTCAGCCTCAAACTCGTGCTTGCGGGAGAGCAGGTTCATCAAGAAGCCAGAGATCGACTCCACGGGGGTGTAAATGTACTGGAAGAGCAGGAAGCCAATGATGATGGGCTTGGTGTCGAAACCAAAGGCCGAGTAGAGGGGAGTATGGTTAATCACTCTCGAGAACAGGTAGAAGATGCCAAAGAGCTGGACTTGAGAGATCGCGAGGATTTTCAGGATATGGCTCATTTTCCAGTGGCCGATTTCGTGAGCTATGTGAGGAGATAAAAACAGGCCACGCATTCTGTCAGCAAAGCCGATATCATGGGTCAATTGGTGCACGAGAAGTGGCATAGACATGACTAAGCCATACCAAGAACGGCGCAGATTTCCTCGTGGTTGCACTGCTCGAGCAGGGTGTCAAACAGAACGATGCGCTTGTTTTTGAAGAATCCAAAAAAGTAGGCGTTGGAGTGACTAGATCTCTGTGGAGGGGGGTGTTGAACGAGTCAACAGATCGAGGACGATATCAGTGCCGTGGGGGCGATTATGCAGTAGCGGCTGCCAACACAACCCCGCTCTGCGGCAGATACCTTGCTTCCGTCGACAACAAAGAGCTTGGTGAGCGGGAACTTGACGCGGGCAGACAAAGCCTCGATCTTCTCTTTCAGGGGACCGTCTTCAAGAGGAGTGAACTTGTTGAAGAGAGGCTGGATCAAGGTCGGGTAGATGGTGACGAACACGAGCTGGAACACGAGGCTGTCGCCCAGGACAGAGGGGAGTCGAGATCAGTCGAAGCACAGGCTCGCCAGGCCCAGCATGCACAAGCAGACGAGTGAAGGGTTACCCAGACATCACGAGGCTACTATTGGATAAGATTGAATGCAAGCGAGTCCCGGCGCCAGTGCAACGTACGTAAAGAGCCACACGTAGAAGAAGAAGTTCTTGCCGGTTTTCTTGATGATCCACAGGAAGGCCGATACGAGGGGGCCGCCGATGACACCAGTGAGCAGAACGGTTTTGGCCAGGTCCGAGAAGTACAGAGAGAGAGTTTGTTTGTTGAACCCATGCTTTTCTTCGACGACGAAGGTGTAGTAGAGGGAGAAGGGCATGTTTATAGCAGTCGAAGCCAGGGAGGTCAGAGCAAGGAAGGCAATGGATTGGGCAATCTGCGTAGGCAGCGAAGGATCACAGAGTGTCAGTATCGCCGAGACGGGGAGTCGATGTCAGGAAGCCGACCGCACGGCAGAGCGCAACAAACCCAGATCGCAAGAAACCGATGGTGCTGCAGTCGGTACCTCGTTTCCACCCAAGCCGAAGTAGGCAAGGCAGCCGCCAGCCAGGGTCCAGAACTTGGGAAGAACATCGAAGGAAAAGACGAGTGTGGTTTGGAGTTGCTGATAAAGGCCAGAGAAGAAGCTGAAGGTCGACTTGTCGCGACCATAAGCCTGAGCTTTGTCAAAGGTCTCCTGGGTGACGATATCGCCGAGAGCCTTGGGGACGGCGGTTTCCTTGAGCCTGCGATGCTGACGGTACGCGAGGTAGTTTTCCCAGCCAAAGATGACAAAGCTGAAGCCCAGAACGAGGTGCTTCAGGGGTAGGCCTGAAAGGCTGAGGCCGCTGTTTAACCCGAGGCCGAACATGGCACAGTCGATGGTCCAAGTGGAGAGATGGCGGCGGACTGCAGGGAAAGAAGGCTTGGTCTGGGGGGGAGGCGAAAAGACAGGCTTGGCCGTGCCAAGCCAAGCGCGCACCAAGTGCGGATCGAGTGCGGATCGAGTCGGATCGAGTGTGGTGTCGTGCTGCGCTTGGATCGAGCCGCACTCCATCCAGGAGGGCCTTGTCCAGCGAAGCGGGGTCGCGCCGGCTCTGCCTCCGTCCACCAACACCCACACCAAGACCCGTTGGCAACAGGACGCTCGCCCGCCAGCCCGAAACCAGCACAGTCACTCCACACGGACGCTCCTCCAAGTAGCTGGGCAGACAGCTCAAGAACACGAATACTACCACAGGTGAGTGTTGGACCGATCTCGCGAGTCTCTCCAGCCGCTGCCGCGAACGCAAACACCCCAGAACGAGGGAATAGCGCTAACGCCAATCGCCTCGTTGGATGAACCAAGCCAGCGTGCAGCCCAACGCAGTTGCACTGAGAGATGGATACGAATGCTGCTGTAGCTCCATCCAATGGCGCTCAGGCAGAGCAGCCGGAAAACATCGGAAGCGGCGCAGACACGACCATGGCCGCGAGCTCCGATGCCAGGGTGAGCGTGATAGCGCTGCTCCAGATCTTGGGCGATGGGCGGCTTCATGGAAGCGCAAAAGAGCGATCCGATACTCACAAATCGTTGAACTTACCGATTTCATGACGATCCACAGCCATCTCTGTCAGACTCCAGAGATGATGGCCAGTCGCTCCTGCTGCCGCCTCTCCTTGCCGCGGCAGCTCTGCCGTCTGCTCCCTCGCCATCGGCCTCTGTCGCAGCCGACCATCCAAAGCCGCTCTCGACGCCGCTCTCGACGCCGCTCTCGACGCCGTTCTCGAAGCCCCCTGCCAGTCCCGGCAGCATCCATCCCTCCGGATCGAGCTCCTTGGCCTCTGCCCACTCGCCCTCGTCAGCGGCAGCACCCCTCCCTCCACCAGCTGCTGCTGTCGGCACCGGTGGATCGTCTGTCGGCGGCTCCACCGGCTCTCCCAGCGGGTCCTCCAAGACCGCAAGAGAGTCTCGCGGAGCTGCCGTGGATGCCGGTCTGGTCTCGGCAGGTCTGCTCCCGGCCGAGTCCGCGCACAACAATGTCCACCACGATGCACACCACGATCCGCGCCGCGGAGCCATCCAAGACCCGCCTCGTCATGCCGGCGGGCCGTTGGTCGGCGATCTCTCCGTCTCCAAGGGCCAACCCACCCCGGCCATCACCGACTCTTCTGTCGCTGCCCCGCCGTTGGCTTCCGGACCGACACCAAGCACAGATCGCATCCACAGCACCCATTCCTTTGCCTCGGCGACCCAGATGGACATCGACGAGCCCACCGATCCTGGCTCGAGCAGCCGCGGCGGCCCGCCTGAACCAAACGCTGCTTCTCCGGCCGGCCAGCCAGCGACTCGCGCACCTGGATCGTCTCCTGCATCCGAGCTGCATCCTCCTCTTGGTCCGGCGCAGCCTCAAGGGCCAGCGACCACCTCCAAGGCCGCGGGAGCGCCTTCGCCGTCTCCTCTCTCGACGCTGCCGCTTCCTTCGCTCGCTGGTGCCAGTCCTCCATCGGGCCACGGTGCGGCTGCATCAGGACCGGGCACTGGCTCCGAGCGACGCACGGCGGCATCGGCTCCCGCATCCAACCTGCATCTGCCATCGGGATCGTCGGCATATTCCTCACCGCACGCGTCGTCGCCGTCGAATCCACCACCATCATCGAAAGCGCTGAACCCAGGATCGTCGCAGCCGCCACAGCCATCGCAGCCGTTCTCGCCTCCCACAAAGCAGACACCGTTCCCGCCGCAGTCGCCCTATCCAAAGTCCCAGTCGTCGTCGTCGTCGGCCCCGGTGCCAATGTCGTCTCCGTTGCCGCCAATGTCGAGTGTGTCGGCCTCGTCGCTGCCGCTTTCGCATCCGTCCCACTCGCACCCGTCGACGTCGCCATCGCCGCTGGGATATCCGTCTCGGCCATCGCCAACGATCCTCCCGCCCCTCAACCCACAGCCCGGCCCTGGTCCCGGCCATGAGTCTGGCCACAGCCACCTTGGCAACTTTGGGCCGCCATCGCAGGGCCACCAACTGCTCCCGCCTCCCTCGTCGCACGCCCTCCCGCCGATGAGCAGCTCGCATCTCGGTGGGCCGCTTGGTCCTCCTCTGGCAGCGCTGAACGGGCCTGGGTCGGCAAGCAGCCTCGAGCAGCAGCAGCATGCTTCGTCGCTGTCGTCGATGGGCGACGAGGGCGGCAATGTGCGATCGCTCAACGTCGGCCACGCGCTGTCGTACCTGGACCAAGTCAAGTTCCAGTTCGGCGACCAGCCTGAGGTGTACAACCGGTTCCTGGACATCATGAAGGACTTCAAGTCGCAGAGGTGGGAAAGCTCAGGTCGCAGCAGATATGGCGAGGGATGGGAGGGATCGGGCCGAGTTGATGGCGGGGGCGGGTGAGGGCAAGACCATGCCAGACCATGCTGGACCATGCCGGACCATGCCGGACCATGCTGACACAAGCCCGCATCCACATCCACATCCACATCCTCAGATCGCCTTTGGTCGGCTCCCTCGAGACTCCCGGCGTCATCGACCGAGTCTCGACCCTGTTCCGCGGCCACTCGGCCCTCATCACCGGCTTCAACACCTTCCTCCCACCGGGATACCGCATCGAGGCCACCAGCAACCCCCACGATCCCGTGCGCGTCACCACCCCGGCCGATGTCCATCACATCCAAGGCATTTCGGGCTCGGTCTCGATCGTCAGCACCGGTGTCTCGGTCAATGCAGCGGGCCCTGGCGCCTCTGCATCCGGGTCGGTGCTCCCGGCCCCCGGCCCAGGCCCAGGCCCAGGCTCGTCCTCGGGCGCCGGTTCGGTCCCTGCCGGCCCTGGCATGGGGGTCGGGATCGGCCCAGGTGGTCCGCCGATGGCTCCAGGCTCGGCCGGCTCGTCTGGCGCTGGCTACTACGGCCAGTCCCGTCCTGGCGGATCGGGCTACTACCCATCGCCGATCCCACCACATCCGGACCACGCCACTGCAGCCCACATTGGCTCGGCGGCCTTGTCGTCGGGCTACATCGGTCCAGCCCATCCGGCCGGCGCTCCGGGCCAGTCACCGCATCTCGGCAGCGCATCGGCGCGAGGAGGACCGGGTGCGGCCCCTGGCGGCAGCGCAATGCGCCCATCGGGCCCGGCCGAACCGCCCAATGGCGACAGTCGCCGGCCGCCAGTCGAGTTTGGCCATGCCATCAACTACGTCAACAAGATCAAGGTTTGTGTGGGGCTGCAGGCTGGCTGGACACTGGCGAGGGGTGGACATCGGGGTGGTGGCAGGCTCGGCAGTTTGCTCGCAGGTCGGCTGTTGGTCGGTCCGTCGACTGCTTCTTCGTCGCAGGGCAACTCACCCTCAATCCCACGCCTGAATCATCGGCGTGCTGCTGTCCACAGAACCGCTTTGCCTCCGAGCCCGACATCTACCGCCAGTTCCTCGAAATCCTCCAGACCTACCAGAAGGAGCAGCGGCCGATCCAAGAGGTCTATGCCCAAGTCCAGGTCCTCTTCCGCCACAACCCCGATCTGCTGGACGAGTTCAAGCAGTTCCTCCCCGACAACAGCCAGTCGCAAGGCGCTGGTGGTGGACAGGGGCTCCCGGGTGGTTCTGGACCAGGTACGCATGCGACAGTGGATGCCGATTGTGCCGGGTGGTCGGGTGGTCGGGTGGCCGCATCGTTGAACCGATGCTATGATAGCAACTGTGGCCGGTGCTGTCGAGGGCTGTGGCCGGTGAGTGATCGGTCGTGAGCGATCCCCCGTGCGCCTTTGGCAGTGGCGAGCACAAGAATCACTGACTGAAGTACCTCCTTGCCACCTGAACGCATCTCGATGGCACGCCCAATCATCTGTGGTGCGGGCTCATCGCATGCTCTCACACGGAACGGACTGTGGCCGACCAGGATCCTCAGGAGCAGGCTATCCGGTCGAGCTGGGCCGCAGCAGCTCCCTCGGTCCACAATCTTCTGCCTTGAACAAGACCCCAAAGAAGCGCACCCAGCCCTCGTCGACCCAGCCAGCGACGGGTGCAGCGCCGATTGCACCCGATGGCCTGGTTGGCGCTGCTGGCGGACCGGCGGCTGTCCTTCCAGGCGGAATGGTCACCGCAGCGTCCAGCGGCGGGCTCGGTGGAGGAGGCACGCCCAGAAGCAAGAAGCAAAAGATCACCAGCATCCAAGCAGCGAGCCCAATGGCTCAGTCGCAGCAGGGATTCGGCCAGCGCGGCGGGGCTGGTCCGAGCCAGACTCCGGCGGCATCGGCGTCGGCAGCAGCATCGACAACCACAACCTACGAAGAGCTCGAGTTCTTTGAGAAGTGCAAGAAGGCGATCGCGTCCAAGCGAACGTACGACGAGTTCCTCAAGGTGCTCAATCTGTTCAGCAACGAGCTGATTGATGCGCGGACCCTGGTCGAGCGGGTGGAGCCGTTCCTCGGCAAGAACTCGGAGCTGCTGGACTGGTTCAAGAAGTTCATGAAGTGCGACGACGACGACATGATCTGTAAGTGGGTGTGGATGTGTGGATGTGTGGATGTGTGGATGTGTGGATGTGTGGATGTGTGGATGTGTGGATGTGTGGATGTGGATGTGGATGTGTGGATGTGTGGATGTGTGGATGTGTGGATGTGTGGATGTGTGGATGTGTGGATGTGTGGATGTGTGGATGTGTGGATGTGTGGATGTGTGGATGTGTGGATGTAGAACTCACTGCGGGCCACCATTGCCTCCAGTCAATATCCCACTCACCGACAGAGAGCACCGCGAGCGCATCGACCAATATGAGAAACCCGAGTACGACCATCAGAAGATGCGTTTGTCGGGCCACAGCTATCACTACGTGCCTCCCAGTGTAGGTATTCTCGTGCCGCCCGCTTTTGGCGCTGCTGGTGTGAAGTGGATTCGATCGGCGTCTGGCTCCGGTATATCAGTCGCCGGGCCTGTTTCTGCGATCCCCGTCATCGACCCGTCATTGACCCCGTCCTCTGCGCTGGTGCCGCCTCTCACCCGCTCGGGACTCTTGACCAGATGATCGGAGCCACGTTCTCTGGTCGCGACGCCCTCGGCAAGGAGGTCCTCAACACCTACTGGGTCTCCCACCCAGTGTTCCACTCGGAGAATGGCTTTGTGTCGTCCAAGAAGACCATCTTTGAGGAGAATCTGTACCAGAACGAGGAGCAGCGATACGAGTACGACATGAACATCGAGGCCAACCTGTGGACCATCACGCTGCTCTCGCAAATCAACGAGAAGATGCAGGCCATGAGTCCGGAGGAGAGATCCAAGCTAAAGTATCGGGAAGGCTTGACGAGTGGTAAGCAGCGATGATGCCACAGAGATGGGGCCAGACAGATGCCAAGCCGTCCCGTGGCCGGCGAATGCTGATCTCGCTTCCTGGCTCCCTTGGTGCTGCCGCAGAATCCGACTCCTCGTCAAAGATATACAAGCGTGTGATCCGCAAGATCTATGACAAGGATCGTGGCGAGGAGATCATCAACGCCATCCACAACAATCCCTCGGTGGCGATTCCGATTGTGCTCAAGCGACTCAAGCAGAAAGACGAGGAATGGCGACGGGCCAAGGTGGGTATTGGGGCGATGGCGATGGCGATGGCGATGGTGATGGCGATGGCGATGGCGATGGCGATGGCGGCCATGCCATCGAGTGTCGCGGCCGTTTGTGACGGCTGTTTGGCATTGCCTGCCGGAGAGGCCGGGGTGGTGCTGATCCCCGATTGCATCTGCATCTGCACCTCGACTCGCACGGCCCCCAACTCACACGGCTCCTCGACTCGCGTGACGCCTACCACACATGCTCTCCATCACCCGGCTGCTCGACACCGCCAGAGAGACTGGAACAAAGTCTGGCGAGAAGTCGACCTCAAGAACTTCCACAAGTCGCTCGACCACCAAGGCATGCTCTTCAAGGCGGCCGACCGCAAGAACCTGACCCAGCGCAGCCTTGTCCAGGAGATTGAAAACATATACCACGACCGGCGCAGCTCGACGACCAAGCACCCCCAAAAGTACCATCTCGATGCCCTCTATCGCGACAACGCCGAAGGCCACAACAGCAGCGGCGAGCCCATCTTTGCGCACGTCCGCCGGCTCCTGGGCTGCACCATCAGCACGCTCCAGACGGTGCCGGCCTCGGACGAGCGCAAGCTCAAGCGATTTGTGCGCAAGTTCATCCAGAGCATCTGGTTTGTCAACCCCGGCAAGGACAACGACGAGGTCCAGCGGGCCGAGGATGTGCGCGAGGACTCTGTCCAGCGGCAAGATGGCGAGTCTGGCGACGAGTACGAGACAGCCAGCAACGGGCGTCGCCGTGGCGGCGGCAACGGGACTGGCGACAACCTGCGGGCGGCCATTCTGCGACGAACCAATGCCGGCTCTGCACCCAGCACTCGGGCCAGCCGCAAGAACAACCGCGGCCGATCCGACGGCGACGAGTCGATGGAGGACCGCGACGATGCGCCCAGCGAGGCGGGCAGTGCGCGCGGCAGCCGGACGGGCGACGACGGCTCTGGCCACGGCGATGGCCAGGTCTCGGACGATTCGGCCAACTTTGGCGATCTCAGCTCAGACGACGACGAGGACATTGCCGCGGGCGACGCAGACGCCAACGGAGGCGAGGCAGTGGGCCGCAGCGACACTGGCACATCCAGGCGCCCCGGACCCGTTCGACGGATGAACTATGTGTTCTGGTGCAACAGCACGATCTTTACGTTCGTTCGGCTGATCCAGGTGAGCAGCGAGGGCCGTGGAGCGAGCAGACAGCGCCTGCGACTCGGGTCTGTCGATTGTCAGTCGCTGCGATCGTTTGCTGTTCTGCCGCGAGGTTGCTGATACTAATGCCCATCCAGTTCCTGTACAGCCGTCTGTCCAAGATGAAGGAGCTCTCGAAGGAGCTGGCCGAGCATCCGCCGAGGGGCGAGAGTCCCAACCCCGTTGCAGTGGCCCTCGGGCTGCAGGCTGCCCAGCGAGGTGGGTGACCTTGGTGGTCGGGGGCGTGCAAGGACCAAGACTGTGTGTGGGGACCGATCAGTGGATGCTGTTGGTCGGATACGACTCGAGGTGCTTGGTCGTATGCGATGGACTGGTGGCTGATTGCGATCGACGACCGTGCACACAAGTGTCCCGAGATGCCGTGTTCTGAACTGACGAGCCCCCCCCCCACAATCCCATGTCCTCGTCTCGATTGCCATGCATGCGCCCACCAGACTTCAAGTTTGATCCATCCCAGCGCTACGAGGAGCTGATCCGCATCAGCTGCGAGTTTATGCGGAACGAGATCGATGCCAATGACTTTGAGGAGAAGGCGCGGTCGATGTTTGCGACATCGGCGTACATCACATACACATTCGACAAGCTGTGCCAGGCGATCGTGAAGCAGGTGGGCGGGGCGATGGGTGGCCTGCACAGGGTTGCAGGCGGACGACGCACGGATGTGTCGCGTGGATGGCATGGCATGTTGTTTGGATGCGACATGCTGCTGAATGGCATGCTGTTGATATGGCACGCTGCCGCTGTCTGCTGACCGACGTCCGTTCATCTGCACTCAGGCCCAGAGCATCATCGCCGATCCGCGCAGCATGAGTCTCATCCGGCTCTACAACCAAGAGCGCAGTGCGATCCTGTGGAGCAAGGAGCGCGACTACTCGTACAAGTCCCTCGCCGAGAAGCAGATCGACGACCACATCTACAAGTTTGAATACGTAAGCTGGCCGTGGCGGGACGAGAGCAGAGCCAGCCGGGGGTCGCAGGGCACTGGAAGTGCAACCCGATGGCGGCGAGGGCATGAGACGCGGGCCTGATGTGTGGGTCGTCGGTTTGTCTGCTTGCTTGAGAGTCATGGCCGAATCAGCCCGCCCGATCCGCCCTCACCCACACACCTGCTCACCCACACACCCACTCACACCCACTCACATCCACTCACATCCACCCGTCCCCGACACAGTTCACGCGCGAAAAGGTCCTCACGACCCAGCTCATCTTCAAGGACGAGCTCAACACCGACGATCTGCTGACTCCCGAGGAAAAGTGGTCCGCCTATGTCGACAACTTTGTGCAGCTGACCCCGACCGAGGGCGTCCTGCTCCGGCGCCAGGAGCCGTTCCTGCGACGCAGCCTGCCGCCATCGATCCCGGACGAGCCCATCACCAACGTCGAGACCCGGTCGGGGCTGGAGATGAAGATTGCCCAGGACACCTACAAGATCTTCTTTGTCGACAACACCGAGGACTACTTCCACCGCCGCAGCCCGCAGCTCCAGACGGCCAAGGGCCGCGAGGAGTTTGCCTCCCATTCCCGACGCAACCGTATCCGGCGCTTCAAGGCGTGGCGGGAGTGGCTCGAGGGCGAGTCGGGCTGGAAGCGCGGCGACGCCAATCTGACCGAAGCCATCGAGGAGAACGTCCGGCACTTTGACAACTGGATGGTCCACGGAAGCACCGGCGGCAGCCACGGCACGGAGAAGATTGTGGTCGAGACGGTCCAGAGCGAGGAGCAGGCGTATCGGCGATTCCGGCTGGTCAAGGCCGAGGAGGCGAGTGCCGAGGTTGGCGACGAGGCGATGGAAGACGCAGCATAGAGAAGTGGCTCGCACAGGAGCCGGAGCCAGCAGCGAATCCGCTCGCTGTGGGTCTTATCTCGTTGTTGGTTCTCATGCGATGAGTCCTTTCATTGGCATTCTGAGGCTTGTTCTGGCCACATCGACTATCCTCGGTGTCAATCTTGGTTGTCCGGGAGATCCACAGCGCCGCAATGGCCCATTGTCGCTCTCGCAAGACCGCAGTCGAGTTCCATGTCATGACCCCAGCGATCGGCTCGTTGCCTTGGTACAGTTCTCCATATCGAAATTGGTTTCCGTTTCACGCAATATATTGCAGCGTGGCTCAATAACAGTGGGCCCATCGTCTCCTGGGTGTTCGTCCTTGGATTCCACCCAAGATCCCAATGGGTCGATATCTCATCGACCGGGTCTCGCACAGCCGTCCCAACCGTTGGGTGGTTCAAACTAAGTCATTACAGTCTATCGAGAAAGAAACGGGACAGTCACTTTCTGGCTTCGGATATCTGAACCCCGCTGACTGACTGTAGGCCCAGCGGGCAAGCCGTGAGATTGTTTCCCGTCCTGGTTGGCAATCGAGTGGTTTTGGTTGGTTTGGGAAGCATGGTCTTGAATACACTCGGTCGATCTCCTGTGGCGATGATCGACTGGCATGCCGAGATCATGTTCCTGGCTGCATTGATGTCTCGATCCCACAGCGTATGGCAGCTTGCACAGCTCCGGACAAAGTGTGGGTTCTCGATATCAAGATGGTGCTGTGCTTGGCCATGAATGCAATGAGTGGGCGTGTATTCGGGTTCCAGAACAAAACCACAGTCCTTCTTGCACCGTCTCGCCTCTTGCTCTCGCCTGTGTCTCGCCTGTGTCTCACTTCTCGCCTGTGTCTCGCTGCGCGATCAATTCATTTCCTCCGCCCAAGCCACACGCTCTTTTTTCAGCCCACTTTTCTGGCCGTCGATTTCTCTCGATCGGCCAGTCTCGCTTTCAATCTCCATCGTCGCAGCTTGCTTCTCTCGTTCCCTCGGTGCAGGACCTCTCCGCCATGAGACTGCTGACACACAACATGATGCAGTGCCACGTCAAGGGCTGCACCTCCAACAACTTCCCTCTGCGGTTGGAGGAGGTCGAGCTGGAGCAGATTGAGGCTGAGTTCAATCCCGAGTTCATCGCCCGGCTCCTTCCCAAGATTGACTATCCCGCGCTCGTGGCCACGACATTCTCTCTTGGCATCGATCTCCTTCCGCAGAACCCTCCCGCAGACGATGTCTCGGAGGAATTCCTGCGGAGGCTCCATCAGGTGCTTCTCGAGGTTGGTATATCTGCGCATTACATTCTATCTGAACTGCTCCTCTGCGCTGGCCACAACGATGTCCTTTTGCTCACACACCTGCTCCGTCACTAGATCCGCGTCAAGGAAGGACGTATGGTCTGCAACGGCTGCGGACATGTCTTCCCTATCAAAGACACCGTCCCGAACATGCTCCTCCAGGACAACGAAGTGTGATCTGTGATATCCCTCCCGCGCTCGCCCTGCGACCCGCCGCCTCGCGGCTGTACATAGCCATCTTGTCACCCATTATTGTATCATCACCACTAATAAACGCACTCTCTTCAGCTGCCCTGCCCTCCCCACCTCTCCTCATTTCTGTCCCAGCCATCTGTGAGCGCCTGTCTCTCTCCCCACCCATCACCACCCACCGTTCAGTCAGGATCTACACTCGGCCCTTCGGGACCCTCGTTGGTGTTTGACCCGTTACAACAGTGGAACATCAATGGTTGGCGATCTGGGAGAACCGTTCTGGCTTCTCCCTCGCTGTCCGACCCCAGCCCGCGAGAGTTGTAGCTTTGCCGAAGCCTCGGCTTCCTCAGTGCAATTCTACTTAGTACACTTGGGCATACACATTCTATTGACATCTCGGCACCACCAGGCCGGTGCTCTTATGCGTGTGTCTCTGGCGTCGTCAGCACTGCAAAGAGGGCGTGGAGACTCTGCGAGAATCGACCAGCGGAGCGCAGCTCGTTTGTAAAGCGCTCGATGTTGTCGTTGGGCATCGGGCCTTCGCGGAGGCAGATTGCGATAAGCAGATCCGGCAGCATCTGATGGTGCGGAGGGCGCGGTTAATGCCAGGGATAACGCATTGCGAGCATCACCGGGTGGGGGCTCGCTCAGACGCCTGAGCTGGAGCGGGCGGTGTCTTGGCAACCTACCTCGAACTGCGCCAGTGATAGATAAACGCCCTTGGTGATGGTGGCAAGCGTCTGATAGAAGATTCGCGACGACGCATAGCTGAAGCACTGGACAGCATAGCAGCGGATCTTGTCCCCTGCACAAGCCGTGGCCTGCAGAGCGGCAATCGGATCGTCAGCACCATGACAATAGCAGCACACCGTGCCAGGGTTCAGATCGCGGCTGCACTCCTTACCTCAGCTCGCCAGTCGATGTTGTAGGGATTTCCGGGGCCAAGCGGGTGGGGAATGGCATCGCCGATCATCACCAGCGAGCGCGCCGACTCGCCCGGAGGTCTCCAGCTCAGCTTGGTGCGGACCTCGCGCAGGATATACTCATAGCATTCTTCGTAGTCTCTGCTCGGAACGGCTTTCTGGGCCACCTGCACCTCATCGATGAAAGCAACAAGCGCATTGGCGTCCGCGGAAAAGTCCAGCATGTTCGTCACGTAGTTGGTGTCGTAGTCCCCGTGAGCTATCAGCGCGATGCGGATATCGGGAATGTTGGTCAGCAGCCGGGTGACAGCATTCTTGATGGTCTGCCGCACCTTTTCGAAGCATGTATACATGCTGCCGGTGGCATCGAAGCTGAAGGCAGTTGGACAGAGCTGGGTTAGAGCCGCGAGGAGGGATGCGTTTTGGTGAGCAGAGGCCCACTTGGGCAGCCAGCTGCTTCAAAGAGTTGTCGAGACGCTGGCCATGACACCGGGTTCGCACACGGGCCTCTTCCCACCTGAAAACAATGTCGGGTTTGCCGATGGAATCCTCCGAGAGCGTCGAGGCCTGTGTTCCGAGCGGAGCGCTCAGGCTGCTGCTGCCCTTGATGCTGGTTTTCTTTCTCGGTGTTTTGGCAGCACGGCCCTTAGTCCTAGTCTTGGTCTTCGTGCTGCCTTTCCCGCTGGCTGCAGTTTGTCTCTTGCCTCCAGACTTGGTCTTGGAAGCTGCTCGAGGAGGAGCCCCACCCTTTTTGTTCCGCACAAACTGTTTCACAGCACGACCGGTCCCGAAGCCAGCGAGATGTAAGCACAAGGGCGGGCATAGGTGCAGGGGGGGGGCGAGTTGCTATCGCCTGCGTTTCGATGCAGGATCATGCGATTCGGCCGTGAGACCATCTTACCTGTCGGTAGATACGGTCGATTGCCTGAGAGCTGCCGTCACTGTGCCGAATATCCTTGACAAGAGGGTGCGCCAGACCAAAACACCGGCCATCATTCAGCAGCGTGCCCTCATCCACAAGCCCCGACAGACGATGGGAGAGAATCTTTGCCCATGATGCCGAAGGATGGGCTGGAAGCAGAGAGAGTGGCAGAAAGGTGGGGCTCAGTGCGTGCGGCGGCAGATCGGCATCGCAACCCAAAGCAGCCAAGGATGAGACATGTCTGGCGGCTGTCCATTGCAGAGCTCCGAACATGGCTTTAGATCCATTGAACGAGCAGCACGTTGAGGGATCTGCTGTGGCCTGGATGCCTACCATATTGACTCTGGAGCAGTTTCTTGAAGATGCTCTTGATTCGCAAGTGGTGGTGCAGCCTTGCTCTTGGCGAAAGCTTCGAGGCTTGGGACGAATGGTACGAAAGTGAGAAACAGGAAGCAGCAGCGTCGTGCTGTCGACAATGGACACGACGACGGCGTGCAGCGGCCAGCCAAAGCCTACCTTCGTGGAGGGCCTGCAGAATCAGCGACCGGTAGCTCGGCTTCATGGCTTCGGGAACGAACAGATTCGGATGCGGGTGCAGATGTGGATGCAGATGTGAGGCAGATGCGGCTCTCGACCGCCTTTTCTGCGGCGAGGGAAAGGCGAGGCGCATGGCGAGCAAAGCAAAGCAACGCAAAGCCAAACACAGTCCGTACAAACAGAGGCACCAAATTCCAAGGAATGATCCGGCCCTGGCATCACAGGAGCGAGACCGTGCGGATAAGACTGGGTCCTTGGCATTCGCCGCAGTAGGGCAAATGGAATCAATATGACTGTCGGCCCGACAGCAGGCGCCCTCGTTTCTGGATGGAAAAGACTGTATTCTCTGGAGCACTCGTCACGCATCTCGCCAATCAGGTCAGTGCTTGCATACAGCCCAACCCAGAGATGCAGTCAGGCATCCATGGCCCCGAAACAGCCTCAGGATCGACGTGGGCAGCCGCTACAACTCCTCACGCTTGCGAGAACCCCCCGATGGCAAATTGTGGTGTGGGACGCTCTCGTGCTTGCAGGCGGCCGGGGTCCGGAATCTCATAACGTACTCGCACTTGTTGGGCTCGGCAACGCTGTCGATCTTGTTCTCGGTGCCGCACTCCAGGTTTACCTAGCACGACCATCAGCAGTGTTGGCATTAGTGGAAATGCCGGTGTGAGCACCAAACGAGACTGTCAAAGCCGCCCGCCGGTCAAGCTACTTGCCTGCAAAGACCGATTTGGGCCGTTCCAGCACTGCTCGCCATTCTCAAACTTGAGCTGCGTATATGGATGATGCTCTGTGCCGGCCCATCGGCTGAAGCTCCTATAGGAGGCAGGATACATAGGCATGAGTGCCACAGAGAGGTCGTTGGCAAACACAACGAAGCCACATGCGGGATCCATCGATGGGCAAAAGGAAGGACCCATTCCATGGTATTTCGCCAAACTATCCAACAGCTTCTAGCAGCCCCCAGTCCAAGGATATGCACCTGTGTACCGAGTAGCGCTCACATCGAGGCCCCGCGGCTTCTTCATACTTACCCGAGATTGGTCGTGGCTCCACCCTTCTTCTGCGACGCCTTGTTGAACAGGCAAAACTCGTATGTGTATCTGGTGGCACCAAAATGATCGACGTCTGGTCAGCATCGCTGTCGATCCAGAGGCTGGCCACGCAGGGACTGCAAGTCATGATCGGTTTGACGGATTTACAAAAGCAACCGGCCACCAGACGCCATGCAAGCGCTTACTCGGTCGCAGTGTAGCTGAAGCACTGCTTGTCGAGGGCCTCGAAGACACCTTCGGATCCGAAATCAAACTCATCAAGACGCTTGAGCTCCCTCAGCGTATTCTCGTCAGTGCGAATCTTGTCTTCGGCAGCGCGAACCTGTCCCTTGAGTTGGTGGACCTCTGGGAAAGCACCGTGCGAATACGCAAACACCAATAATGAACCCGAGCGCCGTATCAGTCAACAAGCCGCCCAGCAGCTTCATCACCTGCACGCCTCACACACTCCCACCGAGGCCCTGATAAACAGCCATCCTGGTCTACTCACCGTTTTGTATATCGATACTCTTTTGCCTGTTCAACTCGGCATGCCCCTCCTGGAGCTCAGTATCCAGAAGGACTTGTCGCTTAGTCTCAAAGATCTTTTCGAGATGCTTGGCTCGACTCTCGGCATCTTGCTTCTCGACAAACTCGATGGAGCCGAGGAGCTGCTGCAGCTTCTCGTGGCAGCTGTTCAAAGAGTCGGGCTGGGCAAGGGGTTCGTATTCCTTGAGGGCGGCCTCTAGCTGCTCCAGCTGGGCTGCAGCACAATCCAGCAGGTTAACGTTGGTGCACATCATCGTCATTGAAGATATTCAACAATGACAGTAGCCGAGCGCGCAGACCGCCGGGTATCAGTACTCTGCCAGGGTTTGCCTCGTGGTTATGGGCAAGAACGAGAGCAAAACAAGAGCAGGTGTTTTGCAAAGCTCGTCAAGATGATACCGACCTTTCAACGTCTCAACGGCTGCCTTGGACTCCTTGATGCCCTCCTCGAGCTGTGGAATCTCGATCTGCCGATGGGCAACCTTGGATGCACGCTCGCTCAGATAGACAGCCTTGATCCTGGCACCCTGATCCAAGAAGCAGCGTCAAACATCCGCATCCGTGAGCCGATACCGGGTGCCGAGTCGGACGGCTGTGCCAGAAGTTGCCTACCTCGCTATTCAACTCGAACTCCTTCTTTTGATGCTCGGCAGCAATGCGAGCCTGCTGAGAACATGTATTGGGGCAACTGGCGGAACTGGCATATTCATCGGTTCCATCGCAGCAGTCCTCGTCTGAACGAATTGATCGATGGCATCGGTTGAGAACAGGAATTAGGGATCGTGCCGCGAGTGCTCTTACAACTGTTGAGCTGCCCTTATCGCAGACACAGCATCGGCTGCGACGGCGCATACCACAAATGCCATCGTTGACGCGGGAGCTCGGGATGCTGGCTCCAACATGCCCTTGGTTGATGCAGTAGAATCGGCCGTTGCTACATGCCGATGTCCCTGTGTTGTGAGAGTGATGATGCCGCATCAGAAGCCACGATTTGAGCCGCCCGCAGATGCATTGAGCCTGCAGTTCCATCGGCAGCCCGCACTCACCCGGCTCATCGCTTCCGTCGCTGCAGTCGCAATAGTCATCATTCACGGCGGCGTGCGGAATGTGCTTGGAGCCATCGAGACAGAGAAAGCGAAGATCGTTGGTGGACTCGTATGCCTTGAGATCTTTGGTTGATCCGGCGCGGTCATATTGATCCCATAGGAAAGCAACAGCGCCAGATGATCAGCATCGAAGCAGCGCACCATATCGGCGACGCCAGGAGGGCCATCCGCGGGCGATGGAGCTAGCCTTGCAAATGGGAATCTGTGCTGAATACCGCAGCTCCAAAGATGAGGGGCGTCTGGCAAATCAAGCAGACCCATCGAGGTCGAGCAGCACGCAGACAATCAGCCAGTCTTACGATCAGGGGCGACGCCGCGAAGGTGCCTGGGGATACTGCTCTTGCCCTTTGCAAGAGAGCCGCCAACAAGCACAAAGCAAGCAATTGCAGGCGTGATGATCTTCATGCTTCAGTGCTGGACGATGGACGAGCCGTAGCAGGGCAAATATTGGCCGTTGGATGCGCGAATCAGGGCAGAGCAGGTCTGAGCAGATCAGGAGCAACCCCGGCCTCAAGCCCTTGTCTGTGTTGGAGCGTGAGTTGACCGGCCAGCCTCTGGTCTCGTTCGATCTCACCCAGTTCTGCCCACCGCCCTCAAGCATCCCGGGCAAGAGCCGTTCCCTGCCTCCAACTAAGCCATGACCCAGCCCGTCTTTATTGTCACCGGTGCCTCGAAAGGCATCGGCCTCGCCGTGGTCGTCGCCTTGGTCTCGAGACTCGGCAGCTGTGTCGTTGGAACAGGCCGAACGCCGGCCACCGATCTGCCGGCCCAGCTGCGAGCGCTGCCATCAACTCAGTTTGTCTATGTTGCCGGCGACTGCACCGATTCGGGCCTCCATCAGCAACTGGTCCAGACTGCACTTGACCGATGGGCACGACTCGACGGCCTGGTGCTGAATGCGGGAATCCTGGAGCCCATCCAGCGCATTGCCGAGGCCGATCTGTCGCAGTGGCGCCGGCTCATGGATATCAATTTTTTCAGCGTCGTCGAACTGACCCAGCGATGCCTGACACACCTCCGGGCTTCCAAGGGCCGCATCGTCCTGGTGAGCTCGGGTGCAGCGGTGAATGCATACACCGGATGGGCACCCTACTGCACCTCCAAGGCTGCCATGAACATGTTCTCGCGGGGCCTTGCGATCGAGGAGCCCGATATCGTCACTGTTGCTCTCCGTCCAGGTTCGTGGTCTATCCTTGCAAGACGCCCTGTTGACGATGATGTGGTTGTTGGCGATGGCCAGGTCGACCGAAAGCTAGCTCGCGGACATTATCTCTGATGCGGGAGCAAAAAATGGCGCTTGTTGGACCAAGCTTCCCCACCAGAGGTCGATCTGTACATCGGTGCTGACTATTTGTCGACAACCGCAACCTCGACAGGAGTCGTCGACACCGGGATGCAGTCTCTCATTCGCTCGGATGGACTCGCCGGCATGACCTCCGAGCAGCACTCCAAGTTCGTGCAGCTCAAGGAAGACGGCAACTTGCTGCCTCCCGAGAAACCAGGCTTGGCCATCGCTCTGCTCGTTCGGTATGGCGAAGCAAGTCTCTCGGGCGAGTTCGTCAACTGGGATGATGCCCGGGTTGCAGCCTACACAGCCCATGCAGAATGAACCGGAGTGGGATCCAATGCGTTCGGCGATCTGGACAACTCCGTACATAGTGTAGTTCCTCGATGTCGACAGTCGAGTTGGCTGGGTGTGTTCTGAGTCTCGGGTGATAGTAAAGCTGCCGAAAGTACTGGGTTGAGCCTGGATCTCCGTGGGCTCGATGCACATCCCTTCCCTCCTCTTGCTTCCACGAGGCATCCCAAAGACAGCCACAATATCAGACGAACAAAAAGCGAATGCTTCCGCCATCCGGGTCCTTCCGCCCGCAAGCACCCCCACCATGTGTGTCTCCCCGATCATACCCGCTCAGCACACACATCCAACCATGCGACGGCAGTTCTCCCGACTTGATTGGTGACTTGAGTAATGGTCTTCCAGCCGCAGCTCGTCGGCGATCATGTGCAACGGCTCCCGCTGTACTTGCGATAGAGAGCTCCAACGGCCATGCTTGTGCCTTCGATAGGGTGCTGCTGCTGCTGCTGCTGCTGCTCGCCGCCTCCAATCACCCAATCCCAGTCCCAATCCCAGCTTCATATCGCTTTGGTCGCCGGAAAATATTCAGCCTCGACTCGCATGAGTCCTCTTTGCTCAAAGAGCAACACTCCGACCCTTCGTCTTGTCACCACATCCAACCCAACTCCACCAACTCAACCCAACCCAACTCCAGTCCTGGTCGTCAATGGAGTGGCTTAAGCAGGTTGGTGATGGAACGGCGGCCACTAGGTTCCTGCACAATACTCACCTAAGAATGCTAGCTTTTGGCGGGTACATGAACTGGGGCAGACACCTCGGGGCTGGCTCCTGACCATCCCGCACTCAGATTCATCCCACCATCAAGATGCTGAGGGGCGCGAAAGCCCGGCGGGCACCACCCCAGCAGCCCGCAGATGCTTCTGGACATGCGTTGTGGATGCGACGCCTGGCCAGAAGCGAGCAGATACACACTCAGTGCCTCGAGGTTGCACTGAAGGTAAGGAGGGACGGCGAGTGCTGCCAGTTCTCGGGGAATTTTCATGGTGTGAATTGAGCTGCCTCGGGACGGCGATTGTATGCGAGATGAGGACTAACCGGCCATCAACTTCACTTGTCTGATTCCGACTCAGCGATTCGAAGTCATCGCACTTCCGGAACTCAGCTCCATGTCCATGCTCTTTACCGAGCTCGTGAATCTTGGGCGAATCATCGTTGAAAGCGGTCGCAGTGACCCTGAGAGCAGAGTTCTCCTCCGGCTCGAACAGGCAAGGAACGATTGGTGTCGCTGTAGCGCCTCTGGTCTGGAGACTTGGAGCATCACGGTGAAGCGCTCGGCATTGTTAAATCGCATTTGGTCCGCTGCTTTCGTGGCCACACTGCGCTGACGCTTGCACTACCTCTCGGTCGCTCTCTTTGCAGATGCTCCGGTCGGCGTACCAATGTTACTCTCGCCAAATGCTCATGCTGATACAGACGCCAGTGCCGGCATTGGATAGACACGCATACTCTCAGGAAGTCAAGGAGTCACTTTGGATACCCTACAAGCGGTTGTATCTTTACCGGTACTACCTCTTGGTAAGGTGCCTCGTTCGATACTCTGCCCAGTTGCATTCTGACCACCCAAGGCGCACTCATCGCCCGATGGTTCGGTCAAAGGCTGACGTCGACAGACACTCATCTTTCGCCCACTATCAGCGACTGGGCAAGACTTGCTTTGGATATCATATCTCGGATCTCTTGCCGTTCATCAAGTCCATAATCCTCCAGCTCGACACTTTCTACGCCGGCCATCCAAGGGAAGATTCGTGGGACGAGCTTTGCGAGATTGAAGAACTCTTCGAGAATGACCCCTTGAATGTGGACAAGGTATTTCGGTGATGGCACAGCATTCTCTCGACATATTTGGATGGACACTTTGCTCGAATGACATCACTGCAGACCCTCGAGTGGTCAATCCTCTAACCAGATCTCAGACCGATTTGATGCTCCCAGTGACTGTCAGCGGTGCCATCGGGTCAAGAACGGTATGCTTTCGAGATCAAGGCTTCTCGCTAGTGCAAAATACCAAGTCTAAAGGGCTTGAACTCGGAGTGACCATGGATGGATCGCGCGCCCGCCGACCATCCAACTGGACAAAGCGTCCGAATCGATTCCATCGATCACCGAGAGAATGGGAGATCATGTATGGCCCATTGCGCAATGTTCGCCGGTCCAGTTCAAGACTGAGGCTGCGCCTCCATCGCAGAGGTCGATCTCGAAGAAGGTCCCTGCGGAGCTTCTGCAGGCGTGTATCCGAGGCTATACGCCTGGATTTTTGGGAACCCCTCTGCTCACGGCTCAAACAGATGCGACAAAAGAAGCCCGCAGAGGGCTTTCCTATTTTCAAGGTCGGATCGGGCTTGAAGCGCCAAAATATCCGACTCACGTTGGTTGATGGGCGCATGTATATTGTCAGAGCAGAGGAGCGAGCGCCGAAGTCCAAGGTACCGCGAAACACCCGTTGCTCCGTCGCCAGTCCCCGGCTGTGTTTGTGAAGCAGAGCGCTTCGGCGACATGGTGATTGAATGTCCTGCTTGTCTAGGGACGGTCCCAGTTGATGTATCCGCCAATAGATACACAGAAGCTGCGCTACATCTACCGAGACATGCCTGGTATACCCCTGCTCATCGGGCTGCTCATCGGGCTGCTCATCGGGCTGCTCATCGGGCTGTGCAAGCAGCTCTGGGAAATCAGTCTTGCTCACGCCTCTGCTGTCGTGCTCTAGGGCTTGAGAATGTCATTGAAATTCACTTTAACAACGAAATCGTGATTGTCGAGGGCTGCACCAAAGACTCAATACAGCGGCTGGCCTCCGAATTGAGCCGCTCAAAAGAGCGCTTCCCCACGCTTGGCGGTAAGCCACCAACCCCATACCGTTGCTATCCGCAGCCAGAAATCAAAGCATGAGTCGGACCATCGACCGAGGCCATAGCCATCGCGTATATGCGAGCCATTGGCAGCTCATAAACTGGCATACCTGTGTCCCAGGAGAGTGCTTGAATGATATATGGGCCGATGGCCCAAACGAACGCGTAAAAACCGAGCCCACAAACGTCATGGGAAAAATCGATCCGGATGTTGTCGGCATTTTCACGGTAGGCCATGCCAAAGCTGAAGCCCGAACTGTGACTGCCTTGGTATCATCAGCGATACAGAATGGGGGACCTCGTACGCTTTTCCGTCGCTGGATGGCCGTTGATTCATATATGCTGCTGTTTGATTTACTCGCTCCTCTCGCCTCATTTGCTTGACCTAGGATGGACGCCCACCAGTGTGCGGGTATGAGATTCATGGACCTGACCAGCGATGGAAGGTCGACTTTGTCGAGCCCGCAAGACCAGCCTTGTTCCAGGCCACATGCAAAAGCGTCCACCATCGCATCAGTAGCGGCTGGCTGAAGCTGTCGGGCCAGGCAGTCAGCATCTATGGCCCAGACGACGCCAATGCCGACCTCGACGTTGCCTGGGTCCGCATTGTCGATCAAGTCACGGGCCGGATCCGCATGGAGCAGCGCATCACACCTTCGACCAAGGGAATCCTCCACTCGGCAACCAACGGCTACGAGATCCGGTACATTGACTCCCGCGGGGTGCAAGTATTCCACCTCCAGTTTCAGGACGCCGAGTCGGCGCAGCGTCTGTCCGGTTTGATCGAGCAGTTGTCCATCGATGCAGTGCGGCGCTCCAGTGCAAAAGCCGCAGGCCAGGCAACTGCCACCACAATCGAAGCATCCTTGGTGAATGACTCGCCATCCCAGAGCTTCAGTGGCTGCTGGACTTGCTGCAGAGGCGACTGGGTCGATGTCGGGCCCGTCCGTGCTGTGATAACCTGCCGCCCTCCATCAAAGGAGCCCGATGGCCCCGGGTCTGGCCAGGCTATTGCCGCAGTAATGTTACAGTCAGTCCCGCACCCCAACATCACAGTCGGTGGATGGACGATCGATTCTCGTTCCTTTGCCTCGCGGGTAGACGGTCAATGGGTCCAAGTCTCTGTGTTTGACCAGGCCGAACAGCAGTACCGTATCCTGGCTGGGTCCGAGATCGCCGCCGAGGCATTCAAGACCTGGATCAATAGCTATACCGCTGCTGCGCCCCTGCTATCAGAACTGCCCAAGAGTATGTCGCTTCTCCAGGCACCGCAGAAGGTATCCTTTGCCTCTACAGAGTCCGGAGAGACGCTCCTGGAGGCCGCGATCCCAACACACCGTGCGCTGGACAAACGACATTCGCAGTCAAGCGAGAGCCTCCAGAAGCCCGGCAAGGTCATCCGGCTGATCCAAAAATTCAACCAGTGGTCGCTGGCATAGAGGGGAAGCTTGAGCGATGGCTTGGACGATGTGATGATGTCGCGACCCATCCCGCATGCATATGCTTGCTCTTCTCTTTCGCTGCAGACATTTTGGTGATAAAACGGGATGCACCATTGGGATCCATCGATACTTACAGCGTTTCCAAAATGAAATGGGACACCCCCGTTTTGGGCCATGACTGTGTTTTTTTCTGGAACCTGAATACACACCCACTCATCGCATTCATGGCCAAGCACAGCATCTTGATATCGAGAACCCACACTTTGTCCGGAGCTGTGCAAGCTGCCATACGCTGTGGGATCGAGACATCAATGCCTCAAGGAACATGATCTCGGCATGCCAGTCGATCATCGCCACAGGAGATCGGCCGGGTGTATTCAAGACTGTGCTTCCCAAACCAACCAAAACCACTCGATTGCCAACCAGGACGGGAAACAATCTCACGGCTTGCTCACTGGGGCCTACAGTCAGTCAGCTGGTTTCAGACATCTGAAGCCAGAAAGTGACTGTCCCGTTTCTTTCTCGATAGACTGTAAAGCCCCGAATACACATTGCATCATCTCGTCAGTCACAAACTCGGCTTGTCCATATCTGTGAACTGCTCGCCCCGCCAGAGTGCGAAGGTTGGGCCCGAGCACAACCGGTGTCGAGTCGATGCTTGAATGGCAACATCACCTCACTGATTCTGCCTGGCGACCACTGTGTCTGGTCTGCTCTGTCTGTGACCTGCCGCAAGTCAAAGGCAACACCAGCTGACAACGCAGACCGTGCTCGAGCCCGCTCCTTGCTTGGTCTTCCCACGACCCGATCCAGCCCGGCCTGCGGACCAGTGGGTCTTGTTCCTGCATCACCGCCAGCCTCTGTGCTCCGCAGCGGGCGAATCAGAAGCGTTGCCGACAGAAACCTTATTTCTCTATCCACTGCTGTATATACCACCATGGGCTTGCCCCATGACCACCCGCTTTTTTTTTTCTCATCCTCGTCCTCTCCTGGACCAGCGAGGTATTTATACCCCCCCCCTGCGTCGCAAAAAACTCGCACCCGCATATCGCCCTCATCCCTTGGCTGCTCTCTCCAGCACAATCCTCGCAACCCCGTCGCGACACTTGCATCTTCATCCTCTCCTGTCTGCCTCTATTCCCTCCTTGTGACTTCCCAAATGGTCTCCGTCAACTTTGCCTCCCTGGTCGCTGCCGCTGCCCTCGCCGTCTCTGGTGTCCAGGCCCACGTCACCTGCAACCCCAACGTTGCTCCCAACGCCGGCTACTTTGTCACCAACATCCGTGTTCGTGAGTACCTGCTGTGTTGCTGGGCACCACCTGGGTGTCGCTGTCCAAGCAACTGGCTCCGTCGCAGACTCTTGTCCCGACTGGGCTGGTTGTGGAGTGGTTACTTTCGAGGCCACACCGTCGTGGGCTCTGGCTGATGGATGAACTGTCCGCTGACCCATTCGTTGCATCCCTTCCTTTCTGTCTGTGACATCCAGCCCACTCCTTCCCCGGCTCCAACACCATCAACATCACCGTCAAGATCCCCGATGGCGTCACCTCGGTCAAGCCCCAGCTCATCGCTGGCTGGAAGATCGACCTGGCTATGCGCCCCCTGAACCCTCCCATTGTCTCCGACGGCACCACCATCAACACTACCGTCGACACCATCACCTGGTACGGTGGCGTTCTCTCGAACGACTACTACGCCGACTTTGGTATCAACATGAAGCTCCCCAACGTCACCGAGGGCTCCAAGCTTTACTTCCCCGCTACTCAGATCACCACCAACTCCACTGGCATCAACGTTCCTCTTGCCTGGGCCGCCATTCCTGATGCCAACGGCACCTTCCCTGCTGGTGCTGACAAGTCCCATCCCGCTCCTTCGATCACTCTCTGGACCGGTGGTGTTGCTCCTGCTCCCAGCCCGAGCACCTCTGCCAAGAGCGGTGCCATCCAGATTGCCGGCACTTTCGTTGCCTCGGTTGCCACTGTGGCCAGTCTGTTTGCCATGGTTTTCTAAGCGGAGAGTGGAGGCCGAGAGATCCACCGTTCTCCGTTCCTGTCCTCTGTCGCTCTGCCCCAGCCCACAATTTGCCACCTTTCTCATACGTCCCCACCCCCTCCTCTGTTCCCAAAGATCCTGGGCAAAGAGAGGGCTCCAACGACTCTGTCTATACAAAGAAGGATCACAACACAAATACATTCAATGAGATGAGCAATCTCCGTTGCTGCACATTCCTGACAGCGCGCAAGCTGCTCCTGTGATGTAACAGTATCGATAAAATGATCCGGGACGCCTGGATTCGAGGCGAGCGATGTCACCGTGTTGCTGGACTGGGTCTGGATTCTCCGTCACCATACTTGGTTGATGGGCAAGTAAAGCCCTCTTGAGTTCGGAGTGGCCAACAATCCAGTGATGGATGTACTTTGAGCCATACCAGAAGGGCCAGCAGGGTGCTCACACAGGTGCAGGGCTGTGATTGATGATACGCCTCCCGACGCCGGTCGAATGCTCGTCCTGGACGACGATGGGGTCGGCAGCGAGTGTATTCAAGATCCAGCCGATCGCTGGGGTCATGACATGGAACTCGACTGCGAACTTGCGAGAGACTGGACGACTACTCCGCCAGCGGTGCGTTCATTCTCCGGGCGACGTAATATGAGCCATCGACAGCAGATGAATGCTGCAATAGCGCCCGACCAGAGCCCTCCTGTGGCGGGGCGTCCTCGATCGCTGTCGGCATCGAAGTCAGCGATTCCGCCCTCCCCGAACTCGCGACAGCGCTGTGCGGCCGGGTCATCGACTTGAGCGGCACCACGTTTGCGGTGTCGATATCTCGGATCGGCGCGACGATGCGGCGGAGCTGGTTGACGGCGTCGGTGTACTTGGGGATGTCGCCGTCAGAAAGCTGGAGGCCGCACAGTCTGGACAGCCGTGAAAACTCGGCTGGGCTGAAGGCTGCGATCTCGCTGCTTGAGACCTTGAGGGACCAAGTTGGCGACGGGGGCTGGAATAGAGTTTGGCGAGCCCATCGTTAGTAGACTGCGGGTGAAAGGAGGGGCGACATAGGAGCATGCAGCAGCTGGATGCATCGACAGGGTGGACACATACGATGGCGGAGTGCAGCAGCCTGGATCGCAGTCGGGGCAGAGCAGTCGGTGCTCCGGTATAGATCATGTTGGGGGGGGGTTGACGGCCGATCGGATCGTGGAGATGGACTTCGTAAGGCAGAAACTGCAAGTCGAGCTTTGCAGGGAGAACCTCGGAAGACGGGCCCCGTAAGCCGCTGGCTTCGTTTTTCGGTGTTTGCAGATGCAAGACCAACCCGGTGAGAGGTGATCGGCGCGGTCGGGAAGCAGCCAGCGCCACGGCAGTCAATTTTTTCGTCCTCGCTTTTGGAGGCAATCCCCGCGGCCTGTGCGATCGCCTGGATTCATCTGCTCGCTCTCTCGCTTGCCCGGCCACAGATCCGGTCTATCCGACGCCATCGTCTGCACGACAGCGGCACTTCCATAGGCTGTATCCGTTTCCGAGACCACCGCACACAGTCGCCCCTTCCCTCCCTGATTCTCGACAACGACTGCACACCATGGACAGCGGTGCGGAGGACGAAGAGTTCAACGAAGGCTACGATGAGGGCTACATGGACCATTACGAGGAGTATCCCGAGGACGAAGAAGCCGATGACTACGGCGATGCAGACGCAACCGAAGATGATCCCATGAACCAGGACTATGCGGCCCATCCCGGCGACGGCGATCTCGAAAATGGCGCCGGTGGTGTCGGCGACGACGACGGCCACGATCACGACCTGGACCACGACCAGGACGATCCCGTCGTTTTCGAGATGGACATTTGCATCGCCCGCCATCTGAAAAACGTCCTCCATGTCCTGCAGTACCCGACCCGCTCGATGCCCTTTGATGAGGCGCACCACCCCCAGGTCGGCCGATTCAAGTCAAAGTCGGGCCAGCTGGAGCTGGACATTCCGCTGGCCACAAACGACATTCACTACAACCATCAGACAGGCATGAACCTGGCCGAGGGTTTGGACGACAAGCCATTGCGGACTGCATATGATCGAGAGCTTGGTGTGTCGGCGCGAGACAAGCTGCTTGACTCGATCACACTTTCGTCTGCGCAAGTCCCACTTTCATCCTACTACATGGTTGGCGTCGTCCACGACGGTAAGCATTCGCGGCTATGTTTCCATCGAGCGATCCCAGAGCAACGAGAGGTCATGTGGGCTCGATGAGGCTCGCTGTCTGAGCTGTATTGGCGATCACTTGCACTCTTGGGTGCCCGGGAGTCTGGGGAGGGGAGGGCTTTGCTGGGCTGAACGGCATATTGCTCACTCGTTCTGACTCTCGATACACAACTGGGCTGTGGTTGCCTTTCGCCTCGTCTTGTCTCGGCCAGGTGAGCTCCATCTGACCGAAGTTACCTCGTGTCTGCAAATGCGCCCCAATCTCAAGTACCTCGACAAAATCGACGAGAAAAAGAAGCAGTCGCAGAGCCGCATCGCGGCCGAAGAAGCCAAGGAGGAAGGGCGTGAGCCAGAGGCAAAGATGATCCAGGTCGGAACACCATATACTAGCATGCTGTACCAGAGACATACGATGCCGTTCCAGCGGCGATGTCCGCTGCGATACGGCTGATGCCGATGTGATTGCATCGCGCCGCTTCGTGGAGACCCCCTCGCTTGCTGGATTGGATCGTCAATGGATCGTCAATGGATCGTCAATGGTCTTCAATGGTCATAGCTCACATTTTATCACTGTGTGCTCCTCCTGAACGAAAACAAAAAAATATCGGTCATTTAGCTCCAAGTCCGATCGGGCGACAAAAATGCTATGCAACGAGCCACCGCGCTGCAGAAACAAAAGGAGATTGATGACGAGCCTTGGCAATCGCTCAAGATCGAGCCTCAGGCGGTGAGTATGATCATGGTTTGCAGAAAGGATGAGAGCGATGTCGTCTCCAAAGTGGATGCCGCCGAGCTGGCTCTTCTCCCTCCTCCAAGAAGCATCCATTGGAAACTCCCTCTAAGATTCGAGGCTCCGACGAGCCAAGAAGCGGGTGGCCAGCGAGCCTGACCAAGGTGGCTGAGTAAGGTGTCGATCGAGCGACTCACTGACTTTATCCTGTTCCTCTAACTCAGTCCCACATTGCCATGAACGCTCGTGACGAGCTACTTGGAGACAGTTCCATCGATCTTACGGTGGTCTCGAACAAGCAGGACTACCTTGATGAATTCAGGCCCAAGGTTCCGACAGAAGAGATTAGGTCAGTTACTTTCCATCGATTGGCGGGCTGGCAGATCTCTCCCGTTCGGCTGATGGGATACTCGCTTGGTATGGACAGCCCACTTGCCAAATCCAATCCCGCCGTGCGTCACATTCATCGCCGTCCACCTCTCATGCCACCACGCCAGAGACGAGAGAGGCCAGATCAAGATTACCCGTGGCATGGCTATGAACGACCTGCAGTCGGCCACCCTGCTGCACAAGATCAAGGCGGTACTCATCAATGGTGGGTCTCGATGCACGGAGCGGTCTCTAAGGCTGGATTGTGTTCGGCTTGCTCTGGATCGATGTATTTGCGCCGGTGTCCCGTTTGCTGGGGTCGGACGAATGGTGCCAGCGGCGATGTACTGCGCCTGCGAATAGGTTCTCGATAGCAAATTGTTTGAGGTCCACATGGATCGACTGCGAATTCAACTGACAGGAATGGTATGCAACAGCCCAAATCATCGACTTTACGCGGCTTTACGAGATGGTTGGCGCTGGCCACACTGAGGAAGAGGTCATCGTGGTCCTGGAGCAGGTTGCGCTTCTAGTCCGAGGCACCTGGATCCTGCGAAGGTAAGCGTCAACGACTGGGATATATTGGTATGCACCGACGGCAGTGACGATACCGGCTGGTGATATCAGCGACAGATCTGTGGCCATGCAAGGGGCATCGACGAATCGATCTGATGGGAGCGGACGACTATTCGCGCTGTCGGCTTGTGCAGGTTGCCTGCGGCGTGAACAGAGCACTGCCGGAAATTCCGATCCGAGGAGGATGATAGAGTTTGCGGCTGGACTAATCTAGTGGTCTACCCCCCCTCATTCGCTTCTGGATCGCACACATCCGCCCCCACCCAACGACGTGCTCCCTCCTTCTGAATCAATGTCCAGTGAGCTGATCTACACAGATCGGCCGCGCGACGCCCGGCGCTATCTCCTCGGACTTTTCCGCGACCACGAGTTTGTCGAACGCAAGCCCTTTGCCGACCGAGTGCTGCTGCCGCCCAGCATCGTTGGCAGTTTCCTCCAGGAGATTGCCAATTTGCATCCCCAGGAGCGCAAGTGGGGGCTCAAGGTTGCCCCGGACCGGCCGTTCATGCAAAGGTACCCAACGAAGCGCTATTTTCGGTACCGCCCGGCCAGGCGATTGCACCAGACACCCAGGATGATGGTGGACTAATCCCGACCACATATGGGATTGCAGGCACCCTGAACTGGTCAAGCGACACTACCAGCTGATTTCCGAGGAAATGGAACAGTAAGTGCGGCGGTGTAGATGTGGCAAAGCGCGGGTGCGATAGCGGATGTGCTTTGGAACACCAAAGAGAAGGGCTTGCGGGAGTGACCCGCGGCCACGAGGAGGGCGGTGGCGGGAATCGTGGCAACGTTTGTGGATGCTGGACAGCCGCGACTCTGCTTATTGACAATGGCCGGCACGAACTGCAAATCTTGGACCCAGGGCACTTGCGGCCATGGGCATTGGCGACAAGCGCGGGACTCAGAAGAGTCGGAGCGCCAGCCACTTTGTCAGCCCAACGACGGGCCGAGTCCCCGGTAAGCCATTCCGCCAACGGTACCAGGAGAGGATGGGGTCCAGATGACGACAGCGGCGGGTGAGAGCCCCTAAGGACTAACCAGGAACGGGCCCGTAACGACCACCCCTCAGCGCCGGCGGCCGCGGCGGAAACCGTGGCTCGCTCCAAGCCCTCTGGATCGACACCCCGAGCCGACATCCAGACATTCCTCGACCAGCTCATCGACAAGATCTTTCTGGCCAACGGCGTGTGCTCGCTGGAGTATGTCCAGCACGAAGTGGCAGCAAAGAAGAGCGAAGCAGGTCAGTGCGAGCGGGAGAGGGGCAGGGCGTCCGGCTGGTATGGTGGCTACGGTATAGCAACGTGGTAGGTATGGCGGCCATGGCTGGCTCAACAAGCCCGTTCATTTCCTTCGGCCGGCCAGCCGAACGCCGGCGTCTGGCGAGAGGGGGCGGCTCTGTTGGAGCATGTTGGTAACGGCGATCAACGCTCATGGACAGGATCGATGCTGGAGCATGTCGAGAACAGCGCCGAGTTGGCAGCACGGGCAGTCGAAGCCCGCTGCACGCGCGTGAGCGGACGCTATGTCCTGCGGACCCTGAACAACCCCGGCCTGGACCAGGTGAGCAGCAGGATGGCGGAATAGCTGCGGCGATCGCGAATCGAGGGATGCTGGGGAGCAATCTGGGGTGGCACAGGAGGCATGGCCAAGGGGGTGGCGACCGTGAGTGATCGGGACGGGCACTCATTGGCGCTGCGTGTCGACACGATCTGCCCCGCGGACGAGCAGGTGAGGGACGTTGTCGTCAAGCTATTCTCGAGACAGGAGTTGATCAAGAAGCAGGACGTTGCGCAGGCCTTCAAGAGCCAATACGGCAGCGACCTGCCCACGGCGCACTACAATAAGGCAATGAAGGAGCTGGCCAACTCTGGCGGCGGCGGCTGGGTGAGCAGAGCAGAAATGAAGCACCCAGCGAGCGGCGTGGGTGAATGCCTCGGGGGCAAGACGCAAGCGGGAGGGCAACATGGCGCAAAAGCGATAACACCCGGGCACTAACTCGTGGCATCACATCACATCACACGATACATCGCATGGCATCGCACCCGATATCGGACTGGCGGTGACTTGGGATCTCAGACGCTCAAGATGTCGCCGGCGCAGCCGTGAGCGATCGACTGCGACCGATCGGTCCTGGACAACCCCGTTCGACAGACGACGCCGCATCCCCAGAGCAGCCCCATCCAGTCTGCTGGGCCAGGCCCGGCCGAGGAACAGATCCCAAAAGAGGGAAGAGCTGGGGCGAGTGAGTCGGATGAGTCGCGGTGCGGAGCCGCCCAATTTCCCGCGCCGTCAAGGACGATCCCACCCCCACGAAATACAGCAGCGATGCGGAGAAGCAGCTGATTGCAGGGAGCCGTGGGAAGGCGATGCGGGAGTGGATGCGGGTGTTGGGGATGTGGACGTGGGTGTAATCATGGCTGTGGCTGCGGGTGTTGACAGATGATATGATATCACACGCAGATGATATCACACGCAGATGATATCACACACAGATGATATCACACGCAGATGATATCACACGCAGATGATATCACACGCAGATGATATCACACACCCACAGCACATCGCACACAGGCATTTGAAATTTGCATCCGAGCCCCCGCCCAGTCGACACCGGAGGACGGACCCGAGGCCAGCGCCGCCCTGCCGAGGACTCGCTCGCCGAGAACGGATCCGCCCGTGGCGTGCCTGCGACCGCTGGCACATGACAGCGACGGCGGTGGGGCTGCGCAACGGGATTGGCCCGCGGATTCAACCTCCGACTGCCCAAAAGCGGCCAGAAGAAAAAACGCCCCAACGCCGAGAGCGCTGGGCGAGACCGCACCGAGACCACAGCCACAGCGAGAGTGCTGGGCGAGGCCGCACCGAGGCCACGGCGAGACCGCAGCACGCACACACACACCCCGCTCCTCCAGCGACCCCCGAAAAAAAGGTGCGCGTATAAATACCGTCGCCGATCCCGCTCGCTGCTTGCATCCCCATCTTCTTGCATCGTCCTGCAATCGCTCGTCGGCGTCCATCTGCCTTCCTTCGCCTCCTCTTCCCTGCTTCCGTTTCGCCGCATCCAGTCTGCACAATGAGCGCTCCCGTTGCCACCAACCTCGTCGATACTCAGCCCCTCTCGGAGGCCAAGCGTGCCGAGCTCTTCACCGTCAAGGCCGGTCTCGCCCAGATGCTCAAGGTAAATCCCCACCACCGGGTTTGCCTCGTGCTGCTGTCGTCCGGGAATCGCCACCACCACCAAAGCCTTGGCATCGATCGATCGGTCGCTGCGCTACCGTCTGTCAGCGGGCCAATCTCGCTTCCGTGTCGGCTTCGATCCGGTCGCGACACTGGCCGAATCGATCCCGCTGATTCAACGATCGCGTCTGCCTGGGCGGCCAAGTTCCTTGCCTTCCATCCTGTGAGCTGCGTCGAGCCCGTCGCTAACGATCGAATCCAATCCCCCACTTGCGTACGATCAGGGTGGTGTCATCATGGACGTTGTCGACGCCGAGCAGGCTCGCATTGCCGAGGAGGCTGGTGCCTGTGCCGTCATGGCTCTTGAGCGTGTCCCCGCCGACATCCGCAAGGACGGTACGTTAAAGCTGCTTGCAGCCGATATATATACGAGACGAGATGCTGTGCTGCCACATCACCGGTCCTTCGTCTCAGCCAGCACTTACCCAATCCTCATCTGCTAATCGATCTGCCCATCACCTCGTCTCCTGCCTCGTTTGCATCGGCCTTGCGCACCCCTCCAGGTGGTGTTGCCCGTATGTCTGACCCCAAGATGATCAAGGAGATCATCGCGGCCGTTACCATCCCTGTGATGGCCAAGGTCCGCATCGGCCACTTTGTCGAGGCCCAGATCCTCGAGGCCATCAACGTCGACTACATCGACGAGTCCGAGGTCCTGACCCCCGCCGACGAGGTTCACCACATCGACAAGCACAAGTTCAAGGTCCCCTTCGTCTGCGGCTGCCGCAACCTCGGCGAGGCCCTGCGCAGAATCAACGAGGGCGCTGCCATGATCCGCACCAAGGGCGAGGCCGGCACCGGTGACGTCATCCAGGCTGTCAAGCACGCCAGAACCCTCCACGCCGACATCCGCCGTGCCCAGGCCATGAACGACGACGAGGTTGGTTTTCTCGTCCCACCGCGTGCGCCACTTGTCTACTGCCTGTGGCACTGCACGATCGGTCCTGCGGCGCCGTTGCCTGTGCCAGGTCCTGGTCCTGGCTTCTCGACTGGTCCTGGCTTCTCGACTGGCTCTCGCTGGCTGTCTCAGAGGGGGGCTGTCCAGGACTCGGCAATCTGGCTCCGGGGTGCCTTGGTCTCGGGGATCGAGCTTGCTGCCTCGACGCTGCGGCTCGTCAGCGCAGAGAAACCGGGCGACGGCCTGCGTTCACATCCGCCCTGATCCAGGGACACACACGCCCTAATCCCAAGGGCTCACCGCCCTTCCTCTCAGCCCGAGACTGACCTTTCTTCCTCCCCCCCCCCGACTCTGCTCTTTCCCCTGCAGCTCTACCACTATGCCAAGGAACTCGGTGCCCCCTACCATCTCCTCAAGGAGACTGCTCGCCTCGGCCGTCTCCCTGTCGTCAACTTTGCCGCCGGTGGCGTTGCCACCCCCGCCGATGCCGCCCTCATGATGCAGCTCGGTGTCGACGGTGTCTTTGTCGGCTCTGGCATCTTCAAGTCTGGCGACCCCGCCAAGCGTGCCCGTGCCATCGTCCAGGCCGTCACCCACTACAACAACCCCAAGATCCTGGCCGAGATCTCCGAGGACCTCGGCGAGGCCATGGTCGGCATCAACTGTGACAAGCTGCCCGAGTCGGAGCGCCTGGAGCTGCGCGGCCACTAAGAGCCCGCTGGCCCCCTCTGATCTCTGATGCCATCTCGGTCAGTCAAGCAGTGGCCCTCACGGCTCCACACATGACAACGCCGCGACGCACAACCCGCTGCCTACCGCTCGGGCTATCATTCCTCAGCATCGATGGGTGCAGCCGTGGGGGGCTTGGTCCCTGGCAGCATATTTATTCCTGATGGGCCTCGGGTGAGGCTCCCGTGGCCTGTAACCAATCATCCGCCCAATTGTGCTTCACCCCTTTCCCTTTATGGCTTTTTCTTACATTCCGTTTCACCAAGGGGAGGAAAGCACTGTGCGCCTGCAGCTCCTTCAGTTTGTCGTGGTCCTCCCCTGTAATTCCCTTTGCCCTGTGTATCATACAGCTCTTTCAAGAAAAATGTGTCATCCCCGATATCCCCTGCTTCCTCGAATCGCTGAGAGCGAGACTGAGCGAGCGACACGCTGAGAGCGATTGGCAGACTCGTTCTTATCTGGTGCGACGTGTCTGCAGAATCGGCGAACAGTAGTGTGATGGGCATTCACGGGAACCGGTATGAGCGACCTGGGAGAAACAATCGAACACAATCCCCCCCCCGTTGCATCGGGTGGTCGCATGGATTTTCGGCTCGGCGGCTCAGCTGTATTGCCCTTGTCCAACAGCAAACCAGACTCGCTTGATCTGACAATGCAGCCTACCATCAGATACACAGAGGAGTCGCCGTGCAGCTCCATGGCCAGATAGATTGCCATCGACAGAGAAGCGGGAATCGGCCCACCGCAAACGGAATCCGGCACACAGCATCGCCCCTGCTATGCATCACGGCTGGGCCACCAGTGCGGCACTGGGCACCAGGCCCAGCTCCTTCAACGTCTTGCTTCGGTCAGGCCCGTCGAGAACCTTCCGGGGGAAGGTTTGGAGCAGCTTGTAGCTGGAGCCCGGTCGCTGTGCGGCCAAGAACTGGTAAACGGCCTCCAGCGTATCGTCGGCCTTGAAGGTGGTCGTCAGCGGCGGGCCATCGGGAACTCGGATCTGGAGACGGGACTCGGTGTAGTTCTTGGCGGCAGACGACGATGCGGACGACGATGCAGACGGCGGGGGCTGGACGATCGAAGCTGAGGTAGCGCCAGCAGGCGATGCGCTCTGGCCGAGACTGGCCAGTCGCTCGGCTTCGCGCTGGTGCCGCACATGGGAGAGCAGAATATGGGAGGTCAGATCCACATGGTTTCCCAAGGAGCGATGGATCCTGTGCCGCTCGCGACGGATTCGGCCATGTCGTCGATGCAAAGGCGGTGCGGCCCGTTTGGCAAGCACGCAGGTGTTGATGCTGTCGGTGGCTTCCTATCGCATGTCGAGCGACGACGAAGCGCGCTCAAAACGATCCCAGCCGCTGTTCGTTACGCTCACCTTTGCGGCCCTGTCCTTCTTGTCCTGCTCGATCTGCATGCGGACCCGCTCGCGCGCCGCCTTCTCGTCAAGCTTCTCTTGCTTCCTCTGTTCAATGGCCTTTTGCATCTCGGTCACCTTCAGCTCCTCGCGCATATGCGCCATTTCCTGGCCGGCCTTTCGTCGGATGCGCTCCTGTTCGCGGGCCTCGATGGCCGCTTGGGCCTTTTGGGCCTCGCGCTTGGCAGCCAGCTTGGCCTGAAGATCGGCCAGTTTCTGTGCCTTTTCTTCGGCCGTGAGAGGCTTGATGGCCTCGGTGGATTCGCTGAAGCTGGTGTGTTGAGTCTTTGCAGCATGGAACTCGGCAGCGGCCGCTGGTTGTGAGATGCGTTGATGGCGGCAAACATGATCAGCACGACAGGCGACGACTCTGTGGTTCTACTGGCTGCATTGCCCTCACCGTTTCGGAGCAGCTTGCCGCACTCATCACATCGGAGGGACTGTGCCGTGGCCTCCTCGGCAGTGATTTCCCCTGGATATAGAGCAGAGATTGAAGCCGTCAGCTCGAAGCGGCCTGGAGTCGGCCGGCCCGTGCAACTCGCCAGAGATTGAAACTGGCCGCCCACCCCGAGTACCCACCGTCATGCGCATCTGTCATCTGGCTATCTGATGCAGCAGAAGGTTCGGGCGCCGAGGATGAGGCGGGTTCCTCAGTATCGGGATCGTCGATATGAGCAATCAACCTGGGTGGTTGGGCGGTAAGCCATCGAGGTGGCTGCAATGAGAATGAAGGCACATATCACAGCGACGGTCCGGATGCATGGACTTGCCGACCCCTTTGCGCTGTTCGGATGCTCTCGATCGATCTTACCAGTCCAGAGCAGGCTGGTGCGGCGGCGATACCGATAGCCGATAGAATCAATCCAAGGTAAGTTCATCGACAGCCGGCCGAAAATAGAGGGAGATTGTTGGAAGCAAAGCACGCCATAAATCTCTTCAGCAACGACATGTCCATCGAGCCCCAGCCCAGTCCTGATCGTGCTCGGTCAAACAAATAAACAAACCTGCAATCCGGCATTGCCGGTCGCTGCAAGAGCCCGGTCGCTGCATGGGGTGAGCCGCAGAGCCGATCGTTAGCCAGCATCCGGGTTGATCGTGTCCAAGCGAGAAGCTGCGAGTCTGGGATACCGGTCCGCCGTCGCCGAGACTCACACTTTGTTGGTGCTGAAGCCCATGTCGAGCAGGGCGTTTCGGTCCGAGGCAGCCATGGTGGAGGTCGGCAGGTTGAGAGGTGATCGGGTTGGAGGTGTTGGCGGCTTGGTTGGGGTGAAGTCGAGAGCAAGGGTCGTGGACCGGCGTGTCCCGTGCCAGCAGCGCGGCCAATGGCGCTGCGGCACGCACACTCGAGTGCGGCTCGATCCGCCTCCTCCAGCCAACAAAACAGGGCGAGTCACCCGCCGCTCTTGTCCATCACCCACACCAACCAAGCTCGTTCACCACTCCCTCCAGCACCGCTCCCCATCCCTCCCATACCTATCCCTGTCGTTGGCGCCGTCTCGGCCGATCCCAGATCCATCCCCCCCATAGGCAGCTGTCCGACCAGAGCACCCCGTACCTGCAATGTCCGCCCTATTGCTCGCCAAGAGCCAGGGGCTGTCGCTCTTGTCGCTTGCAAAGGCAGCCTTCCAGGCGGCGCTGCTGCTGCTGCTGTTTTCGCTCCAGTACAGACCCGCCTCGGCATACTCTCTGGCCAAGCCCCCGGCGGCCGAAGATAGCACGATCCTGCGAATCCCGAAACCCATTGATACTCCCAAACTAGACCCGTCCGATGTTCTCATCGTCGCAACCGTCGACGGCTTCCTTCATGGCGTCAGTCGACGGAGCGGCGAAATCCTCTGGGAAAGAGACTACGAGCAGCTCGGCCCGCTCGTCAAATACACGGCTCCGTCGACCGACCCAATTGGTACCGGGGACCTCCCGCCTGCGAGCGACGGGCGGGCCCTGCCTCCTGCCTCGGACAGCAACGAACAGGCCATTGACCGAGTGGGCGGCGCCTCGCCGGCAAGCCCGAGCGGCATGGAGACCTATTTCATCCCCGATCCAGCAGGCGAAGGCGATCTCTACGAAGTCAAGTACCACGATAACCGATGGGAAATCGAGGTCAGTGGACCACACCCCCACAGAGGAAACGAGTCGCCGGTTCGAGCAACCTGACTTTCGAGTTTGCCATCGCCACGGAGAGTACCGGGAGCACCATGATTCATACTGACTGCCAGTTTACTTTGCACCCATCGACCTGCGGGTAACGCAATATCCCTCGGGCTTTGATGCAACCGACCATGTCATGTCATGAAACGCCACGGCCCTATCGCTCCCTCGATCCACCCACCGCTTCTGATGTTCCGCCACCTCGGTGCACCATCCAGCGGTTCACACACTCTGTAAAATCGATCGCCAAGGAAGGTCGGCCTCTGCGTATGGGCCCATTGTTCTATACGCCAAAGGTGACCCCCAGGCTGTACCTGATCAACCCGCTCACGGGCGACTTGCTTCAGTCGATTGGCGACGAGACTTTTACGAACGTCCAGAATCCCAACGATCCCAAGGTATTCCTGACTCGCAGTGGTACGTGTACCTTTTTTCACCCTTTCGAGCGAGATGGCCAAGTCCTGAAAGCATGGATGACAGGATGCGGCTCGTGTCTGTTGCATCGGCCGCATAGCCCAGGCAGCACTCCAGCCGAAGGTGGCCAGGAAACGCTGCAGAGCCGCTCGCACTGACAACTGTACCCGAGACGGAGGTCGCAACAGCGCCTATGTGGCGGCGAGTTATCCCGCTGTGTGCTGGGGTATCCAACCTGGGCCGCGCGGACAAACTGATCTGCCCCGATCCCACTGACCACGCCAGAATACGTCATCAAGATTCACGAAGAGCAGACAGGAGCCACAAAGGCCATCATTAACTATGGGGAATTCGACAGTCCGTGCTATCCCGCGTTGCAAGATGACCCCAACATACCCATGGCCATGCCGTCAAGCGGAAAGACGATCCAGAACCGCCTCAAGATCGAAACCAACGTCCGTGGCTTCCTCCGTATCACCGAACACTCAAAGAAAAATCCTGTTTATACTAAGCTTTCTTCGCCTGTCGTGAGTGTGTTCGCACTCGATCGGTCGGACGCCTCGTCCGTGGACGCGACAAAGATCTACCCGCTCCCCGAGCTCAAGGGATTCACGCGCCGTCCGTTCAACTCTGAGAAAGCTCAAATCGTTGAAGGCGAAGGCGGTCCGTATATCTTTACGGAGCACAACTTCCCACAAGCCGAGATCGGCGACGACCGCCTTATCAATGACTCTCCCGCGTCTCACAGCGGCACCCATGTCATCAAGGAAACGGGGTGCTTCCCTGGCCTCAAGCGATTTCCCTTTTGTGTCCTCGAGATCTTGATCAAGAATGTCGGAGACGCCTCGGCTCGGGTCACATACCTGCTCCCCATGCTCGCGGTGACTGTGCTGTTTGTCTATCAGTTTTGGACGCGGTTGGTCGACCAGAGTCGCCTGCAAGAGCGCCGGAACCTTGTCCCTCGAATCGAGAGCGTAGGGGATGAATTCCAGGACCTGGATCCAATTCTGCCCAAGTACGCTGCCGCTTCCAAGGGACAGCCCGATGCCATCCTGCTGAAGCCCGGTGATGACGCGTCACCAGCGAGCACCCAAAGACCGTCGTCAAGCGCCCAGAGCCCGGCGTACGTTTCCTTCCAGATTGAAGAGCCGTCGGCCGAGAAGCCCCTCCCCGACCTTCCCTCAGACCAAGATGCAGCCGAACCGACGGACGAAAACATGGCCGGCAAGCTATCCAAGAAGAAAAAGACAAAGAACAGACGCCGGTTCTTGCACGAGGACTCTGACATTGAAACTGAGAAGGAGAACATCGACCCCGACCACCCGAGCGCGACTGATGCCACCATCGAGAATGGTGTCTCTGAGCTACGGTCGCTCGTGCTCACGGACACAATCTTGGGTATGTCTTGTCTTTGCTATTTTGGCGAGGCTCATCAAACAACCTGGGCAGACAGACAAACGGGTGCCGACTCACGCAAACTTTGCTCTGCATGCGTCGCGACAACCTTGGAACCCACTCTGCAGGTCACGGCAGCCACGGCACAGTTGTATACAAGGGGTCCTTTGAGGGCCGAGAAGTTGCCATCAAACGACTCCTGCTCGAGTTTTACGATGTGGCCGATCACGAGGTGAACGTGTTGCAGGACAGCGATCACCACCCGAATGTGGTTCGATACTTTTACAAGGTTAGCGTGTCCCAGAATGGGGCTGGCTGGGGGGAAGAACTGGAGTGCAGGCTGAGACGAATGTGCTGCCGGTGCAATGCGCTAGACGTGCACTCACGCGATGAGGACGACGTCAATGATTCCCTAGGAGCGTTCCAAGGGATTCATGCACATTGCTCTCGAGCTTTGTCCCGGCTCACTGGCAGATGTGATCGAGAAGGTGACCGACCCCAAGTTTGGCCAGCTTCGTCTCTTGATGAAACCCAAGCTCGTGCTCTTCCAGATAATGTCGGGCATCCATCACCTTCATCAGCTCAAGATTGTACATCGAGACATCAAGCCTCAGGTGAGAGTCCATATCCGGCTACGAGATGCCCAGCACCGAATATGGGCATCACTGCAGTGAGACCTGCCGTTGGCCGGCGACTGTTTCAAGGTCCAGCCGACTGATCTCTGCCGGACCCATGCCATGATCCTCAGAACATTCTGGTGGCCGAGTCGAAGAGCAAATCGAGTCCTCATCCACGCATCCTGATATCGGACTTTGGTCTGTGCAAGCGGCTAGCCGATGACCAGTCGTCCTTCCACAACACTCTCCACACGGCCGGAGGAACAGTGGGCTGGCGGGCACCAGAGTGCCTTGCATCGGGCAAAGAAAAAATCAGCGAGTCCGAGACCTCCGAGTCGGGTGCGTGGGTCCAGGTTGACCCCAGCATGCCAGCGCCCGGCACCAAGATTAGCCGGGCCATCGACATTTTCTCGGCCGGATGTGTCTTCTACTACGTCCTGTCAGGAGGCCAGCACCCCTATGGCGAGCGATACTCTCGCGAAATGAACGTAATGAAGGGTAACTTTAGGCTCGAGCGGCTGGATGCGCTGGGTGAAGAGGGCATCCTGGCCAAGGACCTGATCCGTCGGATGATCAGCAAGGATCCCAAGAAGCGGCCGGATTCCGCCATGGTCCTCATTCACCCTTACTTCTGGAACCCCGCCCGACGGCTGTCGTTCCTGCAAGATGTCTCGGACCGGTTCGAGAGCGAAGAGCGCGACCCGCCGAGCGCCCTCCTCAAGGTTCTCGAGCGTGGCGGAACAAAGGTCATTGGCAACGACTGGTGCCGCAAAATCGACCGGATCTTGCTGGAGGATCTTGGCAAATATCGCAAGTACGAGACGACGTCCGTTCGGGATCTGCTCCGGGCCCTGCGGAACAAGAAGCACCACTACCAGGACCTATCTGAGAGTGCCCGGAAGATCCTGGGCGAGCTGCCGGACGGGTTCCTGGGCTACTTTACGTCAAGGTTCCCGAACCTCCTGCTGCATGTCTACCACGTTGTGGCCGACCATCCAAAGCTGCGTCACGAGCCATTCTTTTCGCAGTATTTTGAATTCAAAGGACCTCATTGGTGATCTCGCTCCGATACCGCATGGAATCCTTCCCCGCCCTCCCCCCAAGCACTCTGTCGCTGTCCAAGGTGACAGGTCTCTACTTCTCCCCTCAACAGCAAATGTACCGATACACGGCCGCCGCGCAACAGATTTTGTAAACAGTAATACGAATCCCTGGATTATCTCCCCCATGTGTGTGTCGGGGTGAATATCCGCTAACTGAGCACTGCCCAGCATCTACTGGGCCGGACGCAAGCCATGGCCGGAGCAGGGGAGCTCGGCAAGCGACAGCCGAGGGACCCAGACACTCAGGAGCCACTCAGGAGACACTCAGGAGACGCTGTGGGACGCTGAGCCGGTTCGCCGAGTACGATGCTGATGGACAAGCACTTTGGACAAGCACTTTGGACAAACACTTTGAACAAACACCGATGGACAGGCGCTGATGGACAGGCACTGATGAACACGGCGACTCGATCAGATTGCCAAGCAAACACCTGCCTCTGCGTGTGGTGGACGCAAGTGATGACAAGTGTGTGTGTGTGTGCAGGACAGCGACGTGGTGTCAGGATGGCAGTGCCGAGTGTGGCGGTGTCGGAGGGAAGTTAGTCAAGTGGTTACGACGGTGCACTTAAGATGCCCTCACCGCAAGGTGGCGTGGGTTCGAACCCCACACTTCCCATCGAAAGCGTTTTGCTTCTCTGCACCCGACTCTCTGCTGCTGCTGCCGCCGTTCCGCCCGTCGGCTGGCTGTGTTGTGCTTTTTTTTTTATCTCCCCCCCCTCTCTCTCTCTTCCTGTTGAGCCGTGGGCACAGCTGGTTGGCCTGAGGAATGCAACTGGGCCAGCCGGGTGGGTGTGGTGGTCTGGTGGGCTTGTCTTGGTTGGGCGGGATGGCCCGTCATGAACACGATGGGCTTCTTCGGCTCATGCCCGTTACTCATGCCCGTTACTCGCGGCGGCTGTGACAGTGTCGATCAGCGTCGGCAACTGCCCAAGGCAGGACAACCATCAGATTGGTGGATATATTGAATGTCTGATGTTTGGATGCTCATCACTCGATTTTTGGATATCCGCCACCCAGTATTTGGATGCTCACCATTCGATATTCAGTGTTCAACATTCAACATTCAACATTCAACATTCAATATTCAATATTCAACATTCAACATTCAACATTCAACATTCAACATTCAACATCCAATCCACAATACACAATGCAGCATCACGTCGCCACTTCAAGCGAGCTTCTCTGCATGTCCCCCGGGCTTTGCATTCATGGCGACAGGCCAAGACGAATGAGGTTGCCGATGGCATGTGTGCAGCCCTGTTCTGCGGACTTGCGGTACCAGTAGGCGGCTGCCTCGATATTCACGGCGACCCCGTAGCCAAATCGGTAGTAGTCACCGAGGCTGTTTTGGCCGTGCCGATTTCCCTGATCGGCTGACTTGCGGCTCAAATCGGCTGCCATAGCATAGTCCTTGGTGACTCCATATCCAGAGAAGTAGCACGTAGCAGCCCACCATTGCGCATACGGGTTGCCTTGACTGGCGGCCATATCAATCCACTCGAATGCCTTCGAAGGGTCCTCCGAAACACCCCAGCCGTAATAGTAGCATCGTCCGATCCATAGCTGGCAGTCGATATGGCCCTCATTGGCAAGTTCCTCAAAGATACCTGCCATCTTGCTCCGATCTGCTATTGTCCCGAATCCGTGGTACAGACACACAGCCATGAGATGCTTGCACAGCCAGTCTCGATCGGATCCCAGTTGACACATCTGGAAGAACTTGAATGCTGCAGGAGTATCCGATAGGATATGTGCGGCCCATATCGAACCCAGTCCCTCGTCTTCCCCAAGCTTGAACTCGTCAGACTTGTTCTCGCGGATGATCTTGATGCCTTTCTGCTTGTCCTGCTGGGCTCCACGGCCAAGGTAGTGCATCCAGCCGACCATGTGGGTGGCAATGGGCTTGATGACTGGATCCGAGGACTGTGTGCTCACTTCCTGCCAGTGAGTGAGGGCATCAACGTCGCTCTGTTTGACACCATGGCCGATGAACGAGAGCCAGCCACGGAGGAACACGATATGGAGTCGACCGTCTTCGCTGCCTTGATCCGCAGCCTTGGTATACCACTCGATTGCGTTGTTGTAATCTTGTTCGACAACTTCGCCACCCTCATAGCACCGACCGAGGGCAATTTGCGCCTGAAGGATGCCATGGGCTGCAAGCTTGGAATACAGCTCGAATGCCTTGCTGCGGTCTTGTGGGACTCCACGGCCACCGAGGAAGCACTCAGCCAGGTGAAACTGGGCCATGGGGTGGTTAGCGTGAGCCGCTGTTTCGTAAAGTCGGGCAATTTTCTGTTTTCTGGCCACCAGCTCGGACCAATTGATTTCGGCCTTGTCGATTTGCAAGATCCGAGCCAGGAAATACGAAGCAACAGCGCTTCCTTGGTCTGCTTGGACAACGAGCCAGGATCGATCGGCAGCCTCTTGACCGTCATAGTGCTGCGAGAGGGCAATCCTGTCGCTCGGTGTGAGGCCGATTCGCATCTGTCCGTCTGGATTGCACAGACCTGCCTCTCGACACCAGTTGTGGAAGCGAGGCAGCGTAGAGCTCAAGAGAGGTCTGGCTCGGTTGCAGACGAGGAGCAAGGTCTTGATTGTGAGATGATCGAGGGCACGCTGGAAGCCCTCGTTGAAGCAGACAATCGTGAAGAGGTCAGGATACAAAAGACCCGGCTGTACTGCATCAAGCATCGATGGGATTGTGCCAAACAACTGATTTGAAGCCGTTGTGTGTTGTTCGGGAATGGCAGCGACTTGAGGCGAGCTATCGGCGATGTCGCCGGATGGGATGTCTCTGGTCGGCTCGGTGGGACTGGCCATGGTGAAGGGGGGAGATGGAACCAATGTGCAGTCGGTGGGAGCCGGGACTGGATGAAATGAGATGAGAGGACGAGCAGGATGCAGGGGGGGGAGAGCAACCGGGTTGGGCACTCGATCCAGCTGATTCGAAACACTCTTGTTGGTTCGTGGGCCGCTCCCGTCAGTGCCGGCTGCTTAGAGCGCCGCAACTTCCTCCTCCAATCGCCTCACCGTTTGCGCCAGCAAGCGAGGCATTCGATTGTTCTTGCGTGTGTCCGAACCACTCTTGGCCCCAATCATGGGGGATATGGCCAAATGGCCACACGCAGGTATAATTCAGCAGCCCGACGGCAGGCTCCCCCTGCCTGCTTCCTCGACTCGGCCTTCAGCAGCCGGTGCGTTGGTGAGTTGCGCGAACGACTTTATGGCAGATTCAGACCCAGGCTCATCACTCGGCAATTCCTGGGATGTGCCGCCCAGCAACAAGCTCACCCGCTCACGGCCTTCGATATCGCCGGCGAGTTCGCACGCAACCGGGTCGATGGATTCAAGCTTCGATCCGAGCCAATTCCATACTTTCCAGCTCCCGAGACACCCGAAACAAGACAGTCGGCGAGCAAGCCAAGCCGGGGAGTCTACCCACTCGCTGTCGAGCTTTTCTTCCAGCATATCGATGCCCGAAGCAAAGAAGTTGATTCTATCGAACTCGATATATGGGCAGGCCCTCGCGTCACAGTGGCTGAACAGCAAAGATCTCGTTGCATTGGAGGACGCCGCAGTACTTTCTGCCCGAGGCACCTCGATCTACGGCTCGGTCTTCCGGGCCCTCGATGGCCCGCGCAGCCGGCCAGCCTCATCCTACGGACTGACCGGTGAGAAGCACAGCAACTCTGGTAACAGCATCGATGGACGATCAAGCATGGCATCCAGCATGGCATCCAGCATGGCGCCCTCAGATACATGTTCTCTTGGCAGCGGCTCCATCATCCTCAACTCCGCGCTTCCGCCAAAGGACCCTCAGCCCAACACAAACTCGATCCAAAAATGCTCCACTGCGTCCATGCATGACCCCGATACCGCCATGCCAGTCCTTGCCTCGCTGGACAATAGCGCTTGGGCCTTGACGAATCGCGATGTCGTTTGTGGCGACTCCCAGGATCTCGGGAGTCAGGTCACATCAGGCGAGTCACTCTACAATTCCCGAAGCTCTGCCGAGTGGGCCGTCGCCTCCAACACTGCGAGCGTTATGCGGCAGTTCCAGCCTTTCCAGAGTGGTGGCATAGAAAGATTCAAGGAGGCTGCCAGGCCGCGACATATTCAATCGCTGGAGTTCACGTCCTCCATGACATGCTCAGGACCACCAGGATCTGCGGCCGGTGTTCAACAAACAGTCGATGAATTCTGCGACCTTCGAATCCGTGTCCATGAGCTGCAAAACCAAATCGACAGCACCAAGCGAGAGATCGCTGCTCGCTCGCGCGTAGCTCCTCAGGACTGCAAGCCAAGCTCAAGGAGCAATAGCCATCATGGGTTATTGCGCAGGATTAGGGTATTCTTCCAGCGGCTCAGGAAAAAGCCAGAGCTTGGACCGGCCAGTGTCCCCGAGCCGCGCATCCCACTGTAACTCCAGCAGGTCTCGGACGAGCACCTGAAATCCAAGAACGATGCATTCTGTCGACGAATGCCGAAGGCGTGGTGATCTCAATCTATCTGGTTCATTCTCTTCAGAGGAATTACAAAAGCGACGATTCATATTGGGACTACATCCCAATCTGCGGCTTCGTGGGTGAAAACTTGAGAGATATGCTGGTGTAGTGATGCGTTGGAGATCAGGTATGAAGTATGGTGGATTGATCATCGGGAATTAAACACTCAACACTGAATGTTGAATGTTGAATGCTGAATGTTGAATGTTGAATGTTGAATGTTGAACACTGAATATCGAATGGTGAGCATCCAAATACTGGGTGGCGGATATCCAAAAATCGAGTGATGAGCATCCAAATATCAGACATTCAATATATCCACCAATCTGATGGTTGTCCTGCCTTGGGCAGTTGCCGACGCTGATCGACACTGTCACAGCCGCCGCGAGTAACGGGCATGAGTAACGGGCATGAGCCGAAGAAGCCCATCGTGTTCATGACGGGCCATCCCGCCCAACCAAGACAAGCCCACCAGACCACCACACCCACCCGGCTGGCCCAGTTGCATTCCTCAGGCCAACCAGCTGTGCCCACGGCTCAACAGGAAGAGAGAGAGAGGGGGGGGAGATAAAAAAAAAAGCACAACACAGCCAGCCGACGGGCGGAACGGCGGCAGCAGCAGCAGAGAGTCGGGTGCAGAGAAGCAAAACGCTTTCGATGGGAAGTGTGGGGTTCGAACCCACGCCACCTTGCGGTGAGGGCATCTTAAGTGCACCGTCGTAACCACTTGACTAACTTCCCTCCGACACCGCCACACTCGGCACTGCCATCCTGACACCACGTCGCTGTCCTGCACACACACACACACTTGTCATCACTTGCGTCCACCACACGCAGAGGCAGGTGTTTGCTTGGCAATCTGATCGAGTCGCCGTGTTCATCAGTGCCTGTCCATCAGCGCCTGTCCATCGGTGTTTGTTCAAAGTGTTTGTCCAAAGTGCTTGTCCAAAGTACTTGTCCATCAGCATCGTACTCGGCGAACCGGCTCAGCGTCCCACAGCGTCTCCTGAGTGTCTCCTGAGTGGCTCCTGAGTGTCTGGGTCCCTCGGCTGTCGCTTGCCGAGCTCCCCTGCTCCGGCCATGGTTTGCGTCCGAGCTTTTCTTCCGAATAGCCGCCTGGCCACGACATTTCAAACTCGTGGATCCGCCAGATCCGTTCCCGCCGCTCCTTTCTCGTCACCGCCGCTCTCCCTCGCATCTCATCAGCTCGTCTCCTCGAACCCACGTTCATTTCGACATCGACTCTCTTTCTCTCCTCCCGACTCTGCCATGATCTCGTCCAACGATCTGCTCGCCCAGCTGGCTGAAAACCCTCTCAACTGGGCTTTGGCTGCCCTTGCAATCTTCCTTACAACGCGGGCACTTTTCCCCCGCAAGGCTGAAACCGTCCCCGCCCCCATCCATGCCGAGACCATCGTGCTCAAGAACTTTACTCCTGTGGAGCTGCAGAAATTCAATGGCGTCAGCGACAAGAAAATCTATCTTGCAGTGAAGGGCAAAATCTTTGACGTCACTCGCGGCGCCAGCTTCTATGGCCCAGGTGAGGCCTGCTTGTATCCGGCTTCAGGATGGCACTGGGATCGGTGTTTGCCGTCCTGGACCATCCTTGGGTGTGTCTTCTCTGACCAGACGACCGGACAACGTGGGACCTCGATCCCCTTGCCCGTTTCTTTCGGAACACAGAGGGAATGTACGGCAACTTTGCTGGCCGAGATGCCTCGAGGTAAGAATCCCTGCCGGCGGGCAATGTCGCCGCACAACCTGCGGGGCGATCGATTGAGGTATTTCACAGCATCATCTCATTTATCGCATCTAAACCGCCTTGACTCTCTGTATTTGACCAGAGGACTCGCCAAGAATTCGTTCGACAAGTCGATGCTGACGCCTGTCGACCAGCCGCTCGACCAGCTTGCCAACCTCGAACAGGACGAGATCCTGTCGTTGAACGAATGGGCAGACTTTTTCGCCGGAAAGTATGTCGCTTTGTGGGCATGCCTCCACCATTGCTTTCGTCCCAACGCCCGGCTCGTGGGTCGGCTCGTCCATGGAGCGAGCAGTATTCTCACATGGTTGCTCACTGCGTTCTCCTGCTGGACTCATACATGTGTCTCAACTTTCCCTCTTGACCCCTCTCTATCTTTATCATCGCCGCACCTCACTGCCTTATAGATACGACCACATCGGATATCTCGTCGAGAACGATGCCAAGGCTCAGTAAACCCATGCTTTGGATTGTGGCCCATCCGGCCCAAACCGACCCCAATTTTCAGCTTACACCAAAACGAAGCGGGCCACTGTTTGAGCCAGGGCTGTCCTTAATTCCTGGTTCTGAATACACACCCGCCTTTCATCCACCACGACCAAACGGTTTGCCCAGAGTGCCTGGAAGCCAAGCGACACGAGTCATCCGAGTCTCTTGATATCGAGAAACCGCACTTTGAACGGAGCCGTCCAGAGGGTCGAAGCATGCCATCACTCCCACATCGTGACAGCGACGCATCCATGAACATGATCGCGGCATGTCGGTCGATCGTTGCCGCAGGAGATCGACCAGGTGTATTCAAGACGATGCCCCCAACTCCACTGGAAAGCCTCGACTGCCAGCCAAGACGGGAAACGGGCTCGGGATTGGTGCGGTAATAGCGAACAGTGCTTCAACCTCTTCCCGCAGGAGATGTGGTGTATTAATCGGCATTCTCAAAAGCAAGGCCTCCTGCTTCGTCGTGTGAGCTCTGTAAAACAGCAAACAGCCCTAGTCAGGCCGAGCAGCGTCGCCAGCCTCCGATATTGCAGCGGCGCCGCACCTCCTCTGCTGGGAGGGTCATGGGTGTCGGTCCCGGCGTCTGCAATTGCTTGTGTTCGTCTTTGACATGGCCTGGCTACTGAAGCTTCTTCAGCTGCTCGATCGACCTTTGTGCATCCCGGATCTGCTGCAGACGGTCGGTGGCTTTTTTGGTGCGCAGACTCGAGGCCTCGTTGAAGAGCTTGATCAGATCCCGCAGCGGCTTCCCAGCGACCCGAGTAAAGTCCTCCTCATAGGTTGCCTGTTTGAAGTGCCGCAGCAAGGTTAAAGTCAAGCGACCACCATTCCAGGCCACATGTCGGATTGCTGTTGGGTCGATTCATAACATCGGTGCTGTTGCCTCCTGATCTAGCTGGCCTCGTCTCGCAACCATATCCGCCACCTACCGCTAGCTTCTCCTTCAAGGTCTTCTGGGCACCTCCAATTCGTGAGATAAAGCGATCGGTCATGCTGGTCCAGCGAAGGCCCATCCATCCAAAGCCTTGCGTTCCCACAGCGGCCGGCGAAGGGAGGGCGATTGGGAAATGGCGCTATTAGACAGCTGCCAATAGAAAACATCGCGACACGCCTGGGAGATCGGCGCATTCAAGCATTTTGGTTGAGCACGACAGCACAGTTCTCACCGAGACCAGACGCAAGGATCGTGCTGGGAATAGAGATGGCCCACGGAACACCTAGATGGGTAAAGAGAAGGCCGAGCGACAAGACAGCCAGCTGCGGCGGTGGGGACAACAAAATCCAAGCCATGAGCATCCTACCCAGCCATGAACATCCTACCCAGCCAAACCAACAGCAGTCGACAACTCACTTGCACTCCGACGCTCGTGCGTACGAGCCGGTTCGCAACATTCTGGAGCTCATCGCCCTGCTTTGACTCATCAAAAGCGGCGACTTGGTTGCGGAGCTTCATGGGATCGACCTCATTTACAGGCGGTCTCTGCTTTTCGACAATCTCAAGGATTCTCTGGATGTCCTGCTGGAGCTCGCGGGTGATGGGATGCTGGGCGAGAGGGCTGGTGGGGCTGCTCAAGATTTCGAGCTGCTGCTGCACTTGGTCGTAGAGGCCAACCAGGCCCTGATTGAGCTTGCCGATCGAATAGATCATCTATGGTTTGTTCGTTTGTGGACACCAGGATCATGTCCATGTAATCCAATTCCGTCGGTCGTCGATTGCGTATGCGCCAACGAACCCAGTGCGTGAGATGCAGTCAAGAAAGTTCATGCGTAAGCAGACAAGCAGGAGCACAGAGCGAGCTGCCCGGACGCACTGTCGTTGTCCATTGGGACATGGTCCACACCACGCAGCCCTACCCTGTTCTCGGCCTCGTTCAAGGAGCATTCGCGCATACGATGCTGCAAATCGGATGCCAAAAAGTCCGATCGCCAAAAGAGCTTCCAGTACTTGACTTGGTCAAAGTACGAGCGCAGGCTCGTGGTCAGAAGTGCCAGACTTTGATCCACTGCAATCAGATCGCGGATCTTAAACTCGGAGTGAATGCGGGCCTCGGTGCTGGTGATGGTCTTGACGAGGGCCTGGATCTGTTCCTCGGACTGCTTCAGTAGGTCCAGCGCTTGCGTCTGGTCGTGCTCAAGGCGCGCAAGTGCTTGGCTGGTGAGGTAGCTTGTCTTTTGCTGACGAGCTCGCTCAAGACCCGCACTGTTGAGGAAGCTCAGAACCGTCGTTCGGAGCTCGCCCACCCCGGAGCCAAGCTCTTGACCTCGGCGGGCCTGCTGGGCAGAGGTGACGAGAACCTGGACACTCTCATTTGAGACCTTAGAGCCTGCCAACTGGCGAACAGCAGCCAGCCGAGCGCTCACACGCTCCTCGACCAGTTTGGTCTGCTCGTCGCTGAGATCGGTGGCTTGGTTGACGGCCAAGACCACATTAGGCCTGCCGCTGGCGTAGACCTGCTTGAAAAAGTCAACCTCGGACTGCGTGGCAAGTTGGTGGTGGTTATCGGTCACGTAAATGACAACGTCACCCTTGCATACGGCGTCTTCAAGAGCTGTCGCCTTGGGCTCCAGAGCCTCGCCCCCTGAGATGTATCAGAGTAGCAGGGCCGATGCAGTTCGACCGCGGTTAGTGGTATATTGCATGACGAAACTTCAACAGAAGGGAGGCTGGGCAACAGGCGCAACATACGTGGAACGACGTGGAGTTCGACGTTGCTGTTTCGAAGCCAGTCGACACTGGATTTGAGGTCGGCAAAGTCCAGCGAGGGCGAGGGAGCCGAGTCGGATCCGTAACTGTAACAGATAGACCAGCTGGTCAGCGGACCACACACGAGACCGATCCGGTGAAGCAGCCGACGACGATCGCCATGTCGAGCACCATGCCGCTTCACTGCTCCGCAAAGGGCCGATCCGCCGTGAGCCTCACGGTCCTGGCCGAAGCGATGATGCGGTCGCTAACAGTGGGCGACTCTACTGAATACGGACTTGTCGACGACCAATCTTCTCTCTCAGGCTGGCAACTTACGAGATGCGGTAGGAGCCCTTGGCGCCTTCGGGCACAAGCGAGCTGGACTGAGGGTAGTCCAGCATGGCGTTGACGAGGGATTCGTAGCCCGAGTACAGCTCGCCGATGACTGAGGGTGCAGGCCGAGGATATGTCCGCCAATATTGGCATCGACACAGTCAGCAGCACGAGGTACGCCGGAATGGAAATGTGGTCAGTCGATATCGATCGTGTGGGTTGAACTGCACGGCGATAATACATCGGCTTGACGCTGGCCGAGACGGAATACGACCAGCCATCGACCCCCAAGTCCCGATAGCAAAGAGCCGAAAGCAATCTGCCAAACGCTGACACCACCGCCAACAAACAGCAGCCCGAATGCCACCGCAGCAATGCATTCGCGCGAGCTCTCTAGCGCCTGCGACAACGAGCAGTTTGGTTCAAGGTCGCATGTACGTACTCACGACTCGAAACGGAGCATCGAAATCGGTTGCGTCTTTGGCAATGCGCTGCACCCACTCGGCGTTCTTTTCATCGAGCTCTCGCTGCAGAGCGCCAACTCGGCTCACGATCTCGAGGGTGCTGGCACGAAGCTCGACGCCGGACTGGCTATGGGCGATCCTGGAGGAGGACAGCAAGCGGCGCTGGGCAAGGACCGAGACAGGGGCAAGCCGGATGGTCGCAGCCGGGATGAGGTTCGTGCGGGCAGCGCGGAGGCCGACAACGGGGCGGAAAGCTTGGCGCAGCATGGTCGATGGGCGAATGGATGCTGGAGCCGAAGAGAGAGGAGAGGATGCTGGATCTCGTAGACCAGGCCCGTGGGCTCGGATGGGCAGGCAGATCGGTCTCAACAGCCGGGGGGCAGGCGGGCTCAGGTCAGGGCCAGGTTTTTCGTTTTTGCGTTTTTGGGCGATCTCTGTGGCTTGTTCACAGCGCCCGTTGGCTCCGACCTCAATGCCGTGCCGAGACAGCAGCGCCTGGGCACTCTGCCGACACAGCGCACTCGACGAAACATGCCCTGGTCGAGTGTGCAGACAATGCCCCATCCAGACCACACATCCACATCGATGCCATGCGCCCTGCAAAAGGCCGCGCTGGTCGCTGGTGTGGTATCGCACCAGCCAGATTGAAGCGGGCTGGATGTGCTCCTCATACGAGTCTCTGCTCGGCGGCCATGGGGGCAAGAAGCGCAATCGGCTCAACCAGCGGCAACTGGGCCGCGAGGGGCCGAGCCCAGACGCCCCGCATATTCCACACCTTCGGCATCATGCTCACGGATGGCCCCGCCGCCGATGCCTCCAGTTTCATGAGTTGTATTGAGCCAGATCAAGCAGCCATGATCACGTTTTGATTTTGATTTGGAAAATGCCTTGGAGATAAATCGACAGTGTCAGCCTCGAGCAGTGTCGTAGATCCACGGCTGATCCGAGCCATGACCAACGGATATCAAGCGACGGAACTGCACATGGCATTCCCCCGATGCAAGCTGCCATATGCTCGAGAGTGACTGCTTACATTGCGGCATATTCGACACCTCTGCAATAACGACACTGGACAGGCCAGTGTTGGCCAACACGCCGCGGATCAGTCCGCACGGAAAGGCGAGATACTGCAGCAGAACGGGAGGACGGTAAGCGAGACGATGAGCAGATCAGTGGCGTTGTCGAGGTGGTTCGCAATCCAAGCGTCTCGGTTCCCGATCGTCCGTGCACTGTCTCGAGCCGCTCGGCTTGCTCCTGTTTATCGTTGTCGCCGCTTTGCCCGATGGCTGGGACCATGCCGCAGCGGCCAGTGTCAGTTGGATCATGCCTTCCCAGCACCATACCGGAAACGCCTTCAGACTCGTGGCTGCTAGACCGCCACCGCTATCAGACATCCGTTGGAACCATCGAAACGAGTTGTCTGTCAGCACAAAAGTGCCCTAGATCGATGGAAGAGACGCAGTGAAGTGTGTTAGCATGCTCGCTCGACAGCTCTGAGGTGGAGAGCCAAGGCTGCCGCGGGCCTGCTCGTCTATCGGCCGTGCTCACCCGATGGTTGGTTTTGAGGTTGTCGATGTTCTTTTTGAAGAGCTCCATCCAAAAGTCCCGACAGATAAACTTGACAACGTCCAGACTGTCCACAAACCGGGGCTTGTCTTTGGTGAATCTGAAGAAGCACAACCCGGGCGCACCGCCGAATTCGAGACAGCGATTGTCGTCAGGTCCACGAACACCTCGAGGCCGGGTTGCGGACCAGCGGGCGCAATCGCCTCTTGAGGCCTGGTAGAGACGCCGCGGACCCGCCAAAATCGCCCTGCATTCTTACCGCTCGGCCAGGGCAAATCCAACTCGGTAGCCCAGATTCTCGAGCTTGAAATAGGCCGCCTCCTTATCGACTTCGACTCCACCGGGGCCCTTGTGCATCTGCTGCACCATCTCCATAATCAAAAAATCCTGCAGCCGCCCGACCGACCGAGACGGTGTGCAAAGACACATCAGCTTGACGGATGGCCAACAGCCGACCGGACAATTGGCAGCGGCATCGCCGTGGTTCGCATATCCGCCCGAAGCACATGGCTCTGGACAAGATCCAGCACGCCGGACCAGATTTGGCTGTCGCTGTTCGATCACCACGCATCCGATCGACCCAGAGACCTCGTGGGGAACAGCTCTGTGGCAGAGGGATGCATAGACCATCGTGGCGTGGGTCGACTCACCATACAACTTTCGTTGACACGAGATGCATCCTCGCCCAGACCGAAGGCGGCCAGTGACATGGCTGTTGTTGCGGGGATCAGGCAGGATCAAGTCGATCGGCGGGCTGATTCGAGTCTTCACGCTGCAGCGTCGGTGGCGAGCCAGGCTTGCTGCAGGCAGGGGTGGCTGCGAAACAACAGGGGTTGCTTTGGTCGGCAGCGGCGATGGAATCCAAGCCGTGAGGCAAGAGGGACTGGTTGAAGCCGCGATGGTGTTCGGCAAATCATGTGAAACCCTGCTGCAGTCCTCACATGATCGGCGGTGTTGTTCGCCCATCGCTCGTCGCCCATCACCCATCATCCATCATCCATCGTCGATCGCCCATCATCCATCGCCCATCATCCATCGCCCGTCGCAGTCCAAGCACACCCCCCTCCAGCAGCGAGAACCATGGCCGACCACTGCGCCCCTGCAAGCAATCCTTTGCGAATGCTCTCGGCCCACCTCGACCAAGCAGGTTCCAGCAGCCAGAAGAACCAGCGTCCTCCCCACTCGTATCCCGTCGCTGGCCCATCCTCCCAGTCGCCGTTCGCCCATCCTGGCCAGCTGGCCCTGGTATGTCGCGGCGAATCGTATTCCCTACTCGATTGTCCATCTGTCGAGACTCGCACTGACCACGGCGTCGCTACGCTCGGCCTTGAACTCCATTCAACAGCGCCCGGTCCCGCTCGCTCGTCCTGATGCCGAGCTGCTGCACAATCAAAAGGTAAGGCGCAGTCTGCAGCGCTGACTGTTTCATCGTCCAAGAGAGCATGATCAACTTGGCTCTTTGTCTTGGCCTAGCATGTCCTGCAACTCTGCTGATGATGGTGCCTTTCTTTCTTGTACCAGCTTGTGGACGAGTTCTATGAAAGCACATCCCCACTCAAGGGACCGCTGTTTGGTACTCCCCTGCGTTCTGCCCAGCGCCCATCGCCCGTCCACTCGCTGGGCCAGCAGCTTGAGCAAATGAATCTGGGACAAATGGCCCATGCGGCTGTTGCGGCACCGGATTTCACCGCCGAGTTTCTGGCTCAGAAAGCCGGGGGCATCCCTCTCGAGTCGCCGCATCACCCGATGTTCGAATCGGCGTTTCGTCGCGCTCAAGGTGAGTCACTGCGTCTGAGGCGAATACGAACTGCAAGGCATTTTCGCAAACCCCGACATCATCGGCCTGGTCTGCTATTATCGGGAATCGTATCGTGGCTACTGCATATCCCATCAATGCGCGATGCGTTCCCTGTGGTTCTCGTTCATGCCCGTGTTGACCACTCGTCGTTGCGGCTGAACCGCTCCACTCTCATGTCTAGTCACTACCGAGCTGCCGACTCAGTGGACGCAAGAGTTCCAAGCCAGTCAGGATGGACTGCCTCCGATGTCTGCGCTTGCAGAGAACCACAGCGCACTTTTTGAAGCAGCATTTGAGGATGCAAAGAGTATGCATTGATGGTCTTGAGCGCGCCGAGAACCATGCTGCGTCTGGTCCACACCTCTCATCGAGGAGTAAGCTGGCTGAAGCGTCTGAACCATGTGCACCCGGGGAATCCGGTGACGGGAGGTGTGGATGGGGAATTAATGCGTCTCTCCGTGCCTCTCTTTCTGCTCGTTTCGCTCCAGAAACCAACGTGGGATCTTGGACCGATGAGTTTTCGACACTCCAAGGCGGCTCCGCTGAATCGTGGGCGGACGAGTTTCAGGCGCAGCAACCGGTAGTCGTCAGCGGCGACACCCCAAAGGAACAGCTCAAGAATGTAGCCGGCCTCATCACAGACATCGTGGCAAGTTCCAACAACGCCAAGATGAAGAACTCCAAGTTCTTTGCGTTTATGGAGCAGATCCGAGACGAAAAGGTTGTCATTGAGAACAACACCGTTACCGCCGTGACCGAGCCCAGAGGCGCCGCAGGAACTTGGGCGGATCAATTTGTCGCCGCACCGACACAATCGCAGGCCACGGCATCGACCTGGGCGAGCGAATTCAGAGTAGAAATGGGTACCGATCCCAGTGCAACTGCTCTCGAGAGCCCCCACGCCGCTGCAGACAAGTGGATCGGCCAGTTCGATCAACCGCCCGTCCAACGCTCGAGGTGGGAAGAGGAATTCACATCCCTGCAAGTCCAACACGACGGCGACAACGACGGCGACTGGATCGAGGATTTTACAGAGACGCATCTGCCCCCCACCAAAGCGCTGGATCATGCTGAGATGCTGCGGGATTTCGAAGCATTCAAGCAAAGTGATCAAGGCCAGACCGCCCTTGGTTCAACGAGCACCGATTCGCGTGACGACTGGGTCGCTCAGTTCGAAACTGAGAACCGCGATCTGCAGGAAAAGATCATGAGCGTCCTGAACTCCCAGGGTGCGCACTTTCACGCTCGATACGACAACTATGAGTTCAGCCCAAACAATCCGTATCTGTCGCAGTCTCCGGAAGCGCTTTCTCGAGCGCTAGAAGGCCTCAGCAACCAGAATCTGATCGACAAGATCCTCATCTACGAGGCGATTGTACAGCAGTCCAACGAACCCTCGAGCGTGTGGCTCCAACTGGGTCTTGCTCAGCAAGAGAACGAAAACGATGTGGCCGCGATCTCGGCCCTCCGCAAGTCTCTCCAGACCGGCTCAGCAGCGTCGGGCGCCTGGATCGACCTGGCAGTCTCCTACACCAACGAAAGTCTGCGGGACAGGGCCATCCAGTCGCTTGAGTCGTGGCTGTCAAACCAGCCCGAGTACCAATCTGTCCACCAACGCTTCAAAGACAGTACCGCCCCCACACCCGTGGCTCGGCTGACCGAGATGTTTATCGAAGCTGCGCGCTGCCGTCCGTTTGATCTCGATCCCAACGTTCAGGTGGCGCTCGGAGTCCTGTTCCACATCTCGGGAGAATGGCAAAAGGCGACCGAGTGCTTTGAAGCTGCCCTCAGCAAGCGCCCCCGAGTAAGTATCCCTGGCTGCTCGCGCGGGCGAGTCCTTGGCAGTCTACACGCCTTTTGAATGGACGCCCACAGGAGACGGGGCTCATGCGCGCTGTCGATGGAGGGCCAGCGATCGGACGACACCGCGACTTCAAGTCACGCTGTGCTGAGCCATGCCTGATTTTCTGTTCTGCAGGACTACTTGCTATGGAACAAACTGGGTGCAACCTTGGCCAATGCCGGCGACACCACCCGTGCTCTGGAGGCCTATACCACGGCCCTGGAAATCAACCCGTGTTGCATCCGGACGCGGTACAACATCGGCATCAGCTGCATGCAGCTCGAGTACTACAAGGAAGCAGCTGGGCACTTCCTTGCGGCGCTGTCCATCCAGAACGAGGGGCTGAGCCAGGTGTATCAGAAGCTTGGGGCACCGCTAAGCGCGGACCCAAATGGGCTGGTAGGATATGGCACAAGCCTCAACCCTATTCACGACATGCAGTCGCTCAAGTCGCGCAACCTGTGGGATACCCTCCGCACCGTGGTCGAGAGTTTCAGTAAGTGGAGGGATCGAATCGATCGGGGTATCGTCGGCCAACCCGGTGCGCAACGGATCACTGCCACCGTACATGCTGACTAAGGCAGCCAGACGCTCCGATGGCGCTCCGACTCGCCGACACGACCCTGACTGACGCTGTCCTCATCACAACGCATCGATAGTGCGCCGACCGGATTTGGGCACTGCCTGTGCCAACGAGGACCTGGATGCGTTCCGCAAGGAGTTTGAGTTTTGAGCTTTGAGCTGTGAGTCCCGAGGCTTGGAGGGTCGAAAGCCTGCATCACTCTCGACACCAAGTTAACAAATGCTGGCAGAGAGATGGCCGGCGTGGGACCGACGAGAATCCACCTGTTGAGGGACTACCCGGGAATACACCATTCTATCGGACCCCTGTTTCCGCACACCCTCGAGCAGCCTGCTGTGGGGCCTGCGTCTGTGCAATGAGTGTGCCGGGAGTGCAATGAGTGCATCGAGAGCCAGGCACCCGGCTCGACATCGGCCAAGAGCCAAGCGGGGAGGGATGGCGCGATCGCTCTCGCCGCGCTCTCGCTCTGCTCCTCGGCCGCCTCTCGTCTGCTCTCGCCGTCTCGCTCGCACAACGTCTTCCAGCACAAGACCAAAGTGTCCAACGACCTGCCCATCAAGCACACCCATCGCCGAGCTTCAGCACCCACTGCGTTTCCGTACGCCCAGGAGCTTCTGGCCGCTCGGGAGCCCACCCTCCATCTGCATCTGCATCTGCGCACTCGTCGTAAGTAGAGCAGCGTGCCGGACAGCCGATGCTGCTGTGCCTGTGTTTCTTCCCCCTTTGGTGGAGCCGGCCCGAGGCTGTCGTATCTGGCGCCGGTGATCAAGAGATGGATTCTTGGGTGTCGTCCTTCCGGCACAAGGCTCATCCGCCGGGGGGGGCTGGGAATGGATCGAGGGCCAAGCCTCTATCGCCTGTGGCATTTGAGACGATATCGGGCGAGCAGCCTGGATCTCCTCGCATTGCTCCTGCTGCACATCCGCCCTCCATTCGGCGCACCGCATCGTCTCGTTTCCCTGGCCGGATCCGCGATCAGGGCGACTCGTTTCCGCTGGAAGGGGGGGCTCGGCAGCGGCACCCAAAACAAGATCAGGAGGCCAGCACCTCTGACCGACATGCACCCCCCCGGCTGGGCACCCTCCCCTCGGATCTATCGAGGCACCCCGCCCCACCCTGCCTTACACACTCGCTGGGGGAATGAGCCCAGCGACTCGAGAGCGGCCGGGAAAATAGCCCGACACCGACCTTTGTTTCGGCAATGTGGCGATCTGGGTTCTTCTGCTTCCTCGATCTCATCTGCCATCTCCGTACGGGTTGGTTGGTTGGTTGGTTCCTGGCTCTGTCCCGGACTGTCTGACGCTGATCAGATCAGCACAGCTCAGATCTCTTGGATCGGATCCGCCGAGGGCAGCCCATCCATCTGCACGGCCACTTCGCTGTCGTCTCCTTTCAGGCCACGCCTCTCACGCAGTTTGCATTCATCGCTACCCTTCTCCTTGCTTCTCCTCACCAGATCTCTTGATTCTCTGGAGCAGCCCACCCGCTGTTGTCGGTCGCATTGCGTTATAGCATTCAAATCAAGTGCGGCATATCATCTCATTTCGAGCCTGGCCATCGGCGCACCGATCTCCACCTGCCAGCGCTCAGCATTCCGACAATTCAATATCCCCCCGGCAATCCCAATACACAATAGTCAATGGGCTCATCAAAGAACGCAACCCCAAAGCAGCCTGGCAAGACGCCGACTCTGCCGACCATCAAGCTCTCGCTGGGCTCCAAGCTGGCCTCGGAGGAGCAGCAACAGACTCCTGAGACACCATCGGCAAAGCGACGGCGGTCATCCACTGACAAAGAATACCTGACTGCAGATGAGCACACTCCAAAGAACAAGAAGGCGAAATCCGGCTCGCTGGTACGGCGGCAGGGGCCATTTGCATGCGTGGATGGATCTGGATCTGGATCTGGACCTGGCTTTGGCGGCGGTGGTCGATTGGTTGTGTCGCTTCATGCGATCTTGTGTGCTCTCGCCTTGGGCTGGCACAGTGCTCTAGTCAATGGTGGAACCACTCACTTGCCACTGCCTTCTGCATCGGCAATCTCCGCGATTGTGCACCTTGGAATATGTATGGATCGGGGGCTCGCCTGTGGATGGCTCTACTTGCGAACGAACAGAAACCCGAGTCTGAAGAAGGTGAGTGTCCTCCGAGGCTGCTATGACGAATGGGGCTGACTCATATCACTGATGTGCGCCTTTCTGGCGGTCGTTGAGTGGGTGTTGACAATGTCCTTTCCCCGGCGCTCGGAATGAAACAGAGGCTAAGCAACTCTACACCGCCATCGAAACAAACAACCTCGATCTTGTGCGGCAGATACTCGAGGGCGGATACAACGTCAACACCCGGTGGAAGGGCGAGTTTATGGGCGAAAAGTATACTTGGTCGCCGCTCCACGCAGCGGCCTACCATGGCCGAAACAAGATCATCGAGGAGCTCATGGAGCACGGGGCAGATGTCGAGCTCCAGGACACTTGGTACAAAGGGGTAAGCGGGCGGATGGGCACATCTGGATCAGCAGGGATAGCTTGAGTACTGGGCAACACCGTATCGGGCTTTGGTCCCACGAGCAGCCCGCTGTCGGGGAGGGGGTGCACGCATTCGGTGGGTTTTATCTTCTCGATGCCTCTCGCTTGCAACGAATAATGACCACTCGTCTCTGCTTCTCTTAGCGAGCCTTGGCTTGGGCGACATACGCGGGGCACGCCGAGGTGTGTCGGACTCTGCTGACCAAATACAATGCCGACCCCGAGGCATTAAATGGACATAGCCAAAAGGCATTCGAGCTGATTTCGGATCCAAAGCACGCTCGCTGGCACGGCATTATCGACTACAAACGGCCCAAGACTCCGGCTGCAAAGGGAACTCCGGCTGCAAAGGGAACTCCGGCCCCGCCGTCATCTGCCGAGGCTGCCGAGACGTCCTTGTGCCACGAAGCCGCCGGCGAGAACGGACACGGCGATCTCGTCCTCAAAACCCCGACCAAAACGACCCGCAGCAGCCGCAGCTCGACCAAAGACGAGTCCGCCGAGCAGCCCAAGACGCCAATCGTGAAGGTGACGAGCGGAGGCGGCATTTCCATCAGGCTGACGCATAAAAAGGATACGCCTGGATCTCCCGATAGCTCCGAGCCCGAGTCATCTTCCAAGACCAAGACACCCAAAGGAGAGAAATCAAAGCCCGAGCTGCCCATCACAGGCGTCAAGATCAAGATTCCGCCGGCAATCCCGCCGGACTCGACTACGCCGATACCAGCCGGCTCCAAGAAACATGCCAAGGACAGTAAGGACGCCGTGGACGAGGAAGATGGTTCTGGAGGTGGGTGCCAACAAGGCGATTCTGGCCGGGGATGATGCTCGGAGACTCGGGTGTCTGCATATACTGGACACACTTTGGGCTGTGGGGAGCAGGGTTTGCCCCGCCGCTCAGGAAGAGGTGCGAATGCATCTGGATTCTTGCGGTATTGGTAGCCAGTGAGAGGCTGGCTGCAACAGCGAACCCGAAGATCCAGCCACGAGATAGAGCGATTTGGTCGGGGCTATGGATTGTGCCCTCGTTGACGAACGAATGATGCTCGCTCTTGTCTGCGAGAACAGCAACGGTAACTCCTGCGGAAACGGACGAGCCCGCAGCATCCAAAACTCCTTCTGGATCGGCCACCGGCGTCGTCAGCCCTGAGACAGCGACTCCAACACCCACATCCGTGCTCATTATCAAGCCAAGTTCCAAGGCCAGGAAGGCCGGCGCAAAGCCCAAAGAGCCCAAGACACCAACGCCGAAAGAACCCAAGGGCGCCGCATCCAAAGAGCACAAGCCCGCCGACGATGCACCGAAGGAACTGGGTGGTCTTGCGCCTGTTCCTGCACCGGCATCCGCATCCAAAGATGCCGGCAAGACGGCCACGCCCAAGAAGCTGCCGCACAAGAAGCAGGCCCTTGCCAACCTGGCAGACAAAGACGCCGAGTCGATGGCAAAGGCCGGCTCAAATCTGCATGCCAACGGCACCGTTCCGCTGCCCGGACCAGAGGCAACGTCCGCGCCAGCAGAGACATCTGAAATTGACGGGCGTGGACTCGTCAATGGCGGTCGACCCGAGGGTCGATCAGACGTCGCAGCCAGCCCTCGGCCAGTGAAAGCCCAGATCAAGTCATCGTCCGCCAGCTCTCTCGCAACTGCGGCTCCACAACAATCCCCACGGTCGGTGCCAGCGCATCCGCAAGCCTGGCCAGCAACACCGGCACTGATTGCAGCCCAGCAGCAGTTAAGCCTGGGATCGAGCCCGCATCGACTGCAGCCCCCGGCCTCGACACCGACCCGCCCCCAGCCGAAACCGACGTCGGCAGCGATCCATATTCATGCGGGCCATCCCGGATCATCGGGGTCCCAGCAACTGCATTCTCCCCAGCCCGCTGCGTCCGGCCTGGCTCACCAGGCGCATCCTTCGCCACTGGGCGGGCCTGCGATGTTCCCAGCTTCAACCACCGGCACGGGAGTGGCTCCAAACGGCCTCGTGGCCATGCACCGAGGCGGGTACAATCTGGCTGGGGCGATCTACGGCAGCCCCGGCCAGTTCCAGGGCGGCGGACCGATCCTCTTCAATCCGTTCACCAATGCCGCGGGCCGCTTTGCGTATGGACAAGCAGCTGCAGTGCGCGAAGGTGCATCGCCAGGTGCTGCTGCTGGCGGCTACATGGCGGCAGCACGGTTTGCGGCGGCGATCAACGGAGCGGATGCGAGTGCAGCCAAGGGCATGAGCTTTGTCGGCACAACGGCGGAGCATGTACTGGCCACCACCCCGCCGCTGCGGCCACCACCCAAAGGTAAGTCTTGCTCAACGACTTGCTCAGCGACTTGCTCAGCGACTTGCTCAATGACCTGCGGCTCGCCATGTTTCGTGGGCCTTGCTGACCGCCTGTCCCCTCCTCCCCTCTGTGCTCTCGTGGCCCTTCAACAACTGCCGAGCAGGCGAGCGACTGATCACCACCATCGGCTTGGTGTCGAACAACAACCTCCTGCGGCTGGTGCTGACGACGCATGTCCTCCACCATGCCGTCACGGTCGAGTCGGGCGTACGCACGCTCAACATCCGAGTGCTCTGCGGGCACAGCAAGGGCTATGCCTACAACGTCGCCATGTACATGAACGGACAGGTGCTTGCCGCAACACCCGGGCCGATCGGCGAGACCGGGACGCCGACGGTATGGGACTTTAGCGCCTCGCTCATGACGGGACTCAATGCGCTCGAAATCGTCGCCAACGGCGCCAAGGCCGGCGATTCGCTGCTGACGAAGAACTTTTCGGTCTTTGTAAACCGCATCTGAGGACCGATGCCAAGACAGCTCGTCGGGAGCAGTGCCCCCACCCCATCGCTGTGACGGCCAGGACGGCAGCGATAGCAGGCGAAGCAACGACGGCGGCAATGCGGACAGCCGACGGCGATCGCGATACAGTGCGGATTCGCCCACGAGCACCATTCGCTTGGGCTTTTCGTCCCTGTCGCCGCTTCATTGTGCGATTGCCATCACACCCACTCCCCCAGGACCTCTGACGCCGGTATCAGTTTCGCCGTCCGTCCTATGTCTGCATATCCCATCAATACACCGCCGACTTGAGGCCAAGCCGAGCGCACCAAGCGGAGGGGAAGGCGGGTCGGGAGCCAGCCCACCAGCCGGACAGACCAGACGTATCGCATCGCATCGCATCGCATCACATCCTCCCAGCGGCAGCGGCCATCGCAGCCGAGCAACCTGATCACCGCAGCGCAGGCCAAAGGGCGCATCACCAGACCATGCCAGGCTGACCATGCCAGGCAGACCAGGCAGATCAACAGACCCCAAGAGCAGCGCGCAGGTCGCCGAAAGCGGTCCAGGCCGCGCGGTGGGTGTGACGCCCCCTATCTGTCTGTTTACAGGCGATCCAATAAAAAACGGGACACCCGGGTTTTTGACCATTCATCGAATATTTTGTTACCCAATGTTATCGCGTGCTGGCCATGACCATTCGCCACACATCCGACTTTCGCACCGCCGCATTGCGATGCTACGCCCTCATCCATAGCCTGCGTAAGGTCGCCTCCATATTCAGTGTGTCCAAGAGCACCATCCATCGATGGCACCGAGGATGCAAGCTGGATGACCCATCCCGGGTCCCAGCTCGCAGATCCACTTTCTTCGAGCAGGCATGTCCAGTCATCCGCACCCTGATTGAACAGGACCCGTTCCAGACTGGTCCTGTGCTGCGATGCAAGCTCGAGTCCATCCTCCAGAGGAAAGTATCACTCTCACTCTGCCACACTGCCATCCACCGAGCAGGTCTCTCACACAAGAGGGCAACACACCTCTACAAGTCCAAGCGACTGGATGAGCGAGTGGCACAGTTCAGGGACCAGGCCCGCTCCATCGACCCACGACGGCTCGTTTTTGTCGACGAGACAGGGATCAGGAAATCCATTTTCCCTCTCTACGGATACTCGTCGAAGGGTGCTCCGCTTCGCCAGTGCAATCACATGAAACACAAGTCTGTCTCGGCTGCATTTGCCATCAACCACTCTGGTGTGCTGCATCGAGCACCGAGGATGGTCAGTGATCTTCACCCCACCTGCCTCGCCCGACTTCAATCCCATCGAGAACTTCTTTGGGATTGTGAAGCATCAGTACAGGAAGGCAGCAGCGCTGAATGCGTCCGAGGGGTTCAGAGTCGGGATGGTGACCCTGTTTGAGTCTGCCGTTCGGAGGGTGCTTCCAGATGTCTTCCCACGGCTGATTGAGCGAGCGATGCGCTTCTGGGGTTGAGTTCCCTCCAATCAAGCCGCCATTTTCGCGTTCACATCCCTGGCTTGAACCTCTCGGCGATTTTTGAACAGGGTCACTTCCCCAACCAGCCCGCGCAGACGGGCTCCTGCTCTCGGGTATAAATGCCACACCTTCGTCCCTGCTGCTTTCTTCCCTCATCTCGCCTTGATCTGATCATCGCGCCATTGCACGATAAAAAAGTCTCTGCTCTGACCAGTACCACTGGCAGACATCCAGCATCCTCTGTCCCCATGCCTCCGAAGCGCAAGGGTACCGGTGATGGCCAGCCTCGGCCACCCAGGCCCAAGAAAGCCAAGTCACAGTCGGAGCCTGTCTCTGGTTCGTATTCTGACCCCACGCATGCTTGGTCGTCTGTTGCTCCGTCGCTCACCACCACTGCTTCTGCAGATCCAATGGATGTCGATCCCACCGAGCCTGGTCCATCTACTTCCTCGAGTACTGGCAAGCGATGTCGCCAGTGCGATGGCACCGATCACGAACGCTGCAACACTAGCAAGTGTCCCAAATACCGGCCCCTCAAGAGTTCTGTCGTCCCACTCGTGGATGGAAGGTCATCCGCCCCTCAGTTCAGCTGCTTCAAGCAGACGATGGATGGCTGTTGTCTCAATCCCGCTCTCCGCGACAAGATCCAGGCCACCGTCGAGGCCATGACCCAGATCCAGTTCGAGGCATCCAGGCTGCTCAACCTGCACATCCTCCGGTGCATCGAGCAGGATCTTCCCGTCCCCGTCATCTCCAGGGCCACCCCTGCATTCATCCGCCAATGCTTCAGGATCGTCCAGGCCGGTGCCCTCTCGACGGCCAGGGATACCAAGAAATACAACGAGCATCTGGTCGCTTCCTTTCGCGACTACCAGACCACTCGACACGCAGACCTGCCTCCGGCCCCTCGTCTGCCTGATGGTGCTCACAGTCAGCTTCTCACACTGGCTGTCAACGCCTATGCCACCAACTGCACCACCCACCTCGACCTGGCCTACTGGCGACTCCTTCGCCGCTTCTGCGCTGCCGTCTTCCCAGCCAACAAGCATAAGCACGAAGCCATCGAGGCCTGTCTCGAGCTCTTCGAGAAACCAGGGCAGACACCACCCAAGGCCGATCTCGAGTTCCTCTATCCCGAGTTTGGCCACATCCTGGACGAGTTTCGGTACAGCAACGACCAGGACCGCTTCCGGGCCCTCCACCGCCTCTCACACCATGTGGGAATCCTCGCCCGAGACAAGATGGTCGACAATGTCCACAAGTGGATCGACTGTGACATGCCCGCCCTCCGAGTCACCGAGCTGCAGCGCCAGGCCAAGCTGGACGAGCTCACTGCCCAAGGTATTCCCTCCGACGACAAGAGGTTCACCACGGCCAAGTCTGAGCTCGGCACCACCAAGGCCAAGATCAACAAGCTGGCATCCAGGCTCAACTGGGCACTCAAGCAGCTCGCTCTTGACACTCCTCCGGCCGTGTGCACGATAGTTCCTCCATGCACTGCCACGGCCAAGTATGTCAAGATTGACACGGTCACTCTTTGGCAACTCCTGGGTCCAAAGAAGCGCCTTGGACTCACCAGGGACATGCTCAAGGATGAAGGCGATGACGGCATCAACAACCAGGATCGTCTCTGGCGCAGTTGCTTCAAGCTGCGTAGCTCCCTCTTCCAAGAGCGGGTCAGGGACAAGAAGCTGTTCAACTACGAGATCAGCACCGATGGCATTGGATGCACCATCGGTCTCGTCAAGTTTCTGCCTCGAACCGATCACACCGAGACCATCGAGCCTCCTCCGACCGCCGAGCAGCGCATCCAGGCCCACATTGGCGACCCAGACCCCGACAAGACCACTTGGATTGGCATCGATCCTGGAGTCGGCTCCATCTTCACGGCGGTCATCCAAGCACCGGGTCACCAAGACGAGGTGGTCTCGTTCTCCAATGGTCACTACCAGCACATGTGTGGCCATACGTCCGATACTGAGTGGCACAACACCATGAAGTATCGACTCGATATCGAGACCTGGATGTCGTCCACCCCCTCGCCTAAGGTGTCGTCCTCGGAGGCCTTCAAGGTCCATCTCACCCATGTCCTGCGACCGGAGCTGCGAGTGCAGCTCGACTTCCACCTTGGCAAGAAGGCCCGTCACCATCGCTTCACAGGCCACAAGAGGCGCCAAGTGGCCGTCGGCAGGATGTGCAAGGCCGTCCTGAAGCACGCCCCGATACGGACCGATGTGGTGATCGCCTTTGGCAATGCGTCATGGCGTCAAGGCAAGGGCTATGCATCCAGCCCTCGGAGGCAGCGGTTTGCTCAGTACTTTGAGCAATTCGAGCACCACCGTCGCCGTCCCAATCACCATCATGGAAGCGTCAAGGTGGCCTCAACGAACGAGTTCAACACCTCGCAAGTGTGCTCCAAGTGCCTGGAGCCAGTTCGGTTGGAAGGACTCGATGCGCCCAGTGTTGCGAATTCCCACTTTGTCAGGAGCTGCAAGAATCCCAGCTGCCGGACAGTGTGGAATCGCGACGTCAATGCGGCGCGCAACATGATCACGGTGTGTAGGTCGATTGTGGAGATCGGAGAGCGACCGGCGGTCTTCACTCGGAGGCTGCCAAAGTGATCTGTTTTATTTCTTGTGGCTTTGCTTGACGCAAGCACATCACATACTACATGTTCATGGAAACGGCTGTGGTGTCCCGTTTTTTTCTGAATAAAATGTAGTTGTTCGACGTTGCTCAAATTTGCTCTGTCGCTGCAGCATGTCGCCAAAGCGATCCATCGCCCTTGCACAAGCAGCGCCGTCCCCCAATCGGTCTCTGCGTGCGACCGCCCGGCTCGCACCAGCGCGGCGCTGCCCGCGGCCTCCTCCATGACCACCCGGGGTCATGCCCTCCAAAGGGGGCGGATGGCTGCGGGCTCGTCCCCAAAGGAGACGGAGGCGTGTGGGTCGGCGCCGCCCCCGTTTTTCTCCTTGGTCCGGGCGACGTTTTTTTTCCATCGCGGATTCGCTTGTTGGAAGTGCATCTCATGAAGCGCCGGGCTTGGTCGTGCTCCTGAACTGCTTTTCTCCTGTGCACTGCTCGCCTTGCTCGTCTGTCCTTCTGCTCGTCTTGCTCGTCTGTCCATGCCGCTTCTTCTCCAGCGCTGTCTGTGAACCAACGCCCGTCCAGGCTTCGTGCGTCCAACCCCCACTCCAGGATTGGTTTCAGCCCAAGCCATCCCTGCCTTTACGTCATCCTTCACTCCCTCCCCCTTTCTGCCGCTACTCCAACTCCTTCCAACTCCTTCCAGCTCTTCCCAGTTCCTGCTCCCCGTCGTACCGGTCCATATGCCCCACCATCTCTCCTCCTCGCCCAGGCCCTCTGCTCTGCAGCAGTGCGGGCCTCGTCATGTCCCTCCGTCGTTCCCGCCGCCGTTCTCCTTCCCAAACCACTCCGGCCACGGAATCTATCCACCAGCGACCGCTGGTTTGGGCAGCACGGCCTCGTCCAAGCCCCCTTCATCGCCGTTCCAGTCCATCGCCGCATTGCCGTTGCCGTCGAGTCATTCCCTGGCCCTGCAGACCAGTGACCCGCCGATACAATATCCCAAAGAGTTTCTTCGGCAGTACACCCTGCTGTATGAGCTCGGCGAGGGAGCCCATGGGAAAGTGATGGCTGCACGGCGCAAAAAGGATGGCTTGCCGGTAGGTGTCCTTCGGGAGCGAGCCTCCTGGCTCCCGGCTGTTCTGATCACCTGCATGTCGTTTGTCTCCGTCTCGATTCTCACTGCTCTGCCGCTCGCTCTCGTCGTATCCAGGTCGCCGCCAAGCTCTTCCCAACCCGCAGCGACCATCCGGCCTTCTGGTCAAACCATAGCGAGCTGGGCCGGGTTCCTTTGGAGGTGTGTGTGCCCCCTATCGATCCTCCTTTGGTCTTTGACACACTACCATTGATGTCTCCAACCCCTTGCTGACATCGTCGCTCACTGTGCCTCGTCTGCATCCCTCCAGGTATCCATCATGAAGTCTGTCCGTCACAAGAATCTCGTTCAGCTCATCGACTACGTCTGCGAAGACGACGCCCACTGCATCATCATGGAGCTGATTGCACCAAAGTCTCAGCGCTCTCTCGATGCCGTCACAGCACATACAACCACCTCAATCGCCAGTCTCCACGCCATGCGTGATCCCATGGATCTCTTCCAATTGCTGCAGACTCGACCCTTGACCGACTTTGAGCAAATGCACATCTTCTCGTCCGTCGTCGAGGCCGTTGTCCACATGTCCTCGCGGGGCTTTCTGCACGGTGACATCAAGGACGAGAATGTCTTGGTGGACTGGGTGCCCCTGGTCTCGGCTAGCGCCCGCAAGTCAGCATCGGCATCGCAGAAGGGCCCGCATGGTCCATCGCCCACCCCACATGCGTGGGTTCCGGTCGTCAAGCTCATCGACTTTGGCTCTTCCGTTCCGTATCAACCCAACGAGCTCCTGCCGCCAGCCTTCTTCTGCGGCACGGCCGAGTTTTCCGCACCCGAAATCATCATGGGCTATCCATCCTTTGATGGCGAGAAATGCGCTTGCTGGAGTCTCGGCGTGCTGCTCTACATCCTGGCCTTTGGCGGCGTGCTGCCCTTCGACACCCCGCATGAAACCTGCTTCAGTCCCGTGTGGCCCTCCAAGTTTGGCTCGGGGCAGCATCACCATCAGCCGCATTACCAACGTCTCTGTCGCTTCTACAGCCAGTCCAGGCGGCTGTCCGCTCTCTCGCCGACCTGCTGGGATCTGATTACCAAGCTGCTATGCAAAGACCCGGCTCTTCGCATCGGCCTGGACGAACTCGTGTGCCATCCATGGATGAACGAGTGCCGCCAGGCAATGCCGTCCTAATCTGTGGGCGACCCAGGCCGATGACCCTCCGTTTCAGCCCCACCGGTCCGCGCTTTGCTCTCCCTTCGATTGTGTGCACGGAAACACATCGAGCTGCTACTCTTCATCCATACTGAATCCTGCCGACTTGCACCTGCGTCCCGCCCTTTCGCATTCGTTCTCCTGCCCCTTGCGATTCGGGGAGGCTATCTCGAGCCAATCGATCGAGCCCCTCGCGACGCAGCCAAGCCTGCTTCACCCTCATGTCTCCCACCATTGCATGTTCCTTTTGATGCCGTCCTCACCATTTTTCGTTCTCTCCGCCTTCACCTTCGCGTCGATGCCATCTCCAGGCGACCCCCCGTTTCCTCGGCTTTGCAACGACTACTCTTCTTTCCTCCGGCTCGTTGGAAAGTGTCGTTGCTCGTGGAGACGATCCACTCGACGAATCCCCATCCTCCCCCTTCCCAATGTCACCGCTTAGCCCATCTTTCCACCACTCACTCTCGGTCCTTGCGGCCCAGCCGTCACTCTATATGCTCAAGTTAATGTGTGCGTTTTGGCTTGTCCCTCCAACCAAAGTTTTGTTGCGTATCCGTTCTTTTTCCCGCGGCTTTTTTTTTTGTCTTTGCGGTGGACGGCCACTTGATTTCCTCCCTTCTTGCAATGCAGGATGTGGGTTTCTTTGCTTCTTGCTTTTCTTTTCTCTCCCTCGGCACCGCTTCAGTTTCGGCGGTCTTCAGTATCGGGGCTATTTCTTGGCATTCAATGTTCTACCTTGCACACCCAATCCCGTTCTTGTTCCCGTTCTTGTTCCCGTTCTTGCTCCCACTCTTGTTCCCGCTTCAATGTGTGGTTTTCTGTCAATACTCTTCTCTCTGGCATCCGCCTTGTATTGGTGCTTCTTGTCATTGCCCATTTGTCCCTCTCCCCCATGGTCTTGCTTCTCTGGAGCAGCAAGCCCCCTCCCCAAGCTGGTTGTTTGTATCCATATCCCCACCTTCCTCCCGTACTTGTTTCTGTTCAACTCGGCTGTGTTTCTATTTTCCACTGGTACTTCCCGACCTCCGGTCCCAATCATTTGTATCCTTGAGCTTTCTTGCCATCACCCTCAATATAGCATATTTGATTTTGATCGCCTGCTTCGGACCTAGTTCCCGAAGCATTGCAGCACGGCGACGCAGTCGAGCGTTGTAATCAAGCAGGCCAATGTATTGGGTCGACGGACGCCTCGGTTGTGTCTGGACAGAGTGCAACAACGCAATTCAGGATAGACCTTATCTCGATCGACCAACGGCGCTGACATAGCAAGTCTGAAGACGACACCCATCGCCCTGGTCTTCATAAGCAAATAGGGCAGAGCCGCCACCATCATCGTGGCCAAGACAATGCCGACTTTTCCTTTCATGTCGTGAATCCTCCGTTGTTTGCTGCTGCCCGGTCGGCCGCCAGGTGACACCTAGGCCTTCTGATCAGCGGTGGGCTGGACAAGAGCTTGCTTCATGACAAACTTCTTGGGAATGTCCTTGTCCATAAAAGATCGGACGACCTCGTCGCTCACCAACTTGCGTTTCTGAGGATGACAGAAAGTAGAAACAGGAGTCAGCAGGAACGATCAGTCGCACGATACAGAGCCCTGGGGATGGCAAATGATCCGATCGGGCCACAGCCCCACAACAGGCCACAAAACGAGAGACCAACGTGGAGTGGGTGGAGGGACAGCTGTGATCCTACCTCCTGAATGGCGGCAACCAGTTTCTGGACAATCTCGATGCACTTGGCCTTGAGAGCTCCCGTGCTGAGCTCGCCACTTCGGTAGTTCTTTTCGATCTGGATCAGCTCCTCGTCGTCGTCAAGGAAGAATCGGAGATACTGGAAGCTGACGTCAACCTCGGTGTCGCCGCCGTGCAGTCGGTGGAGCTCGGCCGTATCGCCGCCGCCAGAGAAGGCATATCGGTTGATCTTGTTCTTGATCTGAGCGGGAGTGTCGGTCATGTAGATGGCCGAGTTGGGGTTGGAGGCCGACATCTTGGTTCCAGGGCCCTGGGTGTATCAAATGCCAAGAATGCGAGAGAAGGACGCTTCAGTGACAGCAGTCCCATAGCGCACTTGGAATCGCGCGATGCGCAAGGTCGATGCCAAATCCGACTCGTTCGTGGTATCGAGATCATCACTGCGATTGGTAACCAGAGAAACACAACCCAGCCGCAAGCAGCTGCGGTCATATCGCCCAAGCCAGCAGGCCCGGTCGCATATGTATTCCCAGCACGGCCGCGTACCTGGAGAGCCGGGAAGAACTTTGAGTGGATCAAGGCTGGCTTGGGGTACTTGAGCTTGCCGGCAACATCGCGAGTCAGTCGGAAGTAAGGATCCTGATCAATGGCGCAGGGAATCAGGCAAGGAATGTCGCTCTTGGTGCCAAAAATCTGGGGGAACGAGTTGGAGAAGGACGGGGAGGCCTGGACGGACACAAAGTGGAGCTTGCCAATGTTGTCGCTGTCGAGAGGGACGGTGGCGGTAACGATGGCCGTGCCGATGGCCGTGCCGATGGTGGAGATCGAGGCGGGGGCGATGAGCAACCTTTGCAGCAGCGCACGTTCGATTGGAGCCAGTTGGGCGAGACACCAGGTGGCATCATGCGAGACAGCCCGACATACCTATCAGTAAAGCCAAAGGTGGCGCGGGAGACGGAGGTGGTGATGCATCGCGAGACCTTGACAATGTTGCGATAGAAAGCACCACTGAGGACACAGCCGGGCCGAGGAAGACAGCGTCAGCGCAATCTCGGATTTGGGCTGTCCCATCCGTTCTCGTTCTGGCACAGTCAACAAGGAGCCGGGTCGTACCCGACATAGTCCAGGTTCGAAAAGATGAAGGTCTTCTCGGGATCGAATCCAAAGGAGATGATGTCCTTGGCGTTCTCGATGCCAAACTTGTGGGCATCTTCAAGCTTGAGATCCTGCTTGAACAGGTACTTTTCGTCGTCCGTGAGCTGGATCACAGCCGGAACCTGGAAGACGTCCTGCAGCCATCTGGAGAAGGAGTCGCCGAGACAGTCATCAGCGACCGGCAGCCATTAGGAGCCATTAGGAGCCATCGGTCCACAGTTACCACAGCCATGCACGACACTGCAACCGCCGGCTGCTTTTGAGCAACAGCAATTTGATCGACAGGGCTCAAAGCGATGTAGGCGATCCACAGCATATTGTGTCGAGTGTGCCTACTTGCAAAAGATGAACGGCACCATGTGTCCGACATGCATGCTGCCGCTGCTGGGGCCACGGCCGGTGTACAGGTAGAAGGGCTTGCCCTTTTCGAAGCGATCGAGGATGGTGGTGAAGTCTCTGTGTGAGAGGACGAGGAGCAAGGGGGAAACAGCCGGCGGGACAGGGTTGGTTAGCGATGCGATCGGGCCCAGCGATGAGATCGGATCCAGCGATGAGATCGGATCCAGCAGAGGGACCGGACCCTTCCGGGACTGCGATGGACACCTTGCTACATGCCAGGGCTCTCGGAAAGCCGCCTCCAGGAACAGCAGCAGCGTCACGGGTGTGCTTGGAAGGATGGCCATACCTGTGCGAGAAGAACAGCCCTCGTCGCAGGAACGGGTGGGGCCGCTCGCCGGTCAGTCGCTCAAAGCGAGCCAGCAGCGCTTCATCGATCGCACGGGTTCCGAAATCCACGATGAGCTTGTTGTAGTCGATGGCGACGAGCTTGCCGTCGACCTCGGCGCCTTGGACTTCCCAGGGCGTGATGATTTGCTCATGGGCACCAGCAGCAGCGGGGGCAGCGTCGGCAGCGTCGGCAGCGGCGGGGGCGGCCGGCTGGGTGGGCTCGGGCTTGGGTGCTTCCGAGGACATGGCTTGGGCAGGCGGGAAACGTGCGCTGGGGGACTCGAACCAAGGGGCTCCGGACCGATCCATCAACGGCAGGAGAGGAAGGCGACAGATGCAGGAAAGACTCGAGGCAAGGCGCGGCCTCAAAAGGCGAAAAATCGGGCGTGAGCTGGCGCGCAGCACGGCTGTTGTGTGGCCAAGCGCCCTGTATCGGCCGATGCATTGGCTTGCCTCCCGGACGATCGCCTCTCCAGCACCAAGCCGCCATGAACGCAGCCAAGGAGAGCGACTGGGTTGAGGAGGAAAGCGTAAGGCGCAGACTGGCTGCTCGATATCCGGGCCGCTGGGCCTGCAGCTTGCATCCTGACTCGCACTCACCTTCCTGCTCTCGCCCAGGTGTCGTATGCTGTCCTGGACTTTGGCGCGGATCTGCATCCCGTAGCCCTTCGGAGAGTCATGGAGGACTACAACGGCATGTCGGTGGTGGTATGAAAGCGGTGGGCTGTGGCTCTGGATGCACGCATGCTGCCGTACGATGTAGTCTGCAAATGCCACATGATGCACACCCAGAGACTCCCTATCCCCAGAACGCCGATCGGCGCTGGTTGAGTCGCCGACCAGCCATTCACTGGCATGATGCCACCCCATCTGCACCCAGGGCATCGATACAGCCACGCCATATGTCCGGCTCGGAAACATGACGTTCCAAGGGGTGCTCGACCAAGCTATCGGCACCGATCTGCTCTTTGAGCAGCAGACCGACACCCACGGCAACGGTGAGCCGTTTGCAGCATCCGTCACGGACCGACCGCTGGCCGCGGAGGATATTGGCAGCACACCCGGTCTGACTCTTTGCCTCTCTTGAACCTTTGGAACGACCGTGGCTGCAGCAACCCACAAATACGTCGGGAACACATCCAAGAAAATCCGATTCCAGCGGGTGGAACTGATCGACAAGACCGGATCAACCAAGAAATCGAACGATGCTCCCAACGCATCGTCTTCATAGCACCCAGCGCATCGTCTTTATAGCACAGGGACCACGGCTCCCAGCCCACCTTCACGGATGGCATGGTGCTGGATCGTCCTGGATACCGCCCGGCGCAACGGAGCTCCATCGGGCCGGACGATACGATTTGGACAGCACAGACGCACTCGCCCAGGGCTCCTTCGCCATGATCTCGCCATACCGGCGTCTGCAATACAGCCTCTCAGCATTCGCAAGTGTCCGATAGCTCCCGCAAGCGTCCGTTGGCAGCTGGAGATGTACATTTGTGCTTGTCTGTCGGGTGCTGAGATGCAGGCGCTGGATTGGGTCTGTATATGCAGCCTGGCGCGAAATGCCGGAGGGAAGTTAGTCAAGTGGTTACGACGGTGCACTTAAGATGCCCTCACCGCAAGGTGGCGTGGGTTCGAACCCCACACTTCCCAACCTGAAGCAATTTTGCTCCGCCCTGCTTTTGCTGTCCTCCTTTTGCCGTTCTTCTTCTGCGAGACACAAGCATGCGAATGATCTCCCGATAGGGCTGGCCTCTTGCTGTTCCTGCGGTATACATTGCCACCCGCTGTGTGGCGCTTTATTCTACGAGAGGGAGTTCTGTTGGCGCACCGATGTGAAAAGTACATCGGCTGAACTCAACACGGACTACAATCCAGTGTCACTGAAAGTTTGTCCAGGCTGCATCCCAGGCACTGCCGCCGCCGCCGCTGCTTGTGCCCGAGCTTCCGGATCCAACTGAACCCGACGGCCGGTGTCCCGCGACCGTGAGCCCTGAGGGCTTGGCAGGCACCGGGGGAGGGATACGTGCAGAACCAGCCACGGTGTTGCTCGGGAGCGGCACTGTTGTATTCGCAGTCGACGTGTTGAAGACCGAGAATGGATCGAGGTCTTCAATGCCGCTTGGCGGGCGGCTTGAGTTGGCCTGGTATCCGCTTGGAGGGCGACTTGCGGGCTCCATCGTGGTGGACGGAGGACGGCTGGAGGCGTGCATGGGTGTCGGGTTGATGGAGCGAATGGTGGAGCCCGTGTTGGCGGTCGGGACACGGCTGATGGGTCCTTGGGGCACAAACGTATTGGCGGCGATGAACTGACCGTTCGGCATCCCAGGCGGAGCCGGCAGGCTGCCGGGCAACGGGACGGACGGCACAGGTCCAAGCGGTACATTCGAAATTGGTGCAAACTGCTGCAGCCCGGACCCGCCATCCCATGAGTTGAGGATGGGCATATTTGGCGACGTCACTATGGGCTGTCCAAGTGCAGCACCGAGCCCGGGATATCCCTGTGGTGTGGCAGCAGCGACCGGCGTCGAGGCGAATCCAATTCCACCCATAGGCAGAGCGGCATTTTGCATCGGGTACGTGACACTGCTGCTGCCACCGCCGCCGCCAAATGTGCTCGCCAGCATTGCCGGGTTGCTGAATACCGGTTGCTGCGGGCTGATCCGGGGGTTGACTGCTTGCACGCCGATCAATCCTTGGGTGTGTGACATGTCCATGCCGCCCGGAGCATTCATAAATCCCCCGACTGGCGCCACACTCGCGGCGGCTAACGTTTCCGGACGTGTCGGACTCTGCATCGGAACCTGCGGCTGCTGAGGGGACTTGAACCCAGGCTGATTGAGCGGGCCGAGAAAGTCAGGCTTGTCGCCCAGACCCATGCCGTTGAAGGCCCGTCCGATGTTTGCAATGACCGAGCTCTGCTCGCCAGATGGAGCCTTGGAAGCTTCGATGCCACCAGCATACATACGCTGGTCGACGGTTCCGGAGACGGCTAACCCCCCGACCCCTGATCCAGCCAATGCGAGGGGCCCACCAACTGCCCCAAGGCCGCCAAGTCCAGGGCTGATGACCGGTGGTCCACGACCAGCGGTGGTGCCGATTGGACCACCGGGATTTCCAAACCCGGCCGAATTTGCATGCAGGCCAAAGTTACCGCCTATTCCTGCTTGGGCTGGATGCTGAGGCGTCTGTGGCAGAGGCAGCGATGTGGGCAATGGCGGAGGAGGAAGCTGGATCGATTTGAACTCGGGCATTCCAAAGTCGTCCAGGGCTCCAACACTCAAGCTTTGCAGGTCGCTGAAATCGGAAATGCTCTTGGTGTTGTTGTGGTGGAAGGAGGGCTTGGAGGCCGAAGCGCGGCTCGGATTAGATTCGGAATATAGGTCTCCGACGCTCGCAGGCCTGTGCTGGTCACCAGGCTGGGGCATGACGCTGAAGGACGGTGGATACGAGGGGGTGACTGGTCGCTTCGAGATGAGGGCTTCGTTACTGGCAAGAGCCTGCGCCGAGCCACGCATATCACTCTGCGACTGAATCCGAGAACCGAGCGAGCCCACATCAGCGGCGGATGCCTTGGGCGGCCGACCTCGACGCATCGGTGTGATGGTTGGTGCTGCGGGGGCAGGCTCTGGTGGAAGTGGGGCGGAGATGGCAGGTTGGGCTACATTGGACTTTCTTCGTGGAAGAGGAGGCTTTGCAGGGGGCGTCGACGCCGGCGCTCGGGGCGGATAGGGCTGCGTTTGACAGTATTGGTCAGAGAAGGAACATTGATGCGTCGAGTGATGGCAACGCCGCGCTGACTTTTGGGGTCAGTTGCGCCGCCTTGCCATTTCCAACGGGATCCCATGGGTGTTGACACATCGCAACAGTCCACCGCAAAAGGAGCGTTGATGTCAAGTATGGCAACCTGCACGCGAGGTGTACTCACGTTCTGGATTCGGCATTCGACTCCGCGCATCCTACACACGATTGAATACACCTCGTAGATATTGAGCCGCTCGTATACGTCCGCATTCAGCATCGACCCTGATGTTGCCGATGGTGTCGTGGAGCCTGGTAAGCGGGATCTCCCGGGACAACGTTGCAGCAGACCACGTTTTCATCACAAGCCCTTACCAATCAACTTCTGGATGGCAGGGGAGTACACTGGCGTGGTCGGAAAGCTGTAGCGAACATTGATGATGGCCATTTTCCCCGAGTCTTCAAATGGAGTGGTCTACAGACGACGACAAAGACATAAGGACTCGCGCAGATCACACCAGGCTCCGGATAATCGGCCGCCCATGCAGCGATGCCTACATAGTAGCAGAGCTTGTAGAGCAGCACGCCGAGGGCCTGTGGTATGAGGATCGGTGGAGCAGCAGCCCGGTTGAGTTAATCAAAGGCATGGGCAGCACCAGACAAAACCGCTCTGCGCCCAACACGGGCATTGGACATGGCACCGTGGCCGTGTGTCCGAGAAGTATCGATGGACATCAGCGCAGGCCTGCGAATCCGTGCGAGTCGGCGCATATCAAGACGGATCAAGACATCCCCATATCGAATCGCAGCGCACCCAAATGTCGAGCTTCTCTGTCAGTCCGCGTTTCTGGTACAGATCGCACATCTCAGGCGAGCGGTACTGGAGCGTCGTAAACTTTGATATTTCGTCCTCAAGCTTTTGAATCTCTTGCGCTTTCAGCTGCGCTCCAGGCGGGACCAGCTGCGTCGTGGCTGAGCCAAAGTCGCAGAGCTTGTACGTCCCGCTCTTGGATACCAGCACATTCTCGACCTTGAGGTCGCGGTGCACAATCACGGGGGACTGCATATGCATGTAGGCAACGCCTTCACAAATGTCGCTGAAGATCGTGAGGACCTCCATTTCGTTGAGGCGCCGCGGGAGCCGTGCGTTCAGGTAGTCCACCAGTCGCCCCCCTGAATGACAGCCAAGCGCAGCATCGGTCCTCGGTCAGCAGGCTTGCTCAAGAATGCTGTTGTTTTCGGTCCAAAGACCTGCGGTTGGACCGCACGTTTCGTAGCACGGGAAAGACATTCGCTCTGGCCAAGCAGAGCCGGAGCGTGTGTGTGCTGCTCGTACCGGGACAGTATTCCATGAGAATCAGCATTTCGTAGCCCCCGTGTTTGAGCGGATGCGAGCACGCTCCTGCGAACTGCACAATGTTTCGGTGTCCATTCAGCTTTTTCTACTTTCAGCAAAGGCGATTCGAGAGCCATCCGCGGTTGAAGATGCAAATCAGAAACAGGTGAGCGCGACGGTTTTATGGCTACTGCGTGCCCGCGATTCTTTGCGAAGGTATGGCGGTGTGTGGGTTTTCACTTGGGCACTTGCTTCTGATATTACATGCAGGAGGGTTGCAGGAGCCACACCAGGAGCAGCAGAGACATAGCCGCAGCAGGGAAGGGAGAGATAGCGGGCGCGCCCGATGTCGCTCGAGATGCAGTACTTGCCATGAAATCAACTTCCTTCTGAAACTCGGCAAGGGTAGACTCGTCCATGCACGCTATTCTCTTCACGCACATCGGCTCGTTGCTGACAGAGACCAGATAGACGTGTGCAAATCCGCCTGGGATCGATGGCGCGAACAGCCACAAACGAGAGAAGCAAGTTGACGGGAGCGATTCCGAGTCAGTTGAGCATGCTCGAACCCCACGCTCTCGCTTTATGCTCCTCAGACGACGATGCTCGTATGACGATGATGCTGTGGAGTGTCAGAACCTTCGGCCAAAAATCGTTCGACCATGGCGACGGAGCCGTTGATGCTGAGCATCGTGCCTGGCGGGAAGGAGCCTGCCGACACAGCCGAGGGGAGGGAAGGGAGCCAGGTGAGACTCGGCATGAGATTATCGCTCACTCGGGCGCGAGGAAGATGGTCATACATTCCTGCCCCCGCTGGGACTGCATGGCAAAAGACGATGTGCAAGACCGAGGGGTGGCAAGCACCGAAAGCACACGCAACCTGGTGGACCATCGTGCGCTGGGGCTCCTTGCTGGTTGGCGCTTGCTTCGGCATTCCACCACTGACTGTTTGCAGCAGGTGCACCAGCACCGGCACCGGGGCCAGGACGAGCCAAGTTTGCAAGCGAGTTGCTGATGCTGGCGGCTGTTTGGTTGGCCCCTCGTTGCTGGGCTGCGGCGAGCTTCTCGAGAAACGAGCTCATCGCGACTGGCAGAGATGTGCTCGAACAAGCGGGCTGTGGCTCTGCGGGTTGGTCGGTGGCGCACGCTGGTGGAGTATCGACAGGCAGGACAGACGACCGCAGGTGGCCGGAGACAACGGACGGCGCTCGGATGGTCTTGGAGGAGGGGATGAAGCGAGACGAAGCAAAAGTCCCAATCCGTCCAGCACGTTGGAGAGGTATCTCGGCCAGCCGGCACGTGGCCGCCAAGCAACCCCCTGGGCATCGGGGCAAACGACAGCGAGAGCGACGGGATGGACAAACAAGCACCGAGGCTATGAAGAAGCAACAGAGGAAGCAAGGGCCAGCAGAGGGGGCGATAGACGGCGTCGGCACATCATGTCAAGCCGGGAGATGAGCGCCGCGTCGGTGACCCAGAGACATTGATGTCACGGAGCTGCCCTTGTGGCAGTCACTCCATCGCAACGAAATGGCGATTATAGATCAGGGGATCTGTTCGGCTGTATTGAGCAAAATTGTGGGACGCATTGACCAGCAGGCCAGGTGTGGGAGAAGTGAGAAAGTGGAGCGAATATTGATGATGCCCTTAGACGATGTCTTCGATTGTGGCCTGGGCTCTGGCAGCCTCGGCAGCCTCGGCAGAGCTTTTGGTGTTGTTGGTGCTTTTGGTACTTTTGGTGCTGCCTTTGGAGCTCGTTGGTGTTGTGGGCTCGCTCGAAAAGTCGCCCAGACCAGTAAAGTCCAGCAGCGCGAGCAAGACGATCAAGCAAATCGTGGCGCCAAGCAGCGCCCATCTGCCAAAGAACCAGATTGCGGCTGGGAAGGATAGATACAGGCATCGCATCTAGGGACAAGGGTATCGGTTCAGTAACGGGCCTCCCCAGAGGTGGATGGATGGCACTCCCCCTCCCAAAGCTGAGCTGAGCAGAGCGACCTCGATGCTTACGCCGATCGTGTGGAAGAGTGCGCCACGGTTCAGCAGATTCGCGATAAAGTCCTCGATCTTGCCCAGGTCCTCTGTGATCCAGTCATGAAGTTTGGACTCGGGCGACTCGGAGGAGGAGCGAGACTTGCTGCCGGCGGCAGCACACAGGAGAATCGAGACGTGGTTGAAGTAGCGCATCGCTTGGGTGAACGAAAAGAAGGCGAGCATGAAGATGAACGCCAAGGCACCTGGAGTAGGACAGCCGCAGGTTGCGTTAGCAGCTAGCGATGCCGAAAGCCCTCCAAATCTCCCTTCGATGCCGAAAGCACTCTGCGCTCCCACACACCCAAGACACGCCCGATTCAGCACCGCGGCCGAGGCGACATGCTCGGTTGGTCTCCCCAAGGACAAGGCACTGCATTGGGGCGAAGCTACACGATCCGCACACATGCCGATCATCCATCCAACCATTCATCCCAAACGAAGCGGGGAGATCTTGGCGAATGCTCACCGAGTTTTGTTGAGAGAGACGAGTCGCCCGGCGACAGCAGCGAGTCAGACTGCTTGCCGAACGAGGTCATGAAGGCCACCAGGCCAGCCATGACAGCAACCGAGGTCGATGCCAGCTGCGAGGATGCCATGATCCTGGCGACACGAAGCAAGCCAGCATGCGGGCGTCAGCGGCGATGGGTGCGTGTGGCCGATGGCCGTGCGGAGCGATTCCTGGTTGGTGTATTCCAGGAACCGACACAGCCACGCCGCAAGACAGCGGAGGTTCTCGACGGAGCCGCCGTGACTCACCAGTTTCGAAGTGCTTGGACGCCGAGGATGGCATCGGGCTTCTCGATGATCTTGGCCGTCCAGGTGCGGCGGGCCCGACGGGTGAGGCCGATGACGGTGGAGATGGCCCGGAATCGGATGGCATAGACAAGGAACAAGTGATAGGCCACCAGGAGGACCAGGCTGGAGGAGGCGACGACGATGCCGGTGGTGTCGAGGTCGGACATGGCGAGTGTACGGGGGGATGCAGTTACGGGTGAATCAGGAGGCAGACACGGCGATTTGGTGATGGAGGATATCAAAAGCGAGGCGAAGGGCCAAGGAGAGCAAGCGAGACAGACGGCCAGAGGCGTGGCTGGACGGGGTGTTCGATGGAGTGGAAGGCAAAAGTTGGTCTGCGCTGCAAGGCGGGCTGCGAAGAGCATTTTATCCTGGGGCAAGCCGCGGGCACCACAGAGCGGTTTGCTGTGGGGCTGCGCAAGTCTCTGCGACGGGATTGGTGGACGCGTGTGGGGTAGCGGATCGGGGCGCAGCGGATCCCTGGCCGGCGCGGTTGCTGACGGAAGTTGCACGTGCGCCGGAATGAGTGGGTGGCTCGAGTGGGTGGATCGAGTGGGTGGATCGAGTGGGTGGATCGAGTGGCCGGATCGAGTGGCCGGATCGAGCCGCGGCGTTCCTTTCTGGCTGTCGCATCGGCTCGGCTCGTGTGCCGCTGCATTCTCCATCTGTCTGCCCCCTCATGATGTCCCTTCCTGAGCCGTTTGTCGCCGAGAAGAATTACACTGTGCGGATCGGCGAGTCCTTCAAATCCCCGGGCTCCGTTTCGTTCCACCATCTCAAATGTGGGTCTCCCAGTCCATCATCAACCGAGGACCTGATTGTCCTTTCTCCGCTCTCCACAAGCATCGATCCATGTACCCCGAATACTGAGGACTCCGTATTTCTTATTCATCGTTGGAATGCTCTATAGATGCAGGTGCCCTGAGAGCAGGCTCTGGGCTGCCTCCTGATGAGGTTGCGATCGAGGCAAAAACGAGCAAGTTCTTTGTCAAGACACCGTCAGAACCGGTAGGGCGGGGTCGCTACTCGGCAGTAGAATCTTGCAGATCGGTCATCCAGAAGACACCGAGTCTCTCGGTGCTCATCCACTCGCGGCTTGCTCGTATCGCTGTGTCAATGTATCAATGCCATCGACGCCTCCGTAATCCTCTGTCTCCTCATTCCACTGATGGTTTCGTACCCCAATCGCAACCGCGCTATCCATTGCGAAATGCCCAGTCAAAGCCTGGTCCAACCTGGTTTGCAGGCTCGTCCAAGCACTCTGTGGAGCAAGAGTTTGTTCTCCTGTATGACCCGGTGACAGAGGTTCGTTTGCCTCGGCTGCAATGTCGTCCGCTCGCTTTCCCGCGGCCTTTGAGTTGAGCACGCCCTTCGGACACTACGTTGGAGAGCGAGATCGAAGCGATGCCACCAGTCCGCCAACCTTTTCAAAACAATGTAGACCTTTGTGCTGGAAAAGCTCGATACCACCATATCGTCGTTCAAGGCTTCCAAGCCTCCGGCTGGCTGGACCGCAGCTGCATCGAGAGATACCGCAAGCATCTCGGGCGCACATGGCCTTCAGCTCCCCACGCTCGCCAACCGCGGGCCAGAGCTCACCCACAACGACCTCGTTCTGCCAAGCGCCGCCATACCGGGTACATCCGACGGACCCGGCGATCGAGACATCGGGGTCACAAAAGTCGAGGCCCCAGCCCTGGCAGATACCCATGATGTCGACAACAGCCACGATCCTACCTCCGAGGACGACTTTTTAGACGACATCATCGCGGACGCGATCAGCCCAGGAGACAATGGCGATCACGATATGAGCTTCGCCGACGACACCATCTTTGATGAGTCGCTAGGCGACAAAGACCTTCGCGACTCTGAAGCGGCCAGGCTCTCCGAACCAGCGCATGATATTCTGACCATTTCCAGTCCTCAAGATCGCCGGGAACCCCCCCAGTCGCTCACCGTTGCCCACACACTCCAGAGCAAGCCCAAATCAGGCGAAATACGCTCCCTGGTGAACTTGTTAAAAGGTGAGTCAGTTCGATACTGTGTCACTCCTCTGATCTGCATCCCGAGACTGTTTCCGTGGCCTGCATCCTAGCACTCTCGGCTGGACGCCACCCTTGCTGACTCCCATGGCACTCACCGATCCACAAACCATCGTCCGGATCATAAAGCCAACGACGAATCGGAGAGCAGCAGCGGCGATAGCGACAGCAGCAGCGACAGCAGTGGCAGCAGCGGCAGCGGTAGCGAGGATGGCGGAAGCAGCAGCAGCGACAATGACAGCGATTAGAGATGATGGTGCTCTGTTTCACAACTGCGATATAGGGTGTACCGAGCTTGTACTGATCTTGTGGACAATCAGACTCATTCATCACTCAAATGCCCATGTCAAAGCACATATCTGCGTCGCGATGCCTTGGCGATGGTGTGAGAACTTGGGCGTTCCTGCTAAATGCGAGGACTGCCGATCTCGGGTCGTCCTGATCCCGCTTGACAACCGCTTCCGATGCACTCACGACGGAAACGAAAGGGGTCTGGGAGGTCCGTCCGCGCCTCGTGGGACCATGCAGCCTGTCCATGGATGGTTTGAGTTGGTCCCGTCACGACTGGCATCCCAGATCCGCATCGGACCAGCGAGGCAACAGAGGCGGCAGCTGTATCGGCGTGTCTCCCCTTGGCTCTGGCGAGCGACCCAGATGGCCATGTCACATGCCCGCCGGGCCATGGGAGCCAGGCTTGCAAACCTTGGACCCGCTGGTCAGGCACACCAGAGTTGCTTGTTGTGCAGCGCTCCTGATGCACCGGCACTGCGGATCCAGCAAGGAACCATACAGCGCTGTGCGGCTTGTGGCCGCAGCCCGCGAGCACACGACCCAGGCCGTTGGTTGCCAGCAAGAGCGTTTGCATCTCGCGACCCGGCCGGCAGCAAAACCTTCCGTGGTCCTGGCGTGCTGCTCTGCCGATCGCCATGGTTTGTTGTGCAGGAGGTGTCAGGCGGTGCAGATGTCCGGCGGTGCAGATGTCAGGCGTGCCGATGTCAGGCGGTACCCATGCACGATCATCGTCGCAGCGAGCCCGGCTCGCATATATAAGCTTGCCCGATGCTGCCTTTCGGGGGACAGCATCGCTTCACATCCCGGTTCACCTCCAACACCATGGTCAAGATCACTTTGGCTGCTGCCCTCCTCGGCGCTTCTGTCCTCGGCGTTGCCTCTGCCCAGTCTGCCGCTGGGGCTGCTCCGCTCTCTCACTACCTGTGGCCTCTTCCCAAATCGGTAAGACATCGGCACCGTTCTTTGGCCGTCTCTGTTGCCCGAGGTCTCTGTGGCTCATGGGCTCCACTGGATCTAATCAACCACTTGCCTTCGCAATCTGGATGCAATCTGGATGCATAGGTGGTCGATGCTGGCCAGGCCGTCTCGGTCTCTGGCTTTTGGCTCGACTTTAGCTCGTCGAATGCCCAACTCGAGAACGTCGTCATGTCGGCCTACAATCGCTTCGACAAGAGTGCCAAGATCAAGAAGGCTTACGGCGGCGACGGCCCCACCGTCCCCGTCAAAGTCGCGATCCAGAAGAAAGTCCAGGCCGTCCCCGCCGAGCTGCCGGGCATCGACGAGTCCTACACCCTTGCCGTTACTCCCAAGAAGGTCACTATCACCGGTATGTCCAGGTTGTTTGCTGCACTGTTCAAGTGCGACATGCCTACCCTTGGCACCGATTGCACCGATTGCACCGATTGCACCGATTGCACCGATTGCACCGATTGCACCGATTGCACCGATTGCACCGATTGCACCGATTGCACCGATTGCACCGATTGCACCGATTGCACCGCTCGCCACTGACAGATGTCGCTATGCAGCTGCTACCCAGGCCGGCGCTGTCTATGCTCTTCAGACTCTGTCGCAGCTCATCACCAAGGACGGCAAGCTCCGCACCGGCACCATCACCGATGCTCCGCGCTTCTCTTACCGTGGCCTGATGCTTGACACTGCCCGCAACTTCTTCCCCGTCGAGGATATCAAGCGCATCATCGACGGTCTGGCCTACTCCAAGCTCAACGTTCTCCACTGGCACATCTACGACTCCCAGTCGTTCCCGATCAAATGGGACAAGTACCCCCAGCTCCTCAATGCCGCCTACAAAGACGCCAGCGGCAAGCCCAAGGTCTACACCAAGCAGGATGTCCAGAGCATCATCAAGTACGCCTTTGAGCGCAACGTCCGTGTGATTCCCGAATTCGAGACCCCCGGCCACAATGCCGTCTTTGGCCACGTCGACCCCTCCTTCACTCTCGACTGGAACCATTCGCCCTGGGACGGCAACAACGCCGAGTACTCCAACACCACCCTCCCTGGCGAGACAGGCCCTGTCATTTGGTGGGGCCGCCACCACTGCAACCAGCCTCCATGCGGCCAGCTCAACGTCCAGAATCCCAAGGCCATGGCCTTCCTGGACGAGCTCATCACCGAGATTGGCTCGTGGTTCGCCGATCCCGTTGTGCATGTCGGCCATGACGAAGTCAACCTCCGCGGCTATGGGCTTGCTCCCGACAACTGGGACGTCGTTCCCCAGGACCTCATCCATCCTCTGATGCGCGAGTTTGAGCCCAAGCTCCTCAACATCCTCAAGAAGAACAAGAAGACATGGGCCTCTTGGGACGAGAGTCTGACTGACTTTGGCATCGCCGACATTGTCCCCAAGGACGGCATCATCACCCAGTGGCGTGCTGCCGATGCCCCTGTCAACGCCTTGGCGGCCGCAGGCTTCCAGAACATCGTCATTGCCAACTCTGACTACTACTATCTCGACTGCTCGCCCTCGGCGCGCTGGTGCTCGAGCGACTTTGAGCGCACCGTCCCGGCCGACAAGTACGATCTTCCCGGCTATGCCACCTTTTCAGGCCAGTGGCACAACTGGACCAAGATCTACAACTTTGATCCGCTCGCCGACGTCCTGCCCCAGTACCACGGCAACGTCCGCGGCGGCTTCGGCGCCCTGTGGTCCGAAACCATCAAGCGCAATAACCTCGACCGCTTCGCCTTCCCTCGAGTCTCGGTCATCGGAGAGACCCTCTGGTCGTATGGCAGCGTCAAGTACAGCGAGGCCGTCACTCCCCTGCGCCTGGAGCGCTTCCGCGCCTCACTCGTCAACGAGCTCAACATCGATGCTGCCACTCTCGACTACCTCGGCAACAAAGAGCCCACGATCTACCGCCCCGAGATCTGCGACGGTGAGGGTACCACCGCTCCTTTCCAGAAGACCAACGAGTGCTGCTTCCCCGGCGAGCCCCTCACCGGCGGCGACGGTGGCCCGCTCCTGCCCCCTGCGTACTATGAGGCTCCCACGGACTACTGCCGCATTGCTGGCAGCTATGACACCGATGCCATCGTCCACAACAACCCCAGCCCCGTCCCCTATCCTCTTTAATGCGAATAGCGCCCCCGCCTATGCTGGGTACGGCCACTTCCTCACCTGTTGCGCCTGCCTGATTTCTATGTCCCCCACACCAACTGCTTTGTACTCGTAATCGATCCTGTCCAGAGTCTATGTGAGCAATAAAGCGAGAAAAGCGGGATGCCGGCTTTCTCGACGTACTTGATGGATGATTTGTAAATGAGAGACCTCTGATCTGCCATCGCCGCCGTTGTCATGCTCGTCGTTGTCATGCTCGTCGCTGGCGGGGTCACTGTTGCCGGTTGGTGGCGAGAGCAGTAGTCGCTCCTCGCATGCTCTCGCCTGCTCTCGCTGCGACCGAGGGCGATCGCGTGGCCAGCCACGGTCCTGTCTCCTTTCCGCTGCCCGAATCCATCGCACCAGCCAGGCTTGCCCTGCATCTGTCCTGCCCGATATCGCCTCGACATGGCCAGAACCTCCATCTTCGGTAGGTTTGCGATATCCAGTCTCTGCTAATATCCGATTCATATCTGCAGCGTCTGTCCCAAGCCATGCACGATGGCCTCCAGCGGCCTTGGTTCCGCCAGCCGTCTCACTCCCTCCCGGATCGCTCATCACCAAACAGACATTGTCGGCTCAACTCCGCTGGTGCTGCTGCCGGTCGATGTCGCCGGCCAAGCCGGATCTCTGTGTAAGATGCATGATAGGATCTGCTTGCGTTTCGTTCAGGTGTCCAAGTCGCCGGTTCTACCTTGACCACGCCAGAGTGCTGACGGGCTCTCCCGACACGCAGATGCCAAGCTCGAGTTCAGAAACCCTGCTGGATCATTCAAGGATCGGCTTGCTGTCGAGATGATCAAAGGTGCGGGACTGAAGAACTACGTCTGTTTGGCCGCTGGTCGGGTGATCCGCGCTTGCAAAGACTCAACTTGGCTCTCCCGCTCCGCCGCTTCCACACTCCATCCAGAGCTCGCCAACCAAGACGACATCAAGACAGTGGTTGTTTCCTCTGCTTCGCTCGGTATGATGTCTGCTTCAAGACTCGATCACGCAAGTGCAGGTCTCCAAATCAGCCGTGGCCGTGGGCCTCTGCAGTGCCAATCCAATGCCATATTCTTGGGCTGACTCGAGCCCTCCCCATCCTTCGGATCTGCCAGCGTTGAGCCTGGCCACCTTCTCCGCCTCAAAGTACAGGATCCTGGCTGTGATCCCCGACGGCACCTCCGATGCAAAGATCGCCCAGCTCAAGTTCCTTGGCGTGGAGATTGGTATGCAAACGAGCGCTGATCCAAGAGCTCGCTCCAGCACAGTCACCCGACTGTGGCCCTCGGATTGCTTTGGCCGCTGATGCATTTCCTTCCGGACGACAGTACGCACTCCAAGCAACCATATGACCCACCCAGATGCTCCCGAGTCGCCGTACTCGACCGCCCAGCGCATTGCGAACGAGACCCGAAACACTGTTCTCTTGGACGAGCTTCGATTTGACCGCAGCGACGCCGTCTTTCGTTCGCTGATCGACGAGATCCTGGAGCCGTTTGGGCAGAGCCCTTTGAGCGCCTTGGTGGTTTCGTCCTCGAGCATCGAGGACATTGACCGTTTCGGCAGGATCTTCAAAGAAAAGTCACCCGCATCCAAGGCAGGTCGATATTGCTGCGGATGCAATTTGAATGATGCCACTGGGTCGCTGTTGACTGGATCGTACCCTCGATATTGATCCTTCACCTGATATCGACGCCTTGATGTTCACATCTGAGGAGTGCTTTGCATCGTCTAATGTCTTGTCATCTGGACCCACTCCGTTCGTCGGCCCCAACAGCTTGTTGTGACTCGGCTTGAGGGCCACATTCGTCAGAGAATTCAGTCATCTGCCTACGTCGACGAATGGATCACCGTCGCTGCTCAACAGGCTGCTCTGCTGGCCTGCAAGGCTGCTAAGCGAACCGGTGTGCTCGGGGGTATGTGCCTATCGCTCCTCGCTCGCCGAGTGTCGATGGGATGAGATGAGATGAGATGAGATGAGATGAGATGAGATGAGATGACTGACTGGTCCCGCTGCATGCTCAGGCCTCTTGGCGGGGTCGGTGCTCGCTGTTGCTGCGGAAAAGTCGGTGCCGGCAGCCCGAGTCGTTGCGGTTTGCGACGATGGCTTTTATGACCATCATAGTACCTTGCAAAAGTAAGTCTGTTCGCCGTGCCTTGCTCCTGCGGATAATGCTTTCGTATCTCTGCGCAATGTGATGCATGGTTCCACGACTATCAGAGTGGGCGTATCCGATGTAGCTTTCTGACTCGGCTCGCTTCGGTTGGACATGCAGCTCTGACTGGCTCATCGCCAACGGCGTGTTTGAGGCTTCCAGCGTCGATTCACCTGCCGACAAGTACAGGGGCGCTAGCGTCGAGGATTTGCAGCTTCCGGTCGGTATCATCAGTGCTGGTCCGTGCGTTTATGTCGCGAATGTAGTCGACGACCAGCTCACCGACTCACCCTTTTGCGGTGCCACTGGCAATCCACAGGAGGCCGTCAGCGTCCTTGAGACTTCCACGGTCGGATTCGCCATGGATCTGATGATCAGCCGCGACTTTTCCCAGTTGCCTGTCATCAACACCAACCGGAAGATGGTACGCACACCAATGGCCCATGCGCCCCGCTGCCGCCCTCGATCGGTCCTGTTCTACCCATGATGGCTGCAGATCGCGCGAATACTCCTGATCATTCTTTGTATTGCTTTAAGGTTGGATTTGTCTCCCTTGGAAACCTGCAGTCGCTCATCAACACTGGCGAGCTTGGCGATGTGAACGACGCTCTGTCCAAGTGGATGGTATGCGCACTTTCCGCCACCCGTCTGTCTGCGTTGCAGCGGCCAAGTGGCATCTTGACCGTATCTGTGATAGTGTCGTTACCCGATATGGTGTCTGCGCAGCCTCGGCTTCTTCTGACCTTCGCCTCCGGTGCACTTAGTATTCGTTTGAACGCAAGAAGAAGGACCTGCGCATCATCACACCCGCCACGCCGCTGGCCGAGCTGGAGCACTTCTTTGATCACAACCCGGCAGCGTTCGTCACAGACGAGAGCGCAAAGTTCCCTCTTGGTAAGCACTGACTGCCGGCTGTGGCGATCATGCGAGGGTTGCTTGCTGGGTGGATGCTGTAGCGGGATGCCCTTTGCTCATCCGCATTGGTTTTCTCCCTCCCCCATGGCCGACTGCCGGTCGTGGCTGCTGGTTGCCTCGGTTGTGCAATTGCTCTCCTGGTGGGACCACAGCCGTTCTCACAAAGTACGATATTCTCAAGTTCCTTGGCAAGCGCGGTTGAGCTGTGTGCTTCCCGTACCATTGGTGCACCGTAGAGCCTCCAAAATGGCGCCGTGCTCCGTCGCCGCAATACACCGTTTTCTTGCATCCCTTTTGCATCCCACGGCGATTCCACGACATCGCAGCTCCCGCATTGCGATCCCAATATGTGCCATACTGAGGTTGTCCTGGACCAACCCTCCGCTGTTCAACTGATACCATGACCGTCGAGACGGTCGATAGTCCGGGAGCATCGGCAGCGAGTGTATTGCGTTGCTGCCCGCTCAGCAGCACGGCTGCCCAGTGTCGGAGGCCGAGGTGCAGAAACAACAACACGCGATGTCATAATCCCAGTGTCGCAATATCCCGAGTATATTGGCCACGAGCGGCGGCGCGGCCGGCTGAGACCAGCACCAACGTGCTTATGCTTAGAGGTAGAGACCTGGGGGAGCGAGCAAAGCCGTAAGCACAGATGCACCTTCAAGCCCAGAGCGCTGCAGAGCCCGACGACATCCACGAATGACGTGGCGGCATATTGTATATGGCAACGTACCTTCTGGCGTTCCCTCGTTCTTGCGGTACAGCACCTTCTCTTTGGCCTTCTTGAAGTCGTCGGCAATCACTCTCATGCGTCGCTCACGCAGAGCGAGGAGACCCGCTTCTGTGCAAATGGCCTGGACATTGCCCCACAGTCACAGTGTCAGTCTAAGGCATCGCTCGACCAGTCTACGTCAAGCAAACCCATAGACTTTGCCTACAGCGACAGCGAGCAGCATCGTCAAGTATCCGCGAGAGCAGGAGAGACCACGGCGTACCTTGATATCGGCGCCCGAGAGATCGTCCTTGGACATGATGAACTCTTCCAAATCGACGTCAGCCGCCAGTGTCATTCGGCTGGAGTGAATATGGAAGATGCGGCGCTTGGTCTTGATATCGGGTAGGGGGAACTCGATCTTTCGGTCAATGCGGCCGGGTCGGATCAGAGCGGGGTCCAACGAGTCGATCCGGTTGGTTGCCATGATAACCTGAAATGGAATGATATTTGATCAGAGTCAGCTGATGCGGTGTTTTGGTGTGCCACGTCCTGCTTTGCATCGCACAGTCACGATGCCTGTACTATCATCATCATCGCGGACACCCGATGCTCACCTTGACGTCGCCGCGAGAGTCGAAGCCATCCAACTGGTTGAGCAACTCAAGCATCGTTCTCTGAATCTCTCGCTCGCCACCCGACGTCGAGTCGTATCTGAGAACCGGAAGCGGTCAGAGTCAGCAGAGGGAGCAGGGACCTGCGGCAGAGCAAGGGCAGCCTGGGTCGAGCGTGGCCGAATGTGGCATATCAATCCCATCCAACACCCAGAAAGACATCCCAAGTCTACCTTTTGGTTCCAACAGCATCGATTTCATCGATAAAGACAATCGAGGGGGCGTTTTCTTCAGCCACTCTGAAAAGCTCTCGCACGAGCTTGGGGCCGTCGCCGAGGTACTTTTGGATCAGCTCGGAGCCAACAACACGAAGGAATGTTGCTGATGTTTGGTTGGCGACAGCCTTGGCCAGAAGAGTCTTGCCTGGAGCGCCGTTCGACGGGAGTCAAGTGTGGTTAGCATATCCGTCCACCCATCGGTGCTGTCAGGGCGGAGTGGCTTGGTGGCTGTGGGCCTTACCGGTGCCGGGGGGGCCATACAGAATGACGCCCTTGGGAGGCTTGATGCCCATCTCCTCGTAGAGTTCTGGATGGGTCAGTGGAAGCTCGACAGCCTCCTGCAGTCGTGCGAAAACAGGGTATGGTCAGACGAGTGGCCGCACTAACCGATGGAGCGTCCGCATCGCTGCAGACGGAGCTCCCGCGCCACAGTAGAGCGACTACGGATGACACTCTTGGCTGCCCACGAACCTTGATCTCCTGGATCTGCTGGTCGAGACCACCGACGTCCGCATACGACTCTGTCGGCGCCTTCTCGAGCTTCATGACACTAACCATGGGGTCAACATCGTCGGCCAGCACACCAACGACTGAGAGGGCTTTGTGGTGCAGCAGAACCGCGCATCCGGGCTCGAGTACATCCTTGTCGACGAAGGACATGATGCTGACGTAGTACTCAGAGCCGGCCGACACGGAGACGATGGCGTGGTCGTCGTCGATGATCTCTTCCAGCGAGCCGACGTGCATGGGGCTGCCACGGAGAGTGTCGACCCGAGAGCGCTCCTCCTGCAGAAAAACGCACCCCAGGGATCAGTACGCGCTGGCCAGTATACGAGACAGCGTCTGCAGATACGATAGATTGCTCAAGCACAGCGCTGGCTCGCGCACGGATCCCAAGTATCAACGCAAGCACACCCGAGGAGCTGAATGCAGAAAGCCAGTGCAAGCGGCTGACAGCACGACGGATGTGTTGGTGAAGCGCTCGCTCTACCTGTGTTTTCTCCTCTTGCGGCTTGAGACGCTCTTGGTTCTGCACAAACTCTTCCTCCATCAAAAGATAGTCTTTCACACGCTCCATCTTTAGCAGCTTCAGCTTGCAGCGTGTGGTGGGAAAGACTGCAGTTGAAGACGGCTGTCAGAGTCCTGATCGACCTTGCGTCCCGGAACAAAGCTGCGATCACCTCCCCCGGCGTCCGGGGAGGCCAAGAGCAGCCAGATCCTTTTGCAAAGACTGCTTACTGGGAGGCAGCTTCGATGTCGAGTCGGGTCCCTTTCTCTTCTTTTTGCCGACACGAGTGGGGATCGGTGGCTCCCACTTCTTCTTCTGCTCCTTCTTGCTCTGATGGCGGTGGTGTCGGATGGGTCAGGCTCTGGCCGGTGGCATATCGAGTGCTCTTTGCTGAATATCCGTTTTCTCCATATTTCCGCGGACTCGGGCTGGCCGCAGCAACAGCCGTGCGCTGGGGAATACCTGGTCACCGTCCTTGCCATTTCCTGAGCCTGGAGGACCTCCAGGAAATCCGCCCAAACCAGATTGTTGATTACCCTTGAGAGCAAGATTGTGATGCGTCAGCAAGAGTATCGTAGCAAGCAGAGATGTGACCGGCAGAGCGGTGCTGATGGGGTGCAGATGCAGATGGGGGGTGCAGATGCGGATGCAGATCCCGCGAACGACTGCCCGCTGAAAGGCGATGCTGTCCATCCGTGGACAATGGCAGATGTGCACTCGCAGCGATTCGGGCGACGGGCACGCTTGCCGGGAGCGCCAGTCCCAGAGCACAGGAGAAGACACCCCAACAGTTACCATCGCTGAGGTGTGCTTGCTTGCTGTTCGATCAGGATCTCAGAGGCAGAGCGACCAGACAGCGGCATCAAACTCGCAGACAGCGGCCAAGACCACCAAGGCACCCTGGTCGAAGGGGCATCCCCGTGACGCAACCCTGGAGCAATCTGGCTGGATCCGGCTGGATCCGGCTGAGCTTGGCTGGATCCGGATGCGCGCTGGCAGTCGCAGGCGCATGTGCCACAAGACTTTTTTTTCGCGGCCTCGGATTGGCCAACGGGCTGCGCATGCGCTGCCTCTCGCCAGCGAGAGCAGACCAGGAGACGAGCAGACGAGCAGACGAGCAGACGAGCAGACGAGCAGACGAGCAGACGAGTGGATGGGACAGCAAGCAGACGCCGGGATGCAAGGATGCAGGGGACGCATGGACACAGCAATCGATCGGAGACGCTGCATATGGCGTCTCTAGTTGCAGCCGGGGACAGTAATGCAGATAGGCGGCGGACTGGGCCAGAAACGTATCGCTTGGCCGTCGCGCCGAGAGCAGCCGAGAGCCGCGCGAGATCCCCGTGGCTTTTTCTCGGTCTCGGCCGTCCTGCGCATTGGATCGTCGATTTCCTCCAGACTCAATCTCGGTCGCCCAGCACAATATCCATCTAGCCCGATCCTCCCCGCCACCTGCCGCTCGCATTCACAGCCATGTCTTGGTTCGGATTCGGAAAGACCACGAAGCAGCAGCCCGAAGAGCCCGTCCAGCAGGCTCCTGCCTCCGCACCGGCACCTTTGTTCGCCGAGATGCAGCCCGAAACCATCCAGTCGATGCTGTCCACGCCGCAGGGTGTCCTGGATCAGTCCAAGGTCCTCCCTCCTGCCCCCCAGGACGAGATCGAGTATCTCTTTATCCAGGACAACCCGATGATTCCCAGCACTGACAAGCCCACCGGCACCTTTGGTCCGCTGCCCATGCGAACCTGGTCCGACAAAGTCTGTTATGGAACCGGCTCAGCTTATCTGCTTGGTACGACTGCATTTCCTCTGTCGGGTGCCCAGCATCCCTGATCCCGCCGCTCGGTGGCCCCGATCATGCTGCAGGCGCCGGCCGCTGTCATCGATCCGTTCCGCGAGCCTCGTCCCGGTCGATATCGGCGCTGGATTCCATGATCGCAGTGGTCGGATGCCGAGCGGTCTCCCAAAGTCAATCAGGGCTGCACGAACCTGCCTCTCGTCGTCCAGATCTCCAGATTGTGGCTTGCAGGTTCGCCGCGACGTTTGTATCTCACACCTTGTGATGCTGTCTCTCGACCAACAGGACTCTCTTCCGGCTCGGTGTACGGTGCCTTCCGAGGTTTGAAGACCGCACAGGGCCGATCCTTCAACATCCGCTTCAACAACGTCATCAACACCGTCACCCGCTACGGCCCGAGATACGGCAATGCCATGGGCGTCTTGAGTATGTATCTGTCGCGACAACTGCCTACATCGATACCTCGATGGTCTGCCTGCGAGCGAGTGCGCTCCCAACGGCACACTTTGCTGCGACGATGCTGAGCACTAATCGGCCGTCATCACCCGTCCAACCAATCAACCAACCGTTACAGCTCTGTCTTGGTCTCTGATGGATACCTGGTTCGGATCCATCCGTGGCCAATCCGACTACTACAACCACATCCCCGCTGCCTTCATCACGGGCTTCATTTTCAAGTCAACAGGTGCGTTTGTGTTTTCGACTATGCCAGTGCATCGTGCACAGTGATATCCGCAGCTCGTGATCGCTGACTGCTGGTCGCTTCTATCACTTAGCCGGCCTTCGACCTGCTGCCATCATGGGATCGTTATTGGCTTCGGTGGTCGCCGGCTACGGCGCCCTCACCACTCTGCAAGGAAGCCATCTCTATCTCCCCCAGTACAACCCCACTGCTACCGCCTAAGCTTTATAATGCACCACTACCACCCGCCATCGCCACCACGACCGCTACAATCAACATGTCTTGCTCTCGCAACGGATCCGCGGATCCACTTGTACCATTACCGCTGTGTTCGCTCCTTGCTACGACGCTCTATTACACCCTCGGAGCTGTACTGCAATACAGGATTCTCTGCACATCAGGATGTTCCGCGCACTCCACACCTTGGCGCCTTCAGATCTTTGGGTCGCCTGTGGGAGCCTGTCCTCTTCGCAGCAAGCGTCATCGTCGCAGCAGCATCGCCAGTTGGTCGGGATCAAGCACGATAGTCGTCAATCGGAACTGAGCCCCTGTCCCCGCAGTACAGGCATATGTGGCTTGCTTGCAATAGCCTCTCGCACAAAGAGTCCACGGTATCGTGGTCCACATCCATGTCCGATACGAGGGTCTGTGGGTTGGCGCTCGATAGTCCACAGGCGGTCAGTTGCGCGAGCCCGGAGAGGTCAAACCATGACCGGCCACATCCCTGGCAGAGCCGAGTCAACGGATTGGACAGCACCAGGAACGTTGCCGAGCAGCGCTCTGGACAGCACAATCGGCGATGCACGATGCACGATGCACGATGCACGATGCACGATGCACGATGCACGATGCACGATGCACGATGGACGATAAAGCATCGCCATACGCAAGCCCAGAGGAGGTGCGACCGAGGCATCGGATAGATGGTCATCCAACGGGGTGAAGATGGAATGGCGTTCCGTCGTCAGTATCGGTGAAATAGCACACTCAACCTACGCCAACTCATCGCTCACAAGCAAGCGCACTCGCTGCGTCCATGCAAACCAGAGGCACTGTCGCCATCGACCGCCAATACAACCCAACGGTGCTCGCTTGAGACAAATACCCCATTCGTGTCCGTGTGCACAGGTAGCCGTTGTGCTGTTGTTGAACTCAATGCTGGCCTCGCATGCCGGGCATACTTCTTTGCCAATCGCGTGGGATCCGCTGGTCTTGTGGAGCACCGCGAGCATCGCCTCGTATGTGGACCACACGCCGCGAGCCTCGAGAGACTCACGTTGCTGGTGAGCCGAGTGTACGATCAGCGCAATGACTCGACGATCAAGGGCTGGAGACAACAATGCCCAAACGCCATGTTAGCGGGTGCTGACGGCTATGCCAAACCCGATCGCTCCCGGCCAACAGACCTGTGAGTCGGCCGTATTCCTGAATGTACATTTGGACCACCGGGGCCAGGAATGCCAGGTAGCACGAGAGTATTTCGCTCGCATTCTCACGGTTCAGATCAACCATATCGTCCTTGAGATCGCTGGTGTTTACGGTATGCTGTTGCGCTCATGGTCGGTCAGTCTGATCAGGGTCGAGTCAGGCCCCACGCAAGTCGAATGCCCCTCTCGAGCAGATGATACAGAGTCACTCTAGTTTGGTAATGCCCGCAGCCCTCCGTCACCAACTGCACGATGATCAAGCACTGCAGCCTCGCTGATACACCTACCTTTGTGGTCTCGTACAAGTGTGTAAAGATTCTAAGCGAATTCAGATAGTTGCTTCCGCACAGCCAGTCTTCCAGTTCCTCGAATGCCCTTTGAACCGAATGGGTTAGGATGTATCGCTGACATCCTTTATGAACGACGTCGTCCACTTCCCAAGCACTCCGTGGCGACAGAGGGATCGGGCTTGATCTTGTTCCTTCTCGCTGCACTTGAGTAGCGGTGGCAGCGATGCCAGCGTACCTGTCAAAGCTGCCGGATTGAGTCGCAGCTACGAGCCGCGTTGTGGAAGGGTTCTCCTGCGACTGCAACCGATCGGCGTTTTCTTTGAGACTCTGCACGACAAGTGCATAGACACCCTCTGGGTTGATCCATCCTTTGACGTCACGATACATATCCGTGACGAGATCCCAAAGCACGTGCGCCGGCGATCGGTAGCGGACTGGATATCAGAGACAACGGCGATAGTGAGAAACAAGGTTCATCAGCTCTTGTCCGCGAGCGATTATCCTCACCCGAGGCAAGATATATGGGAGTGCTCGCCCGGCCGGCCAGACCAGAACCTACAGATATGGCGCTGACAGAGGGCTTCTTCCAGACGCGAAATTATCTTGGACTGAATCGCTTGCTCCGGATCTGCGCAGGGTGCAATTGCTAAAGTGCACTTGATGGTCCGCGGAGTGATGTAGCCCATGTCGAACGGCTTGTGAGCCCTTGTGCGGCACGACAACTTGGTTAGAGGAGAATGCTTGTCCAGGACATCATCATCGGCCAGCCAGTCAGCCGACCAGCCAGTCAGCCGACTCGTGGGTCGTATACTCTCGCCAAAGGTTACTTGCCAATACAGGCTTCCATTGCTATGCGCTGTCCATGCAACAGCGGCGTCTGAGCGGCCGTTCGGCCATCATGAGAACTTACCAAAGCAGTACGGCGTCGCTGAAGCCGTATGCCGAGCTATCCGCCCCGTAGTAGCGAGGCTCCTGGTCGCCGGTGGAATTGCTGTTTCCGGGTTCGTCGTCGGCATCGGCGCTCGATGGCGCTTGCATCGATACTCGCAAGACTTGGTCAATCTCTGGGTGGAGATTTTCGTCAAGAAGCAACAGAGTCACCCTCTCGGGCTTCTCGGCCGCTCCACAATCTTTCAGTCTGATGGATCGATGCTGTCCGTCGAGGTGATATATATCGAGTTGGGTTCCACAGCTGCTCCAAGTGATGCCTGCTCAGCACATCGGAAAGAACGAGGTCGGCGGAACTTGAGTGGGAGAACAAGCCAGCGCATACAGCCGCCCAGCCACTGCAATCGATATCGAGCTGGTTATAATACAAATGTATCGCAATTCCAATGACTCGATGCTTGGTTGTATCATTGGGCATCTCTACTCACCGCCCGCAGCCATGCTGATCGGCAGTCGTATTTGTCCAACAACAGCTTTGCTGGCTCCGTCTTCCAGCACCGCTACGATGATGCGAGTGCCCTTGGAGATTGCTACTTTTGTGGTCTGGTCGCAAACATCCTGAGGGTGGCGGCCAAAGGCGTCAGCTTGTAGCAACGTCTGTTTTCTCCATGAACATCACAGCCATTTACAGCTCGCTGTCGAGTTGTCATATTGCGGTCTGGATGCAACCCCAACTTGGCTCGCAAGCCGGCTCACTTACTGCCCCAAAGCTGTAGAACTTGATCACGGTTGCTGCTCTCGAGTCACTTCCGCACAGCTCCTGAACCAATTCCACAGCTGTATGGGTGTCCCTTGATGACTTGGTGACCTTCCAAAGCCGCACTGAGCCATCGGAGGATCCAGTCGCCAGAAACCACGCTGTTCAAGATTCGTTTCATAACATGAGCCGCATTTCTCGCAACGGGCCAAGAAGAGGCAGTTGCCACCGATACAAAGCTGTTTGGGCCGACGAATCGGATATGTGCTCCAGTCACCGCCCGCGGGGCGGATTCTCTAACGGTGCATTACACTGACCTACTGAGTCGTCCAGTTGCATCGGCTTGGACCAGCCGAGAGAGACGATCCAACTCTTTGAAACCTGGATTGTGGCTTCATGGCAAAGTGACCGGGATACATAGCTACAGAAGCAGAGATTGGTCAAAGAGCCCCCTTCGCCAAACAGAACCGTAGAGCCGGCGCGAGGTAGGCTTGCATTCAACAAGAGGCGGTGAACTGCAAATGCCGGCTCTCACCTCCATAGAGTCACCTTGCCAGCCTTGGATCCGAGAGCAAACAGACTTGTGGGACGGGTCCATCGCGCATCAAACGGCTGAGGTGCTGCTGGGGACCATGCGATTGCTTTGTGGCAAGAGGCGAGCCGGCAAGAACATCAGTGACAGTGGCAGGCCGATGAGCGATCGGCCTGATAGACATGACTTCCCAGGAGGTCGACTGCTGTGGACTTACACATGATCTCTAACCCATCGAGGTCGTGCGAGTTGAGATGGTCTTCGTCGAGGCTGCCGTGCTTGAGCATGGCTTCTGTGACGTCGATTGTCTGGAAGTCCTCGTATCAGCAGTGAACGCATATGCGACTGTAACCTCCGCACCGTCCCAGCCCCATAAGACTGGACAGTCATACTGATCTGCATCCAGAGGCTGCTCCAGTGTCGACATTGACACTTGCTCGACTGACCTTTTCCCATACAGCGGATGTGTGCTTCGGCATAGGCTCAAGGACAGTCACGGCTCCAGTGGACGTCAGCGTCAGCATAACGCATCTGTAAGGACGATTATCCGTCAAGAGTGAGCATCTCGCTGGTTTAGAACTTTGCTGAACGACCGCCCACCTATGACGCTCGGATTACCCGGCTGACGACGACAGTCCCGATGGAGACCAGTCCGCCGATCGAAAGGCTTCCACCAGCATTGAGGACGATCGGATATCTGCGGCAAGTCGGCTGTGGATATCAGCATTCGGACTCGTCTTCGGGCATGCACAGGCCCATGGCTCGTTGCATAGCCTCGCAGGATCTGCTGTGGCCAGATCCGATGGCCTATGGACCAGCCTCGATACGAGCCAAGACATGTTGGATTGATTCGACAGGGGGCACGATGGACAGAGCTGCGGTGAACAACTCGCAAAACTCACCTTCGCCTCTCGACGGCGTGCGGGAGATGGGAACCGATGGCGACAGAGACACAGCTGTCTCAACAAACTCCATTCTGCTCAGGCTCTGCCCAGCCAAATTCCATTTCGGTTTCTGTTTCAGGAGCAAATGCCATATCGGTGAGCGGGTGGCCAGACGAAGCTGTCGGGCCCGATCCCATGCAACGGGGCGACAGATACAGGCATATGGGGGCATGCTGGATCGTCTGGATCGTCTGGATCGTGATGATCCTTGGTGTGTGGAAATGATTTGCTTGTATTCCTCCCAGATGACAATCGGACTGCTGGCCGGATGGACTGGGACAGCCTCAGAGGAAGGGACACCTACGACAACATGGATGATATCAGGGAGAACCACAAGGATCTGGTTGTCGCTCGACCAGCGGACGGCGTTCGGCAGCGACGGTGCTCCTGGGAACTCGACTGTCTGTGTGCTCATGGTGTCAAGAGCAGCGGACGACGGCCGATCGAGGACAGCCTTTCGCGGGCCGGCCCAGTTCCGACTTTGGGTTTTAACCAGGCCAACTCGCCACACGCGGTCGATTCGAACAACTCGATCATCGGAGTTGATCGAAAGCGCTCTGCCCCTCTGGACACAAGCCAGCGAGGGCCGGGAAGGATTTGGGAGATGCCGCACTCGGATGATGACTTTTATTTCGAATTGAAAGCCACCGGCACCTGGTCGGCACCAGCAGTTCGATATCTCAGGAATAGTTGAAAGCAGAGCAAACGAAAGCTGGCAGGCCTATTTCTTTCCCTCTCTCGCTGGACTTTCATCGTCTTGCGGGGAGGTTTGGCCCGGCCTTGGCGGTGACGATTGATCTGAAGACCCACCTGAGTTGCTTTGGAATGACCAGCGCACTTTTGTTTTGTGCGCCTGCCCCCATTATCACTGATGATCAACAAAACGGCAAAGAGCCGACCGCAGCCTGCTCGCCTCCGACGACCATGTCGAGCCTGTGGGCTGCGAAGAAATACAAACTGGAAATGGCTACACTGCATGGCAGTCCTGGTGTGTAATCGTTGTCACCGTCTTGGCTGAGAGGCGGCCCGGGCTTCGTCCATGCTTCACAGGCTCGTCCGTAGCACTTCAAGCCTTTCGGGCGACACTATGGATCTGGCGGCCCATCCTGAAGCCGTTGATGCCGAAAATGACTCCGAGGTCCCTGAACTCCCTGGGCACTTCGATTTCTCGGCTGATTGCGTCCAGAGCGACCGAGATGTCATGCACTACTCGGCAGTTTCCTTCTATCAGTCTTTGATCTCTGGGTCTTTGATCTCTGCTCGGTGGTCTCGCTCCCACCCATCTCCCCGAGAGTCTCTCGCTTGCTCCTCGCTCGTGACTCGCTCCTCGGTTCTCTCGCTTCCTCGTTTTTCGAATGCAGTCCGATTTTCGAGTTCGCTGGACTTGCCTCTGATCTCCTGAAACCATGAACGGCGAGGATCCTTCTCGCTTCGGGCCTGGTGTCCTGCGGCACCAATTCTACAACCCGCACTCCCAGCACCACAACTCCCATCACCAGCCTCCGCAAGTTCCCTCATAGTCGGGCGTTCCCTATGACAATCTTTTTCTGGGACCGCAGTCAGCTCATCCCGATCTGTTGTCGCATCAATCCGCTCGTCCCTCCTATAGACCGCCAAACCATGAATGCTCTCCGTCCTTTGCCAATCCACGCCCGCTAGCCCACAACTACCTGCCTTCTGCTAAGATCGTCCTCAACACTCGTTTCATCACGGCCCTGAGATCCATCCTTCCTATGTATCCGCTGTGGACTCTCAAGCCCCTACACCGCACGCTTGCTCTTCCTCGATGCCGAAGGATGCTACTGTGAGTGTGACCGGCTTACTCACTCCTTCTGCTGCGTCGGAACGATTGGGAACCGACGATGATTCCTCTGAGGACGGGGTCCCCTGCCACTCCTTCGTGCTCTGGTTGGGAGTCTGGCACAGACTCCTCCAGTTCACTGGGGTTTGCTTGACGGCTGGCCCCCGGTACTCGCTCCGCTGCGGCATCCAGGTCAATGGGTTGGTATTCCTGGGGTTCGACGTTGATCAGTTCCCAGGAGATCGGCTTTCCCCTGGCGGCTTCTCCGACGAGTCTGTCGAACTCTGGCTGGTATACTCTGGGCACCCTCATCTGGACCATTCGGGCAGAGTTCGACAGACTCGTTGGAGAAGCCTCAGGGGAAAGCCGATCTCCTGGGAACGGATCAACGTCGAACCTCAGGAACACCAACCCATTGACCTGGATCAAGAGCGAGATACTCCACCCAGTAGCGACTGTAGTCGCGGAGTGGCTCTGCGACATCAGCCGAGCCGCAGTCAAGGCTTCGATCATCCCCACCGAATGAAGCACCGTCCTGATCCATCCGGTATACAAGAACAAGGGATCGCAGCTGAACCCAGCGATGTACCGGCCGATAGGCCTCACGCAGGTGTGTCGCAAAGTCCTCGAGTGGGTACTGCCGCCATACCTGACAGATGCCTTCCGACCGATGGACATCGCACAAGGCGGTTTCCGATCCAAACGCGGAACTCTTGACCAGATATACGCACTGGACTGTCTGATCGAGGATCGCAAAACGGCCGGAGAAGAATATGCCCTCGTCTTCCTGGACATCAAGGCTGCATGCGACAACGTATGGCGAGAGAAGATGTGGGCCAAGACAGAGGGCCGCATGGAAGACACAACTTTGATCGAGTTCCTGAAGGTCATGTTCGGCCGGGTGCACATCCAGGCGGCCAGCAAAGCCGCCGCTCCAACCCCGTGTGGCTGCAGAAGGGACTGATCCAAGGATTGGCCCTGAGCGCCCTGCTCTTCAGCGCCTTCATCGACGACCTCCCGAAACTCTTGAGGAGGGAGGGAGGAACGACCCTGACGACCACCTGCGGCACCACCATCCAGGCCAACTCGCTATGGTTCGCCGACGACGGTGCACTGATCTGCAGACCCAGACAAGCACAGAGATTGCTTGATTTCTGCGAACAGCACAGTGTCGACAACAGATACAAGTTCTCGCCGCCCAAATGCGAGGTGATCCTCTCCGAGGGCAACCCAGAACGAGCCACCGGCCTCCGACTCTACGGTCAGCCGCTGCCCATGGCAAAGGAGTTCAAGTACCTCGGAGCCACCTTTGGCGTTGACGGCTTCCAGATGGACCGACAGATCCAGAGGATGACGGCGAAGGCCCAAGTAGTGACCCAGCAGATCGCAAAGTAGGGATACACCCTCGGCAACATGGCTGCCAGATTGCTGGTGCGGTCTACAAGACCTTTGTCCGACAGACGATGGAGTATGCCCTGTCCCTCGATCTGATCGATGCCAAACAAGCCGAGGCGCTCGACAGAACAGATGCGGGAGGGCCACCTAGACCACAGCCACAAGAAGGTCTTCCTGGTGCTAAGAAACTCTCACACCCGACCGGTCTGATGAATACATCTCTTGGCCCCCAGTTCTACCAGGACACCTACTAGACACAGTCGGTGCTGCTGAAAGCGGGCACGCTGATCACTCGATGGAGGAGCTGTTCAGGAACGACCACCGTGAAACCCCGGAGTCAACCATCAAGATGCAGATCCACCCCGAAGACGCAGGAACTGACCTCGGCCGCATCGTGACAACGATTACACCAGGACTGCCATGCAGTGTAGCCATTTCCAGTTTGTATTTCTTCGCAGCCCACAGGCTCGACATGGTCGTCGGAGGCGAGCAGGCTGCGGTCGGCTCTTTGCCGTTTTGTTGATCATCAGTGATAATGGGGGCAGGCGCACAAAACAAAAGTGCGCTGGTCATTCCAAAGCAACTCAGGTGGGTCTTCAGATCAATCGTCACCGCCAAGGCCGGGCCAAACCTCCCCGCAAGACGATGAAAGTCCAGCGAGAGAGGGAAAGAAATAGGCCTGCCAGCTTTCGTTTGCTCTGCTTTCAACTATTCCTGAGATATCGAACTGCTGGTGCCGACCAGGTGCCGATGGCTTTCATTTTGAAAAATTAATAAACTGTCACTGCCGCCACGATTCTGACTTGTGGTGTGCCGACTGCACCCACTCCATCCACTGAATACACCTGAAAAAAGGGCTTGCTGCGATCACAGTCGTTGTTGGGAGTGATCCTCAAGTCTTTGCTCCTCAATTGCAACACCAACACGGTGGTGAGCACAACTGGATGGACCCACGCTGGCCAGCACTCCTCTGGTAGTTGTGATCGTGATTATGGTTACGAGGGTAATGGCCATGCTGATAATGGTAATGCTCGAAATAAAGAAGGAGACTGAAGCGACATGAACTCGATATATTTCTTTTGCTTTGCTTCCAAGAATTGGATGGCCATTATAGGTAGCAAGTGAATATATATACATTTTGTTTCACTCAAGGCCGTCATAGTCCAATCGACTCTACCAGCAGGAAAGAGTACCACTAACAACCGCTCCGTTCACTGCAGACATCTCAAAAGCTCGCCTCGACTCCTCCCTTCCTCTCTCTTGTCTCTCCCAAGCCCCATCCCCCCACTATTGAACCCCGGAAATTCTCGCAGTAGCATAATTTTACATACAAGGGCATAACAGAGAGACATATAATTCGATAAAACAATCGTCGGCCTTCCACCTCTCCATCAGGCCTTGCGTCGGGGTAGAGTCGGTTGAATAGCTTCATGCCGCTCAGTCCACAGTCGCCAGCCTTTCTCTCTCGGCTCAGAGCTATTTAAACTAGCGTTGGCGGGAAGCTCTGGCCCCAAGAGCATCATGAATGCCCGCATCTTACTCTACTCATATATATATGTAAATCGCTAATTTTGGGAGCCTTTTTTTCACGGGTATTTTGTCAACCAACGTACTTATATCCACGCATACAAGCTTTTTGCTGCTCCCTACTCGATTCGATTTCGGCCAGTTTTTATCATCGAGCTGACTTTCATTCTTCAGGATATCTATGGATACGGTTCTTCGTGATGTTGCAGGTTTTTTTTTTTTTTTTTTTTTTTTTTTTTTTTTTTTTTTTACATGAGGATGTGAGGCAGTCTTGTACTGTGTTTAGTTAGTATCGTCCCTTGGCCTCGGATTCTCTGTTGGTTCAGCTTCCATCAAATGTGTAAGTATACTATCGACCACGGGCTGTTGGTATATTTGAAAGAAATTTTTTATTTAATAAGCAGGTTTTCCACCAGATTCTTAAATTTTGACTCAGCTCCATTTCTGTTTGATAAACAGTATGAGGCTGCCATAGTCGCTGTTCGATTTAATACATGTCTTTTCACAACTTACAGGCATTGTGTAGACAGATCAGCGAACGAGGTTACGCTTAGTGATATTATTTAAATTGTTTTGTGCAATGCGATTTCCTTGATCGGCTGACTTTTGATACCAGTAGGCGGCGGTTTGGCTGCTTTTCATGACCCCATAACCGTATTCGTAGCACCAACCAAGGTTATTTTGACTGGTGGAATCGCCTTGCTCGGCCGATTTTTGGTACCAGTATACAGCCGCTCTGTGATCCTGAACGAGGCCGTAACCGTTCCGGTACATCCAACCCAGACCATTTTGGCCATGTGGGTTCTCCTGGTCTGCCGACTTACGATACCATTCAATCGCCTTTGAGTAGCTTTGGGCAACACCACGACCATTCGAGTAGCATCGTCCAACGATGCTCTGCGCATAGGAATCGCCCTGGTCGGCAGCTTTCAAGTACCACCAGAAAGCTTGGGTATGATCGACATTCACACCCCAACCTCTGCTGAAGGAGCGACCGAGCCAAAGTTGGCTACCAGAGACACCTTGATTTGCGAGCTCTTTGAGCATATCAATGGCTTTGCTATAGTTCTTCGGAGTCCCGTACCCGCAAACGTAGCATATGGCCGTCATATGTCTGCAGAGCCAGTCCGTTTCTGATCCATCGACACAGAGATCAAAAAATTTGCGGGCACCGGCTGAATTTGAGGAAACGATGGTTTCCGAGTCCAGTATACACTCTCCAAGATCAAATTCCTGTGTCCGACTGCTTCGCATCATATTCACCCCTTTCAGTTTGTCTTGTCTTATCCCTCGTCCGATGTAGCTGCAGTAGCCAATCACGAAGGTGGCTATCGGCTTCAGTATAGGGTCATCCGACCGATTTACGACCTCTTGCAAGTAAAAAACAGCGTCGTTGTCGCTCTGAGCCCCGTTGATCCCGAGGAGATAAGCCCACCCAATTTGAAAGTATAGTTCGGGGCTTTGTTCATTGGCTTGTGCCCTTGAAAGTCGAGGTAATGGATTCAAATCCCAGGTTGGTTTCTTGTTGCGATCGCAGTCTGTTGGATTATTATTGTGGGGTTCTGGCCTCCAGTCGCTGGTGTTCAGCCACAAACTATCAGATGTATGAACTGCTTGATGGGGAGTTGCCGTTATCCCCGGAAGTGCTTGATCAAATGTGTCTGCAGGGTTTATGCTCAATAAAGTCGAGCTGTTTCCAATGCTTTCTCTTATTTCATAGTGTCGAATCGATGAGATTAGTCGGTTTGAATGGATCGATTGAGTCGAGTCGAGGCTTGAGTGAAGTTGACGTGAAGGCAACTGAGGTATCAACAAAATACCTTCGGTCTGTACTGTTTCGGCGTGTTGGGAGGGTGTGGTTGATATCATATTGGTAAACGCTAAGATTTGATCGTGACCAAATTTGTTTGGTGACTTGTACGCGCTCAGTTGGCTCAAAATATCCACAAAACTTGGTCTATGATAGGGATCCTGATGCCAACACGACTCAACGAGGCTCCATATTTGGTCGGGAATACCATCGAATCTCTTTGGCCTCTTTCCTTTGCAAACTTGTCTAACGACTGTCATTTGATGCATAGGGCCGCCGTCTTTTGTTACCCATGTGTCTCTACCATCCTTGAGGATTTCAAAAAACGTGACTCCAAATGCGTAGACATCTGTCTCTCTCGAAGAACCAGTTGGCTCTTCATCGTCCAACATTTCAGGAGCCATATATATGACGGTCCCGCAAATCGAGTTATTTGTGCGCGATCTTTGAGATCTGATCGATGTGCGTTTAGTTTTTGCTAGACCAAAGTCGGCAATGACGGCATTGTTTCCCGAATCGATAAAGACGTTGTCGCTTTTAAGGTCGGCATGGATTATACCGTTGCTGTGGAGATATGCCATTCCTGAGGCGACTTGATACATGAGCCGCAACTTGTCTGAGATGGACCGTCGACACGCAGGATCAGAGACAAATGACCGTAGCGTACCATTCTTCATAAAAGGTGATACCATAAATGGTTTCTCGACAAGATCGCAGGCTCCATGAAGCGGTAAGATATTGGAGTGATTCAGTTTGTACCATATTTCAATCTCTCGGCGGAACTCTTTGATTTCTTCTTCGCCATATTTGGCCAAGAGCTGTTTGATAGCAACGTCCGAGCCGAAATAGGTGGCAGTGTAAACCTCCCCAAACCCTCCCTGAGCAATTGGTTCGTCCGAGCGATTGGTTATTGAGTTTGGAGCTATACGCCAGGTCTCTTTGACAACTGAACGAGCCACTCGAGATTCGCTTTGTAGCATATGGAGGAGTGGTACCACCACCGATTGAATAATTCCTTTGGCGACCTCACCATCCTCTATTAAGGCATGGAGGCTGTGCGTAACCCGCCGAACTTGCCACTGTTTCTGATTTTCGAGCGAGATTCCGATCTTGGTAAGAGCTGCTTGGTCATTTTGATCGAGTAAACTGGCTATGTTGGTGATAAAGCGGTGATGTTGTGCCTCATCTTCTTGAATTGCCTGTCTCAAGTCCGTCTGATCAACCATACTAGTGTCGGTGGCGTGTGCGAGTGCTGATGCAGCACTTTGCCTTAGTGCATCAAGCTCTTGGATAAATTTGATGATTCTCTTGCGTACAAGCTGAGCCTTGAGCGTTTTTTCGACCTTGAGCCAATTACCGACTTCATCAATATAGTACCGACGTACTTGACAATGAAAATTTTCAAAACAACTGACTTGGTTATCGAAAACAAGTAGGTCGGACTGAAACTGAGAAAGGGTCTGAAGTATTTCATACGAATGGTTCACGAAGACTGTCCAAGACCTTTGATTTTCTTCATCTTGTTGGATGATCGAGAAAAGCACTCGAGCTGATTGTAACGTCTCACGAAAAAGATCGCTACAGCAGTTCCGAAGAAGGACAGCTATACCAGCCACGACAGCAGTTATCTCCAACATCGATGGTCTCAAGTTTTGATAATGATACAGTGGTAAATTATTTGGGATTGAAACTGGGGGGGGGGAGAGTCCTAAGACCAAAGCGGACAGGGTCTGGTGTGTGGGTAACAAAATCAGGAGGAATCCTAACGAGGGAAGCAAGAGCACGAGAGAGAGAGGGCGTATGAGGGCAAAGAGACGAAGACAGAGAGCGAGACGAAAAGAGAGGCGAAAGAGAGACGAAAAGAGAGACGGAAAGAGAGTGACTCAGTGTAGAGATTTTGACCGATCAACCGATGTGGCGGGGGACTTGACCTCGTTTTGAGCAACATTTTCTTTTGGGGGGGGGGAGGATAAAGAATCGGACGGCTCCCGGTCAGTCCAAGCCACACGGCAAATTGTCACGAGGGGACACCTTGGTTTCAGGCCACAGATTGGAGGACCAATCGGATTTTGTGCTTGCTGTGCTCCTCTCGAGCAGATGACCTGCCTGGGTATTTCCAATTCCGGATTATCCTGCATTACTTGTGTACGCTGCACGCCAATCAGAGGTCAAGTTTACCATCGCTATCCTGGGGAGTTTTTTTGTTTGTTTGTTTTGTTTTTGTTTTTGTTTCAATAGCGCCGTTGTCCTGGTGTATGCTTACCGCAAAAGCGCACGGTGTGGGCGCAGGCGTAAATAGATTTAATTGGTTGACTGGCGTGCACGTGTGTCATACGAACATGAAACCTACCACGGACCACATGGTCACCCGATTGCTGAGCAAAATGGCCGCCAATCGCGGACAGGCTCCACCATTCTGTAACGCTTCCCCAAACCAGCCCATCGCAAGCATGTGGCGGTCATTTGGGCCACTCGCAATATTACGTCTATCCAACTTGGGGTGGTCTTCGCGAGATGACGCGCTCCAACTGAAACCCGTGGTGTTACGAGCTTGGAAGACCAAGCAACCTCGCTACACTCACAAAAGAGCGAAACGACCAAAAAGGCATCGGCCTCATCGTTGTGTAATTGTGGTGGCTTAAGCTTGTTAGGCTTGCTGGGTTGCTAGGCTTTACCCGTATTCTGCATAAATAGCCATCGCCACCTCCCGTCGTCTACGCGGGCCAGGAGTCAGCCCGTAGACGACGAGCAGCCACGATCTACATCGTTGGCTTTCCCTCATACCAATCGCCTGGACTGCCTATACCTGTGGTTTGGCTCACTTGCTGAGTGTATTGATCTCTCGAGGTATAGAAAAGCGACTATCTTCTGGGATTTCTGATGGATGCTATTTCTTGGGACGCATCGCGAATTTTGTCTAGCTCTACTGGCTCGCACAACTTACACCTTGCTTAACAACAAAAAAAGAATGAGAACTATTCTACTTGTTGGAAAAACTGGCCTTGGAAAGACGACCTTTACCAATTATCTGACTGGCGCCAATAATCGAACTGGTGGTGGCGGAATCAGTGTCACCACAGATCCGGAAGAAACCGTTTTCTTGTATAATGGCATCAATTGTCGCGTTGTCGATATGCCGGGTTTCAGTGATGTGAGAAAGGATGGCCAGAAGGCCATCAACGACTCCACCATACACCGATGGATTCTCGAGCAAGTTAGCAAGAGTGAAGTTGTTGGCGTTGTCATGTTTGTCACTCAAGATGACGTGCTGAACTCTCGACTTAGTAGAGAAGTCATCGCCCTCATGGAAATCATGACTACTCGATTTGTTGGATACGAATCCATGTGCTTCTATGCTATTTCTGGTCGAAGCATGCCTGGAGATATGCATGAATTTATCCGCATGTCTCTGGGTGTCGTTGCTTCCGGAAAGCTCCGCGTTATGGGCTTGAGTTCCGACAACTGGGCTCGCTGCAAGAACAAGGACTTTTCCAGGGTCAAAAGCTGGTGTTTGCAGAGGCTCCAGAGCCCTGAGCCACGCCTCGTTCCCAGAGTAACCACAGACACCTGCAAGCGCTGTGGAATCAAGGCCGACCCCCTCATCGAAATTAGTCAATGCCAATATCATGGTTCTTCTGGGTCGCTCATCCATGGCAACAAAACTCACAAAAAACATCGCCTTCCTGTTTCAAACGCCCATTTCGGAACTTGGAGAACTGATCCCACAAACATGTGTCGCGGACCCTGGTCCTGCTGTGGCTCAAGAAAAAAAGAAAGCCCTTGCAGATATATGACATATCCATGCTGTCGACAAGCGTCTGATGATGCTGGATGTCTTGAAATCTGCAACAATTGCGAAAGACAAGTCACCACAGAGGGGTGCCAAGGAAGCTGCCGAAATTGTGAAAAACCCATGGTTCATCAAGGTTGCCAGAGAGAACCATCTCATTCATGGAAGGGAGAGATTGTCCCATTTAAAATCAATATCGAGGAAAGTCAAGACCTCCCTGTGATTGATGAAGAGGATTTTGAACGATTCTACGATGACTATGGTGAAACGGAAGGGGCTGATATGTATGCTCACGCAACCTTTATGTTCGGCGAATTCGCTCGAAAAGTGGTCTCTGGATTTTCCTCTCGGCGCTGAATGAGGAGAATGAAGTGAATTCCAAATGAATGGACCAATCATCCTTTGAATAGGAAAGTTCAACCCTTAGCCTTCCGCACCCTTTGCAAATATGTCATAGGCGCAACTTTTTGCATCTCATGCCTTGAGTTTATGGTCTTTTTCTTTCTCTACCCAACTTCTCCCTTTGTGCGACCGGCTTCCGTTGGCAAAATTGGTCACCTACTTGATCGGTCGCCTCAAACCGAAACTTACGCCCTTATCACACTGAGGTCGGCCATTATTTCGGCCTTGCCAAGTTAAAGCTTATCCGCTGAAAGTCCTGTTTGCTTGCAAGGATCCTTGTTAGCCCACTTAACAGCTCTCCTACAGAGATTTTAAATCGGAGCCCTAAGTGAATCAGCACAAATAAAGACGATCAATATCCCTGATTTTCCTGTTTTCAGATCTTGATTGAGATATTTAGTTCTGGTCTGTTTGATTTATGTGATGAAATAATGGAATAGCTTCGGAATCAATTGGTTGATATATTTCTTCATTTTCAGTGATCACTATGTTGGGAGTATTAATCTTGATATGATCGATCTCTTGGCAATGGCGTTCACCATTACAGCGAGTCAAGTGGCAATAACATCAGGCAAAGCTTCCGGAAAGAAGTTCACAACAGCTTCTTTCATAATCCGGTCCAAGTTTTAGCCTCTCTCAGTTTTCGAATCCGATTCAAGGACCATTCTTGAATTGCCCCCCCCCAAATTGTGACTTCACAACCAGAATCCTTACACCACGCAAAATTTAGTCCGAAATTGGATATTTTTCTGGGTAGAGAAGAAATAATATAGAATATTCAAAAAAGCGGATGCCAATATCATTTTTGTGCCGCCGCTCAATGAACATATTGCAAATTTACCGATATTATGCTTAGTATCATCATGAACCACCTTGGAAGTTGGACGAAGATCAATTGTTGTATCATCCTAAATCGTATGATTCCCTTGCGTTCGTACTGTTGCCCCCTATCAAAACCCACCTTTTCGCCTGTGTTATTCGAGTTACCGATGGCGAGACTTGTATTACGACGATCGTCCATGCTGCTAGCTCCAACCCGGAATCTGCCTTCGGATTGGTGGTTAAAAATCTCTATGTCGGGAATCAAGTCCCGCCGGAGGCTCGTGATTATGGACGTATCCAAGATGAGAGGGAGTGAGGGTTCACAACACCCATCTCGATATGATGTAGTGAACCCTATTACAATCCATATCGAAGCGCGTGGCTCGCTGCTCGAGGAACAGGGGTCATTTACAAATTGGTAAATCGAGGAAGAAATTCGGCAAGGCTGTAACGGGGATGGGAACTGGGCTGGGACTGGACCTGGGCTGGGACTGAACTGGGATCGGGCTGGGACTGGTTTTACTGGCGTTGTCTGCCTGGAGTTTATTTGTTAAGCTCAAGGGCATCCTATTTATCGACCCTCCTCTCGCGGTCCGCAGGCGGTGAGCTGGTGCCTGCGGTCGGCGGGCGTGGCTGCGGAAGGTGCGGATGCCTGCGGACGAGGCTGCGGAGCGGAGTTGGCAGAGTCATCGGCGGCCTTGCTGCGCTCTGTCACATCACCCCTTCTTTAAAGTCACCTCTTAGCGGCCTTGTTGGTTCTCTGGCTCTCGTTGCTGCCTCGGGGTTTGTTCGGGTACTTCTTGTGGAACTGATGTACGATTAGCGGTGCGCTTATGCAGTTTCGTTCAGGTTCCCATGAATCCTCTTCGTGGCCGTAACCTTTCCAGCGTACCAAGTACTCGATACCTTTGCCTCGCTTGCGTGAATCGAGTATCTCCTCGACCTCAAATTCCTCATGTCCTTCGACGTTGATTGGCGGAGGAGGTGGTGTATGTCGGCCTGGAATTTCGTTGTCAGTTACGGGTTCCAACAAGGACGTGTGGAATACTGGATGTATCTTGCTCATGCTCTTGGGGAGCTTAAGCTTGAATGCGACATCGTTGATTTTGGCTTCAATCTCGAAAGGCCCGAGTCGCTTCCAGTCAAGCTTATCGCATGGTCGTTGGGTCTTGATGTTCTTCCGAGAGAGCCAGACCTTGGAACCGATTGCAATTGTAATGGCCTTGCGATGCTGATCAGCGTATTCCTTTTGTCGTGCTTGTGCCTTCTTGAGTTCGTGTTTCAATGTATCCAATTGCTGCTTCATGTTCTGAACTCGTTCCTCGGCGGCGGGGACAGTTGCTTGTGTTGACGTCTTGAAGTCGCAGATGGGGTGGAGCCCGTAATTGGCGTAAAACGGCGTCATCTTCGTGCTAGCATGAATCGAGTTGTTGTATGCAAATTCGGCTAGTGGCAGGAGTTGCACCCAATCGTCTTGTTGATACCCACAGTAACATCGTAAGAACGTCTCGAGAACTGCGTTGATCCGTTCGGTCTGTCCATCGGATTCTGGATGATATGCGCTGGACAGGCTGATTGAAGTGTCCAAGAGTTCATGGAATCGCTTCCAGAATGTGGACTTGAATTGTGGACCGCGGTCCGATATGATCGTCTTTGGAGTTCCGTGGAGCCGGAATATAGTGTCGACAAAGAGCTTTGCTGTTTGTTCTGCCGTTATCGTTGTGTGGCATGGTCGGAAGTGCGCCATCTTGGTTAGTCTGTCTACAAATACTGCAATGGCGTCAAAGCCTTCTGACTTGGGCAGCTCAACAATAAAGTCCATGGAGACGGACTCCCAGGGCCTGTCTGGAATGGGCAATGGTCTCAAGGTGCCGTATGGGAGGTGTCGTGTCGGCTTGGCGCGGCAACAGACCTCGCACGACTTTATGTAGTTGCTGGTGATCTTGAAAAGTTTCGGGAACCAGTAGTTCCTTCCGATGAGCTCAATTGTTTTCTCCCTCCCAAAATGCCCGGCTGTCTTTGAGTCGTGTGCCTCTTTCAATATCTCGAGCTGGAGCTGCAGCGTGGGGACGTAGAGGAGGCCCTCGCGGTAGAGTAAACCTCTTTCGATATCGTACACCCGGTACTGGGGCTTGTCCATCCCCGACATTACTTCCTGGGCATAGGAGTCATCCTTGAGGGCGGACTTAACTCTTTCTTCGAACGGTGTCAATGGAGTGTCTGCAATTGCTGCAATTCGAAACTGTTCGGGTTGGAGGAGTATTTGCCGCTGTTGGATCGAGGCTGGATCCTCAGGCGTGAGCTCGTGTTGGGGTTTTCTGGAAAGGGCGTCTGGTACGACCATATCTCGTCCTGGCTTGTAGACGATCTCAAAGTCAAATTCGGACAAGAACATTGCCCAACGTGCTTGTCTGCGGTTCAGTACACGGCTCGTTGAGAAGTAGGTTAAGTTCTTGTGATCGCTGTGGATGATGACCTTGTCCTTGGAGCCGGCTAAATACTGGCGCCATTCCTTGAGGGCCGAGACGATAGAAAGCAATTCCTTGTCATACACCTCATAGTTGATTTCAGGGGCCGTTAGCTTGCGTGACATGAAACATGTAGGGTGATGAACCCCGTCGGAATCGGTTTGGCAAAGTACCGCACCGATTGCGAAGTCACTGGCGTCCGTTTCAACAATGAAGGGTTTTTGCGGATCTGGATGTTGAAGAACCGGAGCGGAGGTGAAGGCCTGCTTGAGTTTGTCAAAGGCTTGATGGGCCACCTCGGTCCATTGAAACTGCTCCTGCTTGCCGGTCAGGGCATGGAGAGGCACGGTGATCTTACTGAAGTCGGATATGAATGTTCTGTAATAGTTGGCCAGGCCAAGGAACATCTGCAACTGTTTGACGGATCGGGGTGGCTCCCAATCGAGGACTGCCTGGACCTTTCGAGGGTCCATCTTCACTCCTTGTGTGCCGATTATGTGGCCAAGGAACTCGATCTCTTCGGCGCTGAATTGGCACTTTTCCAATTTACAAAAGAGATTGTGGCTTCTCAGCTGCTCGAGGACAAGTCGCTGTGATGACCAGCATCACAACGGACCAATGAGATTGTCCCGCATGCTCTCGCCCTCCGCACCAATCATGAGTCCCCACGTGTTTGTTTGCCCCCATGCATGAGCACGCGCCGTTGCCACCCGCGTCTACTGGTTTCCTGCCTCCCCCACCGCTCGGCACATGTCCCCGGGCTGTGCCAAGCCTCTCTCGCTTGCACACCAGCCACTCTCGCACCCCCTTCTCGCTTCTCTGTGATGCTCCACCCTTCTCGCCCACTTTTGCCCCTCGACCTTCTCCCGGTCTATAAATAGCCCTGCATGTCTGAGCCTATGTTGAACACCAGTTCGAACAAAACTTGTTCTTTGGTGTTCGGGGCTAAAAGCTAATAAAGCTCATACCAAGCACTTGGTCTTCGTCCTTGCGCTTGTTCACTCCTTACACTTTGTTCGAACTCTCTTCTACTGATACCACCTGCTTGGTATCTTCCGCTCCTAGCCCCGCCCCTTTCCTAGTCCTGTCCGAACCTCAAGCACACTTGTGTCTGAGCCCTCTTCGCTCTCCTGTTCTTGAACCTCCTCGCTTTTTTTTTTTTTCCCAGTCCCAGTCCCAGTCCCGCCATGGATCCTGCCCTCGTGGACCGCCTCCGTGCCTTGGAGGCCGAGCTCGCCGAGCTCCGGACAGCTCGCGATGCTCCTGCCGCTGGGTACAGCGTGCAGATGCCGGACCGTTACGACGGTAACCGGCAAGGGTTCCGGGCATTCGTAAATCAGTGCAAACTGTATATACGAATGCAGCCCCACCGGTTCCCTGCTGACCCGATTAAGGTCGGATTCGTCATTAGTCTGCTCACTGGACCGGCTCTCCAGTGGGCGACTCCGATGCTTGAGATGGGTGATCCCCGACTCAACTCTTTTGGCGATTTCCTAGAACGCTTTTCCAAAGTGTTTGACGACCCTGATCGGGCCAGGACTGCCGAGTCAGTGATCACCACACTGTCTCAGGGCAACCGCCCGTGCGCAGTCTATGCATCCGAGTTCCTTCGTATTGCCGCCGATACGACTTGGAACGACGGTGCAAAGATCTCGTTCTTCCGACTTGGCTTGTCGGATGATGTCAGAGACGAACTTTCGCGAGTTCGCCCTCTGCCACGAGATCTGGAGGAGTACATCGAGCTTTGTAACGAGCTCGATGCACGAATCCGCGAGCGCCGTCAAGAGCGCCGAAGCACGCCTGCCCGCTACCGGTCTTCCCAGTTCGCCTTTGGTTCCGCCTCCGCTGCCGTTCCCGCCATCGCTCCCGCGCCCGTCCTCGCTCCGCCGCACCCCTCCTACATTGTTTCCGAGCCCATGCAAGTGGACTCTGCCGTCTCTGGACCCCTGACCGCCGAGGAGAAACAACGCCGCCGCCGCTTTGGACTCTGCCTGTACTGTGGCAAGAAGGGCCACTTGGTACGAAACTGCCCCGTCAAGTTTGGATCTACCAGAGCTACCGGACTGTTAGGGATA